GTCTACAATCAGACATGAATCATCACTACATTTTACAGTATTAATCAAACTGCTTACAATATTATTACTTTACCATTAATGTCCAACACCGTAAGGTATTGGGCATCTTTACAATCTTAGTATTTCAAGTCGTATAACGTCCTGTACCATAATTAGTTAACAGCTATATTAGTGAATAACACTTTCTAATATAGTAGTTACCAGTCACCTAAATCTAGCAGCACAAGAATATCTATTTTTAGAAACTTAACTATTCTAAATATAGTACACAACACAATCAAATATAGCTATCGCTACAAGCAAATATAGGGTGCATCACTACAACTCCTAAGATACATAATCAATGTTGATTGGTGACGAATATTTCTTGAACATAGATTGAATGGAAATTTCATTTCTTCAGTTGATGAGGATTTATTGCTATACATAAAAATCAGATTTACTGGTATAAAATATCCTAAATATATGATAATAAGACATTGAAATAAGTATACTTCTTCTAAAGATTTAGTTACGATATAGCTCATTTCTAGTCTGAATCAAATGGAATCTTTAACTCTGCAGATGGACTATTGTTATTAAGAAATAAAACTTATTAAAAATCTATCTATTTTGGGAATGTATTAGGTACGTACTAACTATAAAATTTAGATTATTTATTAAACTCATCTATTATCATTTTCAATATTTGCGATCCAGTACTTATTGTTTGAAACAATACAGCAAAAAATGCAGGTGAAACCAAAGCTTGATTATAAATGCTATATTTCTTATCTGAGGATTAAAAGAATAGTGATAAAAAAATGTCGCAAATACTTCCTTCTGAAGAGCTAGTCAAATTTCTCTCAAATACAAGTTAAGCATCCAAATTTTAATAAGATAGTCTTGATAGGCGTTACTATGCTTAGAGATAAAAGAATGATGATATCGAACTTGATATCCACTTTCAGCTAATAAAATAAACTGCTATAAAATAAAAGATACTAATAGTAAACCCAGCTATATTTTAGCTTATAAAGTACAATTACAAGAAATTTCAACAGGCAGCGATTAACGATTTTTTGCAGAATAAAAGGAAATGAATTTTTTGACACTTTAAGATAAATTCTAATACTTAGAATGGAATAATTCAGGCAAATGAGTATACAAAGGATCTCATACGCGTATTCACAGGTCCTAAAGAATTACAAATTATTAAAGATTATTTTACTAGATTATTATGCAGATAACGAAACGATTTATTATGATCTTTTTTAACGATGAATCTATTTTCATGGAAAAAATGTTAGCTATTTCTGCTCCCGAGCATTAGATTGATGTAACATTTTAGTAACCTTGCATAATATTATCTGAGATTATCATATCCTAAATGAGGTCATCAAATGAAATCATTTTTAAAAATTTGCTAAATTTAACCCTAAGCTGCTTGTTGTAGTTGAATATATAAACGATTCTTTTTGTCTTAGCTCTGCTATAAATAAATTCGATTATTTAACATTCATATATTGTATAGTAGAAATAAAATAATTTCATACAAATATTAATTAACTAGTCTAAAGTTTGTCGTATATAAAATCAATTTGTATGCTTTTGATAAGTTTACAATTTTATTCCTTTGTAGACTGCACTAGCAATAAAATTTCGAATGGAATATTTAAAGTATACTGTAAGTCGTATGATGCAGAGGTAACATCATCTGCAGCTATAATGACTGAGTTTTACACTATAAGTCTATTATTTTGTATTGCTTTCCATAACCGAAAAATAATTGAATAAAATGAATGAGTCTACTATAATAGTCCTTGATATAAAGCGAGATCGTTGTGGTTTTTTGTTCATGATTAAAGTCAACAGATAATCTGCATAATAATTTATGTAAAGATTTAGAATGTCACAGCTGTCAGTCAAGACTACAGTTACTTAATCAATCGATATTCACCGTGTATACAGAAAGAAAAAACTATATTTGATGTAAGATCAATTTAAGTCGCTGTTAAATATTTCTTATTAATAGAACAAATATGTAGAAAAGCTATGGATAATGAGTCTGCAGCTACAAATGATAGATTATTGCAATTGTTTCGCGAAGAAATAATGTATAAAAAATTAGATTATAAACCTACCACTTCCATAACTGTCCACACTTTCTATAGATATTATATGAAAGCTAATTCATGACAATCTTGTAAATCTGCGGGAAATCGTTATCGATATTGATATTCTCTGAACTAGAAATGAACGATATTCAGTACACAATGAAAATGTTCAAGAGTATAAGTAGTTATCACAATACCTACAATCGATGATTTTATTAAAGTCTAGATTAACGTTAGATGCAAATATTATAAAATGTTAATTAATTCATGACATGAATGTAGAAATTTTTCGTAAATCAAAATTCGCATGAACAGTATGGTAGTTAAGAGCTTTTGCTTAATTCCTTCTACATATTATTTAGATTGCTACTTTACACTGGAGCTTAGATTAGCATAGACAAAGATATTTGTAATTCTAGATATATTTTATAGGTGTTGTAGAAAAATAACAAAGAGAACTTTATTGTGTATATAAAATTGTGCTATACAGGGTTCTGATATATAGACAACTATTTCCTTTGCATTCTTAACTATAGCGATAATTTATATTAACCAAGTTTTTTCCGTAAGTTTTGAGAAACAGAACGAAAGATATCGACAACTCATTCAAAAAATACAATTTTAGCGTAAGCACGCATTTACTTAAAGTATCTTGCGGTTTTACTGATTACATAATTATTTATCCAGTTGTCAATGCTTGATAAAAGTTCTTTAGGCTTGCTATGAGATTAAGATGTCACATATAATTTTTTTTAAGTTAATCCTGTGAACAGTGAAGATCATGACTGCAGGATTGTAGTAGTCTACAATGGTAATTTGCTGTATCACAATATATAAATTTCGATTATCGTGGCAAATCGCAGAAAATCCAGCAGGGCAGATCTAGGAGATAGACAGACGGATACAGGGCTTCAAAAATCGCCAAGAGTTTAAGCATGCGCGAGTGTTTCCATAGCAACCAAATAGCATCATAATTAAAGTATCGGTACAAATTGCCGACAGGCTTGAAATAATAGTGGGTTTCTAAAATTTAGAATACACATTACGGTATATGTATACGTATAACGACTAGATAAGTAATTCTTACTTATATATCACTACTTTACGAATAGAACTTTAAATATAAAAAGGATACCATACTAATGAGTTCTCCTATGTTGTAGCGCGGCTAGTGATAATTTATAGCTCTAATAGTCCATGAAAATAGTTTATAAATAAAGTAGGAGTTTTATCTTGTGTAATACGGCATCTCGATCAATACCAGGCATAGAACTTTTAGATTATTGATACTGGGGATTTCATAACTACTCATTCGAAACATGGCGAGGCCTCATATGGATACTAGAAGGCAAAATTTTTGGACGGAGCTAATTCAGAAAGAAGATTACATCAGATTGACGTGGCATGAAAGGTTTCGAAGAATTAGAAAGGAGAAAGCGGAGCTCAATTTCGCTACTAAGCCAGTATATCGAAAAGAAATTACTAGGGCAATTCAAAGTGAGAAACTGCCTAAGTTGACAAATCTGGAGGCATCAAGTACGCTAACGCGTAAGATCAAAGTGGAAAGCGATAAAGTGGAAAGCGACGGTCCTTCTGCGTCAGCAGTTTTATTCGAAATGCGCCCACCATCAAGTAAAACGAAGTCTTTACTTTATAAAGGGTATAGTGCTATTGGAGAAGGACGGGCAGCTTATTTGCAAGCCAGAAAAATTGTTAATCCTGAAGGAAAATATGAGTTCCCTCTAACTTCGAGTCTCGAATACGGATGGAAAATTTCTGATGTTAATTCTGATATTAAACAAACAAAATTTGGTAGATCTAGAATTGTCAAAGATTCCTTTTATAGGTCTAATGGAGTCTTCGGTGGAAATTAGTCTTTTATCATTAATGGATAACTAATAATTGTGCCATATTAGGTCGTGCTTTTGGTAATTATGCTTTAATACATTGACAATATCTTAATTAGTATTGATCTATTTACGGTTAGCACTCACTATTCTTTACTAAACCACCTACAATTGCTAATAAAATTTGGATGATAAAGATTAGTTCATACTACTACCTCTGTATCACCAATCCAAATCATGGTCGAGTGAGATTTTGTAATGAATTAGCTTATCTAATCTGTAAGGAAAATTTTTTTTATAAGCTACCATGGCATGACACCAAAAATATCTTACAACTTATTTTCTTTAGATACTAGGGTATTCTAGACATTTATTCTACTGTAGAGCTTATGAAGCTGGAGAGCGTCAGCCTAGCACTTTCCTTTTAATTAATGATTATGTAATATACTGTAACACTGTATACACATTAGAAGAAATAGTTAGCTTGTCTTAGTATATCACAAGGGCGTTTTAAGTTTATAGTGTATACTGTCTTAAGATTGGCTCTTTTGTATTTATTGGAGCCTCTATGATTGCATTACTTTATATTTTATAAATAAATGATGTATTTCATAAGACTTTCTCCGGTTATGCACTTTAAACAATCCTGAAAATATAAAAATGTTTCACAATAAATCTAGATTGCTATGCTTTATTTAATCTCTATGAAACATAAATGTGAAGATTGGGTTCTGCACGAAAATAGATTATAAATTAAACAGTAACAAATATGATATGATGACACAAGCATCATATGTATAACTGCAGCAAGGCAAAGAAGAGATACCTCTGCAGATTTGTATAATCTGAAGTTTCTGTTCAGTTATAAAGAAATTCTATTTGCTGAGTCGAATAAAGGGGAGTTTTCAAGAAATTAAACTACTAATAGCAAACTTTACTATTCTCTAACGTTCCAGTAAAGATCGACTAATATAGCTTATAGCTATGTCGTCTGTATATTATGTCTTTATCGACGTCGGGATAAGCCGCATGCTCTAATCTCCGATATGAATGAGTTTAAGTATTTAACAGATCAATATAATCAATACAATGCATTCTATACACGTACTAAATTAACATTTGATTACTTTTTCAAAATGCTAAACAGCTTATACGATCATACTCTTATTTGGCAACTTTGAAATTAATCAAAAAATATTTCTGTTGACTTTATTAACCATGGAGTTCTAGATATAGGGTAGGTATAAGGCATCTAGTAGTACATTAGTCAATCAATTCAGGTAAAGATTCCTTACAGTTAGTGTATGTGATAATATTTCAATTCGTAATAGGATGTAAATTTAGGCTTGTCATTTTTTACGTGAATTGATTCTTTAATATATGACGATATTAAATTTAACGAACAAAATTTATCTACTTTGGAACTACACACTATATTATATGATACTATAATAAATCTGCGATGAAGATAAATAACGGTAAATATTAAGGATTCTAACTAAATGATTTTGTAGATCAATAGAAATACTGTATCAGAGTACAACAACTTCGATAAGTTGTTTTACCGTATTAACTGGAATAAAAATGGAGTACTTCTATTAGGATATAGTCTTAGTAATACAGTATTGCTATTTTATGATAATTGTAATCATTCGTAATATTTATTTGTACATGAGCCTACAATATATCTTAATCTTTGGTCTTATTCTTCTTGTCTTTTGAAGCATAAATCTTCTGTTTTTATTCTCTTAAACGCTTATACGTGTATTGTTACCTTACAGTAAACTTATTTTTCTCCTATTCCGCACTCTTGTTGGGCGTAGAAGCTGCGATTATGAAAGTATTACATCTAGTTGCGATACTTTTGGGATCCTTGGGCCAAGGAATTTTGCTGCCATGTGATACTGTACGCATTGAACGCATCTATTTAACTATTTGTAAGATAGATTTTGGGAGTTTTCTATATCATATATAGCCTGAATAAATATATTTCTGGTATTCCAAAGACCGTTTTTTAATTTACATTTGCCACGTTGTAAATCTTATATACATATAGAGTTTTAGCAAGAATAAATGTAAATCATCATGCAAATTTATACAGAACCCAATGTTGTGAGTCGCTTATGACATTCATATTATCATGGAATCATATTACGTCCAATGCTGCTGTCTGTGTAGGCTAAATGTATGGTACTTACATAGATAGCTGCTGAGAATAGTATAAGAAAAATGGGGGAGTTGTTTATATTAAACCATAGAAATAAGCACTTAGATATTCTCCGCTCATTTGGATAAAATTGTCAAACATAAGAGGTGTACAAAAACTAATATAAAATACTTTGCAATGTATCACAGTGCTGTATATCTACGCATATCGACAATGTAACGGTTATACTGAAGTAAAGCCATCCACAAAAGAAACCGCAGCAAGGACCGTTGCAGTTGTTTTTGACTTCTTCACCGAATATGGATAAAGTACTCCAAATTACGAAAATGTTCATTTTTCACCTATTGTTACAATAAGTTGTAATCACATATAGACTCAGTGAATTCAGTAACACGCAGAAATGCCTAGTTGAAATAGCCACAGCTCATCGTGTTCGGTGATCTTTTGCATCATCTTATTGACGGACACTGATACTATTCCGTTGATACGTCTTTATTACTTCTAATAATTTTTTGATTTCAAATTGGTTTGAGGAAGGAAACTTTCCACTTTTTTCCATCTTTTGTAAGGCCAAACAATGCGAGATGCTTTGCCAACTATTAAGCCAAGAGCTATCTAACGATTAGAACAATTTCAATATCATTTTTTAATGAATGAACTACTGTGCCACAAATACGACATATGCCCGTCAAGCTATCTTAAGGATTAGGAAGACTGTTATTTTTTCGAATGTGTATTAAGATTGCTATTATAAGCTAAACGGAATTACCGTACGAACAGTATTGAGGGTAAAAGTTAAATTAATTTTTCAAATTTGTGCTGTCATGTAGATAACTTACTGGACCAAAAATATTACTATCTAAACTGTTACGTCCATCGCCCTCCACCCAACAGTGGCCCTTTGGTATTATTATACAGGGATACTTCGAGGAGGTACTAAAAAGGAAAGAATAAAATTAATAAGGTATCAAGGTTCCATCATTGCCTAAACTATAATTAATGCCAAAGCAACAAACAAGTAGCATCTAACTTATATGGCTTTCTTGATTACATCAGCAACAACTAATAAACAGCATGTGATAGCACGTTTGGCTAACAATGAGCCAAGAGTTGAAGGTAAAAGATATTTTAGTTCGCATGTTGCTTTGAATAGTAATAACTAACGAATGCAGATGTTATCTCTGAGTAGTGTTCTCTAGTTACTATCATATCTCAAGTAAGATCCACGGCTGTCTAGACAACTATGACGAATATGAGCTACCGTATCTGTTTAATCAGTTAGTGTTAAGTAATTATATAAATTCTACAATACAAACTTCTAGGACATACTTGTACAAAGAGAAAATTTTTGTGATATACGAGTTGAAATAGTTAAAATGTGAAGTAATACCATATCAACAGCCTACCAAACAGTTAGTTATTAGTGCTATGTGACGTGTGTTTGCTGAATGCTGAGTATTTCGAAAACCCTCTCTTTACTGTAAATCTAAATCTAGAGCCACTTATTTACAATATGTATTTTCTTCTACTTACAGTATTATAATTATTAAAATTCACAAAGAATGCGTTCGGCTTCCAACAAATAGAATAAAACTACCAACTTTAATTATTAGTTTTCGATTTGACAGTATCAAGACAACATCAAACTCAATTTCGAATCTCAGCACCATAGCTTTGAGTTATTTATTCGTCAGAGGCATATTGATGATTATACTTATGTTATAATCGTACAAAGAACAGCTGACGACAAGCAGCTATTAAGTCAGCTTGTCGTTACTAGATTGTAGACAATACCTAAATGTTAATTTTTATTTACCTGATTCTGTCACCTTCAAGAGCAATAACTCTCTTAATTAAGAAAGTTGCTGGTTTCCGAGGATGACTATATTGCATCATGGATAAGGAAACGATTATAAATTAAGTACTTTCTTTTCTAGCTTATGTGTTAATTTAATACGTTAAGAGTGGGTATAATACGTGAAGAATTGGGGCTGTATACAGATATAAATTTTTTGTGATACGAGTGTACCTCTACCCAAAAAGTTGATGGGCTACATCTAGTATTAGAAGATTTACTTAATACAACATTTGCAACCGTGCACTATTAATGTAGAGTGTAATATCACTATGGAAAAAATACGGTAATACGAGTATCTACGTTAATTCGTATACTGTATCAGGTGTGAAGATAGGCATCAAAATTGTAATCTAGCAACAACAAAGCTCTATCAAGCTTGATCATTCGACATACAGTAAGTAATTAATAAGTGCTAGTGCGCCTGCTTGCTCATATCAATAGTTTGCAGTTGAAATCAAAAGATTATTGAACAAGAATGTAGATTTGCAGTATACTGTATACAGTTTAGTAAGCTGGAATGTCTTTAAGTTGAAAATAACAGTTCAACGAAAGAGTGTACTGCAGATATCGCTACAAAGAAACTTACGTGAACGCCACTACATCTCCTCGTTTTATTTCGTAGTGCCGGATGGCCCACGTACTAAAAAATACGTAATCTTCTGATTTACCGCTCGGATTAAAAGTCGGCTAGCGAAGAAAGCAGGCAAACATTAAAAATACGAAGTGCTCTATTTTATGAAGTTTTGCACACGTACTATACATAAACGATCTTAGATTGAGAGTTGGCTTTTCTGATCAAGTTGTATAGAGCATGCATTCTATTTTTTTGCAGTATTTACTACACTCTATTATACGGAGATGTACGCAAAAGGGTCAATTTTAGCCATACTATAAGGTATTAATCATAGCAGATGCGTTGCAATAGCATTAATAATAAAAAATTGGAATGTTCCTATTGCTCATTGCTGGAAACATCGAAACACAATTGTTGCTATTATAATGTAATTCATTATGTTTACGTTGAAGTCTTTTTATGCAGGATTAACTTCTTACGTATAAATCTATATGCAATTTCTGAACATATGCGTATAGTAGACTTATTGGATTTGTAAAGTAAATTTTCCCCAGTTGATCCAGAAATTATAATCCTCTACAGTACAGTATAGTATCATAATTTATCAGTTCAGCTGGTTTGCATCCATATACACAGATACTGTATTCCATAATAAATAATGAATGTGATTCAGTACCGTCATTGATGAGCCATCGATTACTGATATGTACCCAATATAATTGCGGAAGGTACTTGCACCCACATAAGACACGGTAAAAATCATTAAACCTGAAAATGTAAATTCTTTGAGGTATGTCTTCCACTGCAAGTGTGCCATTCTCTCTGGTTACAACTTGTCAAAGTACAGTTACGACTAATGATATTACTGGGACAGTAAAATTGAGATCAATTTTATTTTATTTGCATTTACACTTGGATTAATATCATTGAATGAAAAGGGAAATCTGATAAAGCAAAGTACAATACTGCGGTACATTGATGCGAAGTATCACGAGTAGCAAACATTCTAATACGTGATCATCTGCAAGGCTGCAACTGTCCACGATTGTCAACATCCAACGGCCGCTGGTCGTCACCGGCAGAGTACTTACTATGGACTTTGTACAGTACTGTACTTGGCATTCATTATTTTGCATTAAACCACCACTTCGACTGTACACTTAGTATGGGTAGTCTGGTACTGTAATCCCTAATTTATTATGCACAGATGATTGGATGATCTGTTGACATATTCTCCATTAATTAAGTAGCGACTTCAGTAAAATTGCGGGATTAATGAATATTTATGACTGATCAAAATACCTTTAGTACCGTATTTCTTCTAAAGGTATTTGGTTAATACAGTAGTGCCATGATACAGTGTACAGTACTGTATACTGTATGACATACTGTATAAAGTACTGTACACTACAGTATACTGTACAGTACACAGTACTGTACTTCGATCTTTTGCATTCTGGTGATCAGGACCTGATCCGGACCAGACTAGACCAGACCAGACTAGACCAGACCAGACCAGACCATGAAGACCTCTGTACTGTACTGTACAGTGTACAGTACTGTACTCAGTGTACTGTAGTGCTTCGATCTTTTGCATTCTGGTTATCAGGACCGGATCCGGACTAGACCAGACCATGAAGACTACAGTACAGTACAGTACTGTACAGTGTACAGTGTACAGTACCATACATCGTACTGTAAATAATAATACAAAGTACAGTACTTTACAGTACTATATACTGTACTTTACAGTATACAGTACTGTATTCTTGTTAGCAAAGTTTGGGTCTATTTCTCATACAAATTCATACAAGTTAGACACACAAACCTTCTATGACGTTTTTATGACACTCGATCCATACAGAATCGTACTGTACGATAGTATAGAACCTGCACACTGTTCAGTGTACAGTACACTACCGTTCAGATTCAGCCGCAATCAGAGGCTCAGCTGAACGCAAATGCAAATGCAAATGCTGTTCTGCTAAACTAGTATCCCACAAAGTTATAGCAATATACTACGAAAGATGGCCGAGAAGGACATAAGTAATCTACGAATGGCGGCGACTAGATCAGCTACTTACGGCATCATACTGCAGGTTGCACAAATGCTGCAGTGCGAGCTACAGCACTTTCAATGTATGATACTGTGCAGTGTAGTTGTATGCAAAAATTGAAAATTTAGATATGCCCTCTGGCTGTCAATATATTCTTATAATATAATATACAGTATACGCGTATATTACTCTACTTGTAATTTTAGACTGTCAATAGGATGGAAGTCGATAGCAAGGTTTGATTCAATATTTAATGGCATCTATTTCCATAGGTGATTGTGCGTACTGGGACGTTCATCCTTAATTCCGTACTTCTTCGCTATATTACAAAAGAAGTCCTTGGTATAGTAAACGTCAGGTAAGAATTTCAACCTGATAAAACAAGGGTAAATCGGAAAATTCTTGAATAGGGAGATCAACATCAAGTACTATACAGTAAATTCATACGCACATGGTACGCGTGTATGTAGGCATTTTTCTACCGTAAACTATCTTAACTTAAGGACATGAGTAGTTCGAATTGACGTATTGTGAAAGTTTTCCTTATAGTAATAATTAACAGTCATATGAAACTATAACTTTATGTTTACTAGCTATGCGTATTCAAACAATTCTTGTTGACAAACTAAAATAGTAACGTACAACATATATATCTTATTGTTAATGTAGATTGACATTACTACACACTACTTTGCTGTTTATATCTCGTGAAGCTTTTCGAAAGTCTTGTTTAAGTAAGAATGATCAGATCCATTGGAAGCAGATTCGTAATTGGACATGGTGCACGTATGTATATCTCCCTAGATAACTACTTACTGCATGGTGCATCGTTCTTTTATTTTCTATTGATGATAAAGATGTAAAACAACTTGATTTCGTACTGATAAAATCATGTTGATGTAAACTGATGTCTAGATTTGGCCTTGGCATCATTATTAGTGCTATATTGGTATACGTTTGGATTAACGTGTTAGAGTCACCTTCTGGAACTATAGGAAATAATTACCCTCTTGCTGTATTGATGTTTACTGTATGCGGTCTCATTGAATTGCTTGTTGAGCCAATTTGGATTCTATCTCAAATTCACATGTACATTAAACTAAAGGTTAGAATTTTACTATGGAGGATAATGCTTTATTATATACTAACATAAATCTGCCTATCTGATTTAGATCTTAAGTGAAGGAATAGCTCTGACTGTTCGGTGCATATTAACAACAGTCCTAGTGACATATTTTTCCGATCTAGGCCTAATTCCTTTTTCTATAGCTTTTGTAAGCACATGAAACGTAATAATATGATATACAGTATTAAAAGTATATATAAAATAATGTAATATGTCTTGATTAATCTTTAATGGTAAGGAGCTAACGCATTTCTTCATGTTAACAGATATGTTACAGCATCGTTTATGTTTCAATATATTATGGCTATTTCTTTGTACTGGTTACCGTAAGAAAAAATACTCAGGAAGCTAAAGACTTTCCAATTAAGAATATTTCCGATTTCTTTCCGTCATCAAATGATAATATGGTACTCTAGTAACTTTATGACATATCATTGCTTGTAATCAGCATGTATCTATTTATGCACCTAATTATATTTATCAATATTCAAATAAATCACATGCTACGTGGTAAACTAAGATAATTTGCTAATTTTATAGAGTTGGACAAACTGGTTTTTAATAACTCAAACTTGGAACTTTTTAATTCAGTGTTTGCTAAAGCTGTGTTTAACTGAAGGTGAAAAGTAACGCTTATTTATAAATCCATCTTTTGCAATTAGAAGAATCTGCTGAACGGCTTATAAATAGGAGCTATATAAAATTGTCCGTTTAACATTCATTGATTTATAGGAGAAAGATTCGTAATGACAATTTTTAACCTACTAGACTTTGGTGAACAAGGTACAGCCTTCTGCTGAGACAGTATATTCTTTCTCTTTTAACGTATGAAAAGTGATAGATAGAATACTAGGACTAAGATATTAATTAATACTCATAATATGAATTAATATCATACTTGTAGGCATATATGATATTGTCAATAATCTGGGCTCCTTGGCAGCTCGTTTCATTTTCTTACCAATTGAGGAAAGCTATTACCTTTTCTTTGCTCAAACAATGCAAAGAGATCTTCCAGCTGAACAACAAGTCAGTAATTAAATTCTCTATATGATATCTGGTTTCTATTGATTTTTTTTCCTAAAAAATTGTGCAGCAGGTCTTTAATTTTACCATTTCTATTAATTTTAGAAATCTATAAAGTCAGCAAGCGAAACCCTAGAAATGCTCTTAAAATTAGTTTTCCTAATTTCTGTAACAATCCTGGTATTCGGTCAGTCCTATTCACGCTTATTATTGCAAATTTATGGTGGGCGACTATTTGCTGCTGGATCAGGCACGTTATTAGGATAAGCAAAACTTCTTTTGAATGCAGTTTACGACTAGTTTGCTTTGTCTATTGGTCGAACTAATCGAAGTCATGATTAAAATAGGTCCAATACTTTTACGTTGGTTCTGCGTTTACACTGTTGCTTTGGCTGTAAATGGTACTACTGAATGTTTTGTATTTGCAGTTATGGCTAAGCATCATCTGCAGAGGTAGTGTAGTATCCCATGATGATCATGATTCCGTATCACTAAAACTTATTGTGTTACTTTTTAATTAATTTAGGTATAACTGGTTTATGTTCCTTTTTTCCGGCGCTTTTTTAAGCTTTTCATGGGTTATAATACCCAGATATGGTAGCGTCGGTTTTATTTGGGCTAATTGTCTAAATATGTTTCTAAGGATTTGTCATAGGTGATCAGTGACTACTGGTATTTATATGAGGATTAAGATAAATTGAATTTGATACAGTATCATCTATTTTACAGTATTTGGTTTATTTGGAAATATTTTCGGTCAACACCATACAAGCCTCTAACGGGCTTGTTACTTTCTCCATTCGTGGTGATCATGTATGCTATAGCTCTATCACTTACGTGGTATTCAGAGGTGAATATTTGTATTTTTTATTACACTTTTTGTTAATAGATTTAGTTAAAATGATTTAAACTATCACACTTGCCTCATTTTATGATGAAATAATCTATTGCTATATTACCTTACTACATTATCGACTAGGTTACCTTTGGTGGTACGAATAACCTAAATGACATTCTTCATCTTGGAATTGGAGGTGTAAACTTTATTCTTGTTATACTGATAATCTACGTGAAAGAAGAAAAGCTAATGCTCTATATAAAAAAGCAATACTTTGTTAAAAAGAAAGCCGTATGAGGAATTATCACTTTAAGTTAATAATTTTCGTAAATACTACTGAATTTTATCTTGATATTATTATATTTAAACTGGTAAAGCAGATCTGGCTGACCGATTTGTATTGAATGATTAACAAAACGTGGAGTATATCAACAGTAAACTGTTATATCATATAATTACAGAATAAAACGGCCAACTACAGTCTCGATATCCAGCTACTATAATTGTACAAAGCAGCTTCCTTTAAACTACTATTTTTAAGACAAATGTAAATCATTTAATAGAGTAAGAATAGTTATTCTAGTATTATCATTCAATGCAAAGGTTGAAGATGACTACTAAAGTTAGCTCCAAATTTAGTGTGAACGATTTTACGATAAGGTAAGCAACAAATGAATAATTTTATGATACGAAATGGCCTATATCGTATAGTGATGGGATAACTGGTACAGTGGAAGCTATTTAATTCAGTGGCATAAAATTGAGATTGATTTAGTAACCCAAATCAATTTATGAATAGCTAAGCCTAAGGGCATACAGTTAAGGACGCAGTTAAAGGCGATATTAAAAATTTTTACAAAGGAAGTCTTATTGACCTTTGATTATCACTTAATTATAAGGCAATGAAAAGAAAGAACTGATTATTTTTATGGTTAAAATGTAAATATATAATAAAATAGCCAATTTCAAATTTGACGACCAAGTCGGTAAATTGCTATAAATATAGTTTTAACAACTAATCTGAATTTCACAGTAATAGAAGGTGCAAATATTGCTTCATTGTTGCGATATTTAACATTAGAATTGAATTAAACCACATTTCAGTGGTTGTTATCCTTCCGTAGATATGAAAATTAAGAATATCTTAAGGACTACAGTAAACATACATAAATAACGGCGACGTAACGCGCTACCGGTCAATTGTATTGAAAAGTCGCTAATCTAGATCTGTCAGTATCAATACCAATCTATTAATCCTTACTCGTTTTTGCTCGTAAGTGGATTATCCGTTGCTACTACATAGCGCTGTATATGCTGATAGAGATTGCATGTCCGATTTCCTAAGCGGTGAATTTTTGGCTGTAAAATGCGCGTGACCTGTGATACTAATAGTAACCTGAAAGTCAATATCAGTGACTTTGATTGAAATACGTAGTTAAACTCTTGTAATGTACAATTTTTTAAGCGTATATGCATTTACTATTATTTTTAGGTAAATTAGTCATTTCAAAATCTCTCATTATCGATTCGCACCTCGCAAACTTGCTTTGTACGGCATACTATTACATATATATATTTGTGACTATCTACCGTAATAACTTAGTATTTTTCACAGTTTAGGCGCTTCATTACGCTGAATAAAAATAGCATTAATAATTTAGTCTTGTAGATTCATTTTTATTAAATCATTAAGATGTAGCATCGCTTTTCACAGGCTACTAGTCATGGAGAAGGAATTTATATAACTTAAATTTATCTCAGATTAAGATTTTGGAGGCGTTTCTGAAGATTATGATGCTATACTAGGGGGATGTTACCAGCATCTGTACCCCTATATATAGCGGATATCCAAACTCTTGATTTATATGTGCGACTGTTATTTCCTAAAATTGTGATATAAAGTAAAAATGTAATGTCATCTTTTTGGAATAAATATAGATATACAGAATATAGAAAAAAATATACCTCATCGGGATGCAAAGTAATGTACAAAATGTCCGTAGAGGTTTCATGATTTATCTGGCAGTCCTTGCCGTAATTTATTATTATAAATCTATAAAATTGAGCCCCGTTAAGGGAATCAGCATGACTTTAAGCGGTTAGAAATATCTCAAATGAATTTATAATACGTTGAAAGTTTACTTTGTCATTATACATCGAGAGTTTTCGAGACTTAATGACATAGCAACATCATGTTCTGATATGTTTCTCTTCAAAGATATTCTCTTCGGCGATCTAAAGTTTTATAATGGTATATAAGGAGTGAATGTAAGTACGCATATTTAAATCAAGAATTAATGGTTACAATTTACATGAAACATGCAAAAATTCATTGGCATACTTATAGTAATTTATAATGATGTCTATTCCAAATCGAAAGCCAATCCACCGCCAGTGGTGCTAAACAAATGTAAAGATTACACTTTAGTAGAACTAAAACTGGGCGGATCAATTAAGCTAGGGAATTTAACTGGCTAATAGTAAAAAGGGCGCTGGACTGTTATTTATGGTGGATTCTAACGTTGCAATCCACTTCTATCATGCGACCCAGCCTAATGCAATTATTGTAAAATTGTTTTTCACAGCAAGATGTTGGACTGAAAAAGTTAATACGTAAAGAAAAATATTTAGCATAACGCCAGTCTAGGATACAATAGTTATGATATACTATGAAGTACCGAGTAAGCACTCTGTCTTCACGAACTACAATTAGCTCGGTACTATAAGATAATTATAATACGAGAATATGCAATCTTACCCGAAATCATCACCTTCCTCAACAGCTAGCAGGGTTCTCCATTCCTGACGATAAATAGGTAATAGCCAATCTATAAATATTAAGACTATTTCACTTATCTGTGTTGTAAATAAACGGACTATCTAAATGTGCAAAAAAATCTATCATTTATTATTCATGCACATCAAAGCTACGTTTTGCGACTTTTTAGGAATAAGTGTTACCTTGAGAAATAATACGATCTTTCTCGATTTGTCTAGCAATCTTAGTATCGGTTATAATATGGTTAAACTTTAATTGGCGAAAAGCTAACGAAAATACTTTTCCTTCCTCTGTTACTAAGAAATTTGTGGAACCTGTACGCTCATAAAATGTATATTATAATTTTTAAATTAAATCTAAAATTGAGGAAAATACTAAATATACTAGTATATAGTTTTTATAGGAATAGAGATATTACCAGTATGATCTTCATAGTAAGATTGCATATCGTTCAAGACATATTTAAAAGCTTCGCAAAGAGAAACGTGTTCGTGATTCTTGCACCATGTAGGGTGTAATCTCAAGTACATCCACTAGTAAGAAGAATCAGTGAAGACTAATAACTTTATAATCAGGTCACAGAATATACGCTCGTAAGTACTATAATTTGGACATTTTTAACTTTACCCTCTTTAACATCGCATATACATCCATTTCCACCTGCAGCACAAGCAAAGATGGAGAGCTTACAATTTTTTCCATTAGATTTACACTAATAAAGGTCATATATAGAGAATAATAAGTATTTGTTGTGAAATTGTTTGCAGAGCTGATACAGTAATAAGTTGAACTTGAAATTCATACTCTATAGACTGCAGCAGCATCAAGTCGTATCGTTTGATAGTCAGCAGTCGCAGTGCAAGCCAGTCCATGCACCTAAATTTAAATATCATTAAATACCAATGGCCATTACAGTATATTTTTGGACATACAAGGCGATCTCTATGTTCAATCTTAAAGTTACAATGATAATTGCACTACCGATTGGATACTTCTAGTAAACCATATGCAGAAGCAGCTTCTCTGAAAGTGCGTTCATTTTCTTCGCTAAACAAATCGAAGAACATCTCTTGTTAATAAAGTGAGAAGTTGCATAAATTCTCTTCGACTGTCATGTTAACCTTATAGTAGCGATCATCACGTCGGTGCAACGTTTAATTAAATTATCCTAAGATTGAAACAGAAAAAGGGGAATAAGCAGGTTATGATATGGTAATTTTACTATTTCACCATTGGAAATGTGTTAAAGCTGATACTGTAAGAATATCTCACTATCTGAAGCATTGTTGCTACAGCTACAATGGAAATAGCTTCCGAAGATTTAATTTCGGTGTCGTCATCATACAGACTAGCAAAAGCCGTATTAATAGCTATGGGAATAGAATAATAAAAATTCGTAAATACTTTACGATCAGGTAGAAGGTAAGTTATAGAATTAGATGGTAATATGGTTGGCGATGCTGTTTGTTTACGTATCACTATTATTGTATCTTTGAAAAGTGTAGATTATTACATGAAGTAGCTTACCATTGACAGTAATGTTCTTATCGATCATTTCAATCTTTACGTACGTAGCCTTTGACTCCTGCCAAAATCCGCTGAACATAGACTTAAAATAGCCAGCCTGCAGTATCGTATTATCCACAATCAGTTACGTATGATGTGTAATAGTAATATCGCTAGTTTATGCACTAAAAAAGATGCTATATCATCAGCAAGCAAATTGCTATAGTATTAATGATACTGTAATACTACTACTGTAGTTCATTACGGTAAGGAAAGAATAATTCTAAATCGATTGCTCTAACAGTTTTGATGGGCTCAAATCTATACTATTGACGAATTTAGTTTTGAGATCTAGATAATATTACTATTAATACATACTACCATAGCAATTATATCAAGTTGAGTTATCGTTTCTCACAAGACAGCGCGTACTCTATGTATATAGTACCTAGAGATCCAAAAGATCCCCTTTTCAATAATACTCGTATTATTATAATCATAAATTTTAATGTCCAGCTAAAGGTATTTTAAAACTAATCCATGGAACCCCTAAGTAACTGCTTCATCGTATCCATCGCCATCTACTTCTGCGACGGTATAATTATAAATTAATTAAAATTTTGTATTCGATTGAATCTAAAGATGTGCACAAATTTGCAAAGTAGATCACTTATTATTATTAAATCAATACCAAGAGCACGATAGTCGGTTAACGTACTCGTATTAAGCAGATTTTATGCATCTTCCACTTGTAACCTATGATGAAAAAGAATATAATTATTATTGGAATTTTTTGGCTTATACGTAAAGTCATAGTTAGACCAATGTACTGTATGATCAACCATGGTATTTTACTCTATAGAACAGTATGGTAAAGGTTGGGGTATATCACTTCTAGTGAAATTTCAAAATCTGCATAGATTCCAAATTTTTCGATATTACGTAATGCAAAACATTCAATACAACGTAAGGACTAAGGAGGTAAAAAAAAATTCCCTTTCAATCGGTAAATATAATAGAAGATCAAGTTGTGTTTACACTTGTATTCTTCGAGATTAATGATAGATAATGTATAAAAAATCATCACAAATTTGAAATTTAAATTGCTTCATAAATACTGATGGTTGATGCTAGCCGGCTTGTATCAAATTTTTATGTTAATTACTACTGCAGTACTGTATTATGCAAGATCACGCTCTGTTTACCTATTTTACAAATTCTTACAGATTAACGATAGATGTTGTATGAAAAAATCATCACAAATTAGAAACTTTAGTAACTTTATAAACACTGATGGCAGATACCTGATTCTATCAGATTTTTATATTCATGACTACCGTACCTAGTGCTTCAATGGTAGTATCGCCATTTTCATCATTGAAAAATAATTTACTAAGAGTATACTGATGATATATTGCTTCATCGTTTCTTTGCCTAATAGGACGTTGGTAAATAAGGTTAATATGGAAATATACTATAAATCGTTATTACTTCATAGATGACAACTATAGCCTTGTACCTACAGTATAAGAGCTTTTCTAACGTCTATGATTTTAAAGCAGTAGAGTAGATATACAAATATTGGTAGAAGCTACTGCGAGGAATATTCAGCAATCGATGATACCGCTAGTCTAACCCGATAGAGGTGAAAAACTTCCACGATTACATGTCACCTTTTAGTACAGGCTTGCAAACTATCTGTAGCGTCTTCAGTATCTTCATTTTGGTTTATCGTGCGTTTTCGTTTGTTTTGGGGGCGCTTAAACTGCACACTGTGATCATAATTGGAATCTTCAGTGAGCTCTTTTCTGAAGAAGTAGTTGCCCATACTGCAATTCGCTGCAAACCATTGCCCTTTTCAGCGTTGATGGAAATCTTCTTTCCCTGCTTAGCGCCCACTTCCAGCTTCCAGAATTAGACACTTGGCTCGGACAGCCGGACATTGCGGTCCAATACTTGGTTACTGTATCCACGTACTTGGTTATAATGTTATTATTATATGAAAGCAAAGCTCGATTCTGGAATTCATTTATTTTTCTCAATTAAGTCATATTACACATTGAATGCTATTGTATTTTTGCTAAGTTCTACTTGAAAGTAGTTATGCAGCTTAATATTCATGTTTTTGAATTAATAGAAATGAGTAAAGAAAAATCGACGCAGAAGATCCATACAAAGTAAGTCGTTTTTCTTTTAGGCCTCATTCTGTCTATTGTAGCAAAGTCCGTCCATCCGTAGCGCCTCTACTGCAGTGAACCTCAAGGCTGACTACGAGAAGAAAATCAGTAACCTTGTAGCAGTCGTATGATGAGTGTGTACACTGTACCCTATGGACTGTACGAGTACTACAGTGTACAATACAAGAGGTCCTCTGCAAAATTCGCCGAGCTTACAGAGTTATAGTAGTCCCTATCCCGTTGACATCTGCAATATTTATATATATATTCGTACTTTAATTGAGCAAGTTGTGTTTTATAGCTTTCGCCTTCTAATAAGGATTTAGAGAGAAAAATGAAAAAGATGTTATTAAACGAAGATACCATTCGTTCACTCCGAGTAGCTAAAATTTTCCGAGAAAATAATGATAAAATAAATGCAGCTGATTTTTCGAAGAATGGAGAGTTACTTATATGTAGCAGTCAAGATGATTCTATTGTAATTTATGATTGTTTGAAGGGAACGTAAGTACTATATACTCGACTTTAAAAAAAATAGTCAAGTAATGTGTAGCATTAAGGCCAAATTATGCACTGGTGTGAGCTATAGTAATTACTGTCGATTGAATTAACACTACAGCATTAAATGCTATCTAGTTACTACAACTATCGATAATGGAGTAGTCAGCTGAATTAGAGTAATTAATGAATTATCCATAGATTGTACAGTACTTTAAAGGCAAGTAGATGCAGTGATAATAGCCAAATTTACATCACTTTACCATAAATACAAGTAGTGTATGACGAACATAGCATTACTAACTGATTTACTGCAGTACTCTTCGTCGTATTCATTAAATACAATAACTAACTGTGAGTGAAATTCTGTCTTTGGATATTTTATAATCGTACAAAGAACTAAAAGAACTATCTATAGCAAAAAGTATGGTGTGGATCATATACAGTTCACTCACGCGCCGAATACCGTAATCCACTCCTCATCAAAGGTTGATGGTAAGGAAATGAACAATATGATTTATATCTCGAATATAGTGCTGCGCATAATTATACAGCAGAAAAAGCTAACCCTTCGTTCATACGACCAAGTTTTAAGTTCTGTATACGTATATGGACACGGACGAGAATACAGTAAATTGATTATCTAACGATCTGAGTTATGGCACAGCTATAGGATGAGATACCATTTAATCTATTAATGATACAGTACATAAACTCAATTGACAGTATAGCATGGAATGCAATGCAACATCTAAACTAAACTAGAATTCGGGCTGTTACCATGGACAGTCCTGATGGACTACTTTTTATTGTAGTCCATTCTATAACTGATGCTATACAGTGGACTGGATCTATACAGTGTACTTGTACGCGTAATACGAATATGATGAGTAACAATTCCATACAATAATAAAATGAAATTACATATGCTTTTAATTTCTACACTGTAGATTAGAAAACTTCCAAATCAGTAAACTTACAGTAGTATACTAGTATTTATATTAAAATTATAAGACTAATATTCCTTTTTTACATAAAAATCTACTTAATCTACTTACTTACTTACGTTCGTATACTAGTAGTTTTATATTATTTATCCTAGATCAAATAGAATTATGTTCTAAAATGACTTCATATTGTATTTATATTTCAGATACTATTCGATATTTGTCATTGCATGACAATAAATATTTACGCTATTTTAATGGTCACACAAAGAGGTAATGTTAAAAGTGTTCGCATTAATTGTGTATATAACTGACTTTAAAATGAATCACCTACCCAAAGATTAGATATTTAATCTCGAACATTTACGCGTGTTTAATAATGCAGCATCGTTCTTTGGATAATTAACCAGAAAATCTAGATCGCTTAATTTTCTTACCTGCGAATTATTATAACGTTCATATAATATTTTTCAAAAACATAATATTTTATCTTAATTGAATAAATTATACTGCTTAGTTTCTCAATGAATTCTACGGAGTAATGATAAACAAAACTACTAAAAGCAATGGTGAAAGATAATTATAGCCAAACTGTTTCTCAACTGCGGTGTAAAGGAGTGATAGTTATAGTGTTATAATCAACGTTGTTTTGGTAGTGATATTTTAAGATTAATGTACTAGTAAGCTAGATCGTCTCACAGTTTTGTTCACAAATGACTTGTTCTCCTTCTGCTAGAGTTGTATCACTTAATATGTCACCTACAGAAGATAAATTCATTTCGACGTCGCTAGATCATACTGTACGACTATGGGATTTAAGATCGCCTAATTGTCAAGGGCTAATGCATGCTAATGGAAGAGCCATAGCGTCTTTTGATCCAGATGGACTAATATTCGCCGTAGGTATCAATTCTCAGCAAGTAAAGCTATACGATGTCCGATCATTTGATAAGGTATACGGCAGAATGTCATAGTGTTTAGTAACGATAAAATTTTACGTATACGCCTTAGAGCGAACTCATTAGTAGTAGTATGAGATCATATTAATTAATTATAGTACTTGCTTATTTGCATCACATATAGGGACCATTTTCTACATTTCAACTGTCAGAGGAACATCTTCGTGATTGGACCGGGCTAAAGTTCAGTGGCGACGGCAAAATGATCTTAATTTATAGTAACGGAAATTTTATTCAACTACTCGATTCTTTCAATGGAGACGAGCTACGAAATTTTAGTGTACATATTTTTTATATGTGATTAAACTATTTTTACAATAATATTTTTACTCTTATGTTGTTAAGGATTTATGATGGGATTGTAACCGTACTTGTGGTGAATGTATGTACATCGCTAAATTTATTACATTCGACTTATGTAGATACCAGGTAATCCTAGAGCTGTTTCCTTAGAAGCTTCTTTTACCCCGGATTCACAATTTATCTTATCAGGTTAGCTGAACTTAAGGTTTCAAACATTCGATGTAAAATATTGTTATTTATGCATCATTATCTACTGGATGAATCATTAAGATCCTAATTTTCGTATTCGGTTTGTTGTTTGAGATTCATGACAAATGTCGTACCACAGAGACATAAAAACCTATACGGGTCATACAGTTTATTTCATGTTCGGTAGCTTCGCGAAGTTATTTTAAAATTACGATAGTTTTCATTAGGTTTTATACATGGGAGAGTATTAATTCGAGTAGACTGTGCTTTAAGTGATAGATATAGTTAAATGTTAGATATTCTTATTTTGTATAGGCTCAGCTGATGGTCAAGTTCATATATGGAATACAGATACTGGCGATAAAGTTGCTGTTTTACAGGGACATCATCCTAGTGCTGTACAGTGCATTAAGTTTAATCCGAAGTATATGATGATGATAAGCGCATGTACTAATACGGTGCGTGCAAGGATTGATTAACTCTAAAAACTTAGCCGACTTAAACTATCAATCAACTAAAATAGCATTCCTATATACTGAATTACTTTTAACAATTTAGCAGCTATAAATCTTTAATTTATAATTTGTACAGGCTATTTGGATAACGGAGAGCAATGAAGAAGGGTAGTTCATCTTTTATCACGATAATAACTCCTTTTAAGTCATTAAAGCTAGTAGTGTAAACTTTTCTGTTTAAATAATATTTATTAGCATTTTTACAAATTATTCTCTACTCATGTTTACATTAATTAAAATAACCAGTTTGTAACAGTTATTTGGACTGCTTACAATACGTTATTATACTACGCTATTTTTGTTGATATCATTACCTTTTATTCTTGAATGGTTGTTACGCTATTGCGCATATCTTTTCAAGTGTTGTTTTATAATTTGTAAAGACATACATTCGTTTCATTTAGCATTAGTAATTAATCCGCTGAACATTGCAATATGTGTGGACTATTAGCGCGACAAAGTTCTGAAATTCTTTTATTATCAACAGAAGAAGAGTTATGACTTGAGACTCGATTGTATTTAATGCAATGGTGACCAAATACATTATGATAAAAGTACAATGTACGACGTAAAGTACAGATTCTTGTGTTAATGACATATAGTCAAACCGTAGAGTGAAATAAGTAATGTTATAGAAATCTTGGGATCGTTATCCCATCATAATTCACCCGGTAGCTCAATTGGCAATGTAGACATTTTACACAGTTTCTTGAATTTCTCCATTCGCAAAGCCATTTAAGTTAATTATTTTACAAAATTCAAATTTGTGAGGAGAAAGTATACAGTTTACGCAATTATTTCACATATTATCTAGACAAAGATTGAATGATATCCAATCTTTAGAAGTGACTTTAGACTCAATAAAATTAGACACCGTTGGAATGGATATTTCTAATGAATTTAAGACAATATAACAATAGTCCTAAGGAAATGGTGATTGTAAAATTCTGATATTTACTATAATTAATTATTTGGATGCAACAACCGTGACATCATTTATTTAACGTTAGTATGCTATCAGAGGATGACGAATTAGCAGCAATATTGCTATATTGACAGTAAGTACGATGTTAAAATTTTGTAACGTTGTAATAGGCGATAGACGGAAATGTATAGTACACTTTCATAGTAATGAATATATAAAGATTCCGGTACATCCATGCATGCAAATATTTCCATATCGTTAATTTACGATATTTGCATGTGCCAAATAATAGATGTTGACAAATTCATACGCAGTTGAGCCTGAACGCAAAATTAACTGCTTTCGTATTGAAATTATTTACGTCTTCCGTATTAGATTCTTAAATTTACTCATTGATTCTGAAAGAGAATTATTTCCATTCGGTTAAAACAGTTACTGTAAGTAATAGATTCATTTAAATCATTCAAAGAGGGCTTACAATCTGCTATCGTTTCGATCACTGCCAACAATAACTACTTACTAAGATTGTGAAGAAATTGGCCTATCTGGAGAATCCATCTGAGAAAGAACTTTATCCAACCAATGTAAAGGACCGTTTAATCTAATTTCTATCCAACAAGGAGTGCTGGTAACAGTTTGACGTTTATACTGAGCGCCCCAACCCTTAACAAAGCTCATACGGATAATACACATATGAGAAAGGTGGTAAACGGCTTCATAACCTTGTGTCACCGACTGAGAAAGAAGATTAGCAAATTCTTGGCTATTAAATATTCTTAAAGAGCTTCCAGGAGGTATTTTACAAACAGCTGCCGGATGCCAACCGTAGCGTCTATTTGAATTCGGGCTTTGAACGAAAACTGCATGCTTACTACAGCACTCTGCGAAGACTTCACCATGAACGTAACATAAACGGACACCTTTACCTATAGTACATACATAATCATTCAAATATAAAGCTGAGCAAGATTTGTACCAAACAATCAGTGTAATATAGCCTTTTAAATACGTAAAATATAATAATTACAGCTAAAATAAGGTAAAAGCAACTATTTGGTGAAATCTTGTAAATTAATATTTTAGTGTATTTAATTACCAATTTCTCGTCTAGTCATTTCGACGGTAGGATCGCGATTTACATTCGACAGCAGCCCTAAACAGAATCGCTCAGAATTTGAAGGATCTGTAAATCCATCTATTATAAGCGTTGGCTGGAAGGCATTCCAATATTCACCAATTCGCGTATTTAGTTCATAGTATGCAATTGAACACCAGTTTTCAGGCTCTGTGTAAGTTACTAACTGAGCATCTTTTATAAATCAATCAGAATAAAGAATCTCAATTTGGAATTAACGTCATAACAAACCTACAATAGAACCTTTGTAAAAATTTCTGCATAATTGTAAAATGTTACCATTCTATCGATAAGTGCGGTATACTACACAATTTGACATTAATCTTACCCGTTAAGGCTAAATCAGCGGACAACTCCGAGCAGTCATCTATAACAATATCAAGTATCTTAATAAGATAACTGATCGATTTTGATTCAGTTTAATTTCTTTACTTCGATACTATGTTCTTAACAATAAAAGTACTTTGAGCGAAACAGGTAATACTGTACTAGTATTGTAAGCAATAACCATTAACCAGAATGTAAAGGGTATAATTCTGTATAATCTTTGTATGTTACCTATAAAGCTATGGTCCATATAAGAGCTTGAACTATCTTGTGAAGCTGGGTAACTTGGAGGTGGGCTGTCTATAATTGATTATAAAACATGGAAGGAAAAATTATGAAATGTACCGAAAGAGAAGGCATCGTTGCACCGCAATGCAACTGCTATGATGTATCTGGAGTAGATTTAGTTGTAATCTTACTAAATGGGTACAGTAGTTGATGGCGTAGAAAAGATTACTATCAGTTAATAATCGACTGGTAGATAAAATATTATAATAACCCTAACATTCGCTACTTCTATGTAATGATTGAAGGATAATAATCATGAAATCAAATATATTTACCTTCGGCATGAAATCTATCTAAATCGGGTGTATATGTTTCGTTATTCGGTACAACATCCAAGTTAACACTGAAAGGAGCTACGGTATTATCTTGCATAGCAGCAGGTGTTACCTTTGGTACAAGGACAGGGCGTAATGCTAAATTGAAAACAAAACATATCCTATGAAATTCTAATTTTAATGTTACTTTTAAAATCCTTCTTTCTGTTGCTTTATTATTTCTCTCTAAATTTACATTATCAATAATTGATTAATATATCATTTCTATAAATTGGTATGAACTGTAGTGTGAATACATTCAATTCCCTCTGCAATTCGAAATTGGATCCTTTTTATTTGTGCCTATTACTGTATCATGTTCAAAATTGCAGATTCCAGTTTATTTGAAATTATCAAAAATGACAATTATACACAACAGTAAGACGAGTCGAACCAGGCACGTTCTATAGCGTGCGAATGAGAGTGTTCTAATAACAAAGTGGTAGATTATAAACAGTCAGTTTGCCAATACAAGACATCCAACTCATGATACGTACTTTGCATTAAAATTGAATAAAATAGTTCACTTGATGTATACTACTGTACTTAACTGTACTGTCCTATTGCTACAGAAAGAAGTTAATGACTGTGGTTAATCATTCTTTACTTTGTAGAAATGATCATCCTTAACGATATTTCAGTCACGTATTGCAGCACTAAAACTGCGGTACAGATGCCGAAATTCCCTTATTTGTTCAGTCTGGTCCATAGAGTGCTAACTTACCTGTTACTCAGTATGCTTTGGTCTACTGCACAATACACTACAGTACAATGCACTGTAATGTACAGTACTGTATACTGTACTGCATTGGGAATTGGAAGCACTGGCTTCAGTGCGCATCATCATAACAGATCCTATACAGTATGTGTACAGGACACAGTCCATACAGTAGATAATAATTACAAAAATAAAAATAATAGAATAAAAATACAGTGAAATAAAATAAAAAGAAAACGCCGAAGCGTGATTGCTAAATGGCTGCCAGTCGTACAGTATATTATATTATATAATATACTTGATAATCTATCACAGTATGGTATACTGGTAGAGAGAAGCTTCTTTACAGTCGAAAGTTTGGAAAGGAGCGACAATTTAGATAAAGATAAAACAAGAATACAGTAAAATAGCGCAAGATACTGTCTGTAGTGGTGAGAAAAAAGACGAGGGCATGTCTATAACGCAGTATGTTATCTTGTTGTTATTGTCTATGGGTACTTACCGGGTGTTTCCACCCTTTGGTAATGATATGGATTGACGCAGACTTCATCCTTTTTCAAAGTGAAAGCATATTCGCATGTCTCAATAGCTCTTAACTCATAGCAGCTCTGCAGATCGGGCCAACGCCATAATCGACAGTAGATAACATGGGGTAGACCCTTCTTCTGACATACTTGCAATCGTCCATCTAAACTACGCCTTATACGAATACACTTCGTAGCAGAAGATTGCGTCGATATAGCATTGAGTAATTCATTGAGGCCGCCGTTACGTTTTAATTTCTTGACTAACGACTTTATAGCTTTTTCCGACCATTTATCCTCTTTATCAGCCTTGATCCAACCTAACAGTTCCTTGACAACTGATGGCATGGTGATCATATCCATGAATCTCGACATCGTGGTTCCAATTTTTATGGATCTATCTATTTGATCTGCTCTTACCCTCGACGGTATTCAGTTGATTGTTTTGCAGGTAAAGTGTCTGGATGAAGTCTTTACTTGTATATTGAACTGGGTCGGTAGGAATCAGTAACAATTCTGAAGTTCTCTCTCAAATGATACAGAATTTGTTGTGTGGTGGTAAACTACGCTGATCATTACTAATGATCGCCAGCGAATATCCGCGAGATAACTTTGCTTTTCAGTTTAATTAAAAGATCTCCTTTAAGGGTATGACAACAGAAAAAAATTGTGACGGAAGGATGACGGGCGTATCGATTTTATTTATTTACAGTACCTTAACATACAGTACTAGTACTCTACTTTACAGTACAGTACAGTACTGTACTGTAGGGGGCATGAACTTTTCTTGTAGTGTACTGTACAGTACAGTAACGGTACAGTCCTGTCCTGTACAGTGTACAGTGTACAGTCCATGGCCAAGTTGACAGGACTGTACAGCACTATACTGTACACTGTAAGATAAAAGAAAAAAAAAAAGCTTTATACTACCGTATACTGTTGCTATGACATATAGTGTACTGTACTGTATGGGCTGAATCATGCGCTGACCCTAACATCACCGACTAATTTGAGAGGAATGAAAGCAGCACGAGTGCACCCACACGCACGCACTGCAGAGCAGTGAGACAGACGGACTACCGTAGTGACTCGATGAGGACTCGGTTCAGCGATAGGTTTTGATGAGGGTTTATTTACTAATCTATCTGCAACGGATTTTTATATTAGCGCAGACAATTATTATTCAGCCACATCGAAAAAAGGCATTTATGCTTTTACGACGACTTTCATCATCCGGTCCTCTTCATCATCGTTAAATTAAGTTAAAGATGCAAAAAAACTTTAGAATGATTGCTGCAATGACCCGTGACCGTGGTATCGGATATAAGAATGATTTGCCATGGAAACTTCGGTTCGTATGACCTTTAATTTAATTTAAAATGGTGTTAAGACTTCAGGCCAATCTGCACACTGCTTTATACGAGTATGTAATCGTTCATAAATTATCTTATAACGAAAGCATACAACACAAGAGATAGAAAAGGGAATGATGTGTTACTAAGTGACTGTCAGACACGTAATATAATTTACAGATTGATAACATGTTATCGACTTGTCGTCTACACTCTATGCACATATCAGACAAACTACATATTCTACTCTACAGTGCAGTGCAAATTAGTTTTAATTTTAATGTTGCAATTTAAACGTCCAAGTACATCGTAAATAATAAAATAGATAATCCCAAATAATTCTCAACATTTAGATAATTGACTAGGTCTTAAAGTAGAAATAAATATAAATATAACTGCACTGTACAGTAGAGTGTTGACCTTTAGCTTTAAAGATACGACTCATTGCTCATAAAACAAAATATATTCCAGCTATGCGAGTATAAATTCTCGAATTTGTACGTGCTTTAATTAAAAATTGGACGTTAGTCTTTGTAACCACTTTGTGGCCTTGAGATATCGCTATTCACCAAGAAATCGATATCACTGAACACTGATATAACTGTCCATGCAAGAACAGTCGAAGCACATAGTAATAATAATTACTATGTACTTTGCCATCCAAAAATTGGAAACGAAAATAAACACATTGTACAGTATATTTATATACTCGTATAAATATACAGCATGCAGCGAAAGTGAACCGTACGCGTATAATTAATTAATAATTAGAATCAATATGCCGTATGGCTTATACTGTACTGTGGTAAAGATTGATTTATGCTACATAGTTTGTTCACAGAATTTATGGCATTTAATATTGGTATTTTCGTCTCTGGGCTATTCGCCATGACAATAACGATCATACTATAATTAATTCAAAGCATAATTTGCTAGTAAAGATCTATGCGTGAATTTTGGTGCTACCAGATTAGAACATCCAACTTCGTACGGATGACAGTCACCTGTTAGTCCTTGATGATCCATCTAAGTAGTACTCGCACTAGCTTAAATTTTAGCGAGCATAATGTAAAATAATATACTGATTGCATATATTAATCTAACGCTTCAAGATATAGCTTTGCAGGTAATCAAATTCATTACTACGATGCGGTATATCCTTAAATTATATTATTCACAGAGGATGACTCCCAAGTATTTTTTATATCTATGGTATTATGAATAAAGTACAGAGGTGGATACCTAGATGCATTAGTTTGATGTGATTCACTCGGTATTTAAATGAAGTTCGGTATATGAAGAATTGAAAGAGAATATGTAGTTAGTAGTTGCAGTGGTTACTTTCCCTGAAAGATTTTACTGCAGTATTATTAAAAGCGAGATGAAGGATTAAGTTTACAAAAAGGTCAATAGATTTGATTCTTTACAGTAGATACGTCGGTATAAAATATAGCATATGATAAAGCTAGGTTAGGAAGAATTATTCTTACAAATTATATATGTTAATCATCAAATACTGGGACGAAATCTTCCCTAGTAACTTATTCTTTAACTTGTACTAGGAATCTATTCTCATTAAGTCCCAATAATTTATAATGTATGCTATTTTCTACCGTAGATTCAATGATTACTAGTCATTAATTTACTTATAATTTTAAGAACTATTTGACTATTGTACTAGCGATTAGATTGCTATTGAATAGTTATATAGATTTATAAGTTATTACCCTCTTCCTGAATTGGTACACGTATGTGCATGCAGCTTTAAATATCCCTTAAGGTTAATGGCTAGTCTTATAAGACCGACCAACAGTATCTCATCTTCATCTTACTTATTATGGTATCTCCTTTTATTTTAGAAACGAATATAAATACTTCGCTCGCTTAACAACGTCGACCAAAGATTCAGGTTAGGAGAATCGTTGCTATAGTCATGCTAAAAGCTCCGGAGTACGATTTTGGTTTAATATTTTAGTTATAATTTGCGCTAATCGTTACATAAAGATATAATACAATGATGCATATTATTCTTGCTCTAAAGAAAAATGTCATACATTTGCAATGCTCTGGGTATTCAAGCTTACTGTATGTATGTGGAAACTACAATATTAAATAATTTGAAATGTTAATGGCATTGTAGATGTAATTAAATTTTATAGTTTGGAATAACAGGCTGAAATTAGATTTAAAATGTTCGAAATTTCATTTCTAATTAGATAACTCACTAGATAATGGCGAGATTACTTACTGTGTTCAGTTATGCATCGTACAAGAACATAGCTGCGTATTTGATGTGTACTGTACAGTAAATCATCATTATCTCAAATATTTTCACTTATCTCATTTTGAAGATATATCGATCAATTAAATATCAGCGATAAATTTTTTGTCCACCGCAGCCAAGAAAAATGCTGTTTTGATGGGACGTAATACATGGGTTAGCATTCCAGAGAAAAATCGACCTCTACGGAATAGAATTAATATAGTTATTAGCTCGCAACTTCGGTAAGCTATTATGATATGGTAACAGAATAAGTTATACGGATCTGATAGTATTATGGTTACTAGCTTTATAAGGAACTAGAAAATAGCAATTACTAAAATATTTTTAATCGTTGAGTGCGGCACTAGAACTGTAATATCATATGACTATTATTTAATTTGATATTCCAATACGTAACGCGGGCTAATGATAGAGCTGAAGAGGTCCCGGAAGGTGTACATGTAGTAGCATCTATACCAGAAGTGATAGAACTCGTTCAGAGTCCTTTATTGAAGGATATCGTGGAGACTGTATGGATTGTTGGTGGAGCACCTGTGTACAAGGTAAAGTATCGTGGTACAGTAAAATTAAATACTTCATATTTACGCTTGATATACTGTATGTCGTATATGATACTAAAAGCTTTTTTGTAGAAGAGTGCGGCTTATATTTTAACATTAATTGTTAATTAAACAATAATTCTTCCCTAATTTTTTTTAGGGTTTTATGTCACATCCACAATGTGATCGTATTTATTTAACAAAATTAGATGCAAACTACGAATGCGATGTATTTTTTCCCGAAATGTCCGACGATTTCAAAGAAATTAGGTAATTTAGATAAACATTTTATGATAGCCTAGCTAGTATAGCGTATTTTAATGATAAATATTGCTAATTTGCATTGTTAGCGAAAGAGCTACATCAAGTAAGCTCATCGTCTGTTAAATCTCTAATTACTGTACTACCAATTCGATACAGTTTATATTCTAGCTATTTAATTGAGAGGTTTGAATATAGTGAGATCAACTAATCAACCCTATTAGGTTCGTTGAAGTACCGTATAATGAACGTTAGTGCATTAAGACTAACAAAAAGTTACAATTAACTCAGTCACTGTACTTGTTATTAATCAGCTATTGATTTTTAGGACAGGATTTTAATTCACGAAGACATTAACTAAGCTAAAATTTTTCAATTGTAGTGATCCAGATGTGTCACAAGAGGTACAAGAAGAAAATGGTTTAAAGTACACTTTTCATGTCTACCAGAGGAACTAAAACGGGGTGCATTCGTTGCTAAGTCAACAATTTGACGAATAGTGCCACGTTACAGAATGAACTGAAACTTAATACAACTGTTGCCATCATTAATGTGTTAAGTTACAATGTATCAACAATCAGACATTTTGTTCATTTAAGTTATAGAAATACAGTAAGGTTACTTAATTAAATAAGTAACATACTTATCAAATGTTGTGTAATAACTTAACAATCCACGTATAATAAGTATAGTCAATGTTTCACACATAAACGAATATTAACATTAATGGCCAGCTATTTTATTAAAAATCTTGTTCAGTACACCAGTAATTGGTTCTGTCATGGTGTACAACATCCAATTATAATTATAGTTACGCATTCAATGAGCATATCATCAACATAGAGTTCAACGTATTGAGACTGTTATCGCGTCTAACAACTATGAGTATTATTGCTATCTTTAAGGCAAATGAAAGTATACAAGCATTTTAACTATTCTGATAAATTGAGTATACTAATTCTAATATTTAAAGCAATTTGGAATCAGGAGGAAGTTCCAAAATTAGTTTCTGAATATCTTTAAATTTTGCATTCTTTGAATCTCCAATTAAACCGAGCAACACCGATTCGTAAGTCGTGATGAAAATGCCGGATTGCCGCATGCGCTATTGATTAAATTATTTATTTCATTAATAGTAAAATTTAGTTATTAAATCAATATTCAAAGAGCTGAATATTATACAATCAATAAGTTAATGCAGGTACATTAGTTTATGATTACCTCAATTGCAAATAATCTGTCCACCCTGCTACGTGAAGATATAGCGTCAGCTATGACATAAACATTATACCCTTTCTGACGTAAATCCAAAGCAGTTTGTAGTACACAGACGTGCGCCTAATTTAAGAATATGGGTAAATAAATAAGATCATTAATACGATCATGGAAATAAGTCTGCAGTGTAAAGAAACAAGCGTAACTACAAGGACAATCTTGCTAGGGCTGAATCAACAGCATCGAATGGTATTAACATTTTATTTTCAGTTTTGATTTGGCTTCAATCCTTCATCTTAAGCCGTATCTCGCAGCTATTGAAAAGACTACAATGACGAAGAAGTGAAAGAACATCTAGTTCTTTCCTAATAAGGACATGATTATTAGTGTTTCAAAGCAAACCTCAATGCCAAATAAAACAATTGATTTCCTATTAGTCGTGCTGATCTTCTCGTACACTTCCGGCACGACCATAGAGAACTTAGTCTTTTGTACGATAGGCAAAGAATGGTCATGTTGAAGGCATTCAGTTATATTCAACTCAGTGATTGTATTACCTAATCCTTCGTTTGATTTCATAGAAAAGTAAAATTAACTTCATTGCCGATTGGTAAATGTAACGGAAATGAACCTAAAAGCCTGCCCATTGATATTTTTCGCTATCCGATTTCAAATTTGACTTTGGTAAATCATTCAAATAAGATATTTTACCCTTTTACCATGACCAATTTAGTAATCATACCTTTGGGATACTGCAAAGAGTAACAATTATTAAAATCGTTCAAATCATACTTTTAATCACACTACTAAATGCTTCGGACGTATGCTGCATCTTTTTAGTACTACCAACAAGTATTGATATCTATTACGAAATAGTGGGCAGCAGAAATTGTAATGGATAAATTCATATTACTGTACGGCTAGAGGTTGTTTTAATTTACTGCTTGATGTATATATATATTTAAGGTTATAAGATAGGTTATGGATAAAATTTGAATTTGAATATACCTGTTCCGTTACGACCACAGGAATATTAAGAATTTTGGCTGCTTTAAGCTAGATCAGTATGATAATGAAATGGTGAAATTTAGCATTTTAACATTGACTAAGTCTATGCAAACTATGCTGAGCGTTTATAGGCTTTTAATTTTAATTTTATTTACATAAGCGATTATCCGGTTAATGCCCATGCCTATGCTGTATACAGTACTGCAGTTATTATACATTTATTATCATTCAGTTCGCTCGAGCTTAATTGACGTTGAAATCTGAGATGTCACCATGGCAAGCGAGAAGAGAACGTAACTACTAGTCTCGAGTAAGTTTATGTTGCTTGTACTAATCAGCATACGCGTAAAAACGCTATCGTCCTATCGTCTAAGATTGAGTACAGTTACAATCATCATGCAATAGTATTAATCCGATAACCTACTTACCAATCTATCAACAACGACAACAATTTCTTTAAACTGTGAAATGACTCCACGAAATTTTTCTTGCATGTCACAGCAAAAGAAATAAGTGTCGTCCATGGTTAATTTTCCAATATCAGACATCATGCAATACTCTAAGTAGTATAAAAATTCCGTTAATTAGAGCAAAGGGTTAGCTGCTATACCGCGGTCATCAATAATGATAGAAATACGATAAGGTAATTTACCTTTTTGACCGCTAAAGCAAATCACGCAATTACTGTATGCAGCAGGTTTACCTCTTTCAAGGTCCTTTTATTGTCTCAGGTGTTACAGTTTTAGGCTGGAAAGCCTACTTACTGTACAGTGTACAGTACAGTATTGTCTGTCAAGGATTCCTCTCTCTACTACAGTACAGTACAGTAGTACTGTACTGTAGTCTATGTGTTTGCACTGTACACTGTACACTGTACGGTAATGGTCCACGAACTACTAACTTCCGATGGCCCAAGAGGGTTACCTGCTGCTATGTGTGTAAATCCTGGGCAATCATACGAACTAAATCTTACCTAACTGTAGGTAGGATTTACCAGTCCACATTGCGCAGCATACAAAGTCCGCTGTAATCAAAACTTATTACTGACAGAGAGAGTTACGTAGACTTAACCCTCTATTTCCATCACTACGATGAAATCCACTTCTATTTTAGTATACTGTAATGTGCAGTATAACTCGAAATTAAATCTGCGCAGATCACATACAACTCCACATTCGTAAGATAGTCTTGTGCTTGCCTAAGTCAATGTGGCCTTTCATTTAATTACTGCAGTGATGCAGTTCAAAGAATACCAATAGGATTTAAGGTGTTAACGGTCTTTTGGATGTCCCAAACATTAATTAATTATCAGTCGACTATTTGAATTATCTCGAAAATTTTTGTTCTTCAATCATTGCTATCCACACATTCAGGAAATATTCAGAATCAGCTATATTACTAATGTAGTTGCAGCAATCGAGTTGGTATTGTGCTAATACAATTGTTATGTATGGAAGACTACAGTAACTTGTTGTACTGCACCTAACGTGTTAGCATAAGATAAAGGTGTAATACGTTATTACGGCTATACTATTTAAATGCAGTAAATCCTAAATAAGGGAGACTGTTAGTAAGCTTACTAGGAGGAGCGTATCAAAGTCCCTCGTGCTAACGTTCACGACTAAGAGTGGAAACACAACGGTAGTATTTACCGTTCGAAGTGCTAAATTACGATAGGTCAGCTGTTTGCCTGATCTGATACAGAAAATAAGACAGAATAGATTTACTAACGCAGTGATGGTTGTTGTATGTAATTCTGTTTGATCGCAGTTTACAAGTGTTGCAAAATATTTTGATAAAAAGTCTTTGATGATAGTTTCATACAAACTTTAAATTTGCATACTTACACGGAGATTTTTTCCCTTTTTAGAGAATCCAGCTTACACGAAGAGAAATTTCGTGAAGACTTTTAAGTACATTTAATTAATTTAGTTTTTTATGCCACTACGCGTGTTTTACAAATATACATAAAAAGTTTTATATTGATAATAAAAGTAGCTAAAACTTTATACAATGTTTTGCTTCAAATAGAACACTATATTGTATAATTGATTTCAGATTAAACATTATCACTACGGTTCTGCAGAGTAGATATAAAATTCTTTCGTTTATTAGCAATCCCTTATGCTAACTTTCAAAAAGAACGGTAATCGCTTTCTCAAATCTACAGATTATTTGTAGTGCTATAGAGTAGCAGCTCTAAAGCCTGAAATCTATTCTTTCAAGATTATATTAATTACTCTCGTATTTTTAATAATAATTTTATCATAGTAGTACCTCAATACTAAAATTTTATAATACTCGTAGTATAGCAACAGTTAATTTTGCTCACCATTATAATAATACAATTACCTTTCAGTAATAATGAATAGATGAAAAATAAGGTATATTAAATACCATTCAGTGAAGTTAGGCTCAGCTTTAGATTACTTAAAAATAAAAATATTCACAAGACTTCTAGGTTATGTAATCATGGTTAATTTCGCGTAGCGAAGGCGCTACTTCGCCTAATGCCAGCGCTAGAAATTCTAGATGTCCTATGCCGGTCATCTCTAGGATTACGCACACTCCGATCTCTGTTGGGGAACTGGTTAAAACCACTACGATTGTGGGCGGCATGCTTGTTTGTGCGCTCAGAGTGTGACATAAAAGAATTAGAATTTGAGGCAATACGGCCGCTGCTTCCGGGCCAATTGGCACGTCCTTCATCTCTATGTATGGCTTCTCGCTGGATCTTATATCTACTTCTTTCGTCACTAGTCGATCTAAAAGAATGATCCTTGTTAGGCTCACGGTCCCGGATACCAGAACTTCGTACTACACGAGCAGAGTTTCTGGACCCTGAATTTGGTCAAATTTAAATCATTAGAAAATTCATCCGCTGAGGGTAGACGAAATGTTTTATAACAATTTGACTGTAAGTAAGGATAAAGAATACTAGTCACCTTCCTTATTCCTATTATGAGTCGCAGACGTATCCGTCTGTAACAGACTTGAAAAACGCGTACTGTCGCGATCACTTGAACGCTCTGTTATTGGATGTGTATCAGTTGGATTATAGCTATGCTTTGACCGAGACATTCTACCATGATGGTTACTATCATGCCGTGATTCCAATCGAATTGGTGTATGTATCTGTCGTCGAGCTTAAAAGGGACAGTAGCGAATGTTAAATAGCTAGAATTATTCAGAGAAACATAACAGTTACTTTGTAGATAATTATAATAGCTACCCAATTTTTCTTCTGATGATGATGGCTTTCCCCAATCGTTTCTATGATGTACATGATATCGAACAACAGAGTGTCCATCGCGATGGGTACTATCTTTACTTCTTCTTTGTTGCAATTCTATCAGATATACGTAATTAGTCAGATAGAAGCGACATGAGATACGCATGCAATATATTTTATCAGACCAGATCCTAGGTTATTTCGGCGATAGCCAGCGTTAATGCTTCGAGCTGTATCTTTAGAGTGCTCGTACGTCCTTTCTCTTGCTAGTCTTTTAGCACCAGATACACCACTACTGCGATAATCAGGCGATTCTGCTGATCTTTTCAAACCATGCTGTTCATAACGGGAAGCTGATTCAGGATTAGGTCGACTGTGATGAACATCCCTTCTACGATTTTGATAGTCTCTAGGTCTATTTCTGTAACGATCCTCGTCTCGCATTACTCGAGCTTTATCCGATTGAAAACGATCTCTAACATGCAGATGCTCCTCCTTATTTTGTCTGCGCAACTTACTACTTCTGATTTCTTCTAAAGTAAGTACTTTACCATTTCTACGTATATTTTCGAAAAAATTAGATTAGATAGAAGATCAAAATAGTCAATAATTATTTTCTCACCTGCTCTGACTTCGAGGACTCGTGCCTTGTTTAACGTCAAGTGCTTCTTCGTTCGACCCTTTTCTAATGCCATCATTAGATTTAGATATGATATCTAAGTCACAATCATCGTAAGGAGACGAAAATTAAAATCAAAGATTTTGCTATCAAATTTATATTCTAAATGTGAACAATATAGCTCACTGGAGCGATTGGAATTCGAAAGTGTCTCATCTTCAGAAAGTTCTTTATTAAACCTAAATTTGGATTTACTTGCTTCTTGATCGCCTCTAACGACCTGAGCTTTAGATGTGTGATCACTCGTGGCCTGGCATGTTGGGTAATAGCAAGATCAATAAGATAACAGCTACTGTATTTAAAGTCAACCCAAACGGACAGATATCTAATATTTATGACATACCCATTCAATCGTGACAACGCTTCCACTTATATTGGTATTATTCAGACAAGCGATACATTCAGCAGCTTCTTTATGTCTTGCCATTTGTACATGCCCATAATACTTTGATTCAAGTGATTTCATACTTATAATAATTGTCGCACTTATTACCTGAATGAGTGATCATGAGTCAGTAATGAAATTTGTAATAATAGATTATCCAACTCTCAACATTTAGATAGTAGCCAAAACGTACCTTGCCATATTCCGATAACTTATCCTTCAAATCTGCTGCTCGAACTTTGTGCTGCAGACCTCCAATCCACAGGCTACAATTATCTTCAGTCTTTAGAGTGCTATCAGACTCTACACCAGCAAAATGTTAAATATTGATAGAAAAAATTTAGGTACCTTACGATAAGTTTGAATAGGTTGCCAGCCTACCTTTTTTAACATCACTTTGAGAATTATTCTTTCCTTCCGGTACCCTAAATGTCAAGATACAGTTGTGATGTCGAAAATGATAACTTTAGGACGAACAGAACACCTTATATAGCAGAGGTAGCAAAGAAAGCTTAGCTTGATAATTCTCGATATTCAGACATTGGATAATCAAAAATATCTCAGTGAAATTACTTATTAAGTGACAATATCGATATTAAGTACAATTTTTTCATACATAGTCGCAAGAAATATGGCACTTTCGAGAGAGATAGGATTACTGAATTCAGATTTGCTTTGTATGATCAAATGTTTATCAAATGATACTACAATATCATGCAATAGATGTGGTTTTATAAGTAAGTCAGATAAGCTTAAAAGGGGCGACGAACATTATCCTTATTATATTATTTTAGATTGCCAATTCAATTCGTGGACATTTCTAACCATTATAAGCTCGACGTAAGTTGCCAATCAATAAGATCATTCGGTATAATTAAATAGTGAAAATATTGAAGCTAAACGTTCATGAGATACCGCCATGTACGCCAAAGGACAAATCTTGCAAACTATGACTGATGATATTGATGAACGTTCTCTGATGATAGCAGCAATTAAATGAACGAAACATAACATACCTTTTACTCAATGGTTTTGGGATCACAGATACGTTTCTATCAGTTCGCTCACGTCCATGACCAAACTTATGATCGAGATCATTCCCACCCTCAGCTAATAGTGTGGATGGAGAATTTTCAGTCTCTTTTTCTACGGATATTTGTTCTTGCAAATCGATTTTGCTATTTTCTCTGTGATGTTGCTTATCGCAACTTTCATTACCAGATCCACGATCATCATCGGCATGTAGTTTGTTATGTTCATCTAATTTCATTATCAATGTGAAGAATGAAGAAAAGTATCATCGCTAGGAGGAATTGGCAGAAGGATATCTGTACGGATTTGCATAGAACTAAAATAGTAGGAATCACTTCGAATTCATAGAAATGTTATTTTGCGTTTGATTACTCATTCCAGGTAGCATAATTCGAATACTACGCCCGAATATTATAACGCGAAGGAGAAACTTTTATAAAATAACCGCGTCAAATTAAATGCTAAGAATCTAATCGACAGTTCTTAAACTAGGAATATTCAATGATCCTAAGGTTCGCCGACGAGTGAATAGGCTTAATCGTTGCATGCATTCCAATAAATTTAATGGTATGCTAGAGATAAAAATGCATTGTATTCTAGAGATATAGTATTCATCACTGAATGTTAAACTAAGTTGTTTATAGATATTGTAATTACAAGTAAATTATAACTCACCTTCATGTATTACTTGGGTATCTCTTTGATACTCCTAATGAAACAAAGCATATGTAGGAAATGATTACATTAATACATTTATTTAAAAACTTAAACTCTTGTGGCAAGAAAAGTATAGGAAACGCTAATATCAACTAACATTGGAATCATATTGCTGCAAGCGATTGTTGATGTCATCGTAGAGCTCATCCATTACACTAGGCATGGCTACTACTGTCTGCAGTGATTTATAAATTAAAATGAGTTAAAAATTAATTCTTTGTCTATGTAGTTATCATTGAATCTAACTAAACGTAATATTCACGTTAAGTGATGCTTACTAAATCATCACTGTTTTCGGTATCTCTTCTATTTGTATCCAATTCGCTTGAAGGTGAAATATCATCAGATATAACGCTTGTACTGAGTTCGTTGTTGTCGCATGATCTTTCTTCCTTTGCTTTTAATTTTTCAGATTCTTGTGCTTGTAATGGGCTTAACTAGTTTCGAGGGAAATACGTAAACTTATAATAACGATCGCTGTAAGCATGAGTCAATTCAAAGTATTTTTCCACTGGCGATGAGCTATCTTAAACTAGCTTTATTAGATATTATTTTTACATTTTCTTGATTTCTCACATCGGTCACGTCTAAAAGTAAATCAAAAATAAAACACAGTATTCAGTTCTTCCGTTATATCACATTTCAAAGCTTATATTTTAATTCATAGAGTGGATTGAAGCTTAGCCATCCATACTAATCTATACCTTGGCTAGGGAGGCTTTCAAATTGACTTTGACAGGAGGAAGTTGATTTTACTTCTTTTAATAGAAACTACATTAAATATAAAGCAAAATTAATGATTACTTTATTTTAAAAAGTGCGTTGATCAGTGACTAATCACTTGTTTAAAAGTGAAATAAGCAAAAAATAACCATTACCCTGTGATTACTTTGTACAACCTAAACTACAGTACACAAATCGAAGAGTTTCTTGTTTGCCGATAAAATAGAACGTACTAGTTGTAATAACAATATGTTACGGCCAAGGTACGAAATCGGTCATCGTAACATTTAAACCTCCATTTTTAGGATAAGTACAGTGCTGCCAAAATCATAATTGCGGTGTGTACAGTATAAACCCTCTCTACTCGAGGATATGGTATCAAGCAGTACGATACCATTCATGAGTTATAAATAACGAAATTTGGTTTTACAGTACGCGTAATTCGAAGTTTCAATACACGTCTATTTGAATGTTTTGATCATTTGCATTTTTTTCGTTCATTTAAGGTAGGTAGCCATAATATCTAACATTGCTCTTCCTGTGAAGTCTAGGCTATTAGCAATTTATTGTTTTACCATGTAACATTTTCACTTCGAAGTAGGTCCGGGATTAACGCCCAAATCGTCATTTTATGATACTGATAATCATCACATCATATTGGAATAAATACGATATGCTCCATGACAGAAATAGTAAGTTCATGATAACTTAGACGTTACAAGTGAAAGAATACTAAATATTCCAGCTCAATATTTTAAATAAACCAAAAAATTGCAAATTATCAAAATAATATTCCGATACAGGTACAGTATAGACTAAAATTATGAAATAAAGGGAGAAATTGTCGTTAGCAAGACAGGGAAAGCGCCATGGACTCATTCAGTGTACAGCATCGAATAGTTTGCTGTCGTATTCTCGATTAGGCAGGCTAAGCTCTTGTCAAACGCGTGATTTTACCGGTACGCCATAGCAGACTTGGTAGTGTTAGACTGGAGTGTTCCAAGTCACTCAAGTACAGTCACAGTACGTCATGCCAAAAATGAAGCCATCCTATATGTGTGTGCTGATGTCCAAATGATTGCAAGGCGTACCACTGGCCAAGAAAGCATGATCCATTTTTGAGAAAATTATTAAATTGTAAAGTAAATCTAAATTAATCCTTAGATGCACTATGTTCAATCAGTAGAACTTTCCTATCACGCGGACGAGTGGTAAAAGTATTATCGTGCTTTTCTGACATCATATTGATTCTAATTCTAGACATTTTCTTGACGTATCTTTTTCAGTTAATAAATTTCCCAAAAAGGCGAGTCGTTATGTCATGTAGGTCGGTAGGTAGTGTAACAAACAGCAACTGCGATGGAATTTACTATACTTTACTACCATACAGGACTTATTTTTAGCGTTGGCTGTGCTGACAAGAATTACTTTCGTCTCACGCGATTGCACATGACACTGAATATTAATACCACGATTACAGCTACCAAACAAGAAATATAATCAATTTATCGTAGCAGAAAAACGTCGTAAAACCTGTCATTATTCAGCTCAGTCAAGTTTGTTATTCTATTCACTTTATTCTCACTAGTATCTACGTCTTGCAGCATAGTGTAGTTGTGTGGTTGATAAACTTGTCGTCTTGATTGCGCTTCTATTGCATATTGTACCACAGGCGCGTATAGTAAACAGTAGAAGAAGAATTTCAATTATTTCAATATACGAGAGTACACATCGTACCTGTTTTAATCTATCAGCTAGGACTTTCTTTGCTCCGCTGGTTGTTAACCCTCTCCTTTTTAATTCCGCTCGTAAATCAACAACTTTCAACGTAGCTATCTCTCGACCATCAGGTAGTAGCAGTGTTTCCATCTTCCACTATTACTACCCGTCGCTCTGCTGACGTTTCTATTCTAATCGTGTAGGTAGTCCACAACCACAACTCGACCTTACGATACTGTACAGTGTACAGTGTCTTTGGCGTCTCTACAGTACAGTACTGTACATATTGTGTACTGTACAGTACAGTACGTATATTGAAGTTGGAAGGTCCGGGACTGGTCCGGACTGTGGAGGCCGAAGTGTGTGGAACATCTTTTGACAGTACAGTACAGTACTGTGCTGTTATTGTACAGTACATTACACTGAGTGCACAGTACAGTACAGTACTGTACTGTGTACTGGATATTGAAGTTGGAAGGTCCGGGACTGGTCCGGACTGTGGAGGCCGAAGTGCGTGGAACATCTTTTTACAGTACTGTTCAGTACAGTACAGTACAGTACTGTACTGTATACTGTACACTGTACAGTAATTGGAAGGTCCGGTCTGGTCCGGATTATGGAGGCCGAAATGCGTGGAATATCTTTTTACAGTACTGGTACTGTACATTACGGTACACTGAGTGCACAGTACTGTACAATACTGTAATTTTACGATTTTGAACTCAGTACAGTACTGTACAGTACTCTACATTACAGTGCACACGTGTTCCGACAGTAAAGTACTGTAGATTTGTCCGTACTGTACAGTACACAGTGTACAGTACTGTCTAGTGTACACTGTACAGTGTACAGTACAATGCAGCCAGGCGCGTGCAAAGCCTGAAATTTGAGGAACCAATCTCGTCATTAAATCCGGTCAGATTGATATACAGTACTGTACAGTGTACAGAAGGGTAGATCGATCCCCTTTCGATTGAATTCACTTTACAAGTCATTCTGAATTTCTTGATCGTGACGTCTAAATATGGTGGAACTAAAAGATTCCAAGTCAATCGCTAGTGTGGCGTTCGAAAACTGGATATTCATAGTTCCAGCAATCCTAGTACTAGCGATTATCGGTAGGTGGCGGATAGTTAACGATAGGAATTACGCGTATTGTATGTACAATAGATTAAAAAGTAAAAGTAATTGAATAAACTAAACTCTATTGGGTGTGTATGGTCGATAGACATTTTTCTTCAATTCATCACAACACTGGTATACTGTACTGTATGTAGTGGACAACGAACTAGTTTAATCTTACTCTTGCCTAGGACTGTATTCAACAATAAATATGCAATACTCAATCACGAAAGCATCCTTCAATTAAGTTTGAAATCAGAGCACTGTTGCCAACAGTTTTTACGCTTTCTCAATTGATGCTACCTAAAATGGTTGAAATGAAACGACTACGGTTGCTTGAAGTAGCTGTATCTGTATACATACATATTTCAAGATACTGTTTCGATGGTTGCCATACCATTCCTGCTATACGATATTACAGTATTTATCCCACTTATGACAAACTAACGATTTTGCATTTCTCTTCTTCAGCGATTGTTGTATACAGATTAATTACTACGCTAAGCAATAAGAAAAAAATAAAAGAAGAAAAACGACAGCGAAAAATGGATAAACGAGAGAAGAAGAAAAAGTAATAGTTGATTTTCCTATTGAGCTCAACTTGCACAATCATTGGATGCGAATATAATACCACCAGATGCTCGAAAAATGTTGGCAACTCAAAATTAAAATGACTTATTGAATTGATTAGGTAGCTATTTTAGTCAACTGTACGACTCGCTGTACTACAATATAACAATGTAGCAGGAATAAAATGCAGTTCATATTCAAACTAAGATCAACATTGATCCTCAAACTGCATTGGATCACAGCGGCGCAAAGACCATAACACAACTGCTGTATTTGATACAATCATTTAGTCGTCAGGTTTAATAAGTATTTGTAAATTGTTAATTGTGTTGTGTAGTATCTTTCATGGATTTTGTTAAATTCTACAATCTGCGCGTATTCTGTAGCACGAACGGTGCAAATATAGTATTTTTGTGACTGTGTACTGTACAGTAAAATATTTACTTTGGTTGGAACTTGATAAAAGAATTTACGTTTTTATATAGGTGTTTACAGTAAGCACTGTCTAATATACAGTAGTATACGTACGCGTATACTTTAGGAAGGACTGACTCTATGATAGTGATATTACTGATATACACTTGTACAGTAATTTACAAAAACGCCAATAAATACTTTGGATCGTATGAACGAATTGAGCTGTTATTAGTAAAGTACTATCTGAGCAGTTAGTGAATATTGCCGGCATTTTTTTGGACATCAGTCTTCTACATACAGGTAAAAAAGGAACACCATACAGTACCACTGATTGTACTGTACGTGCATAACTGATAATTGGAAAGTGCTAAGATTAGTGTAGTTTGACACAGAATAGCTATTAATCTCATCATTAATATTTTACTATCTTAAAATCACCGATCCAGTATGAATGACTGCGGCGCCGAGCCGGTATAAAATCAGGGAGGGCTACGGAAGGGGTTCGCCTACATCCACTCCTACAGTATACTTCAAATGAATGAAAAAATTATAAATTATATATTAGGGAAGCATTCCAATATACAGTACAACATGTGAAAATCATGAGATGAAAAGAGATTTCTCTGTTCACAAGTCAAGAAAGTTAGCGTACACTGTTCGCAAAACGAAGGAACATTAAATGCAAGTCTGTCGAGTCGAGTCGGACCGACCGTGGCCTTTCCCTTTTGCTACACATTCTATCATCACGAAGGAAATACGTGCACAGTATGCGCAATGAATAATTACTACATGTTCGTAAGTTATTGTTGACGAAGCTTGGATTTGTATTGGTACAGTAGTGATGACATTGTACTGTACTGTACAGTACAGCAACTTGTATACGACTAATCGGAGCACAGTACATCCGGGAAATGCCCGTTGTACATCTGATTATTTTCGATGGCACCCTGAAAAGATATAATTGTGTAAGTTGAATCAGGCCCAAACTAGATCAATTCTCTATCTAGTTGTAGCCTAATTCTACGGGTATATAATATACTGTAATATCGTTTCCACAGTAATTTTAGTCCACAGAGGAATCCAGTACTATAAAAGCTTTTTATTACAAGGTTCTAAAGAATAGTACAGCAATAATTAATTACTCACAAGAATCTAGTCTAAAGTAATCTGAGCTCAATTAGATATCAAATCTTTTCTCCCTTTACGCTCAGATTTGTACACCTTATATACTTTTCTCTGAATCTATTTAAGGCAATAACATCGTCTACAATCAGACATGAATCATCACTACATTTTACAGTATTAATCAAACTGCTTACAATATTATTACTTTACCATTAATGTCCAACACCGTAAGGTATTGGGCATCTTTACAATCTTAGTATTTCAAGTCGTATAACGTCCTGTACCATAATTAGTTAACAGCTATATTAGTGAATAACACTTTCTAATATAGTAGTTACCAGTCACCTAAATCTAGCAGCACAAGAATATCTATTTTTAGAAACTTAACTATTCTAAATATAGTACACAACACAATCAAATATAGCTATCGCTACAAGCGAATATAGGGTGCATCACTACATATACATATATAAATATATTTATGAACAGGAATTTCAACGGAACATAACTTTGATTTTTGAACGAAGGGGTGGCATCGAAAATAATCATGACCTACAGTACTGTACACAGTACTCTACTGTACAATGTACTGTAAATAACAGTGTACAGTACAATGTCTCAAATTTCCGAACTGTAGTGTACTGCACAAGCGCACACGGTACCGTACTGTTGGCATCGAAAATAATCATAACGTACTCTACTCTACTGTACAATGTATTGTAAATAGCAGTGTACAGTACTGTATGGTACCGCACAATGTCTCAAATTTTCGAACTGTAGTGTATTGTACTGCACAAGCGCACACGGTACCGTACTGTTTACAGAATTACAGTACTAAAACAGCGCAGCAGTAATTAGACCTGCTCCGAATCAAATTTATTTACTATTGGTTACTCTAAAAGATGATGATTAAAATTAAAATTTAAAAGCTTGACATGTCCAACGCAACTTATGCAAGTATCGCAAGTAAGAGAATAGCGCAAAGTCTTTCTGTAGGTTTAGAGAATACAGAAGATGAAGTTGTATTAAGTGATACAAAAAATGATTCCCAGAGCATGATTACAGGTGATGATGACACCATTTCAAATGATGAAACTACAGTGCCTAGTAATTTAGCATCAGCGAAATCTGAAGTACCTATTAAAGATCTTAAACGGCATCAGTTGCATCATGTGAATTTAAAGGATGCAAACGCTGTAACCACCAATTTTCAAATATGTGACAGTGATCATATAGAGGTGACTACAACTTCGTTATCACCTGGTAATATTAAAAACTCTGAGAAAATTGTTACGGAATTGGATACAAGCATTTCTGACAACACTGCTAAGCCTCATTCTTATATCGCTTTCTCCAACGAACAGAGTGAGGAAGATAGTGATCAAACATCGCATGCAAGACGAATTTCCGACGAAATTGAGCCTCATTCTTCATATGATAACAACCCTACAGCCTCGACAAAGTTAAATTTAGGAACAGCTGGCAGCAGCGCAACAGTTAGGGATAACGTTCAAATCAGTACGGCGACATCGAAGCCATTTAGTAAACAGTCATCTCGCTCTCCTCGCCGTGTCTATAGTATGCAAGAGAAAATTAATTCTCGGATGCATAATGAAATCCGCAACAGGTTGTCAAGGACTGCAACAGAAACTAATTTATTACTGGATAACAATGACGATCGTTCTAGAGAGATCAATCAAGATCGAATCAATTCCGGAACTCTCCCCGGCCTAGGCCTAGAAGTTAAAACCGCTTATCCATTAGGTAGAAATAACAGAGGATCGAATGTTGCAAACATCGATAAGGTCAATCCTCAAATCTTTCAATCTCCAATCGAAAATAAAACATCTATAGCTTCCGATAACACTATTCATAGTAAATTTCGACAAGCATCTGCCCGCTTCAAATCACTTAAAAATAATGGACAGAAAATTTCCAATGAAAATGATAGAATATCGACCAGCCAAGACTTAGTTGATAACTCGGATGATAATAATTATTCTTCAGAAGTTAGCATTGGCCCTAATGATGAAGTGACGGATAAACATACTCTTAAGTTACTATCCGTTCTGCAGGACGTTAAACAGCATGAGAATGACTACGAAAAGAAAAGAGATGAATTGAAGAATTCTTTTTACGAATTAAAAACAAATTATAAGAAATGTGGATTAGCAGTTGGAATCGGTTTAACCATGGCAACAACTATTATGTCTGCTGTCGGATTTCCACCCTTAGCTTACTTCAATGAACCAATTCAAGCTACTGAAAGTGAATTGCCGTCTCAGTATTTAGATAGTAATTCTATGTCAAGTATCGATAGTGATTCCGATGTTAATATCAAAAAACGACAGGAAAATGAATGGTCTAGAACTTCAATTGAAGATGATGAAGATAATGTAAATAATAGGTTGAAAGTTAGGCCTAAACGAGGACGCACTAATACTGGATTATTTGAAGGAATAAAGGTAACTGAAGATCATCAAATTTAAAATGCTATAGTGTAAAAAATTGATAAAATATCATATACTTGGTCTCCGCCTTCCAGATTTGTTAGTGTTTCGCTTTCAATATATAAATCCATAAATTTCCTATAACTATCATTTTGTTGTTGAAAAAATTCAAGTGGTTCTATTGCCTTTTTATTTTATGAATAAGGCAAATTTAAAGATGAGTAGCTCGGACGAGATCAGTAACGGTCACAACACCAAGGTTAGCTGTATTTCGTTATATAAATTAATTAAAGTTAATAGTAATTTACAAGCTTAAAACTAAAACCCAGCGACGGTTTAGTCCAACGTGATATTATATTAATTTCCTTTCATACGCATGTCACATGGATTTGGTTGATATCTTCTAACAAAGATTTACTAATGGCATTCAGTTATGAGTCTTTGAGATCAAAATTGGTCAAATTTCTTGTAAATATATATTTTTTAATAGGAAATAATTTCGGAATTTGACGAATTTCCTTTCCTATGTGACTCGTTACCTAGTACTTTCCCTGGGTTTGCACAAGATAAAAGAACTCGGATTGTGTTGGAACTCTATGAAACTGAATATAAATATGTAGCTATATTAGAAACATTAATCGAGGTATGTGTACGACGTAAAGTGAGAAATATTATTTTTCGGTACGCTGTAAGCATTGATTTTATATATCTAGTAACAGATTCGATTCGAGAACGATATTCGCCTACGCTGATATAGTGACTTTTTTATTGCATAACTGCTTTAAAAAAATAGTTTCTGACTAACCTATTATATTATTTACAGTCAGTAGATCGTGAAAGATATAGAGCACTGTGGTAAACATCGATCTGTTGTAACATGAGTCAGTAACGTTTCTCTACACAATATTATGCTAACTAATAAATTTAATAGTCGATAATTATAAGTATTGATTTTACTTTTAACTGTGCTATAAATCTTAAGCATTAATGTAAAATAATTTTAATTTACGTGCATTTAAGCTTACGATGGGATATTAAATAGTTCAAATGTTAATTATACATTGTTACACCTGATGTTGGATTAATAGTACTCGTACATCAGGAATCATAACTCGTTTATGTCACTTGATTCGATAGCACCTACGACAACAGGTAGTGAATGCCACCGCATTAAATGATATGATACATTACTTCATATATCTTGAATTCATAGGGTATTTTTACCAAAGGAGTATCTGCCATTTGTTAAATTTAGCTTTTTATAGTTTATAGTTTTCTTTGATAATTTATGCGTTTATATCGTTCGATGAAGAAAATCATTGGTCTCGTAATATTCTTTCGGTATTGCAAACTGCCTACTCCTGAAATGAAAGCTAGATATTGTCATGCCTTCAATAAATAAATATTATTATCTGCAACTATAAAACTGTAATATTCTCAAACCTATATCCATATAGGTATTTAAGAAACCATTACTAGGTATTTTAGAGCCTAAAGAGATTAGTATGATTTTCGGCAATATCGAAAGGTAAGTTAGGATAGGTGTTAGTTCATGCGGTGATTTATACCTAGTATATTATTTGATTTAAATTTCTTTATACCCGTACACTATATTCTGATACCACCTATATATCTTGCGTAGTATCTTCGACTTGAATATTGAATTATTAACCGAATTACAAAAATATTTACTATGTTGGTCAGAAGATCAACAGATTGGACTATGCTTCTTGAAGAGGGTATGCACATATTCGCGGTATAAATATAATTACAAATTGTGCTGGTATCCTCTTTCTTCATTACTAATTAAATGCAGATTAGATTTAGATTTGTAAAAATACAATCGCATAAACATGCTAATTGTTTGATATGGTATAAAGTTTGTAAATGTGCTTAAAGTAAACTCGTAACAATCCAACATTTGAAAAACAAATCTTAATTTTAAGATGACTCTGAAGGAAATTGATTTATTTTAGATGCCCAGATTTATAATTTATATCGACTATTGTAATAACTACGATAATGCGGAGGCCGCATTTAAGCAAAATCTAAGAAAGAAAAAGGACTTTGAAGAACTTCTTAATGTTCGTAAGAATTAAAATTAACTAGCTGATGCATTAAAAAAAAAATGAGCATTAGCTTTGGATCTTAGTGTTGCTTTAGATTAATATCTTATAATATTTTCCCGCAATAGGTATGCTATAATCACTCTCGATGTCAAAAAAGCTTACAACTTCCTTCTTACCTTATAACACCGGTGCAACGTATTCCAAGATATTTGTTGTTATTTAAGGTTAATTAGCCGTCCACAATGTTTCACACCCTATTTTGCAAAATTACTGACGCTACTAACGAATATAAATTAGAAGTGCTGTTTAGTGTCTAAGAGTATTTTTTAATTTTTAGGATTTGATCGATAAAACTGATGAAAGTCATGCCGATTACGAAGATCTTAGTCAAGTTTTATTAGAAATGGTTAGACTTTACAGAATTAATTAATTTGCGTATGGAATTATCGCAGATTTCATGATTGGCTGTTACAAGCGTATTATCTGCAGTACAGTAAACGCTTGGATAGTAACTGGATTTTGACAATTCTATATGATAAGGTCCGTAAGATTTAAAGATATGCTCATATTTTTGGTCTTACGGTAGGAGGAACTTGCCGGGATGATCAATACTAGTTTAATGGAAGTACAAGGAAAGAAGGCTATGGCCGGAATTCAGTCATCTGTAATCGGCCTGCAGGTTAAGTACTGAAATGTAAAATACTATACAAGATATTGTTATTTGATCTTTGTTGTATGTGTAAAGAAATTTATTAATATTTTCTTATATTTCCTAAAAGGCCTTTAATATTGAAAATCGTACTTTAATTAAAGATGGAGAAGTATATTTGATATCAAATAAGAAGCCTTATAGAGTAATCCGAAATACGCGTATAGCAATAATTTTTGAAAACCGAGTTTGTCCATACCGAAATAGTTACTGACGCTGCAATGTACTCTTAACAGTGCCTGTTATTCAACGACTTGCTTATTTTTGCCATTCATGGATCAAAGAAATTAAGTGCGGTTGAATTAGTATTCGATCTTGATGTTATATGGTTTGAAGATCTCTGTGATTTAGACCCTCAAACAAGTAATCACTAGAAAAATATAATTTTCTGTAATTTGTTTAATAATACATTTACTCTATTTTACTTAATAGATGTTTAACTGCTACTTTCGTTCTAACTTACTCTGGATGTCATGTTCTATAATTGTAACTAGCTATTGAGGACGCCATCGAAATTTATAACCCAGAGCGAAGTTTTACAATGTATACTAAAAGTAAAGATGAAAAAAAGTTATGGTTACAAGCTTTGAATGAAGCTCTAATTGCCCGATTTTCTAAGCCTGCCGTATTTCAGCTTAGTGGAATGCCTCGCATGAGGCCTGATATTAGTAAGAACTGTCGATCTTATCTATAACCACATTATCAACATATTTTTGATAGACTTTCTTGAAAATAGTCGTCGCTTTCCCTGATTTAGATACGTATATCCAATAGCCATATATACGGTATTTATGATATACCCCTTTCTGTAACATACGTTATTTTTATCAGAAAAGAGAAAAGTGTTATTCACGTATAAAGATGGCAGTACTTATGATGGCGAGTATTGCGAAGGAAGGCGTCACGGTTACGGGGAAATGACATGGGCAAATAATTCGAATTACATTGTAAGGCTGTCTTACATCCTAACCGTTTATAGCAAACTGAAAATATCCGGCTAGAAACATTTAATTTATGTAATAAGTTGTAAAATTGATGTATTTGCTCGACTGATGGGTAGTTGTATAAAATTGTACTATACATGTGTTTGGATAGCATGTAGCTTAAAAATTATAAACTTAGTGATACAATTGCTAATATCTAAGTTATGTTCTAAGTAACACACGTAATAAGCTCTTTAATAAATTATTAGAGTTGACGGCATTGCTAGCAAATTTTTCTTAGATGCCATGTTTTTTATCGTTTGTTACAGGGATACTGGGTTGATGATCAAAGAGCAGGTCATGGTGAAATGAGTTTTAATACACTAGAAATATACAAAGGTCACTGGAAGGATGATCAACCAGGTGCTAAGGCATATTAGGAGCCGTAGTAATCGTTTAACGTCATATTTATGTAAAATATCAATAGCACGACTGCATTCTAAAGTGTGATGCAATCTTTAGATTTACGGATCAGAATTCGTGGTAGAATTTTGATATACCGTTTCTTATCCAATTTTTGGATTGTTTTGCATGTAGACGGAGAAGGGGCGTTATATTTTCCATCAGGCACAGTGGTATCTACGACGTGGATAGATGGACGCAAGTTTGGAAGAGTAATAACTCCTATTAGTACAATATTACGTTTGGTATTAATTAAAATATTTAAGTTATTAATGGGTTATTAAATAAGGTCTTTACTTGCTATAAATTTAGGCAACAGTCAAATTTGGTAATGGCGATGTGTTCGAAGGAATGTTTATCAAAAACGAATTTGAAGGTCATGGTAAATTGGTTTGTAAAGCCTTCGTATATAACGGTGAATGGAAGAACTCGAAAGTATGTGAATTATGAAAGCTACCATCGATATAAGCTTACTCTTCTCTACCGTTTAGTTTACAAGTTTTTCTACGTTTATCCATAATTCCCTATCATAATACTGATCACTTTACATATTTTAGTGGAATGGTAGAGGAAAATTACTTAGAAAATCGGGAGATCATTACAGGTTAGCCTTAACCCGTATCGTTGGACGTATTTTTTAAATTGAAGTTACTTTATATTAACTTGTAAGTACTTTTAAGTGGCGACTTCGTAGATAATACAATCAGTGGTTTTGGGGAAATGAATTATTGCAATGGATCAAAGTACACTGGTGAATGGAAGAATAACTTGGTATTAGTTATTCACTTTTTCATATTTGGCTATATTTAATAGACTGTACTTATAGGCGTTTTATGGTAAAACATAAATTAGATCTCTAATTTTCTTTATTGGATCACATCTGGTAGTTTCATGGTCAGGGCACTTTTGAAACGGCAGAGTATAGTTATGAAGGCAGCTGGCATATAGGACAAAAGCAAGGCAAAGGAAAAATCAGATACAGTAATGGAGAGTGTTATGATGGCGATTGGAAGTGCGATAAGGTATTTCTACCTTAGTTTAGTTTCTGTGGATCTCCATACTTTGTAAATGTGTTCATGCTGGTAATGTAAATTATTTAGAAATGGGGGCACGGTATTACAACATTCAGTAACGGTAACAAATACGATGGTGAGTACCAACAAAACCATATCTATGGATTAGGCAAAATGGTATATGCTTCTGGTGAAAGCTATGATGGAGAATGGGTCTACGAACAAGTAATGCAGTACAACATATTTCTTATTTTTTATAGCTAAGTATTCAGCCAACGTATATCACCAAACTGTGTAGAAAATAGTCATAATGAAACCGAAGTATATATCGGTTTTTGACCACCTATACTCATACAACCTAACAATATTTAGCTAATTAAGTCAAAAATGTAACTTGTAATACAAATTTGAATATATCATAGTTTCATGGTATGGGAACCTATAAATATCTAGATGGTTCTGTATATTCCGGTTCATGGCAAAACGGCTGTCGGTGTGGCGATGGTAAGTTAACGATGAGTAATGATAACCTATACGATGGTGGATGGAAGAATGATAAGGTAATGCCAGTAACTAAACATGACTATAAAGATCAAAATCTAATGAAACTTATGATATAGTACTTTTCAATGATTTGATTATTGTAAAATCCCGGAATTTTAGTTTCACGGCTTAGGTACCTTGTCCATGCCACTTTGTGAATATAGTTACGAAGGTTATTATTGACTAGAAATCTTCTTTTGTAAATTTTACTATTGATTTATTAGCTTTCTCACACCTAAATCTTATTATCGTTATTTACGTACTTAAAATAATAAAAAGTTACGGTTATCGGACATCTTATACGAAATGAATTTGATCCTATATTTACTGATAAAAATTTGGAATAGGAAACTGGGTAGACGGCAAACGCTGTGGTGAAGGAACTGAAATTTCAGTTAATGGGACATACAGTGGATATTGGAAAGAGAATCTGGTAAAGTATAGAAATGAAATTTATATTAGTATGGACAAGCATTAGGGTATATCATAGCTATTAGACTTAATTCACTGACTTCAAGTATAGCAGCCTATCATAAGAGTAACCATCAATCTATGATAGCTGTTGGCGCAGCTTTATAAATCAAACTAAGATACTGATATACATATTTGGATTTAACAATATAGCGTCATGGAGAAGGCATAGAACAATGTGAGGGGATTTATTACGAAGGTTATTGGAATATGGATAAAAAAATCGGCAAGGGAACACTAAGATATTCCGAGGTTGATGATGTTTTAGAAGTAAGAAGTCTCATATAACATATGCTCCTATTGAGTATGATTATAGCATGCTAGAAGTGTCTCAGTGTTAAATATCTATTTCATGTTATCTTATTTAAGTCATGGGTTAATGGTGAATCTGTTGAATATGATGGTAAAACAGCCTTTTCGCTTCCGGTATTGATAAGACATGATATCAATGAGAAGTACTGATCAAGAAAATTTAAGTCATCTTTGCTAAAAAATTCTCGTGAAAATGCCGAAAACCTAAACTTACACGGTTAATGTTTACTATAATACCTGCAAGATCCTAGTTGGCGTGCTGAGTATTATTGCTATTACTTTTGTATAAACAACGATACCCTTACACTGTCTTATCATGCCAATTTATAGAACAGGTGTATCTTGAACTTCTTAGCTTGATATGACTGCTTTATTGCATCTCATGAAAGTTATCTCGCTATGAAGTTGGTAGTCTATTTATTATAGCCGTCCTAACGTAGATACGCGTATAATACGTAATACCTTTAATATAGGGATTTTTATATACAGTATTATGAAACAACGGTGATTAAGATTCGTAGAAAAAAAAACTGCTTTTTATTTCTTTGCAAAAGAATAAAACGAAAACAAAAAATTTGCTGATGGATTGTAAAGTTTAATGGGCTTGAATTAGAATTCTTGAAAGTTTATAGGGTAAAGGTAATCGTCTAATCAAATAGATCCAGATTTTAAAAATCTTTGCAATCGAGTAAACTGATACAGTTTACGTTCTATGGAATATGATGCAAGTTGCCCTTAAAAGATGTAGCTGTTACGTAGCATCTCAAGCGTATATCGTATAATAATTATTTCTCTCTGATACCGCATATTAAAACTCATACTTACAGTATTCCAACCCACGATTGTTCGTATTATTCGAGGAAAATAAATTACAGAAGTTAACGAAAGAGGAATACTGACCTCAGTCAAGCTAATTACATAAATGACTCAAGCTTACTCAAATATTCCTTGTACATTTGCCTTTTATTGTAGAATTTTACGATGGAATGTTAACACTAAAAGGAAGAGTTAATAAGAAGGTTCTAAGGCTATATCAATAAAGCCACTTAGGTGTTATAATAGGGTGCATAATTGGATATAATATATTATAGATTTGATTTCTTATTGAACAAGTTAAGCATGAAAGTATTACCCAACATATATCTACAGTATATGATGAATACACATGTTTTATATATTATATGTAAGCATATATTAATTCCAAATCTATATAATACCATATTAGACTACAGTTTTCCATCTTACCATAAAAGTAGATAGATAAGACCTTATCTATCTAACAGTGTACTTGTATATATATATATATGTTACGGCCAAAACCCGAAGTCTATATATATATGGATATCAAAATTAGTTATAGCACAGCTAGCACAGTATAGATTTTAGTAACTTTATTCATGTAACATTAGCAAGATTAACTAATTTATAGCTATTAACATTAGTACTCGTATAAGGTGGTAGAAGATGTTTATGCCAGTTGGATATAAAGTGCGATCTTCCTGGAGTTGTTGATTCTGATATTCCGTTAACATTAAACTCCCGATAAATTGTAATGAAATGTATTGCTATCCGCTGACGTTTCACTGGATTTAAATTTTATCCCCGGTCTGACTGTACTGTATGTATTATAATTATTAACAGTTGATTGCCAGATAAATGTATGCGATTCGTATTAACGCATATAAATCTGGTTAACTGGATTAAATGCATGAACAAAAAATATACGCAATACTCGTATTATACGACTAGTAATCGACTAGTAATTTTTTAGTGTATATGTACGTCTAGAGCAGTATAAATTGGTACTTTGAGGCGTTTTGCATCTTTCTGCCCAGTAGTAAAACGAAACGAAAATTCCAAGTCTTCTTTGTAATAATGATAGTTGTTACATAACACTGAAGGATGCTAAGGATATTTAGAGATGTCGAATATCGTATGTTTATTCAGATATCAGAGGCGAGATGAGGACAGTTAGTAAATTGACAGCCTGAGTATCAGCTAGATCAAGAAAGTATCCGATAGCAAGAAGAAAATCATGGATCATTTATGTCGTTACCTGTTTGTTATATAATCATACAGTATAAAGAGTACATTCATGTGTTAACAACTAAAGGAGTCCCATACCTCACGAGTCAACCTGGAGATAATTTTATGAATCGTGTTAATCTTTCAATAAATTTGAAAAAGCTAGATTATGTAAGATTTTATTGATATTTTGCACATAATGAAGAATTCGTTAAGCTGCATTTAAAATTTTGATGTACAAAGTTATCTTAAAAAGAAAGTCATAAACTATTAAATAGACGTATAAAAAATGTAGTAATACTATGTTAGATATACGAGTTTACAGAGTACAGTATACGTTAGTGACAACAACAATTATAATTATTGAAGAATAACAGAATATGTTGCAAATGAAGATTTAAGATTTATAGTTTTTCTTCTGATGCCAATATGACACTCATCAACATGCGTTATCGTACAAAAGATATCGCTTTTCTATTACTGTATTTTCGATTTTTACATGACGTCGCCATTTGATACTTAACTGCACACATCGTTGCAACAGTAGTAATTACATTCATATTTACATTTTCTTGAGGGCAGAATTTGCAAATTGCAAGCACACACAAAAGTGGCGTCCAATGATTTCAATCTTTGGAGTGAATAGCAGAAGCGACTGCTCTTTTAGCTTTGACTAGTGCAGCAAGTTCCTTATATCTTTTTAAACATTCTTTTTTCGTGCGCCCGGGTATAGCCGCAGCGATCCTGTCCCAACGTTCGGGAACTGACGAAGGATAGGTTTTCAAAGCCTTTTCCAATAGCTTTTGCTCATTAGCTGTCCATGGTTCTTCGACGTTATTTTTCTCATGGCTTACTGAGCTACTATCACTGTTTGCATCAACATCTTTAAATTGCGATTTACTAAATGAGGAAAAGGCATCTTCATTCGCTTTTTGCTTTCGAGTCTCAAATCCTTCATTTTGCATTGCTTTAACTTTAGCAATTACTTCTTTCGAAGTTCGATTAATATGGTCTGACCCGTGAACTTTTAAAAACGAAGCTATACAATCCCACCTATCTACCGTTCCAGGAGGAAAAACTTTAACAGCCTTGACTAGCAGTTGCTCTTCTTCATCATTCCAGGATCTGGAAGAACGGTTGCTACTATTCTCACCTTTAGTTGTTTGATCTTGACTGACTGGAAGCTCATCACGTAATTGGATCTCACGTAACTTTTTGAGTACTTCTTCGATATGATTTCGAAAAATTACACCAATGGTCTCAGCATTACCAGCAGACATATCGCTATTCAAAGATTTGAGTTGATCTAATGTTAAATTATTACATAAAGATTCTACTTCCTCCATTCCTTTTAGGCGTTCCTCGTCGCTATTAGCAAAATAGTTGTGTCGTTTGCATATCGTCCGAAGAGTTTTCCGCTCTTTCTTAAGCATTTTTTTTAATTCTTCTCGTTCTCGCTTAATTTTATCGGCCTTCTCTTTCTCCTCTTTTTGTAATATTTCATTTCTTTTTCGTTCTTCGTCTAGTTTCATCCGTCGAATCCTCTCATTTTCTTCTTGTAAAGCTCTCGCAGCTTCAATCTTTGCCTTTTTTAACGCGGCTTTTCTCTCTTTTTGTTCCTCCTTAAATTTCTTAATGCGTGGATCACAAGAATATGCATTATCAACCAACTGTCTAATTCTTCCGCTGTCTTCTTTTTTCTTCTTCTGTCTTGCTACTTTGTTCTGTTTCTCCATCCATCTGCGTTCTTCACGGTTCTCAGCTTTACTGAGATCTTCTTCATCCTGATAGGAAAATTCTCGCCAGGACTCGAAATTATACCAAAAGTTATAAAAAGTCTCAACGTCCTTGAAGCTTGTATTTTCGTCTCCAAGTGACGGAACCGGTTGAATGATAGAAAATCTTGCATTCGATTCAAAGCAGGGAGTAAAGGATTTAAAAAAATTTTCTTTAGAGTTCACACAAGGTGGTGGAATACTATCATCAAAGGTCGGATCAATGCTGTCATAAGCCTTCCTTTTCTGTGAATGACCTAGAATCTCATATGCTTTGGTTATACATGTAAATATTGCCTCTGTAATTTCAATATTATTACGTCCTACTTCCCTAGTAGATTTATCAGGATGATACTTTAATACCGTTTGCTTGTAACAGCGTTTAATTTGTTCTTCACTTGCACGGAATCGCAGAGATTTTAATCCCAATATAGAGTAATGATCTTGGGATTTCCACTCCCTTGGATCTAAACTAGCTAAGTAATCTTCGCTAATTTCATCTTCAATACATAGGCTAGTTGATTCCGCGCTACTTTCCTCCGCTGGAACTCTGTAAGGGTCTCCAATGGCATTATACGTTTGATTTTTATCTGATCCACGCCAATAACTTTCAAACCATTTACCAATAGGTTCTACTGATCTCAGAACTGGCCGAGAAGTTAACGAAATAACGACACTTTTGCAATCTAACAACGAATCTACCATCCTGAAGTGATCAGCTCTCTTGAGGTTCTCTGGCAAGATCAGGTACCTTGCAAAATGAAAGCATGGTATATACTAGCATAGTAAAAGTTTCTGCTGCAGTAAGGTACTGTACCGTACACCCAGTACTGCACTATACTGTACAGTATAGAGTAGAGAGCATTGCGCATTATACTCGCCTTGTGATACTTCGCATGCTGTACACTATAGTACATGACTATACTCGTCCTTTTACTTTACACATAATCGCTCTCGGTTATATTTATATAAGAAATAAATCATAATCATAATGTGAAATGTAATGCAAATACAGTGGTTGTAATTAAACCATCCAGATAGTTGTATATATAGTATTGTAAAATACAGGAATTTGACTGAAATTTAAACGCGTGCTTGATATCAAAATTTCTGAAACTACTGCATGCAATTCAGCATGCACACCTAGAGCCTAGAATAGATTCCGAGGTATTTATCGTAAACATGGTAATTATAATCGAATCATCCAGATAGTTGTATAGCATTGTAAAGTACAAGAATCTGACTGAAATTTAAACACATACTTGATGTCAAAATTTCTGTAACTACTGCATGCAATTCAGCATGCACACCTAGAGCCTAGAATAGATTCCGAGGTATTTATCGTAAACATGGTAATTATAATCGAATCATCCAGATAGTTGTATAGCATTGTAAAATACAAGAATCTGACTGAAATTTAAACGCATACTTGATGTCAAAATTTCCATAACTACTGCATGCAATTCAGCATGCACACCTAGAGCCTAGAATAGATTCCGCGGTATTTATCGTAAATATGGTAATTATAATCGAATCATCCAGATAATTGTATAGTAATTCAGCGTACACAACTGGAGCCTAGAATAGATTCCACGGTATTTATCGTAAACATGGTAAATAGGGTTTACTGTTAATAGAGTATTTAAGATTACACTCAATCGAACACAAAAGTACTTGCGTCAGGTTGCAACTCCACCGAGTACAGCATTAACTGTCAATTAGAATAACCATCTTAACAGCAGCATAATTATTAACCAATCCTTAAGAATTGATCATTCTATATTGATAGTAATATTTTCATGTTGATTCCATTTATCCATTGCTGCGTCATAATTACCGCAAAAAGACTGGTCATGTACACTGTATAATTGTCTACCTCTTCTACATCATATCTATATTCAGAATAAATTTCTTCCCACGTGGTATTGCTTGCAATTGACTTACATATGAAGATGAATACCAAGTGCAAAACAGCGAGAAAACGTTTCCATGTCATATGGTTACATACCAAGCATATTATTAACTACGAATCATGCATTTCATCATTTATTAACATTACGTCGAAATGTATTACGTGGCTTTTACATACTAACATTTTCAAATATATTATCTGAAATTCAAGACCCGTTTAATTAATGCCATCTTTGCATTTTCTGAACGCCCCAACTTAAAATGCATAAGATCTCACAGACGATCATAATTGACAAGTGTGGTATACTATACCTACATACGTTCAGTATATAGATAATTTAAAAACAAATTATTGTCATCGATCTACACAAGTATGGATACAATAACATTCTCGTTCTTATGTCATGCTAAGAGCAAATTATTATAAGCTACTAGCTGAAATAAGAATAAGCTGTTGAGAAAAAATAGACATACGAAATATTTCATTCGAATATTAAACTTTATTCTAAACCAGTTACATAAGTATCGATTTGTTAGAATGCAAATTACAGCATTTAGTACAGTATTAACTGTTCATTTGCCGTATACTTACTGCTTCGGCGATAATTCTCTTAATGATACTAATACAGAGGATATAATAGCAGCACAATCATGAGCTGCTGCTAACTGAAATTCTGCAAATTTTAATAATTCATCTTTGACATCTCGGGACCGTGCATGACTGAAGCGTTTCAACTGCATGTAAATCAAAGAATTTTGTTATATAGCAAAATATTAATAGAAATTTTGCTTGTAATTGTATAGTTATCAAAATATGCACCTCATTCTTTGCAGTTTCTGTGGTTTGTTCATAGGCATCCTTTGTTTCCTTTCGCTTCGCTTCCGCCTTGAAATACAGTATCAGAGTATTAATTTTACGATAAGGTATAACCTTTACAAGCGCAGCACAGTTTATAAGTATTAGTTTAAGTTCTGAATCTTACAACCAGGCTAGAAATCGACTACAGCAATCAGCTCAATATTTCAAACTCGCTTAATAACGCTACTTGAAACGCATATTTGCGCTTGTAAATTCTACCAGCTATACTAGTAATAATACTACTAAGTAATATCAAAATTAACTTTAAATAAAAGAACTGATCAAATTTGGTCTGGCATTCATGAAGTATGAAAAATATTCTGATAATCACATAGGATTTAATTTTAATTTAGATTTTATAATCTTAGATCGAAGATTGACATAGTTGAGTATCATATATGTCACTAATACCGTTGGACTATGTAATTACGAAAATTTTTCTTATCCTCAGTGTATGAATAAGTACAGTAATGGTTTGAATGGCCCAATCTTAGAGCATAAGCGTTAATAGTCTTGTACTTATACTAGCGGCAAGCAACTTAACAAGGAACTGAGTCTTAAGCATTTCATTTCGCTAGCGAGGCGCCTGCAATATTCATAAATGGCTATCATATAAATATTAGCAGTTTCAAGAAATGGTATAGTCTTGCATGAGCTGTTTCAACTGTAGCGACACTGCCGGCCTACCTTCCAATAAGTTACGTAATATTCCCGACTCACTGATTCCTGATATTTGGGCTTTGCTTTCTCATGGATTCTTAATGCAGAATCGTAATCAATCATTCTGATCGTTCTTCTGTATAGCATGTTCTGTTTAATTTACCATTACAACAATAAAAAATTTATAGCTAATAGGAATTGCAATGCAGTACGTACTAAATGTCACAAAATATTCAAAAGGAAGCCGTATTACATGTACATTCCTCCAGTAAATCTATTATTACAATTTATATAAGTTGCAAACTGTAGTTACTTTTGCTTCTTCACAATAGTCAGCGTAATAATTCAAAATTACTCCGAGATTCATTTCACTGCTGTGGCATCCCACATCGATTGCTTCCTGTATCGATAAAAGAGCGATTGAAGCTATTTCCTTACTATCAATTCAAAATTAACATACGTTTACCTTACAAAAATTTAAACATTCGCCGAAAGACTGGATTAATTTCCTGTATGTCAGAAAGTGCTCATTAAAAATAACCTGTAATCATTTTAGGAAATCATAACAGATCAAGAAAGCATAGCCAATTACGTACCATCCTGAGTTTTCATTTCCAACTAGTTTAGTTCCTGCACGAACCACCCTACTTGCTAAAGTTATCACAGCAACAGCTGTTTCTATATTACAAACTCCAGTTAGATAAATCACACATGCACGTCGCTTATTATTAATTTGTCTTTACGAAAAGAAACTCTTACTTCTCTGTGTTCGGATAAGCTGGGAAAATGACTGCATCAGAAATAAAAATGAACTAATTAAAATAAATGGAATTAACAGTGAATATAAAGTTCTCCAACATTACGATACTTGGTTGGCATTTTTCCAATAAATGCATGCATTATTTATAGCATTGCGATATTGACGAAAGTCAGGTTCTCTGTCCTAAACCAAATGAAACTCATCAGAAATTTAGAATGTACAGCCTTATTAATAATCAAAGGGTAAGGAGTAATAATAATACGAGAAACCTTCGGAAAGGTGCTTCTTTCGTCGCATATATACATTTATACAGTCATGCAACAATATAAACAATATTGCATATAGTAGTTGCTACTTACTTTATGGCTTTGATGCCGTAGATCAGTAATCAACTTTACCATATTACCAATAAACCGCTTTTTAAAGGGAAATCTTTCCGGTGTCTAACATGAATTCATATTTGGTGGATAAGTAATGATATTCCAAACTATACAAAACGTCAGGATAGTTATTGTATGACGTTCTCAGAACGTTAACTTATTCAATGTTGTACCTCTTGCTCAGTGAGAAAATATTCAACATGGCTGTCCTGCGCTAAATAAGGATGACAAGCTACCTTATTAAGAAATCTATAATATAACAATATTATCACTTTATCAGAAGGTTTATAATTGCTGTACAAAAAAACCAAGGCTTCTAACTTAAAATATGCCATCAAAGATCTAAAATGGAGAAAATATATTTCCCAAACACGAAAATATTATATTGTATGAATAAAAATTTATCAAGGCTAATACTAACAATTGTAACTTTCTACAATCTAAAGTCGTAGCTTCCGCTTCTCCTACATCAGTCCTTTGGCGAAGTCCTATAAGAATATGAAGCAATGTTTTCAGAACTTTATACGGCAATCAAGCTGAATGATTACATAATGCTAAATTATCATACAAGATAAAAATGTTTTTATGAGTTATCGCTGTGATAAATACCCGCCATTATCCTTCTTGCCTCTAATTCACTGTTGCCTACTTTATCTGGTACCGGGGGCATCTTGAAATTGCAATAGCAATGAATCGAAATTACACAGTGGTTCTAATACAAGCTATAACATTTTACCCTTTCATTTGATCAGGGCAGTTTGCTAGTAGTAATAATTCATAATAGTGTCCATAGAAATTACAGAGTATATTATACGTGTATCAATACTTACAATGATTCCACCTATATCATTCCCTGTGGATAAATGATGGTAAAGCCATTGGAAGTCTTTATACTGTCTAGTTACACAAGCTTCTATGCTATGATCGCTATTAGGTTCATTGCTATCAGATTTACTTGGCATTTTCTAATAATTCATTGAATCCAATGCAAAAAGCAAAATTGAGTAGCAAAATTGAGTATTTGGTCCGTAGATGCGAGTATCATAGTCGTCAGTGTAATTGAAATGTAATCTAAAAGGATGGCACACATAATTTACGTGTATATGTCATACATACGCGTATAATGAAAAAGTGAACGTAAACTTGATTTGTACACGGTTCAAGTAGATAAATGGACAAGATAGTACTTGATTTTTAATTCAATTTTATAGCACAGTACCAACTAATTTACGGTCGATAATTTTGCATGATATCAACACCAATCGAGGAATGGAGGAACTCGAAGGTATTAATAGTTTATATTTCGTCTTCTCGAAAAACGAATAGCTTTAACGAAACAATTTACCGTTATTTTACGCCGTTAATTTAGGCAAAAATAACGTTGCAAGTTGATAGTTACTGTACATTACTGTAACCAATTATCGATCAGTGCGACGCCACTACGTTGCTCCTTCGACTTTGAGTATAATATAAATGATACTACTGTATTTTAGGAGTCTAGATAGTAGAGCGAGAAGACTATTTTACAAGTACGAGCAGTACTCCTTCAAGATCGCATTAGAGGCATGTTTTTCTCGATCTGTGATTGTTATTGGATTCATTTATCAGGCACATTATCTAATGATAACTATAGATAGATTGCATTACTGTTATTTATTCACTAAATGCATCGATTTTGTATTCATTGATTCTTAATCAATTAGGAGAAATAACATAGCAAGCCAGCGACTACTATTGCTCTCTAATGACGATAGTACTTTAGCTAGTTACAGGGTTATCGTCTATCGCCACAGTGCACTACGACAATGATGATGATGTACGTCTCGAGCATACTGCATATTAAAATACATCCATGTTATGTAGGGAATATTCCCCTTGTAGGATTACGATACCATACTCACTATTGATTTAATACGATAGAAAATGTTGTCGCCATTGCGAGATACATCTTCACTTGGTATCGAGATGATCCACATTTTCCACTATTGGAAATTGACGGAAAGGCAGATTTTCAAAATGGTCAAAAATGCGGTATTGGCAATCCCGCGTCCTCTACAGTATGTAGCCAGCAGGCGGGCAGCAGCGTTTTCCCTACATGTTGCATATTGTACAGCACCGTAGTGCAGCAATGTTTTCATATGACGTAGAGACCTCAAAATATGGTCCAGTACTGTATGTATAGTTCCATGTATACTATAGTTGTCAACGTTTAGAAAGGCTGAAGAATGTATTTCTAGTAGTCGACTATTAAACCCAGCAATTTAGCCCTAACTTTTTTGCATCAAGTACTTTGTAAACTTCGTTTCAGCTGCTGATACATTTGGCATGTACTGACCTATCTAAAAAATAAAAGTTAAGAAATCGTCCAATCTCACGCGACGCAAATCAAATTTCTTGATTTTTTTTTTTAGATAGGTCAATACATGTCAAATGTATCAGTAGGACAGGTTAAACAAAGTATACAAAGTAATTGATGCAAAATGGTTAGGGCTACCTAGCATATCATGAACTAGCAAAACCCGTGGAATTTACTAATTACGAGTTTTGCTAGTAGTTTATTTTATTATTAATCGGATTTATGACTAGCAGACTACCCGTTCAAAGGAGAGGAATTAAACTTTAAAGCAAACACATGAATATGTTGACTAATTACTGAAACAGATAATTCAAACGAGCAACAAGATACCATCGGTACCTCCTTAGAAGCTTAGTACAGAACAAGTTTATAGATGTCAGAAATTGCCATTTGACACATCGTATCATTGATCTATTGTATACTAAGCTCATAGTGCGCTACCTGTGATATCTCGTTCCCTTTAATCATCTATTTGTTATCCTGGAATGAGTATTTATGGATATATATGTCATTTACTGTATACTGTACAGTATTGACATAATGTCATCGCGAGTTGGCTAGTGTACTCCACCACATATAAAAAGTGAAATTATGTCACGAAAGGGGATGTTTCATTGCTTTCGAATTTAAAGTGTAACTTTGATTTATGTTAATGGAATTGATCCAGTTCAGTTTATCTCCATAGATCTATGTGTTAGTACACTCCAGAATGTCTACAGTAGACATCTAGAGATCTCTGCGTATATGAATTTTTAGATCACAAACATCTGTGATATTCTTTTCTCCAATTGGACACCCGTTATAATTTACTGATTTTGCTATACATAAAGTGTATTGTGCGCTAATAGCCTCTGTCGTTTTGCATAGAACTCGTTTTACACCTGCCTGAAGCAGTCTTACTATCTCTTACAGGTGTATTATGGTTATAATTATTACGCAGAATAGTATACATTAAAATGTCGATGGGTACTATTCCATTTCAGTAAGTGCATTATGTATTAATGCATCTGTAGGACTGTTTCGGTGAAGTATACAACGAATTTAATGCAAAATTACAAAGCAGCGATGTTACTAACGCCATTCCAATATCTTATAGTGATATCATGGAAGGTGCTCCACAGTTTCAGCATGTAATCTGAGATATCAAGTGCATACTATATAATATTTAGGAAGGATCTTGTATTTTTTTTGCCCAAAATATTTTAAGTTAAATGTGCTTATGCCTATACTTGTGTTCTGTACATCTCGACGACTGCAGAGCAGGTGTGTATTAATATGCGAATATACGAATTTTTAGCTATTTTTCTCACATTGATTTTATGATGCAAACTATAGTTCTGGAAGAAAGAGGGGATAGACTAAAACTCCGAACTGTTCCGAATTTTAGTCGATCCCGAAAGAGGGAGAGACTGTCAACGACTTTGGTCGCTAGAAAATGTGCAGGCTGACTATTTCTGAACTCATTTCAAAGTATTCCGTACATATAAAACCGTACATTGTACTATTTATGGCTACGCCTTGAGGTAGCTACCAAGTTGCTTGCACAGTAAAATAGTCAGCTTCTACGTTTTTTCAATGAAAATCGTTGACAGTCGCTCTCTCTCTTTAGGGTTAGGGTTAGGGCTACTGTACTGTACTGTAGATCATTCATAAATGGGGATATAACGGTCAGTGATACTTTCATTATTTATGGACTTAAGAGCAAGTTTAACTTTCTAACTTTACCAGATTCAGATTTTTCAGAATCTCTCCATCAATCTAATATATCATTCTATTATAGCTTTACTGTATTTTTAAAGAAAAATATTTGCCCGAAAGTGACAAAATGTTATGAAACACCCTCAGTACAGTACAATGTACAGTACACTTTTCTACAGTATATTTGAGTATCAAGTACTGAAGATTACGAAGATTACTACAGTACTGTAGGCTATAGAATGTACTGTACACTGTACATTCGTATTCTATCTGTCTATGCTGCATACCGGGTCGGACAGACGGACTTATATGACCGGAAAATATGGAGAAATAAATTAGTTACTGTACTGTAGTATGGATCTTCCATGTCTGCGAAATCACTGGTACTAATTTAAATAGCGTCTATGATCTTATAGAACTATTTTGAAGCAGAACTTTGTAATAGACTAAAAGGTTCAATGTAATATTACTTAATTGAGAAAACATCAGTCAATTCAAAATCGACCGTCTTCATACTACAGTAAAGTAGTGCCATAACGAAGTATCTAGTCGATGAGACCGAAAATATCTGTCCATCCAAGAGTGATCAGTCAGTCCACGGTGGACTCCAAAGTCCAAAGCTCCAAACCACTTTCCAGTACAGTTAGTTCCACCTGTCGATGGTTTTATTTATTCAACAAGTGTGAACACTGGCACAATATGCATATGAGTCAAGTCTACTTTACTATCATCGTGAGTCTGATACAGCGTTGTACCAGCTATAGAGCAGCATATGCGTCGAGGTTCTCTTTTGTGTGCAAAGGAAAAGATGAACCAGTCATTAACGTAACTGTAAATTAATTCTAAAATTGTTCAATTAGAAGAATTTATAAGAATGAGAGATCACTTAACAAAGTAGCGCTTAGGTTAAGTAAGCTTCCATCCAGACAGCTAAGCTAAATGGAGAAACACAGTGTTAAGCAGTCTGCTGGAGCACTTTACCTAGAATCAGCTAGGATACTAAAGAGGATTGAAAAAAAATTGGGTTGCGCTAAGGGACTTATTTATGGCAGCAAATTTGGCGATAAGAGGAAATTATATGCTATCATTTATGAAGTACTTAAATGTAGGCATAAAATTATCGTAATAATTTAGTACATTTTAATTTATGGTTGCAAGAATGATATGGATTGGCTTAATATAGCTATAGTTGATGCAAAATCAATATAATGCATACAGTACGATTGACTGCAGTTTGGTTACAAAGTACTATACTGTAGCTAATTTTGCAGATCTGCTATAGCGTATTAGTTATATGTGAATGTAATTAATGCTAAGTATCATAATCAATTTATTAAGATAATTTTACACAACGTCACCTAATACTACCATGCTTAACGAATTCCAGATCGGGAAGTTATAAATGAAATTATCGTCCAATCTCGGTTGATGGCGTACGAAAAGGTATTATAATTCTATTTTATATTGTTGCTGCTAAGATGAGTAATAACGGAATAACTAAGCTACGTATTGTAGTTCTCTTAATTTTGACCAACATTACAACTATATATGCTACTGTGAAATGGAAATACAATAGGTATATTACATCTTGATTACAAGTGCTGTTTAGTTTTGGTATTATGATATTGCATATATCCGATACGACACAACTAATATTCATTCCATAATTAATTGGAAAAATCGAGCAAGGACTGTGATACCCTTCATGCTTTTACGCGTTGATCTCAATTTACTGTGTACAGTATACCAAACTGATTAGAATACGGTAGGATGCGGAACTTTAGTCTAGTGTAATACCTAAATTACGTTATACGTACAGTAGTATATATGTACAGTACAGTGTAAATTATGCTGTGCTGGTATTATAAACTAGTCCCAAAATATTGACAACTTCCATCAACGCAATCGAATCTAATTGCATCCAAGTTGAATACATCCGCATCAACTTGACCTTTAACTTTATGATACGCGATTAATTTTCTGGTTTTGCCCGAGTCAATTACAGCTGGAGAATGAAAGCTTCTAAAATTATTTGTATTCCGTAGTATGCTACGGCTGATAGAAGCTCATAACAAAATCTTCTTCACAAACAATTATACTCTTCGTTCTTTATCACCATTAGATAGAGTGGCACTTAGCACAAGTTCTAGTGTATGATTTATGTTTTGGACGCGGGATTAGATGCGGTGGAAAACTAAAATTTATAATTATCAGGCAACGAGATAGACTTCGCTCTGCGTTGGATCGTATCATGTCTTGTAGACAAGCTGTACGAAAGGAAGACCTTGCATCCTCAAGTTCGATCATGGCAAGTAATACCAATTTTTATTACTTGAAGCAAATTATAATAAGTAGACTTATGTGTGATATGTGATACATACAAAATTATTTTTATACTCTTTCAGGTGGAATTCCTCGATATGTACGCGTTAATACCTTAAAAATGACTAAAGTAAAAGCTATCGAGCGTTTTATCGCAAACGGATTTCAATATATTCCAAGTGATTTAGTATACAATGCTGGCACTGTTGACATTACAAAACTAAGGGAGAAGATATTTACATCAGATATACATATCGAAAATTTACTGGTTTTACCCCCTAAAAGTGATTTGCATGATAACGAGATGTATTTAAATGGAGAAGTTGTACTCCAGGACAAGGTAAACTGCGATTACATCTGATCTCCTTGTAAGTCTCGCTGAAAATGATCACAATGATTACTAACATCAAAGTGAATAAATCGTTATAACCTAGGCTAGTTGCATTCCCGCTTTTACTCTCAATCCACCTCCCCAATCATGTATTATTGATGCTTGTGCAGCACCAGGCAATAAGACTAGTCATCTGGCAAGTATAATAGGCAATGTGGGAAAAATATATGCTTTTGACATTAGTCCGAATAGGATCAAAACTATGCGAGAATTACTAGATAAAGCTGGGGTTACCTGTGTAGACCTCAAAAGACGAAATTTCTTAAATGTTGGTTCAACGATATTATCGAATAGTAAATAGCATGGTACTGCGTGTTTTTAATTTGCAAGTGTTACGGCTTCTTACAGGTTAACGTAATGGAATATGAAGACGTAGAGTACATTCTCCTAGACCCATCTTGTTCAGGCTCCGGGATTGTCGATAGAGGTGATATTAATGCCGAGAGTAAAAAACTTTGTAATGCAAATAAGAATCGACTTCAATCTTTGGCCGACTTTCAGCTAAAGGCCTTAAAGCAGGCACTATCCTTTCCTTCTGTTAAGAAGGTCGTGTATTCTACATGTTCTATGAACGTTGAGGTAAGGCAATTACTGCATTCGTATACAGTATGACGTATTGCAGATAATCTGAGAAAACATAGGAAATTTTTACAAATTTTAATTTCTTTATTTCAGCATGCTATGCATTACTAATTTATAATGTCAGTATCGATATAAATTTCAATTCCATAATATAATTTGTGGATAAACGTGTATTAGACTTACAAGCATTGTGTCCAATACCATACAAACCACAGTTTGCGTTAATGTCAGAAATGAACGGCTACATACGTGTAACTGCATACCAAGTAATTAGTGAATTTCTTTTATCAGGAAAATGAAGAAGTCGTCGAAGCAGCATTGAAAGTATTCGGTAATAAATACAAACTGATACCGGTACTAGAAGATTGGCCATATCGTGGGATGTCTGGTTACGCTCATTGGAAGTTCATGTTTAGATCATCCCCAAAAACATCCACTACGGGATTTTTTGTGGCTTTATTTTCAAGAATAACCGATCGGCAAACAAAATTAAATACTTTCTTTAAAAGGAAAGCTTCTTTTCATAGAAGCTTACTTGAAAACTACGATAGCAATACGAAACGAAAGCGAAAGAAGATCAAACGCTTCCTTCGCTTTAAGCGAAAAAACATATCTAGTGATAAGGAGGCATAATTTTAGACGATATTCTAAAATTTATTGAAACAGCAAACCACTAAAATTGAAAGTTAATACTTTTAGTGTTGTAGTAAATTACTACATGGTGATGAAACATTAAACCACATTAACCAATTGATTATTGGTACTTAAAAAATTACAAACTGGTGTTTACAACCCTTTCGTCTTTGGGTAATAATTTTTACTTAAATGATTGGGATTAATATATTCACTAACAGCATTAAAAGATTGAACTGTTAGAAATGCACACCGTAATCCGATTTCTACGGATACGTTTATGTCGTGTCCTTTCAGTATCGCTGCAATCATACCACCAGCAAAGCTAAGGAACAGAACAATGTATGTACAAATAAGTATCAAGCTTAAAGTGCTGCAGCAGTATACAGCAACAAATTTTTTAGAAACCTATCTCCGGAGCCGGTAACGTTTGCAATTGTAATTGGATCTTGAACCGAAGAAATCGCAGGGAAATGTGTGACGATTGGAGACAATCGTGTCGTGCTATCCGCAAGCGCTTTTTCTGTCACAGAAGAGTATTCAGCATTGTTTTGAATTAGTAGTACACCATCGGCACCAAGCGTAACAATAAGGTGCCATGGAAATTGCAGACAGCGCATACTTTCAGAGACATAGCTAATTTTGTCATCGATTGATGAAAGTTTCTCAGCACCTTCTTTGAACGGTTATGTAAAAGCTGACGTTACTTTTTACCATATCGTTTTTAATTCGCGAAATATTTCCTAGCAAAAACTTAATTAAGCTATTATAAATTGCTATAGTACTTACTTGGTAGTGTTTTAGTAGAGTCCTTATAATTATAATAATATTCACAAAGGCTCGTCAGCTCGGATAGGTTTGGTGATACATAGGTACATGTTCTCCAGTATTTCGACGTCAGAATTTTTGGAGCTTTGGATACCGTTGTAGGTTCAAACCATACTGTAAAATAAATTAGCTAAGTTGATGAGCTCCGAAATACTCAAATACGCTCGCTCATTACTTGCCTGGAATGCTGTGTTTAGTAGCTATGCTAAGTACGTAGTTTATAGCTTCCTCAGATATGTTACCATCCATGCAAATAATCGGAGCTGAAATTAGGTGATTTTCATATTTTTTAAGCTGCAATCAAGTTAAACAATTTGCAATTAAAAGAACAAGTCTACCCCTTGCAGTAAAATCATACTACTACGCGTATATACAGGACTAACTAGATCACAGGAGATTTCTTCATTAATGTTCATATCGCCCACTGCCAGTAAGACCTCTTCAGTTGTGTTGGATACAGCAGAATATGTGGAGGTACGATGCCCATTGCATAACGTTTCAATTCCAGTAACGTCCTGTAGCAATTGAGCGATACGATATAAAGACAATCTCGTAAGCAACAAAAACAAAGCACGAAATTACCATTCCGGCCTGCTTGCAATGATCGAGTAAAAGTTTTCCTTGCAAATCATTTCCAATAACAGAAATAAACAGTGGATCGCATCCTAGCCGCGTTAAGCATTCTGTGAATTATAAAATTATTTAAATAATATTATAAACAGTACACTGGCTATATTTCCGGGAAATCATAGCAATTCTTAATGCAATTATCAAAAATGCTGTAACCTGCTACATTGCGACCAACACCCCCATAGGACTGTCTTATTTTACCTTGGTGTGTATCCTCACTTTGCTGATTATTTCAAAATATCATTAGAACTATTGTTGATTGTGTAATAAAGTACTGCTGTACTTTAAATTCGATTGACTGTACATAGTGGAGTGGATAAGAAATAGTAAAAGATATGATTATAGCTCAAAATCACCTTATCATCAAAGTTTGCACAAGCAAAGTTATCAACAATTGAGGCACCAATGACGATCTGATAGAAATGTAGAAAACAATTATTGGTGTCTATTTTATTTCTATTGGGTACACTAATCTTGTGACGATGCAGAGTTCCTTTATAGAAATTTCTATATCGGATGTCAATTACTTCATAACACCGTGCACAACGACGTTCTACCGTTCGCTCTGAGTTAATAAACAAAATTTGTGCCTTACAGGCCTTGCGCAGCTGATATCAGTATTTCTATCTGTAATCCGGCAATTTTTACCGATAGGATAAGGCTAGGTAAGATAATAGTGAAACAGATATTAGCTAACTAATTTGACTCGAAATAATCCACCCAAAAGCACAGGATATAGATTTGTATATATACATTATACTGTAGTATATATATATTATATATTTATTTATATTAATTTTAGATTTGTTTACCTGCGATTTTTCCGATTGGAGAGAAGTATATTCACTAGCAATGTGACTTCCTACTTTCGCGTTATTCTTTATCAATTCAATATCTAAGCAGACCAAGAAATTATTATGCAGACTTCTTTTATGATTACACAACTTCTTTCTAAGTTTTAGTAATTATATATAATTATATAATAAAATCAACATATTAGTGATGTATTAATCCTCACAAGATCGCATAATTTTTACTAAAATACGTGCAAGTACAGTATGACAGAACCTACATTGTGAGTGAAATGCATGCAGAAATGAACAAAATACATAATTACGAACATACTGGCCTTCAATGATTCCCCTTTTGTCAACAGGTTTACGTTCTGAAGGATGTAGGGAGTTACAGATTTACCGGTAATGCCTTCTGATCTGATTAATAGTAATGGTACCATAAAATTTTTGTACTTTTATAATTATGCATATTTAGTAATATATGGTAATGAAAATAATCGGAGCACACATTAGCGGCAAAAATTCTCTATACTCACTTAGAATTTGCTAAAACAGTATGTATAGTACTATTAACCAACTCGCCCGATGCGGATGCATTCTTCGGAATAGGTACAGCTACGATCATACCACTACTTATACCTAATCTTTTACTGGCATCTAAATATTCAGAATTAATAGTTATGTATAGGTATGATTTTGAATAAATACTACATTTGGATATAAAACTGCTTAATATTACGAACCAAAAACCAGTGCTGCTTCCTTAGGCGACGAAACTGTATGAGGAGACTATATTAAATAAATTTCAAAACAAAAAATACGAATAAGAATACTTTCTAGAGAGTGGTGATATCCTAGTATACGTATACTCCAACTTTATAACCGCTTTCTGCAGTAAAAAATCCAGGAAAATTAGAGTCATTGCCCAACGTCATTACTGTAACCCCGTTCGTCTCCTACGTAAAATAATCTGATCTTAAGAATTTCACCTAGATATTTGTCATTGTGACTGCCAGACTGTATGGTACCGTACTCGTATGCCACAGCTTTAAATATTAATTAATAGCCGTTGGAGATTACTCATCAGTGACCACAGTAATTCTACACTTACTAGATATTCAAGAGTGAGTCCAATATCAAGAATAGATTTAACCCCAGCACAAACAACCATCACAGGGATTTTTCCTAATTCTAGAAGATCTGCACTAATATCCATACCTAGTAAATTGAAAAGGTTTACTCTCAAAACCCCATCCTTGCTTAGATGTAAAATACTGCTATACATTTTATAAGAGATAATACAATGAATCTAAAAATCAACATATGTTAATACTCAATTCTCCTCCACGGTGAACACCACCAATTCCGCCAGTAACGAAGACTTTAATACCAGCATAATGAGCTAATAACATTGTAGCTGAAACTGTGGTTCCACCAGATAGTTGCTACACATTAAATAAGTGTGAAGAGAAGGAACATTAGCCATAAACTAACAAACGACAGTATTAGAATAACCCCCAAAATACAATAGTGGTACGCTATCGCTAAACTAGGTCGTAGTAAGTGAACTTCAAAACTTTCGAATGTTATGTCATACTGTAATGCAATTGACCAAATCTAAATTTAGGCTAGTATAATGTATCAGATAAGGCTAAAACCTTAGCTGTTGCAATGGAAAGATCACGGCGAGCAATTTTGATAGTGTTAGACGATTTAGCTAAATGTTCAATTTCACCTTCAGTCAGCCCTAGTATGGATAAAGCAATAATTTCTTAAATGGTTTAGTCAATACATAAGGGGTATTCATCATTGATTGGAATAAACATTCTAGAATATAATTTATTGTGCACACTCAATGTTCTAGCAGTTACCTATTTTAATTCTACCATCAATAACTCCAATTGTAGCTGGTTGGACTTTATTATCTCGAATAATTTTCTCGACTTCTTTCGCTACTCTAAATTATTTGATTAATGAAAAGTTGAAATTCAGATAAATGATAACCATTCAAAGACATTTCAATTTTAAGCCTATATCATTACCAGATAAGGATCATACGATGACATTTATTGATGTTATATGCTAAAATATAACTTGAATAAGTTATAGTTGCAACCGAATAATCTCAATATACTGATACAGTGAAGAGTACATTGAAGGTCTTTAGCTTACACAGTTGAACTACTGTATAATAAAAGTAAATAAGAATAAGAACACACCCACGATCAGGAAAAAGTAGATCTACCTGTAGAATACTACGTTACCACTACAATATTACTCTACCTATTTTAGTATTTTTTGTTATGTGACTAATTATGCGAAGTAAGATCGTGATACTGTATTCTGATCATGTGTTAATTCGTGATATCATTGATGATTCACTGTGCTTTATACCAGTTTTACGTGTGCGGATTACGTCGAGGATATTCTCTTTACTCATATAATAAACTGTATTATAATATACCGTGATGTGTATGCCACTGCAATCTATGTGTCCGCAACGACACTTATAAAAGTATCCCTCGAGCTCGAGCTAACTCGTACTTAGGCTCACTCCACATAGAAATAAAGTGAGTCCTGCTTTGTTATTCTGCATATACAACGACATCCTTGTAATCTTATTAAAGATCAAGAGCTACAATAGCTGAGACTACCGCCTTTTCACTATAAGGTACTGTTATTTAACTTTATTAATGCCATAAATTAAGAGCAAATTGGAATTGATCCAGAGATTATATCTTACTTAAGGACTGGAATGATATACTTTACGATGTCTTCAACTTTTAACTACAATAAAAACTAAGGATATCTGATAGACACATAAGAAGTGGTATACATTGCTTCAGTATCTAGTCAAGTCAGCAAATCGGTAGGAGGATTTAGTTACTACTATTAATTCGGGATTGATGTATTAAAATAATAATCTAAAGATCTTTGATTTGTATCAGTCACCCTAACGACATGAATACGGCATATGAATAAAATTTTAAACTTGCATAAGAACTGTATAATAGAGATAAGAATATAATTAAATTGAGACCTAAAACTGTATATAAGATTAATTAAACGTTAGGTTGTTCTCCAAGTTGTTATCGATCAGGCCCTCACTCGTATTTATATCGCGTTAATCTACCATTTAATATTCATTTTGCTCTTAACATCCTACTGATTCCACTTATGTCAATCACCGGTAGCTTAAAGTTATAATTACAATATACAGTATATACATACTTGTATACATAAATATATATTATCGCTATTCTTGAGAACGTTTTCAGCCTTAAACAATTATGCTCAAGTATCGCGAGCTAATTAGCGAAACTTTTATACTAACTTACTGCAAATTCGTAGGATAAGGCATTCCATGTGTGATTATAGTTGATTCTAAAGCTACGACCGGATAATTGCCCTGCAGGGCTCGATTTATTTCTGGGTTAATATCTATTAACGTATTTCTGATCCCTACAAGCGGATATATATGTTAATTAATTAGTTAGTAAAATCTCGATACGAGGACAATAAATTGAATATAAGTCAGTTAACGACCCAAGTCCTGTAGACTTGACGAAATGTGATAATTCAAACGCGTGCAGTATGCGTATACTGACTGAGCTATACACTAGGCTTCTCTAACAGTAATATATATATAATCTACAGTATCAAGTCCATTGCTGTATTCACTAATAACTTGAGAAAACTGGTGATACACGAACTATCTAATTCATGATTTGATTGATTATGTAATTACATAACATACTGTATACTCGTCCATGTGTATTAATTATACCGTATGCTATACAGTGTACGTTATGATAAGAATTCATTGCATTTACTACTATAGCAGAGTTAAAAATGAATATCACCTCTAGGATCAATATTTCTATTTGTCTATTTCATGAAAGGGTGCACCCTTACAATACCAATATCCATCTGGATATCTGAGAGTGAAATATAGCACTAAACATTTTGCACGATGATGTAAATATCATTATACGTCGTGGTCTATTCTGCTAGAGAATCATGCTAAAAATATATATGTAACAGCATTTAATTACGTATATTATAATACGTCAGTTGGAGTTCGGAGTGATATATCACTCTGATGCAATTCACTAATGTGTACTAACCAGAATAGGTAGCTAATCCATTTCGGGTACCGAAAAATCGACTAATCATAGATGTACCAGTTACCCTAAATTTGCTGTTATTGCTTACTAACGTCCTCAGCATTTCGTCGTTCTTCTACGTTGCTATACTGTACGGAAGTGAGAACGCGAATCTACGATTAGATGCAGTAGATCAATCATAAACGAATTACTGTAGTCTCCAAGTAAAAGCCTGCCAAATATTATGCACTAGCAATCAACTTCACTAGTAACATAAAATGAATAAAATATAGCTGCTCCAAAAGTCCAGTACTGCTGCTAGGCTGATTCAGCCAGCATGCACAAAGTTGCAAAAGGTCAAGCTGCGGCACTTACAGTGGTTGTACCGTACGAGTGTCCACATATACTGTAGCACAGGACACTACACACTGTAAAATAGTGTAAAAGACCTGTAGTGGCCTACAATACAATGTACTGTAAGTGGATCCAGATTCCGCGCCAATACACAAACCTTGTAAATAAAGGCTAGATACATCAAAGAGGTAAAAAAAGCTTGCCAAAGCACAAGGCATCTATTAGACGAGAGATCCTGGCTAAAATCATTGAGATTTTAGTGATTTTGCAATCACGAAAGCGTCACATCGTATGCAAAAAGTCAGGGACAAGTGGTCAATTGGCTATCACTATCAACTGATGATTTAATTTCATGACCATGAAAATTTTATGTTGGAATGTAAATGGAATCCGAACCACGGCTTATGGCAAAGGTTCTATTAAAGATCTGTTGGAATTTTTGAATGCCGATATTTTATGCTTCCAAGAAACGAAACTATTGAGTAAGCTTTATGTACAATTATTGAAAGCTACTAGTTACTGTTTTAACTATTGCGCGATGTATCTTACATCGAAACCAAGTAATGTGGGCTTGCAAAATGATCGAAACTTGAGCTGTATGGCTGTATGCAACATTAGGTGTACAGAGCTTACAACTCGAAATCGTGCATTGCTAGTTACTCAATCAAGTTAGTGGACAATACAAGTAGAAGAGTATTCGGTCCATCAAGGTAGAGCGTGGGCTAATACTGTGATTGCGCGAAAATACTTTATAAGCGCAGAATTACATCTCTCGTACATGATTAAATTCGAATTACCTTGTCTTCATTTTCTCACTACGATACTACACTTGAATGATAAGACTAATTATAGTAATGATTTATATGGTACAAACTAGAACTTAACCATAAAATCTTTTCTAGGAGACCAGCTTGATGAAAGCATAGCATTTGTGGAAGGATACAATTCATACTTTTCTTTCAGTCGTGGCAAAGTCGCTTACTCAGGTTCTTGATACGAAATACATACATTTTTTAACTAACATACAAACAAGTACGGTATACACGTATGCGTAGTATATAGTCTTGTCTGTTTATGATATCTTAATCTACTACTCCCTAAGTTTTGAAATGAATAGTTCTATCTATAATGTAATAGTCTATAGTATATCTGCCCAATAATTTTAATCATTGCTTAGATTCATAAGTGTCTATCAATTCTTGTGGTATTTGATATAGGTGTTGCAACGTATTGCAAGACTGATTGTGCTCCAATTAGGGTAGAGGAAGGACTATCGAATGTGTGGGCTGCGAAAAACGCCGATAGGATTGGACATTATGGCAATATTTCAAAATTCAATAGCGAAGAATTATCATTACTGGATGCTGAAGGGAGAGCAATTTTAACAGAACATAAAACTGACTTTGGTCGCAACGTTGTTGTCATTAATGTATATTGTCCGAGAGCTGATCCCGAAAAGCCTGAACGGCTGAATTTTAAATTAAAATTCTACGAATTACTCCAAGAGCGAGCGGAAGCACTGCTGATAGCGGGAAAGTAAGGAATTTCTGTCAGTAGCGTACTTAAAGTACTTTGTCGGTAATGTGTTTTAACTTTTAATAGGCATGTTGTCATTGTTGGAGATGTAAACACTTCTCACAAACCTATCGATCATTGTGAACCGGATATTAAGGTTGGCAAAGTTGCGATAGATTTTCATAATTAAGGCGATTAATTTTGAAATATAATTCAATACAGGCGATGCAAAATAGTCCAAGTTGCCACTGGCTCGATAACCTTTTGATACCTCTCGATAGTGAGGGAAAAGTTGACAGTAGTATCTCAGCTGGAAAAAAGTTTATTGATAGTTTCAGATATTTCTATCCGCGTAGAAAAGAAGCGTTTACGTGTTGGTCAACTGTAACGAGCGCTCGTAAAACTAATTATGGCACCAGAATTGACTATATCATTGCAGATAAAGATTTAGTAGTTTCATACTTTGCTGAATCGCAAATTCAACCTGAAATTGAAGGATCTGATCACTGTCCAATATATGCTGATTTAAAATTTACGATTAATCCTTCTGATAAATTACCATGGCTCTGCACTAAATACATGTCTGAATTTAGTAAGAAACAGTCGAAACTTACTGAGTTTTTGAAATTAGGGAAAGAATCTACTGAAAGATCAGAGCCTACGAACACCACAAGAATTAACAAAATGAAAGATACTAATGTAACTGTAGATACCAAGGGATCCAATCAGAAGCGAGATTCAACCTGTCCTGTTAATATCGATGTTAAACGTTCTAAATCGTCTTCGAATAAATCATGCAATCTTTTAAATTATTTTTTTACTAAACCAAGTAACACGCACAAGTCAAACACATCAATAATTCAGCCTACTGTAGAAAAAGAGCCACTCGAAGCTATAAAAGATAAGAAAGATAATAACAACGATTCCCGTGAGCTTAATAATTCTCAGCAGAATAATAAAGAAAACAAGAAAGAGGACGAAGCTGCAATGGTCGCAAATGATAAATCAGAGACAACCAAGGCATGGAAATCGATATTAAGTGGACCTCCACCTATTCCCCTATGTTCAGGTCATAAAGTGCCGAGTGTGATGCGAACTGTCAAAAAGTCTGGCCCAAATCAAGGTCGAAGGTTTTACGTCTGTACATTACCCGAAGGACGTCGTGGTAACCCTAATGCAAGGTGTAATTTTTTCCAGTGGGCTAATTAAATCGGCACGACTTAAAAGAAGCTCTAAATTTCTATTTGATGTTTAGATACTGATATATCCTCACTGCTCTATTTGTTTGAAGTTACGCTGATTGATGTAACTGATAAAACAACGATTGTATAAATCTTAATGTAATTAATTTATCTCATAAAGTTTTTATCTTATACTAGTATGGTTCTTATTACAGTTTGGTAAACCATGTGCTATGTACAAAGTTATACATTGCTGTTCGAGAGCGATAAAGATTTACCTTTATACATCTTGCGTAAATGTGATCACCCTAAGCATGGAATAATAAAACGTGTAAATTGTCCTATTGCACTTCGGTAACAACGAAATAATCGGATTACATGTTGGTAGTAATAAGCAACTCACTAACTCAGGTACTGGCAAATACTGTACGATCCATTTATTTAGTCTCTAAAACAGTAGTATTTTTTTTAATTTAACTCATAAGTAATAGGTTACAGGTAGCTCACTTATCTACAAGTCTGAAGGGTTGATCATTTCAGCTATATCGAATTCGTAACTAACAGTACTGTATACAGCTACACCTGTTATAATATCATATCACGACCTGTACGAAAGCAAGTGTACTATTACAACAATATTGTACAATACCATGGACTACTAGAAAATACCTAGTAGTCCATGACTATACTAACGGTGAGTTAATAGCATGACATTTACGCAAGAAAATTTAGTTCCGAAGCTAAGCGATTCTTAAACGTGTGTAAATGATAATGATACTTGTTTCGCTTGTTACTGTGTATCACTATGGTATAGTATAGTAGATTATTTGTAGATCGGAGTCTTGCAGGATATCTCTCGCTCCATTAGTTCATGGTATAGTGCAGTATATTTGATTGCTGAATCAACAGTAAGGCAGAAATCTACAATGACGACGATTTTTCACTGATTGACTCAGTGCACTGTGTACAAGGATAAAGAGGAAATTATCATAAAGATAGGGAAGATTTGCAGTCTGATACTTGCAAGTCAGAGACTAATGAGAGTCAAGAACATGGAGAGCGACTATAATCCTGAAGACAAACGTATTACTACATACTGTATAATGTCCAGCTCAGTGTACCTAAATAAGCTAAATATATTATAGTATGAGGATAAACAATGTGAATACTGGAGTAAATAGGCCATTTTAACATTATACAGAGTTTCGATTAATTAAAGTAGTACCACTTAGCGGAACAATCATTACTACAGTAACTGTAGTATCCATAGAGTTCAGAAAAACCTCTATGGTAATATCGGAGACTCTGAGTCATGACAAATGTATACCCAAAACCAAACAACAAGAGCTTAATACCAATCCATGAAATCTTAAAAATCAACCAAGCAGCTAATTTAGAGGTCAATCTATGCTGCAAACATGCGATGCAATTGAAATGACGGGTAAAATAATTAATATCTAATTATAATCAGCCACGCCATTTTTAGTGAAGGATCATTTCCCGAAAGCAGCGTACAGTTAAGTACAGTATACAGTACTGTACAGTACAGTACAGTACAGTAAGTGAAGTCTTGGACTACTGTACTGTAGCAATAGTAATGTACTGTAGATACAGAGATGTTGTACTGTACGGTTGTCAAGCAGGAATGGTTGCTAAGCAGAAATGCATAGTAACAGCATGGTAACAGCCGCAATTATACCATCGCAACATACATAGTGGATATGTTCTACACGGCATATAATTAATTAGTAAAAATAATAATAATAATAATTTTAAATTCTTGTTGCTTATTCAACGGCAATCTACGGGGAAGTATCAAAATGTCTGCGAAGTTACGCGTACTCCTACCTTCATCCACACAGAACTTAGACTTAAAAACACCTGGATCTGTGTTTATAGCTCATGAGGAAGATAGTGCAAGTGAAACTAACATCTTACAATTAGAAACATTTACTTATCAGAAAGAAGCCAGTGAGCACGATGTCCAAAAAAGCGATAGTGATGATGACGATTCTACTCTTAATGAAGAGGTTGATCTTAAAATTATAATTTAAAACACTACTATAATTTCTGTAAAATAAGTTATAACCTTACCCTTCCTTACCAGAATGCTGCAATAAGCGTCGAAATGATAGCTGAAGCTCTATCAAACTATGGTCGGTCCCCGGATGGACTACAACGTGTTTTTCTAGATGTTGAGCTGATTGGTAGAAATCTCATCGATATAACAGATATTGCCAAGTTCAATTACCTTCAGAAAGCAACACTATCATATAACAAAATCACTGGTAAAATGCCTGTTCAGTATTGAAAATTTTAATTCAAAAAAGAACCTTACTTCTGTCGGTCGAATGGCCACAACATTAAGGTCAACTGATTTGATTACTTTCTTATAATTACCAATAACATAGATTTAACTTCGCTGAGTTACTTGCCTCACCTCGTCTATGTGGATGTGTCGCATAATGAATTAACGAAATTACTTGACTTCAAACCTCCAACGAATCTTAAAGTTAGGCAGTGATATTGATTTCTTAATAAGTGAGACGTATCACTTATTACTTGTAATTTTATGTCTTGAGTGTTGTCGCTGTACTCTGAATCTAGCTTAATAACTTACAATAAATAACATTTATCTTTTAGTATGCCAATTTCTCACACAATAAACTCAAGGAGTTAGGAGATCTATCCGAATTTAATACGTTAGCTACCCTGAACCTAGATTGTATCCTAATCTAAAACTAAATACTAGCTTTAACTTAAGCAAAGCCTTCCTACTATTTACGTTCCTTTACTGCCTAAATGCAAAGATAATCAAATATCAGAAATCCAAGGTTTGGAGAAAGCACATCGTTTAATGGAATTAAGGATAGCTCACAATAACATCACAAAGATCCAGAATTTGGACAACTTGCATATAAGAATTCTCGATTTAGTAAGCCCGGTGTTTGTCTTATAACTTTAACACTATTTATATGTAGCCTTTTATTTCCCACTTACTTTGCCTGCATTTGAATTTGATAGGGAAATAATAAGATTAAGAAGATTGAAAATATCGAGACTTTAAAGTGGTTACAGGTGAAATTAGGCGCATATTGAATAAAATATTGTAAAATTAAAATAACTATCGTTTCTCAATTTCAGTCTGTATTATATAGCATTTTTATCTAGCGAATAATTTTGTTCGGAGCCTTAAAGGACTGCAAAATCACGAAATGCTTGAAACTATCGATCTTGAAGATAATCAGGTAACAAAATGTTCATTTTTACATATACTGTTAACTATTTGAAACCGTGTACTATTCCCTCTAGATTATCGATTACACAGAAATAAAGTATTTAAAAGATCTGGATTCTCTACGTGAATTGAACCTTAAAGGGAATCCTGTCCAGGTTAGACTATACTAAACAGTTTTTAGTCCATATCTAGCTAGGTAGTAGCTAACATCTTTAATAATCATAATGCTACTCGATTCTATTAGTCTTTACCGGATTATCGTCTGTCGATGTTATACCGAATTCCATGGCTAATTTCACTAGATCATAAGAAAGCGCTTGAGACTGAAAAGGTAGTTGAAATATTAAATGGAATTTTGAAAAAAGTGCTAAAAACCGTAAATTCACTTATGCTTATTTCATGCCTAACAGGTTGCTGCAAAAAATATTTTTGCGCCAAAAACTGAAAGTGTAGCCTGTTTAAATTTTGTTAACCATCACATGCATTCATTTGCCCAATCGAGAAAGTTGTATGATAGGTAATAAAATAATATTTAATGAATGTGGTAACTCTTCGATAGCTGGTCATACTAATTTATTCAATTTATAAATAGCACCGAATCGCAACTGCATAAATCGTATCCTATAATTGTGTTTGTGGGACCAAGTGGCTCGGAAAAGAAAAATCTAATGTTCAAATTAATTGATGAATTTCCATCAAACATCGGTTACTGGTAAAGAGCCACATTACTGAAAATAGCCTAGCTGAAGATCAAATTTACTGATTTTCTACCCATATCCTATTTTTTTCTATTAGCCAACCGCTAACTACTAGAGCTGCAAGTACGAAGGAAAAAGACTTAAAACACTACCTATTTGTTAGCGAAGATAAATTTGAAATGCAGATTAAATTGGTAACTCCAGTACTAGATTCAAATCATTCTAATGATTTGTCGTTGGATTGATTTCTCTATAAAATTTAAATTTATTTTATAATTGATAGGGTCGATTTCTACAGACATGTGAGATATTTGGACAGAAATATGGTATAACAAGGAACTCAATTGAAAAAATTGCTAGAAGGAAGTTAATTTGCTTAATTCATACAAATTTACAGGTATTAACTGAAGTCACTTGATTATATTTATATAAACGAAATGTTAGACTTTCCTTATCTCGCACTATATAGGGTGCATTAACACTCCGTTGCAGCCACTTTAAACCACGTTTTTTGTTGTTGATCCCGTTTTCTCACAAGGTAATTGGTAAATTTTCGGTATTTTATATGGTATAATGTCGATATTATGACATTATTAAATAAGAATATTTAATTTGTTAAGAAACACGAAAATAGACTAAGAAAGACAGCTAGATTTTCAGACGGACAAATTACTCAGATTCTTGCGTCGCGTGAGGAGTATATTAACTTTAATACCGAAACACCAGGCTTTTTCGATTGCGTAATTAATACCGGTATGCATTAATACACTACTATATGTACGCAGGCATAATATTCTCTCGCAGTAAATATTCGTACATTTCTTTGTATTATGAAATGGATATTTAGCAAACAGTGGGATATAATTTAATGTCTATTCGCATTTGAATTTTAGATGATGATTGTAATACAATGGCGTATAAACCATTGCGCTCTATAGCTAAAAAAATGATCGGGACTAAGAATAATTCACCGATAGCACACTCAAGGATAAGTCGGCACGATGTCACAACTAATGGGGTTTCAACACATTACTTCAGCCATAGAACAATTTCAGAATCTACGGGAACGAATTCGACGCCAATCTCATATTTTGAACCTACTAAATTTCATTTTGAGGACACACAGGATGGTCAGGCGATAGAAGAGCAAGAAGCTCCTAGACCGGGAACGAGAGGAGATTATAGCATAGCTTATGAAAAAATGAAGCAAATGGGCTTTAAGCCTCAATCGGCTCCATTACAACTAGAAAGCGATGATTCATCGGTATACTCAGAATATAGCCATAAAAGACCAATGTCAGCACCAGAGACTGTATCTGATGTTGAAATTAATGGATCCAAACATATAGCAGATAATACAAAATCCATTAGCAGCCTCACTGATAATGGAAAGCATCAAGCTCAGTTCAAGCTATATCAATCAGAACCAAAGGATAACAAAAGGAACTCCGTCATTGAGCAATTTAATGATGAAATGAAAGTTTGGGCTGAAGTCATGGTAGATCATGAGGTCGATAACGTTTCAACAAACAAAGAGATCGTCTTATGAGTGAATTCTTGAAAATCTTTACATATTTTTAATCGGGTTCAAGGATTTAGAAGAAAATCCGATAAGAAAATGATAAATTTCTGAATCAGATTCGATCTGAACTAGCAAAGCTCAATGCAGAATTGCTGAAGGTCGCAATACGCTGTTACATTAATGTATTTTCTGAATAATTAACACTGTGTACACATGTGTTCGTTAAGAGAATGATTCACTGTATATTTACGTATAACGTAGTACGCTATGTTTTAGCTTATTGCTATTTCATTATTGTATAATATCAAAACAAGTCGGATACACAATGATCGCTATGCTGTAGTTGATAACTTTTTGGTTACTTTGTTTATTCCAGGTATACCTACCATATTAGATGATATACTAGAAACGTTTTATAAGTATGAATATACAGTAGGAAGCAACGTAATATAATAATCTTGTAGCAGTTGATAGCTTGACTAAAAATGTTCTGTTTGCTAGCTGTAAAACCAACTACAGCATTTATCATGATTAATCTTACGAAATGTATATATCACTGTATAAAATTAAACCATTACGTATATACAGTAATTTCCTAGCATTTCAGTCAGTAGACCGTTAGAACTGAACAACGGTAACCCTAACCGAATAGCATATATTACAATGATAATAGCTTCAAAGATACACTACTGGAAATACGTTTGATTTACCTAATAAAGTTCAACTCAGATACCCTCAAAGAATTAAATCTATCTCTTATTTTAAGAAAACCCAAACCTTGGGTAAAAGATGCAAATTTGCGTGCGCCATTAAGAACATACAATGTAAAGCGTCTATTCCATAAAGGCGAAGTTATTCACTTGAGTGTAGGTGATGTCAGATAAATGTAGTTAGGAATATAACATAGTACTCCTACGATAGATATCGCAATGCCAATCAGCATAGGAGACCAAAAGAGGTAATCAGAGAGAATAATGCCTATAACGATTACGGTAATAAACTTGAAAGTGGAAAGCAAAATATATCTATTGATACCAAGTTAAGGCTATAACTTCTATTTAAGCCTATTGATATGACAGGTATCTAACTTACGGCAAAGCCAATATTTATAAGATAGTTATAACAGGCCTTCATTGCACTGCTTTCGTATGACACATATAAAATATATTTATTACTCGAAAGTAGCTATTTGGATGGATACGAAATCGGTTTCATCCGAGCGGTAATAATGTAGCTTGAGAAGTTAATTCCAAACGCGCAAAAACCGGATAGTAATACCTAGGAATAATGGGATAACGATGTAAGTCTGCAGCGGCTATAGAGCACGTATTATGTTTGTCGCTGACAATGAGTACAGATAATAGATAAATAAATAACATAGCCAGCAATATGCTCTGGATATTGTAATTCAGGATACTATTAAATATTTCATTTAGTATCTGTTATTCAACATCATAAACGCAGATATTTCAATTCTTAAGTATAATTGAAACGAAATCATACGCGATACTTACGAGCAAAATGGATTGCCAAGATACTATTACACGAGATTGTCTTGTTAATTCAGAAAAGAGGATTAATGGACATAAAACCAGCAGGGAAACAATAGCCTATACGTACACAGTTGATAAAATAAATCGAAATTATGTCTTAAAGGATATGACCGAAACGACTATTTAGTTTCAGTATAAACTTTGCTTGTTGAATGCGGCGTTGCTAAAATTTTGGCGTAAGAAAATTTATCCGCTGGTACATTACAGTACTGTACGAGAATATTAGTCAGAATAGTCAGAGGTATAGAATGCTAAAAACTATTTAAAAAATTAAGAACGTGAATAAATTGACCGACCTCATAATGCAATAGCTGCAAAGAATTAACGCACATCCGATGCTTATACGAGATCACTTTCTGCCAATTTTGATTGCCGGTTAAAATAGAAATAAATAAAAAAATATCGTAAGAGACCCTGATTTTTTGGATGACTTGAGAAGGAGGCACAAATTTTGTTTACAAGTTATATTAGACTTAATTACTTTACTACCTTTTAATAAATACAATATTCTATCACTCTGCGAAGGTATACACTTACATGCGTACAGTATACACGAAGTAAAAATCATAGACGTTACAGTATTAGATCCTAATGGTAAACATTGTACTGCATACGTATATGTGAAAAGAGTCAAACGTATTTTCTGCAGTATTATACACGAAAGTTCCCTGATAAAATCGCGTATACCTTCGTTTGCAGATCTATACTAAGTAATCAGGTCTACTAAGTATACGTACAGTAGCAAGACCTAACGTACACTACTTGAGAATGATATAATTTGCAGGGTAACAACTTTAATAAAGTCTTAATTTTTACGTATTTATACTTTATAGAGAGATATCTAGCAGCAGTAATGACAGTATCAAACATGTTCAAGAATCTTCATTGCAGAATACAGTATACGAGTATTAAATAGTACTACTGTAATTTGCAAGTGAATATCTATAAATGTAAGTTTCAAATTAAAATAGGCACTTCTGAACGATGAATAAACTAACTTACAATACGGTAGCCAGCTGCCAGCATGGAACCAATAATGCATGTTACATAACCCACTGTAGATATTCGAACATTAAATCTCGCATAAATAATGAATCCCGATGTAGTTAATACCTATTAGTTGTTATAAATCGTCAAAGGCATATCGCTTATATTGTAATGGTACAGAATAGTATTAGAACAGTGTGGTGCAGCATTGTTTTCTAGCAGAATCTATCTAAACAGGAGTATACTATATTACGTAATCATACTCAATAAAAAATCGATATATCAGCTACTTTATTTAGTGTTATACGTTAATTACACTTCTTCTAAGTTCGTTACTTAAAAAAACGTTTCTATTCAGAACTTACATGGCCAAGAATCAATGACCTTGTCCAAAACTTATCACGATAGAAATCTTCAATTGCGAAGATAATTAGGTTAGCCAAAGTCTTAGCTAACTGATAAGTTACAAGGCTATTGCAATAAATAGATAAGTTGTTGAAGAGAACATAAGCACCAAATAGCATTGATAAAGGTAAATGCTGGATAAATTCGATCCTCTTTACTACATAAACATTTTTTGCGCGACATAGTTGTAGTAATAGAACAATAACCAAAAGATGAATTGCAGTTAGTGTTATAGGATGGAAATCGAAAATAGTAAATAAGAGTTTGTTAATCACAACAACGCCAACTGATGCCAGATAGTTAACACATAAGAGGCCAGTCGAAATTTTGTTTTCAATTTGATGCCGTATACTACAACTGTTCATTACGCTATATCGAGGCTATAACATCCAAACCTCGATGAAGTAAATTTACAACTGTAATGATGTACATATATATATACTATGATACTCGTATATCAACTTGAAGGCATCATGATACAATATACTATATTGTACAGTATGTTACAAGGTCAGAAAGACGAATTGAATGACTAATTATAGTTATAGTTATATAATTGTTGGTCCCTATATTGTAGTGAGTACAGTACAGGACTATAAATAGTGATAGTACTTTAGTACTACACGGTAGGTAATTAATTAAGACGGTCAATCGTACTACAGTACCGTATGTTTGTAACAAGTGCTACGGTACTGAATAGCTTGGGGACATCCGAATATATACAGTATGTAGTATATCACTTTTGTCTGCCTCCAGGGCTCAATCATTCACGAAGTATCTTAACAATATTGTAACATAGTAATACCAATATTGCGCACTGTTATTGCTATATACTATATATATATATTATATATTCTATTCTAACAGTATATGTAAATTTAATGATAATTTAACCTTTACCGTAGGCTATAATTTTATTTTATGCCTGCTCATTCAAGCGGAGAGTTTACCAGTAAGCAACAAATTACTATCGGTAAACCGGACGTTATAGGCAGTGTTAACAATTGCAACTTGTAGACTATATATTATTGTTCTCGCTCATGGCTAGAATTAAATTACAGTAAAATATATTTGATTTGCTATTACAAGATCAGCACCAGTTTTCCGTATCAATACAAACTTAAATAATTCGATAGACAAATTAAGCTAGCTTTTAATTGGTAAAAAATGAACGTAATATAATAGAATTGAATTCAGTTCATTTGGCTATGCACGCTGTACTATAGATATCCGCTAAATAATCGAAAGCAATTCTGTGCCCTAAACCCAAAGCTTATTTATAAAGCTAAAACTGACTGTGAACGTGTAATACGTCACTGAACCCCACCATACTAATTCTGAGAGAAAAAAGTCTCTAGGAATTATTTCTTTAACAACTTTAATATCGCCTGCCGGTAGTGCCGGTAGAGACATAGATGTTAAGATTGACATTTACACATTAATTCAGGTTACATTCTTGCTACCTGCAACCTTTCGTTAGTTAAAAATTACAAGTTGTACAAAATTTAAAAGCCACAAATAATATGGACATGCCTTTGAACATAATTGTACGTATATTGCATAGATAAGAATATCCTTAACGACGTAACAAGCTAAGTATGGTATATAAAATATTCCGATATTTAATGTGTATCATTGTAATACACAAAATCCTAATACTGCATTAACATGACTAACCATCGCTCTTCCGTCTTTTTACTTACAAGGATATATGACGGCCTTATGCTTTAAGGTTAAAAGAATTAACAAAGCTGTCTCTTATAAGTTACTTACAAAATTTTCTTTAATTAAATATCAATTGTATTGCAACATACTCCCATAAAGAGTACCGTAAGTTGGATTGCTACTGCCGAAATATTTGAGCTATTTTCGGCATAACGGTCGAAATAATTCACACAATGCTAATGAAATGTATAGTTAATTTTCTCCGCCTTTAAAAGTCTAATCGTTTAATTGACATAGCAAGGCCGAACCCCTAGCAATCCAGTGATCATCATCTAAGTCTGTTGGTAAACTGACCATCACAACGAAGTTAGTAGAATGTCCTGGAATAAGAGCAAAAATCATCATTAATAATTTACGATTATGCTAGTATTTAATCTGATCAGTTTATCGCAAATATTAAAAACCTGTTGTTGATAGCACTCCCGCTCTGGCAGAGGTTTTATAGAGTGGAAATTTACTACAATTATCATCAGGGATACATTCTTTTCTAGGTTCCAGATGTAACACTGGTAAAATCTGTATAAATCAACATTTAAATAATTAATGTACGTCCTATATAATAGTTCACAAGCCAACAATAACAGATAAGTTATACTAACACTAGTGATTTCACCAGGTAAGGAGTCTGATACCATCATGCTATCATCATTCCAGCGACATGCGTCCATAAATAATCCGTGAATTAATACTCCGTTCTCAGGTACTTCAATATCAATCTACACAAATGACATTATTAAGATAGTTATGAATAATAAGTTATCTAAACAAGAAACAACCATTCATTTTTAAAACATAAATATCATTCGTCAAGTAAAATGTTACTAGTACTTACAGTATCTTGAGAAGTACTAGTAAAATCAGTTTTTGAAGTCTCGCCCTGATTGATGTATTGTGGGTAAACCGAAAAATGAAAGCTTAACTGGTCGATGGGATAATTATATTTTCTAGCGTAGTTTTGCAAAACCCCTGTTAAGAAACCTGGTAATAATTTCAAAATTTACGATTGGCGTCAATAATTCTTTAGTAGAAAGCATGAATAATTAATTGCTAGAGAGATTAAAAACATTCATTACCTTGCGGAAAGAAAAAGCCTGATATCCAGAAGGCTTTGGGATTTCCATTACTGATCCAAGTCTGAAGATAAATTTATAGAAATTACGAGATGATGGGTCAATTTTAGATCGCAGTTGTTTCATACATACATTAATGAATTGAATTCTCAATATTAAATCTTTAATCCACGATCCTAAAGGTTTTAAGGATGGATATGCAGCAGTCGCCCATAATTCAGGAATCTAAAGAACAAGTAAAATACGTATTCAAAATTAAAAGGGCAAAGATCTGCGTGATGATATTCATTGCATATACGGCACATTATAACAAAAATCTTATCAACAAAGTGCATCACTACTCGCACTAACATGTAGCGACGTCACAAAATGACATACGTAAATACATACGAGTATATACGACTTATTGAAAGCAGTACTTTAACAAACGTTACATATGAATAAGTAATAAAATTTACAATGTCAATTAAATTTTAGCGCACCTGATTATTTAAGAAACTTCCGTAAACTTTTTCTAATTCTTCGGACATAACTACAACACCCATTATGGCTTTCGTAAGAGAGTCAAGTGAGGTCTATACAAAAAATAATTGATATAGCAAGGAAAATGACTATGGCGTATATAATTATTCGTATTTCATTGGAGATTCGGTATATTAACCTTTATTACGTTCACTAAGTTGTGAAATCGGTCGAATTCTTGTGAGAGAACAACTGTCAATGAATTTGATCTTCCAAGGTCGTCAAGCTGTGCATTTTAAACCAAATTATTAAGTTAAAAATTGGTACATCACCGATCATTCATTACCGAAGATTTATTTCTAATTATAATGAATTACCTCAAACAATGACTTCTCGCCTTGAGTAATATCTAATTTATCAGGTAGCTTCTTTAAAATATTGTCTGCAAGTTCTAGAATAATTTCATCGCTTGTCTGGCCACTAGCAGATGTCATGATGCGAGGCTGAACATCCAATACTGTCCGAATTAAGTGATTTCCTTCCTGAATCTAAATGCGGGAAATACCAGATTATTTTTAGTTATAGTAATTGTTATGTATAGTCACAACTGTATTGAGCTAGTTAGCATCACAGTCCAACTCATAGCTGTACGTTGAATACACGTCTTATATAAGGTATCTATAATCACGTATTATAATCCATATAATATTATGTTAGGCTACAGTGCTAAATCTTAATATGGCGGTAGCACTACCTTTTAATTTTAATTATACATAAATATATATAGATATATCACAGTTATATCATGACCAGTACATGAGAACAGGGGCTACTGTGGTAGTCCTGATAACAATCACATATAGTTTACATACTCGTAATAACATTATCCACTACAGTAATCTCTACAGATTCTAATAATTTCATACCTGATACGAAATATTGGCGTTATTATGCATGCCAAAGACTTCCGGTTCGTCCGTAAATGGTAACTGTTCGATATAATCCCGATACAAAGTTAAGTCTTTACATTCCGGAGCGTAATAAATTCCTGAAATATCAAAATATAGAATCTAGGTTACTACTAGTTAGTGACAGATACAGTATTTGATCATATGCATATGCAAACTCCCTGTAACATACAATATACTGTATACACATTAAACCATAATATATATACGAATATGATGTTTCAGTAACCTGATGAAGACAGCGTATGATTTGCATCTAAAATAAGTGGTGAAAAGAATCGCTTTAAAAGGGTCCTAAGACATCTCTGATCAAAATTATCCGTGACTCGACCACCGTAGGTAATCTATAGAATATATTTTAAGTGATCTTTTAGTAAGCAAAATACGCCTATTATAATGATTTATCATTTGCTTCAACTGTTGATACCTCTCCGATTATAAAAGTTAAGGCTGGCCACGCAATCTGCTGATGTCCTTCATCAATGAATATTTTTAAATTTTCTAAAGCGCACTCACGATCAGAATCGTTAAATTGGTACCTAATATTCCATCCAAGCGGTCCAAACTTTTTTCGTTCTAAAATTACAGCATGAAAAAAGCATAGACCAAATACTAGTTTGCGCCATACTGTCCCTAATAGGTGCTCATTAAATGATACTGGATCAATTTCTGCGAACGATCTTCGCAAATTTGACCGTAGTCCTTTCGGTAGTTCGTTCGTTACTTTGATACTATTCTGTAAGATAGTCACTGGAAACGCTTTTGTTGGCATTGAACTTAGAAAGAAGCGAAATTCTTCGTGGATATGAGTATCTGGTAGAGTAAATGTCTTTATTATATTTTCTAAAGAAGGCATCCAAGATTCAGCTAAATGACAGTTTTGAAGAAAGACCCAATTTCCACTTCTCATTGCGCTTAAAATCATTTTTTCTGCTATTGGGCCTTGGCCTTGACCTAAAGAAATTGATTGTACCTTTGACATAAATCCTTGATCTTTCGCAAATCGTTGAAATCCACTCATCGGATCAGATCCAGTAGATAGTATAAAAATTAAAGGTGTATATTGATTCATATCCTGATATAGTATCGATAAATCCGTGGATGGACTCTCAACAAATTCTTTACCTAGATTCATAATTATAAAATCGAATATCGCGAAAATCATCTCTTCTTCTTTAAATTCCTTTATCATAATGAGTTTCTGAAAATTTGTTAGTCTGACATTCCAATGACCTCTAACTTTATCCTGCTCGTTGTCATCATCCTCAAAGGTTCCCAGAGAGCTAGTCGCAGGCATAGACGGTAAAGGATGATATCCTTCCCATTCAGCAGGATTTAAATCTAGTTTCGTTCTTCCAAGAGTGATGCTTACTGAAGTTTTCGTAATATCTGAACACAAATTTTTGAAGGCAGGTAGATTTTCTTGCAAGTTGCAGCAAGCAGCCCAGGTTTCTGGTGTAATCCATGATACATCTGGTTTCTTACCGCGTTGTCTATTCATGGAAGAATTACCACGTAAAAAGTAATTCCATTCACCATCATCAATTTCTCCTCGTTGTTTTAATATATCGCAACAAACCATAAATGAAGCTACCACTTTGTGACGTTCGAATAATCCTCTGGAGACGTTAACATAAATAGTTTGAGTACAGTTTGTAACTAAAGTATTTAACCGTTGGCCCAAATCGTCAGCTTTCTCGCTTTTTTCGATACATTTATTAAAAAGTTGTTTAAAATATTTTAGTGAATATTGATACATTGGATCAATTTCTGCCAATGATGCAACAACAAAATAAAGTACTGAACCTCTAGTAGCTACACTGCGATACTTTTCGCGAGCTACAGAAATTTTTGCTTCAGTTTGTTCCGCTTCTTTAAGCCTAGTAGAAATGACACTTGACGTTACTTTTGACTCATTTAAGGTATTAATTAAGTCTTCATCATCCAGTATATTGCCTTCAGAGTTAAACAGTAATTTTAAGATTCTTTCTTCGATTACTTTTAATTGATTTTTATCAGTATTTATTCGAACAATAAGTTGATTTCTTTGATCTTCAAGTTCAGGCTTCTCTAAACGTACAACATCACTTAACAGTTGGTCTTCCAATCCGGATTTGTTTACGGTAAAATTAATTATTGTAACTTTGATACAAACGTCAGGTAGATAGTGTGGGTTAGCCAGTTTTGTTGTAATGTACAACCTGAAATTCTTGTCATATTCAATGTCACTATCGCCTATTCTTATCAGCGATCGCCCTTGTTGTACAAATATTTGCTGTAACAAAATTGGTTCTAGTGACGGATCTAATGTCTCTTCAACTTCTTCTAGTAAAACCGGCTTTCCAATTCTCATACAATTTTCAAGGGTACGTAGAAAGTTAGAGTCAGTCTGCTTAATTATTTTTAAACCATTTTTTAATTCTTTATTCTTTATCCAACGGCTTGCTTGATCCTGGGGATCTATCATTAACGGCCACCTTTTTGTGTGCGCAACGAGAATTGCATTTTCAATCGAAGTAAGGTCACGCGGGAGTCCATCGGCATTCCATTGACGTATTTCGAAAGGATCTGCCATTACATTAATGAGACTATAATTCTCCGAAATTGGAATATTAAGATCTTTGCATTGTTCAATCCATTTAAGCATTAGTTCTTCCCTGTAGGAATGTACAAATGCACCGAAGTAAGCTACGCATGCAGCTGAAACGAAAACATTACCAGTTACATTGGACAACTCGTTATTATAAATTTTAATATTCTCCTTCCATCTGATCTGCTCATCAGCTAATGCCGACGTCAATTTTGATGCTCTTTTAAGTCTTGCCGCCGTTTGTGCGATATTTTTAGTTAATTTATCTTTTTCATTGACGCTCTGTTCATATTTTGCGTGCAGAAATGCAATCTCATTCTCAACTTCCGCCAATCTAGCCTGCTTTTCAGCCAGAGCTTTATTAGTTTCATCTAATTCTGCTTCAGCAGCAGCTAATCTTATTCTTTTTGGCTCTACTTCACGATAAACCTTAGCATATAAATCACATGCCCGAACCCACATACACATTGATTTACATGCTTTCGAAGTTCTTTCGACTACTTCGGGAATGAATCTAGGATTTTCTACGTATTTCTTTAATTTCTTGAGAACAACTTCTGGTATATTATTCTTGTCGAAGTCTATTAGTCTTTTTAGGAAACCGGCATCATTAAGGATTTGTTTCGCAGATATCCAGTCAGGTTTTACCTGTAATAAAACACATACTGCCTCCATGACCGTTAGGACCATTTCAGGAGGACTTTGAAAAACTCTTATTTCAGCAATATCTGATTTGTCTAAAGCTTTCAAAGCTTCTTTAGCAGCTTCTAATGCCGGTAAAGCTTCATCTAAGTCCCTTTGAGCGTCCTCTTTAATAGCAGATGTATGTTCAGCTTTTTGTTTTGCAATTGCCTCGTCCTCCAAAACTACCCTGCGAACAGTATCAGCTTTTTTCTGATCTTCTTGCAGCTGTTCCATGAGTTTTTCAGTATGCTCGGATTTTTGTTTCAATTCTGGTTCCAATGCTGTTAACTCAGATTCCATTTTAGCTACCAGCTCATTCGTTTCCAGCAACTTACTTAAACCATTTTTTACTCTTTTCCGAGCGTTAGTTAGTTGTTTACTTTTTTTTTCGAGCATTGATAAGTATGAATTAATCAACTCCAAGTATGAAGTTGGTGTGGTATAATAATGCCTTCGCAGCTCTTCGTAGTACCGATTCGAAATTTCTGACACCTGTGAGTGAACGTTAACACACATAGTTGCTAAGTTTTTCTTTAATCCATCATTTCCGATAGCGGTACCTCCCAAAAAGCTTGCTGCAACTGACAGTAGAGCTTCTCCAGGCCATTCAGTAAACCAATCAATTGTGCAACAGTTAACCAGTGATGGGAACATACGAGTACGCGATCTGAAAGCCTCACCAACAGGGCTCATACATAAAACTATGTGAAGGTTACTCTTCACTCGGTTAATAAAATATTGATAAATACTGTCACGATCGCCCTCATTAATGCCAGCATCTTTGCATATGGGACGCATTGCCGCAATAACCTTCTCGTACTCTTCCATATTGTACAAATTGGGCACCTCTCCAGAGTTTAAAATATTATTGATATCTTCTAAAAACTCTTCAGTGATAATTTGACTATCAGTAAATAGGAATACAGTCTTTTCGCCTTGAACCCCAGCGATAGTAAATAGTTTTCTAATGTCCTCATGAAATGAATCATAACTGTAGCCACGCGTTAGCTCAATCTGAAAACAGGAATAACCGCAAATCCAGCACGCTAATCTAGTTAAACTTTGCTTTCCGGTGCCGCCAACACCAACGAGAAGCGCATTTCCCTGAGATTGACGTGCTATACGCACAATTCTAGACAAGTGTTGTATAGCGTCAACAAAGAAAACCAATTTCATCTCTTTCGATGAATTTAAATTATATTCATCAAGATAATCGCTTAGAACACTTTCAACTTTCTTTAGATCATTTAATTCTTCATAAATTCTATCTTCTGGCTCAGCAGCAGTATTCAAGAAATCACCGAATAGGAGAATATCTTTTTCGAAAGTTTCAGCTTTCAAATCATGCGAGAAGTGCTTCTGTGATATTTCCGAGAGAACAGAATAAAAATGCTGTTTATCCGATATATCTATAAGGCGATCATGAAAAACGCGATGAGCCTCATGGAAAAACATGCGCATTATTTGATCTTTTTCTCGAATATTGCCAGAATTTGCTTGTAGAATTCCTTGCATACATTTCGATAGATCACGGAGGTTAAATATGTAATGTGACTTAGCAGGTGTTGGGAGAAATTCTGTACGCATACGCTGGTAAAGGTCAGCACCCGCATCAACAATTGCATCAGCACAACTTTTAACAGGTACCGGAAATTCACTCAGAAACCCTCGCAGAACCGATTTAAAAATATGTTTTAAGGTAAAATCAGCTGGTTGAGGTACCGCCAAAATCGTAAAATGACGTAAAAATCGAGGGGTAACGGGGTTTCTACCTCCCCCAGGAGGCCCACACGCTCCACAAATAGTAACTTCCTTTAATTCTTTCCAGAATAGTTTGTCACGATCATAAAATCCACCGAAATCCTGATATTGTCGTAATAGTTCAATAGGTGGCTGCGATCCATATCTGTCTAACTTTGGCATATTTAGATCATCGACAAATAAAATCATATGCTTTCCAGCAGGAGCACTAAGGATAGTTTTGCGTTTTCTCTCTAATTTGCTTTCGATCGTTTCCTGAATCCTTTTGCTGCTAGTTTGTGCAGAAAAGTTCAGAAATACCGAAACATAGTTTTCTTTCTCGCACATAATCTGTAAAAAATGCTTGGCAATAACAGATTTTCCCACACCAGCGGATCCAGTGAAAAGCACTGAATTATTAACTGTAATCAGTTTACGGAATAAATATCCATACCGCATCGTGTCTAGTGTTGGAACTAAGACGTCACTAAAGGTATCTTCAGGTTTAAATTTGAAAGGTGGAATGATTCTTTCCCACGAATCTAGCCGTCGAGTCAATTCGAAATCAACATAATAGCCATACAGATCGCCACTACTTGGTAATTTGACATCGTTCGTTTCCGAGAACAAATCACGAGCAAAGGAATCGAATTTGTCCAAGTATTCCTCTAATAAGTTTCCACCAATTGACCACATGTAGCAGAAAACAAACACTGTACATATCAAGGGATGAATTTTATGCGGTTCCACGGATAGGTCGAGCCCATCAGTTTGTAATAAAGACTCCAAAAGACTACATAACGTACATATTTTGCTAATAGCAACTTGCGGAATGGTCTCGATGCAATGCTTCGCTACGAATTTTAATCCTGGTTCTACAAATTGATTAAAAAGGTCTAAGATGTATTCTTTGGTCTCTTCGCGTAGCTTGGGTACTTTCTCTAACCATGTTAAAACATAAGGTCTCCATCCAAGTCCCTGTGCATCAATATATACCATACCACAACGACTAACAGTTGCTGGAGATGCCATAGCTAAATCCTGTACCTCGAACAACATACGGATAGAATCGGTTAATTTTATTCTTTCACTATTGGCAAGACAGAGCATTTTGTTGTCATCAAGCACTGTGTTCATGTTTTCAATCCACAAAGCGTCGACAGGACCATCGCAAATAATCCAATGACTCTCTTTAGTGTCATCCTGAACTGCGTGGCGAACAGTAGTTGCTAAAATTCCATCTCGCCACTCAAGTGTAACTTTGTCGATCTCACCGTATAATTCTCCCATGGTGACAGATTTCGGATTCAATACGTGCAGATTTACAGGCAAATAGTAATCATTAGTAAGTCCATCGTTATACAGCTTACCAAGAGCCGAACCAAGTGTTTTATAGCATGTCGTCTTTCCGCCACCAGTGGGGCCAACCAACATTACACCATGGCGTACAGTGATAGTTTCATAGAACTGAATAATCTTCTTAACTGAATGTGAATGTACCTGTAGCTCATTTTCTTTTAAGATACTTTCGATGGCTTCTTGTAATGGGCCATAATTATGCTGTGGTATTGTCGAACCAGGAAAGAGATCCGATAGTATAGCCTGAAATAGAACTGCATCCTGAGCCAAAAATTTGGGCAGATTACTATCTCGAAGAGCGCGAATTAATACGATGTCTTCTTTCACATCAGGATTACTTCGTTTCAAGGAGCCAGCCATAACTAAAACAGATTTGACAGCCCGAAGACCAAAATCATAATGATCTTGTTGCGACAACTGTTCACTGCATAGCTTATACATTTGAATCATTTTGCGGGCAAGAGATTTTGAGGACTCAAATCCTTCTGAATATAGGATTACTTCAGCAATCAAGGCATAATCGGGCACCATCATAGCAAATGGTCGGAAAAGTGTTTTCAAGTTTTCAGGCAGTTCAGTGCGGCCTGCATATCCAGGATTCATAGTTATGAAAGTTGCACATGTTAAATTTAATTTTATTTCACGACCTTCAAAGATAAATCTAGCTAGCTTTGAAATTTTCGCATTTCTGATCGTCAGTAACTGCTGGGCAATCACCGATAATACTTCAATGTCTATACGATTAAATTCATCAAAACAGCACCATGCACCCGACTGCGCTAGTCCGGAAAAAAATCTTCCCATCATCTTGTAATCTAGACCTTCGGAACAGTTGAAAACCACACACTGCTTAGCAAGAGATTTAGCTAAATCCTTGGTAGTTTCGGTTTTGCCTGTTCCAGCTGGTCCAGCTGGCGAGCCTCCGAGATCAAGTTGCAGCGCTCCCATCAAGCAAAGATAACAGCGGTCCGTTAAGGGGGTAATAACTAAGCGAGAAGAAGCACCAAGGTACTCGTAACCGTAGACATATTTCGAATTGGCCATTCGTACGACACAGTTATCAATATCGATATCCCAATAATATCGTAACTGTTTTACCCACTCAAAATTTGTCTCTTCAACAATACCTGAATTTACCAAATCACTTACTATATCCCTAGCATGGACATCAATGGTAATTAACGCACACAGAATTCTTCGTGACAGAGCTGTTAATTCTCCCCTGACGAGAATTGCAAGATTATTTAAGCTTTGATAACACGATTGTTCGTATTTCTTTAAAACTTCGTGAGCTTCTTCATCGTTAAATGCTAGAGAGATATCGCGACACCACATTATTTGAGATACTGCAAGAACTACCTGACTTGGATACGACATGATCCACTCATTCCGGTCTTGCTGTGTATATTCAGCGATGGCGGACTTCATAACCCTTCGTAGCGAGGTTACCATATGCTCCTCTACTTTACCTAACCAATCTTCTACATTACCTCGAGCTTTAAGGCCACGGCCAAGACTTATACTTTCATTCTCAGGTGAAATCATATTAATTATGTCGTTTGTCTTAGTCTCTACTTTTGTACCCGTTGGAGACACACCTCGATCGTGGCTTGGAATGGATTCTTGATGAATGTTTTGGATAGTACCAAATTCAAGCTCGAAAATACCATCAAAGCACTTACGGAGATGAGGTTGCACGGCGTGAGGATTTTTAGTTTGCGCTAAGATTTCCAACAATTCATCGTTAGATAAGAAATAAAATCTTGGAAATACAACTCTCTTTGATTCTAAATACGCTTCTAAGCACTTCTGGATCTGATCAAGCATAGAATTATTATTTTGAAACGTTTCCAGTAGTCCGGGTTGGGTGCAAGCCCTTAATGCATTTGGAAGGCGAGATGTCTTTCTCATGATTTCCTTCCATGATTTATCTACAGCCATAAACATTTTCGCTTCAGCTGGCAACTGTCGTTGAATATCAGGAGCACTGAAAATACTCTCTAGATATAGCCAACTCTTTTGACAAATCAACCATTCATCCAGCGTTTGATTAAAAAGCGTAAGCTGCTTTACCCAATCATCAACCCTGATCTTTATTGGACCAACGTGCCTTGAACTAGCAATTAAATTGATATTGACTAAACTATCATCGAGAATACCTTGGATATCATCTGTTCCTCCTAAAATAAAAACATCCTTCGAGTCACGATATGGCAGTACTATAAATTCAGTCGCCTTCCATCCATCTTCAACTTTTTTTAACAGTGTTTCTAATGAGGCTTCGCTAGAGGCTTGACTAGAAATTTCTATAATTTCATCGGTATGGTCAAAAGCTCCAATTTCATCGAGCAATCCTAAACTTAAAGGATTTTCGCTGGTAAATCGATAATTTAAGGTACTTTCAATCATATCCCAGTGCCTCGGCTTTAAGGAAGGATTGTGCAAATTGGTAATAACTGGTAATTTAAACCTTATTTGATCAACCTTTTCTTTTAATAAAGGTACTGCGTTATTTCGGGGAAGACCTTTCTCTAGCTGATGTACGCGTTTTGTGTATTTGCCGACTTGATTGGTAATTATTTCCGGAGATAATTCCTTAAAATCTGCTACTTTCCATTCACGTGTCATTTGTTCCCATTCATGAAGGGAATCCCATAACATTTGCTTCAAACGTAGCTCAGCATGAGTTTCTTCAAGATCAGTAAATTTTGTTACCTCAACTTTGAAATTTTTCTGATATGTTCTATACTGATACGCTCGCTTTTGAAGAGCCTCCATTCTATCATGCAATTCGATAAGGAATACATTTACTTTTTCCACGTCCGATAACGGATCAAGAATCATAGGATCTTGGGCTTTACTCTTAATTTGATTGACTTCAAGCCTCAATTCGGAAATATCTTTGTCTAGGTGATCGCAAAATTTCTCAAGATTTGCGTCTCTGTCGCTAACAGCTTTATCGATGGCATTTCTTACTGCTGTAATGGATGGCGCTAATGTTTGATAAACGGCAAAATCTTCCGGTGGTGTTGGTACCTGATAGGAATCGATCAAATTATATAACTCCTTTATTGTTTCTGATTCTTTTTCGTTGCTGTCAATGGATACTTGAATCTGTTCTAAAAATGTCAGACTTTCCACAAATTCTGCAGTTGTTGATGGAGCTAATTCAAGTCTATATTGCGCATCTTGAGCTACCGATATTAACCGGTCTACTCTTGATTTCGCAAGTACTGGCAAAATGTCGTGAACCACCTGAAAATACGAGTATGTACTTGTTAAAATTTGTTGCATCCCCAATAATAATAAATTTACTAATTATGACCTCCAAACACTTCCTTGGCGATGGCAATAGTTTTGTTTTAAGCTGAGAGGCATCAACTAGCATCATCCCTACAGGCTGTTTTTCAGTTATACTTTCGGCTTCCTTCTGTTCTCTGTGATACTTTGCTAGGGATATCGCGAAAAAGTCCACGTCTACAACATTGAGTGTATGCATATTGTAAATACAACGGATATGCCTAATTTAAGGAATTAAATATGCAGAAAAACATTAATTCTCTACCGTGATCTACGGTTCGCATGTGCTCAAGGTTTAAGCCCTCATTCTCTCTGTAAAAGTCACGATAAGATTCGAACGTATTCGAATACAGAGTAGTGTAATGGAAAGCCTCCGACATAGTATCCTGAAAGTAGATCAATTTTTTAGTTAATTTATGAGGTTATAAACTGATGGCTAATTTGGTTACCATATGCATAGTTATATTGAAATCGTACCTTTACGTTAACTATTAGACCTTGGAGATGTCTGTCATCTTCGAAGATGGTCGATAAATTTGGACCCTCTCCACACGTTTTTTCTTCTAATTTTCCATTAATAAGTGGTCTTAAATAGGCGATTCAAAATATAGTAATGTAAGTACATTATAACTTTAACTTTCTTTAACATTAGTGATAGTACATGTGCGTACGTTTAATCAATCGTTACCTTGTAAATGGATCGAAATATTCATCAGATACTAGATTTGGGACGCTAAGGACTGTATCTTCAAAATTTCTGATGAGATCTCCCATGCCTTCGTGATAATCGTCAAGGCTTGGGTTAAAAAAAAGAAAATTCGGATCAAGTAGTAGCTCAACTTGGAATAAAGGCGTTGAAAATGATTCGTTTTCGCTTTGGTCATGTTGTCCAATAATAGTTTTTGAATTCTGCAAATTAAAAAGTTTATTAAATTTTAGCTACACCAATTCGAAGTGTGGTATTGAGTGATTTTGCTTAGTATAAAATAAGCTGCGACTGACTGAAAGCTTCTTTTCCTGAACATTAGCGTTATGTAAATGCTGTATTTCTTCCATTGTTGGCGTTCGCTGCAGTTGTTCTTTTAGTGCGTGCAACAGCTTTGATATCGAGCGAACACAAAGTAAGTGCATCGTATTTATAACCAAATAATCTGCTAACCGGATGAAGCTGTAAATTGATATAAATTTATCAGTTACACTATTTATCAATTGTACTACCCTTACTCTTTGCATCAAGTCTAACCTAGTCAATCTTCGACAATGAGCTCTTTTATTTGCCTGTTCGGTATAAGTCATCTTCTCTGGTGCATCTCCATACGGGTCAATATCGAATCCGGTTTGTCCAGCAAACGAAGGTGAATTAAGTGAAATAGATTGCTCTTTATCTGGATCTATAAGCCCAAGCAATTCGATAGATTATTAAATGCTAAAAATCAGAAAAAAATTACACATCATTGTAAAAATAAATAAATAATTTTAACCCATATCATAATATTCATCGATAGAAAATCCAGCTTCTTCTAAGGCCGTGCAGCATGCATCCTTAACAACTTCTTTTGTTAACTGATGAAATTGTCTCAGACTTTCCGCGATCTGATTTATGGATACAATTTTCGTTAATTTACAAACATATATCAGATTTTATTCTATACGGAAGAGTTATTAACCTCTCTCAGCTGAGAGAACTGAGTTTCCTTAAATTCCTCTAATGTATATGTGTGTTCCTTCTTTATTCGATGTAAGCTCAGATCACCTAGTTTGTAGCATAACGTTCTTATGCGCAGCAAAGCTGGTCGTAAGAACTTTAGAACAATTCTTATCATTAGCTTTTACTAAGATTAATCACTGCATATTTTAAGCCTTGTATCTTACCGAATTTAATATGAAAAGATTTGTTCCTAGTTTGTTCCTGCAGTTATTTATTTTTCTAAAATTTCATGCAATAAATGATCGTGCGTTAGCTCAATAGTAGTTACATTTGTCATTAATATATATATACCTTTTTCTAACATTCATTCGCCAAACTGCAAAGGCCTTCCATAGTCTGAAACTGGAGAAAGTTTTAATCTTTATTAACTGTTTGTAATGTATGTAGTCTTTCTCCCAACAGTCTAGCTCCGTAAATTCAGTTTCCTCTCGCTCTCGAATGTGTGTTACTCCTTTATGGCTAATGGTATGATAATCGTTCGCATTGATACCAGAATGTGTTACAACTCTATAAGATTAAAAAGTAAGTCTTGATAAAGCATCACAATACGCCTAATACCCGCATATTATCTTACTTTAAGTTATAAGGGTTGTATTCAATAGATGAGCGATCAACAGCAGGTGCTAGATAGAGAAATCCTAGATTTGGATTTTTGCGGATGAGCTGAACGATTTCTATCGGATCTTTTAAAGTATCGGACAAATTTTCAGCTGATGTTCCTTTAATATAAGAGCTTCGTAGCCTTTTACTTGAAATTGAAATGTCCGCAGGTTGTGCTTCATTCCCGAAATTACTAGCTAAATTTGGTTTCATCGGCCTCAGACTTCGATTAAAATTCGGAGATGTATCGCTTTTGTAATCTTCATTTTTTGACTGAGAGAAAATTTGTGTTGATTGTACACTTGATAAAATATCCTTTTTGTGATGAAAATTTATAGGTCCTTCTTCAATTTTATTTTGATTTTTAAGTTGATAGTCAGCCAAGTTGACCTAAAAATTAGGACGCATATCATAAGCTTCTAGGTTATAAAATATTGATATAAATTTAGTCATTAGGTGTTCATAACTGATATTCAAATTAAGACATACCAAAGGTTCCAATTTAGGCCCAGCTGGTACTGCCTGAAGGGTAAAATACAGAATAATTAGTGGATAAATAAATGCCCATAAACAATATGTAAGAGAATTGTTGATGTATATTTCAGTTAACCTAACAAGAGTTTAAGTCTCCTATCTATAATGATAAGAAGATATGGATTGCATCAAGAAACTTTCAGATAAATTACTTTATAGTAAGCAGTTTTCCTCTGATATTCCATATCTAAAATGCGTCAGATTGATATACTAACTTTCTACAGTAATTTCTTTATGAGATAGCTTGCACGATATCTACTCAATCCTACATAACAAATTCTTATTTATATAATTCCGATATCCGTATTGCAGTCAGTATACAAAGGGAGTCGATCGAGATTGATATATCGAATATACATAAAGCAGGCATTCTGCCAGCACACGTAAGGGATAAAATATGAACTAATCATTGTTAATATATTACAGTACCTTCTTAACTTGAACAGGCGTCTTGCGTTTGTAGTGTGATATTCCTTGACGTGTCTGGATATCAGGCTTTGAATACAAGCGAGATTTTAAAGCAATACCATTTATCGAAGTACCTTTTCTATCTTCGAAATATGTATTAGATGCATCTGAAGACGTAGTCTTATCATCTTGAATACCAATATGTGACATCGTCGAATTTTATAATGTTTTTGCACAATTATAAAATAAAATAAATAAAATTCTGCACTGATCCTTCACCAATGGATGCGTGTTAATGAAGTTGCATATCACAACATATTCTGAAGCTGAAACTTTAGAAATAATAATAATACTATCAGAAAGATCTATTTCAACTCTCTCTGAAATGTTGGTCGCTGAATTGGCTTCGGATTTGGGAGTGAATAAGAAGAAGAAAGTTGCAAAACACGGTAGTATATGCTCTGAATGCCGTGTTTATTTAAAACTTGATGATTTATAGTACAGCTTTAATGAATACAGTATGTAGTACAGTAATGCAAAAATTAGTGTAAACTAAAGTCATTAAGTTTCCTGTGTTGCTGCATGAAAATATAATTTACTATTACTGTACGTGATTTGACCACCTTTCGTATAAATAAATATTTTACCGATAGGTTTCTGAGAGCATCCATCGGCTGAATTGTATTGTTTCTTGTTGCTATGAAACAGGACTGGTAACGTGGTAACAAGATGCCGTACTAAAGTACTCTACTGTACAGTCTGTAGTACTGTAAAAATGTGTTGTACTATGCAGTACAGTATGGGTACACTTCTTTCTTGCATTTGACTGTACTGTACTGCACTGTACTGTACTGTACTGTACTGTACAGTACACTGAGTACAGTATAGTTGTAAGTCGCTTACTGTACACTGTATACTGTAAATAAGACATCAATATCGACATCAATATGTTACCAGTACTACTGCAATGTTTTAGTGTAATCCTGTAGTAAATTATTGGGTAACATGCAACATGTGCCTTCAGTCATAGTCATACTGCTCATGCGTCAGTAGTCAGCACTCAGTAATGTTTGTACTGTACTATAATTCAATACGAAGTGTATGACTGGACGTATACGTACCAGCAAGTGGTTTCTTAATCTCTTTCTGGAACAGTTTAGTATTATTTATTTATTTTAAAATCTCCAGTAAAATTATTAAAGAGTAAAACAAAATTTAATTAGTTATATAATTAGTGTTCTTCAGGATCTCTACGATCACGTAAGTTTTATCCAAGGGTCTCTCCCCTTCATGCAATATCATAAATTAATTTATTAGCAGTTAGTAAATGACTGATGTAATTGTTTGATTGTTGGAACTTTGCAACTGCAGTGATCATCTCAGCAAAAGAATGCTACTTTCTCGGACTGGTCGAAACCTAAAAGTCTACGCAAGGTTAGGATAAAATTTTATCTCGCCATTTGATGGTGGCATTTCGATTAGTGATATGTTACTCGGTGCAGTAATTATATAATTACCAAATAATAATTTCAATTATCCATTCGATCAAGTTTAAATGTACGATGAAAGGTGCTTTATTATTATTATTTGCTAACGATCATAAATTACAACGACAAGTGACTTTTGCTAAATTTGTGACCGCACGAGATAATGGAGATTCACGAAAGTGCCCTTGTTAGATCACTATAACCATCGAGAAATCATTTGGATCGTAATAAAGCCCTACGCGCGTACTACTGTAGTCCCACGTTCGATATGGTGCAATAACACTGCTCTTGCGAGCTAGCATAGTCAAGCACTCTATGGTAAAATTCTACTTTTAGTTCTGAACACCGGTTGCATAAACAATTATCCACCAAAAAGCTGTCCTTGAAGTATCATCTACTTACAGTTGCATGTCAGCTATTATTTCGGTATCTTTTAACTTTAAATTGCTAACCATAAAGTGATATTACATGTATATCACGTACGTACGAATACTGTTCAGTAATTACGAAATGCTAAAGTACTGTTATTCCTGCTCTAAATGTAAATTAATTACAATTCCTGCAGAAGATGGACAAGCCCACTAAGCCGATTTTATAGCGTAAGCGGCGAACATGACATCCTGCGAACATCATTAGAAGTTATAGCTGGCAGCGATCAAATGCCAATTATTAAAAGTTACAGTTCTCAAGGTTTCTCCATTGGTAATATTAAAATAATTGGCCCGGCTGCGATTCTGCCCAAGGGATTCTTCTTGTGGAAAGTTCGTATAACAGTATTTATACTTCGAGAGTATACTGTAAGATGTTAACATTTGCCTCCAAATTCCATTGAAAGATTACTAATGTTAATACGAAACACGAACAATTCTGTATCTTGAATGAGCCAGTTATAACGATATTGATAAACTTTCTTTTAGTTACTTTTATAATTGTTATATTCGTGATGTTATTAAATTCTTCGAATATAGGTGAAAAGGAATGAAAATATTACAGCTAGGAATCTCTCCCTTTTTCCCGTACTTGTTCCAAGAATTGGTAAGAAAGTCGCAATAGAATGCTAATCAGTTACTATGACTATAACAGCCAACGTCTATTGTGAACTACGTCAGTAGTAAGACTTACTTTCAATTTGCTGGTATTTAACTGCTTACATTACAGTATGAAGAGAAAACAGCCGTGTAAAATCATAATTGTAGTGATAAAAAACTATATAAAAGAATAATTCTTTCAGTATATACGACCATAGTGAAGCAATATTGGTACATATTGAATGTTGTATCACCGGGAGCTATTCACGCAGAATTGAAACAGTATTTACTGTTAGTTAAATACTTATAGTTGACATTTAGATCTACGAGTCTCGTATTATTGTACTTTTTAATAATTTTGTTACGATTGCTGTAGATATACTAGTAATCGGTACCGGAAATAATCTTGCCGTTCTTCATCCCGACGTATTAAAATATTTAAGGTCAAATGCTATCGCCGTTGAAGTGCAGGACACGGTAAGATGACTATGTTTCATTAGCATTCATAAAATGATTCTGTTTTGTCTACCAGCTATGGTCTTTGTTAGCTAGACGCGTCTTGTAGTTCTAGTAAGTATTTAAATATTGATATAACGTGCATACTATGCTACTCTAAACGAAGTTGACACTGTAATCAGTAATAACCCAGCTTTCAAGATGTCCATAATAACCACTTTACTCAAAGTAAAATACTTTTTACCCATCCTATATAAATGCATACCGATATGTCATAAAAGGCAAAGATAAATGCATTTTATATTCATACTACCATATGCAACCAAAATATGTGGGGCAATCTAAATTTTCACCGCTCTAGGATTAAAGTAGTTGCGTCAATCTTATCCTGTTGGTACATTAAACATTCGATTTTTTCGTACAACTTCTTATTATTTCATTCTTTATGGTACAACTTTACTGCAGATGTTATGGAGCCAATTAATCTCTATAGCTACCTTAGTGAATAGTACAATCTACTGAAATCGTATTTGAAGCCTTTAAAATTGATTAGATAATGTAGAACAATGTAGAACCGTAGCTTTACGTCACTTTATGTTTAACCACTTATCATCGACTATTTCAGTATTACAATGTTTAATTCTTTTATGCAGTGGGTAATGTAACCCTAGGAAGCATGCGAACGGGATAAAGATTAATCTAGTAACTTATATACTTATATAAGTTATTTAGTTATAATGAAAGGCTGCTTGAAAGAAGTGCTGGCAAAACAAACAAATATAATCTTACATAAACTAACAAGTAGCGATCGTACTTTCAGCAAGAGTATACCTACGTACGTAAACAGTGTACCGTATCAATTACTACATCACGCAGTAATAAATTGTTCCAAAGTTCGGCTATTTTTGTTGCCTGTATAAGATAGATTTGAAATACGCGTACTCAGTATCTTTGAAATCACATTTCAGAAATGTTTCATTATCTCTCTTGCTTGAATCAAAAACTGATATTAAATAAAAACTAGCGAACGATATTGATATACTGTACGCGTTTTACGGTGTGATTTAACGACAATTTGGTGGTGTAATAGTAATAGTGACTGTTTATATCATCATTGCATATACATTACTCTTTGTAAGACAGCTATATTGCTACCCTAAGTATTTTAAAGGATACAGTTATAAATCTGTTTCTAATTATATATATATATATATAAGTATAATTATGAGATAAGTGAAGTTTGGTTCATGTCAGTGCCATCTATTACAATTATAAACAATTTAGATTTGATTTAAATAATAAAGTTATTCAAAATTTAACGTTAATTTTCTCGTCAAATATTGCTGCAGCCCAACGCCTGTGCGACATTTAACTTTCTTTTAGAAGAAGGACGCCAAGTAGCAGCTGCATTGATACCACCTGCGAAATTGAACACAACACCTCCGCCTTCCTCTACGTCTGTTCATGCTTAAGCATATAATGTCCATATTTCTGCTTGCTGCTAAGTGTAAGATATTGAAAATAGCCATAAGATACAGTAGAATTTACTGAAGGCGATATCGTTTCATGAAAGCAAGCTAGAGCATATTGATACAGTACCGAATTCATTGATTATACTTTAACAGTTCACCTTATGATACTAAAAGCCACGAAATAGTTTGTTTTAAAGTATATCAAACTGGTCAACGTCGAATAAAGTAGAACAAAGTATTACCGATTATATGGATAAATGCGTTTCTTTCGTAATAAATCTAGCTTTATCTAATTCAATTAAAATGTCGTGCTGTAAATTCTCGGTTCATGATGTGATAGTATAACTAACTGTAGCCCTTTATTTCACAGCCTATCACCATGCTGACCAAAGTCGTTCATGAATTTAGTTGTTATATTTCATTGTTGCGAGTGTGATGATCTACAACATTTGATCTATTTGAATTGTGATAGCGTCGGATAAAGGAAAAGAAAATGACAATAAACAAACAAGATTTGTTATCATGCATCTGTACTATTTTATTTCCCTATAAACCAGGTTTATGCATCAAAATCCATGTGTTATGCCAATGTATTACGGCAACTTTTTTGTTTTATTACATCTTCGCATAGCATAGCATTTGCTTTTCTACTCTTACACAGTCAATACGTGTACGTGCTGTACTTGAATCATGTCCTCACAATTATAGAGGAACATACCCATTCGATAAATCGCAATTGCGCACTTTTTATATTATTATCGAAGTACTAATAGTTGATATAGATTCAGTGAAAATTGGCTGATTTTGCAATAAAGTTTGAATTCATAACTTGGTTTGTGACCTGACGATGGGAGATCGTAGGTATTTTCAGGGACTACTCAACTAAAAGAAGTTGAGTATCGTCTGCATGACAATAGTCTCATAGTCAAATAGTTGCTATATTGTCGTTGTCGGTTGATAATACGTAGTCGTTCAAACGGTGAAGAGTAATATAAACAGTATCAGAGGTACTGAAGTTAACTGAACAATGCTCGTAAAACATGAATGGGTTTGCAATGGGAAGACATACGGTACTATCATGGGCTAATTTATTGATTTTGAATTGCAATCTCGTACTGTACTAGGAATTCTATAAACTGTTAACAGTAGTTAGAGATTATTGGTGATATTTGATTATGCATTAGTTGGCTCCTGGCTGGCTATTGGACTCTCCTACGTTCGGTCGTTCGCCGTCTGCTGGATTTTCTGCGACGTGCTGTAGAGTATCGGTATACAGTACAGTACAGTACAGTAGTACCGCAATGAATGAGTTCATCGCAATGTGAAGAAATCTTGCGCAAGATATACAGTACAGTACAGTACAGCACAGTACAGTACCCGTACTGTAGCAAAGTTGCAGTGTACTGTACCGTACAGTACTGTACAGTACTGTCATACAGTATAGTGCACTGTATGTGTACGCATGATCAGAGAGTTGACTGTTGTATGATCCCAAAAATGAACTGTGACCGCACCTCATGGTTTGGTTATGGGTTTTGCTGGTACAGTACTTACTGTACAGTGTACAGTCCTCGGCCACCGTATTCATAGTCACTGTACAGTACTGTACTGTACAGTACAGTATACTGTAGTACTGGACAGTACTGTACTGTACGGTATTGTGCTGCACAGTACAGTACTGTACAGTACTAGTGCACTGTACGGTACTGTACTGTACACTCAAAAATTGTCAAATTTTTTCTGACGTCTTCTACAAGCTCTTTTGCATCAGATGCAGTTGGAATGACTGTACAGTACGTACTGTACACTGTAAGATGGACAGGATACTATACGGTACACAGTCGCGGACCCATACGAATACTGTCAGAACGAGAGTTCTCTTCCTATTAACAAGTCCTTTTTTAGCGTATGCCTTTTTACCGGTCAAATTCTGAAAGCCTCGCCGATACTATTTAAGGCAAGACTCATCAATCTTGCAGTGCACTTCGATTGTCCTCCTACCTTGCAAGGAATTGTTGTATACTAATCGTAAGTATGATGTCGATATATGTGTGTATATGCTCTCAATATCGATGGTCTCTCTCTCTCTATACTCGCATTTATTGATACTTTGCCTATGTTAAACTATGAAAAGCCTACAAGTAGTTGAGTGATGCTTGACCCTTCTTTACGTAAATCTTGCCCTTATACCGGGTAAGTCGTCACCACTACCGACATCATGCAAATTGAGGAAGTGTTACGTACAGTACTGTGTCTTGCCTCTTCAATGGCATACTTTTCTAATACTTCCGGCAGTCTCCCACTAGTACAGGTGTTTACCAACCTAAATGGAACGGATCGTAAAATCAAAAGTGAAGAAGTCAATCAAAATGTCATAGTAGAAGCGTATATCCAGTTGTGTATCTGATCGATCATTTTTTGCACACCACATGTCAGCATTTACCTTGAATGTAGGCGTTTCATCATTTTGTAAAAACGTGCCCTAGCCCTAGTTCAAGACAGGACTTAACATCATCGCAGAATACAAATATTGTCTTGCATGTCTTACAACCATAGACTACGATGTCTTTATCGTATTAAGAGTATTACGTATTATAAAATAGTTTCTATGCCCTAGACCTAAGAGATGTTCCTTTCTGTTATACAGTACAGGACATAAAAATGATGAGCTAGACAGTCGACTCTTCAAACTTTCAGGGTGCTTTTACTGACACAGTCTAGTACAGCGTACAATAATAAATAAATCAATATATTTTTAATCCTACTTTTTTTCCTAGCTTTTGAACCTATCAGCATTCAAGGTTAATTCCAAAACTAAAAAAAATACGTTACTATGAAGTTCATTTTTCCATCTGACCCCTTACCTCGTAACGAAATTGAACTCCGGCTGCAGCTAGTGCTTAATATTGTACTAGACGTAGAAGAGCGTATTGATAGATATCGTACATTTAGGATCTGCATGCAACAAAAGATATCATATATCAGTAATCTAATCACTTTTGACAACTATGTTGTATTCCGCTACATGGGCTGTCTTGTACTGTACTTCGGTAGACAATTGCTAAGCTACTGCCCATAAGTCTAAATTAAGATGGCGAAAGCATCAGTTTCTTGCCTGATAAAAGAAAACGCAAGTTTTCCCAAACATATCATTGACTGATTATCTAATTAATGTCTTTTCTTTTTTTTTTCTTAGAGCTATGTTAACTAAGAAATATTTGGAAACTTCCCAAAAAAATCTTTTCTGCAGTCCTTTTGCTGAAAGGAACACAGCATGCCCGAAAACAAACAGGATTCTACATGCTGCATCAGCTGCACCGATAGGTAATCCCTTGTAAATTTTCAATATTTCCATTTTCTCATACCAATAACTCTAGCATGGGCAGTCTTTTAGCTTTTTAATTAATCTACTACTTGTATTTGTAATAGCTGAACAAAACAGCTGTGAGTTTGGCTCCATGAAATACTATGCCTTTTGTGGTTTAGGTGGTATTTTAAGCTGTGGTATAACACATACGGCTGTTGTACCGCTTGATTTGGTTAAATGTCGAATGCAGGTAACGAGATCAAAATTTTGTTAACCGTATAGAAATATTACAGTATATTCCTGTAATCATCAGTAACGTTGCCCTTTCAGGTGGATCCAGCAAAGTATAAGAATATCATAAATGGTTTTAAAGTAACCTTAGCTGAAGATGGAGTTCGAGGATTAGGCAAAGGTTGGGCTCCAACCTTCATTGGCTATTCTATGCAAGGTCTTTTCAAATTTGGTTTCTATGAAGTTTTCAAAACTTTATATAGTGAACTTTTAGGAGAGGTATTTAAAAAATTTATCCATCATCATTATTACCACTGTATATTTTCCAACTAATAAAATCATCAGTTTAGAGAGATCATTTTAACTTCTATATTATGCAATTGTTTTACGTAAAGGAAAAAACATACTTGTATAGAACATCGCTATACCTGGCAGCTTCGGCCAGTGCCGAATTTTTTGCTGACATCGCCTTGTGTCCAATGGAAGCTGTTAAAGTACGTATTCAAACCCAACCTGGCTGGGCAACTACACTACGCCAAGGCTTACCTAAAATAATGAACGAGGAAGGTTTGCGAGGGTAAGAATTTATTTGATACTTGTGTTAGTTTAAACTGACGATTTGATATTAACACAGTATTAACCGAAATTGGTAGACTTTACAAAGGTCTTCCTCCACTTTGGATGAGGCAAATACCTTACACTATGATGAAGTTCGCTGCTTTTGAACGCACAGTAGAATTTTTATACAAACACGTTGTACCTAAGCCCAGGTAAAAATTTTTAACAAACGTAACAGTCTTTTTACTTCAAACATCGCGTGACTTGCTACTAATAATTTAATACACACATAGGAACCAGTGTTCGAAACCTGAACAATTGGTAATTACTTTTGCTGCTGGTTACATTGGTCAGTGATTACGCATTTTTTTACTATACCGAATTAACTCTGTACCTCTTAATTCTTATTAATCCTTACCCTATTATTTCTCAATGTAGCTGGAGTTTTCTGTGCAATTGTTTCCCATCCTGCCGACTCTGTAGTTTCAAAATTGAATAATGATAAAGGAAGTACTGCTGTACAAGCTGCTAAGTCTTTAGGATGGAATGGTAACTGGATTACTTATATCATCTATAATAACTTATCAAAATTCATTTTTTAAGCGAGTATGCAAATGTTCTAACGATGACTGCTCCCTTGCTTAATACATCCGTAGGCTTATGGAAGGGATTATTTGCTCGTATTATCATGATTGGTACGTTAACAGGACTGCAGTGGTTTATCTATGATACTGTAAAGGTTATTTTCCGTTTACCACGCCCACCACCGCCCGAAATGCCCGAAAGCCTGAAACGTAAATTAGAGGCCAATGAAAGTCATTAGTATTCATTTAATTAACAATTCGTTTACACCTGCGTTCCTCAAGCATAATCCTGAATCGGAAAAACGTTGATGTCGCATCTTGCAACATTCTGATATTAGTACACGCTAGAAATATTTAGTAATACGCATTTCAGCCTTGTTTTTAAGGATTGTCAATTCAAGAAGATCGTAGACTAGTTGATTAGTTGCTGGATTGCAAGTAAAGCCTTGCAAGAATTTGTAGTAAATAAAATGAGATCTGCTACTAAATTCGTGTGTATTCTTGAATTATAATTATTATAACGCTACCTAGATTCTTAAGAAACCCTTCTATACGAAATGACAAAATGAAGTCTAAGATTATTGATGCAGTGTTAGTAATTTTAAAATCATTAAAAATTTCAATTAGAAGTGTACCAAACATTAGCGATTGAGATACTCTATGTAAAATAGAATCTTATACCTACTAGCCACATAATAAAATACAAACCATATCGTACATTAATAAACAGAATTGAGTTTTAGATGAACCTTCGTCACTATATTACGGTATTAATTATTATAGTAAATGAAAGTATACTCAGCCTTAGATCTCTGGATAAAAAAGCGATCTAGCACAAAATCATATTTCTGAAACTATGGAATTCTTAACTAACCAATGATATAATATGTCGCTTTCGCGGACATTATTCTGTAATACAGTGTAATATTCTGCAGTTCTTAAAGTATGGATAACGAGCCGGTATAACTTATTCTTTGATTGCAATCGAAATTTTGAAATACAGTATGTTAATATAAGTACTTGTTACACCTTACGACACAGCATACTGCTATAGAAACTTAATGGTATGATTGGGCTAGTATGATCTGCTTCCAAAAGCAATCGCAGAATCATGTAACGAGCACTCTATATCCAAATTTAAAATGATTAAGTCTTATTTCAAAAATACAAGGCCGTAATTCTGCATTGCAATCATGACTCCTCACGTCTTAGTCTCTTAAAAAATATCTAGCTTATGGCATACGATCTTAGTACTCTATTCTTTTTTTCTATCGATTCGCATGAGATTTTTATGTATCGCTTTTCCGCCAATAATGATATATAATAACTATCATATTGCATATGAGACATTTTAAATTGGTGTCAGTGCAGCGTACAGTATAGAGTCTCCCAAACGGGTCAATTTACACGCTTTATTATACCCATATCATGCAGAATTGCACATGCACTCTACAAATTTACGCTTTATTGTATACTCGTATTTTGATAATATCTTATGGTTAGGGCTTAATTTCAATTTCAGAACCGAACCGAAATCGATTTGAATTGAAACGAGATCGTGAACATGAATAGATTTTTATGTAAGAAAGGGGCATACTGTGTTAAATTCCAGACACTGTTATGGAAAGCACAGCTTAAGTATTATAAAACGTAAGATACCGAATGTATTCGTATGTACAAGCTACAACTACAGTAGGTATAAACATGGACTACTAGAAGCAATAGAAGCACTTGTGGTACTAGTCCATGATTTACCTTAAAATATGGAAGGTATCCAACGAAAGGGTGGGGTTCTAAAAGCATTACCATGGAGACCTGTGTATAACTTTTTAACTTTTTTTGTATACTTGCCATACCATAGAACACAGTACTTTTTTAAAGTTTACTAGCCAATCAAGCACACCTACCTGTTCATCGCTAATAATTATAATACTTAATTAATATATTGTCTTACAAGTGTAATACGAATATACGAATTCTTGTATCCTCGCTATATCTGAATGAGTAAAGATAAATACTGTATTTCAAAGTAATTAGACGCAACAGGTGTTAAAAACCTGATCAAGTTCATCTGTTGATGCTATTCCCAGTAATTAAGTTCAGTATCAGTTGTATCAAATTGGACTACAGAGTTGGTGTGATAAAGCTGAAATTTTTTTAACTCATCTTCCAAAAACAAACACAACGATACTAGCGATAACTGGCCTACTCAAGATAATTGACCCCCTACCTGTGACGAAAACACTCACTATGATTAAAGAAAATCACTTTTAGAGCAGAGCTAAAATCATGAATAGCCCGAAATAAAAGCTTTTAATATGAATAACGGTAATAGTAGTAAAGATACATTTCCATATCGATCAGTTTCTTATGGCATCCAATGGAAAGGAGTCTATGAACATGCATACAAGAACTGCGATATCGTGGGAGGTCCGTATTTCGTAAGATATCATGTAAATTAACAATAATTAAATCAGCAGCTTAAGTGGACTTCAAACAGTACAATACGTATCCGGTACTTGTAAATTAACGTTACAACCAATTAAAAGAAGATTTCTAGATAATTATAAACGAAGGACAAAGAATAGATATTATCTGCTAGAATTCTCAAAGTTCATAATCTGAATAATTACTGGGTAAAAACTGATCTAAGAATACTTAATCTTTTGCTTAGTAACCTACAATGAAAAAACTAGACAGGTTGCAATGTTAGATTCGCGTGGAATTACCTGCTGGAATAACGAAAGCGTTACCAATCCTAGTAACGACTAATCCAATAATTATTGTACTCTCATCACATGAACTCATGCTAACAAATTCACTATTCTTCTTCATTTCCAGTTACCAGACCTTTAACATTTGCGGCTTATCAATTTAACGTACTTCATCATATTATTTATGCTAAGAACTTTGATGTGTATTTCGCAGTTGCCAAGGATCATACTATTAGAGTAAGTGATCCCCTTCGGCGTAAAAATCAATTACATTATATATTATCGATACAGATTTCACAAATATGCTGATGTTAGTTAGTATCCGACTAAAAATGTACTGTTATATAGGTACTGAACAAGGACTTCATTGAGGTATTTCAAACTGCCTCCGAGTTGAGGGCCGTATTGTTTTTACTCTTTAATCCGAGAACAAATGATCTTATTACTGGCGGTGCAGGAGGCATGAGAGTAAGCATATGAATTTTTAAGAACAAATGTCCAAGATTCTTATGCTTAAAACTGACTGTTATGATATGGAATTGTATTATAATTTAGATTTATGAGTATAAGCAACGGAAAAAGAAACCATTTGAACAAAGAGAGTCGATTCTGATGTCAGATTATAAGCTAAACGTAAAGTAGGAGAGAAATTGGAATAATGGTCTTCATAAACTTTAGTGAATCTATTAACTGATCCTTTGGTTAATTAAATTTGTAGACAATTCTACCCCGATGTCGGCGGAAGTTGGGTGAAGAAAATGCAGCTTAATCATAAAATGCAGGTAATATTTCTGATATAATTAATTTTAAAATTCTTAATAAGACTAAAGGGTGAAACAATTTTGCGTGAAAAACTGATTTAAAGTTGATCCGAAATCTAACTCTAGCACGTGTACTGCATGTCTGATACGGATGTCTTTGTATACGACTGCGTCGATGGCCACAAAATTTTTAAAATCACGAGGTACAAATAGAGAAATAGAACAACTTCTAATACTTCTTAATATCCATGAAATTCATATTAGCATGTATAAATATTTTTAGTGCTCACAAAGCTATGATAACAGGATGTGTACATTCCTTAGTATCAAGACTAGTTGTAACCTGTTCTAAGGATACATACGGTATGTTCCCCTGCAACTGTATAATTAATTATCGGTTAACCATACAGTACTATGTATTCAGATAGAAATAAAACACCTTAATCATGTAGGAATCATTAAGTTTTTATATAATGAAATCCTAATTAACTTCTTACATCAGTGAAGGTATGGACTGATAATGGAAATCATTTAGCAACAATGAAAGGGCACTCTAAGGTACGTAAGATGCCGCCGTTATTTTTAATTTTTTTTTAAACAGTTTGGAGTAAAATTAAAAATAGTGGGAAGTACAGTTAATTTTATGTAACGTCACTTAAATAATTGTTCTAAATTTTAATAATTCCTACTTACATGCAGTAAGAAAAGCAACGATATTTCTTTCGAAATACAATACATAAGTAACGCTCTCAAATGATAAGTTGACCTAATCATATATTAATAAAATTTATAGGCAATTACTAATATGATTCAGCATCCAAATAGTGAGATGCTAGTGCTAACTTCTTCCTCTGACGGCACAATAAAAATTTGGTCTTTACATATCATGGCGCAGATCTATTCGTGAGTCACCGTAAAGATATAAAACCTAATTTTCATATCAGTCATAGATGTTAGTGTAAGTATCGGAACGTAACAATTATTTTTAAATTACTAGGATATCAATTATGCCGTCCGGTATACCATGGATAGGCATAGCACATAACAACAATATTTATGTTGCTTCTAATCGGCAATGTGAAATGTGGTCATTAAACCATCTCGTCGATTTTTGGGCTAATACTTACTCTCCTGTGATTTCAATTTCTCTAGCATCGTTCACAAAAAAATTTACTCATGTTATCGCACTTAGTGATGATAATAGGTTAGTCTTTTATAATAATATAACCAATGTTGTAAACTTTGTAAAGAGTCAGTGTTATTTACTGTATTAAACGAAATTGTGTGGGTTATAATGCACTCGAGATGAGATTATATTGTCGGTTTGCTGGTTTATAACTCTACTTAAATTTCACCTATAAGATTATTATATCGTTTATAATATTTTTCAGCATTAGAATACTTTCCGTGAAAAAAAAGAAAAGAATAACCACAATCTTACCTCCACCAACACTTTCGGCATTAAGTCGCGTTATCGACATGGCATACAGTCGCTACCATAGTTTATTCTACGTTCTACTCAATCCTACAGAGATATGGATCTATACAACTCGGTAATGTAATATTTAACAATCACCTGAAATCATGTCCAATTTTGCTTGACATAATTTATTATCGTATCATTGAAGCTCGATCCTAATATAAGTTTCATTTATGTTTTTAATTTAAAAATTTTTTGTACGTTAAATTGGTAGGACCGACCCTGCATGTCGAATCACGGTATGGAATAAAGAAATCATCGAAAGTATTTTATATGATCGTAGTATCAGTAAAGGTAGACAAGAAAAGCAGGAAGTGACAAGTCTGGCAATTGTGAATAGTTTCATTGAAATTAATAGTACTACTTACGATTCCGAGAATATTGATCATTCGCTTAGAATAGACAGTAACGATTCTGAAGGGAGACCAAATGCTACAAATTTGCCCTCATTTTTAGCTATTGGAACAAAAGTTAGTGAAGTAATTGCATATAGGAATTTTTAAAAGATTAATTAGTGATGCATATGAAGATTACATTGTGATTAATGCAATTTTAGTGTTTACTCTTAATAATATAATCGAAGACACTGCTCAATCAAATAGTGAGACTAAAGTACATCTACTACTTTATTATAGAATGGAAGGATAGTATTTATTCATCCCGCTCACAAGGAACGAATTTATAAACGTCTTACTTCCAGAGATCCGGTAAAGTATTATTTTTGTGGTAATACTCAGATATCACCCTTGATATATGCCCTAAATACCTAACGTTCAGCTAGTTACGTAATAGAGAACACTATTGCTTCACTAGGTGTCACAGATAAATCATGATGTAGAAGAGAAGAAACTAATCATTCTATCAATCCGGCGTGACCATAAGATCATTCAGTTTTTTTCATTGCCTAATCTCGAACTCAAGCATGAAGTACATTGCGCGATCACTCTGTCAAAATATTGCCTTATGGTAATTTATTTAGTTATTTATTATTATTTATGTTACTATATCTGTCGAAATTTTATATAAACTTAAATTATTTGGTAAAATGCCTGAGTTTTGTATAATTTTATACGTTTTAGTCTCCAGTTTTACTATGCGGTCATTCAGATGGAAAGTTAAGAAAATGCCATTTACATAGCGGTAGATTTTATCTAGCTTTATTATTCTTTTCATAATGTAAATTTATCGCATTTGCCAATCATCTGCTTTAAGTACGAGATAGATTCGGATTATAGTTTTAAAAATTTATAATTTATTTATTGTTCAGATCTGCTGTTATAATGATACTAATAAACGATGATTAGTGCATGTAGCACATAAAATATAAGTAAAAGCGATAATAGCAATTAATTAATACCTAATAGTAATTGTGATAATATTGCATGATTCACATGTGTAGTAAAATTCTTCGAACTTTTGTAATAGCCAATATTTCCAAGAATGAAATGGTAGAAGTTGCTCCGTCTCATTTTAATTCGGTCTTGTGTATTGATAAATGCATAAGTCGGAAGGTTTTTTTAACCTCTTGGTGAGCAACGTATAATACATACGCGTGTATATCAATACGAAGCATCTAATAGTGACGAGTAAATTTATCTGGCTTAATGTTACTAACAATCTAATATCTTCGCGTTTATTGCAATTTCTGTTATAGCAAAGATGGTATTATCAAAGTTTGGGATATAAATGCCTGTCTTATTAGCGAAATCACCTTAGATCATACTTTATTGTCGGTAAACTTCTTACCAAAGCAAGGAGATATGCTATTAGGATTTAAAGGACATTTATTTTTAATACCTGCAACTAAAAGTAAGAGGGCAAGGATAACGTAAATTTTAAATGACTTTATTAAAAATTTATAGCTGATTTAAAATTTCTACAAGGAATACTATGAATCATTAATTATTATGTCTGAAGTCAAAATTATCAAGTCTTCTGTTGCATAAATTTTTAAATATGTAAGATAGTGCTCTTATAAGAACATCTAATATTTGCCCGATCTGAACTTAGTTTTTCAGCGTGAAATTGAAGATGCTAATCAATCTGATCATTATTCAGGTCTGTCATATGAAATTCTTTTAATTCCCACGCAGTTTATCTTGATAACTGGTTAAAACTTTTATAATGCTAACTGCTAATGAAAATGAAGTCGATTAATCGTAATTTTTTATTGATACGTAACTAACCTTATAGATTCAGAAGTGGCAGTGACAGATAACTTTATTGACAGTGTTAACACGCCAGAACAAGTGACAATGGAGGATTACTTGGTACATTAGTCATTCCACTATACTATGCGGTTCTTCAATTATAATTATTGGAAGAAAAACTTTAACATAGAATACTATTAACTGCACTACATTAGCACGTTTACAATGTTATATAACCTTACAGTATTACATTGTTCTTTTATAATGATTAGATGCCCTACAAGCTATCCTTAGAAAATTCATGGTTTATCGAAAAGGATGATCAAACAGAAGGAAAGCGAGCACTTAAAAAAATATCAGAAATTCCCGTAAGATTCTGTGCCATATAACATATTGTACATGTTATTTACACTTTAAAACTGTAATTGTTGTAAAGAGATCTTAAGATTCCATCAAGATGTAAAATACTGATATGTATCGCAAGTTATGGAACTATTAATGATACTAATGTAGATAAATTCTGCCTAACACAAAATTCACCTACTAAATATTATAGAAAAAGGTAGTTTCTGCGGAATCTGAAACCGATTATCGGGTTCCTATCGAAGTATATGAATCTTCGATGGAAGAAGAATCTGATATTTCAATCAACTTTGAAGAGATATCTCTCGGGAAGTCCCCAATGAGCACTCCCTTTTCTTCAGAAGCTAGTGGAAGTGAAGAACTTACCGATATGAAGGTGCAAAAAAGTATTAGATATGAAGTGTACATGTAACTGACTCGGAACCTTGTTTATTAATTATATTTAGCAGTGCGTGCATATGTACAATATTGATTATGGCGACAAAGTTTAGATTTTTCTATAATTATTAGTTATGCATCTTCATTTGTTAATTGTTAGTTATGAGATCTTATATTGTTATAACATTATAAGTTAATTAAATCCTGCTTAAATTATTCCTTAAAATCCTTATTTAAATATTCATTATAGAAAAGCGATAATTTTCCTCAATGGGATGGTACAACGGAACTGAGTTAGTTGAATAACTAGGCTGCAGATTAGATATTAGCTTCAGTCAGTTTAAGATCTGATCTCCTTCTGATTTAAATAATATTGTTGCATTAGATTTCAATGATTATAACAAAATCAAAAGGTTACATTTGAACAGTATTTAAATTATTCATTATAGACAAATCACCAGATGTTATCCAACTGGAATACTTATTAGCATCGTCGCAAAATAAGAAAAATACTAAGGTACTGTTCCGAAGGAATTGCTCCTCTTCAGGTAGTCTTACACATAATTATAATAGTACGAGTTAACGATTGCTATCAAAAGGTAATTGCGGCTAGGTCAGCTATTTTGTGCGATTAATTATTTTATTTCTACCCTATCGATTCTTACAGTCTGAATTTGTAATAACATTATCCAATATTATTATTATCGATATTGCTATTGGTACCCTTTGAGAATTTATACTTACGAGCTTACCGTTTGTTATATCGAATCCAGGTAGAAAATGGTCAAAGACCAACTAAAAGGAAAGTAGTTAGACGTAGCCGTAAAGATAGAATAAAGTCGTCAGAAACAACTAAGAATCGTGGAAAAGAAATTAAAAATTTAAAAGATGCCAAAAAAACTGATCGACAAAATTTTAAAGTCACTGAAGCTGCTAAAGTTTTATCTGCTGTTGAAAGTAATCGCGAAGCAAAAAGTCAGTCAGGTATTGTATTAATTTTAAAGTTTTTGGTTTGATTTTTAAAATAAAATGTGCTTATATTGTCTTTAAGCAGTAATTGCGATAGGTATGACAATTCTTCATTGAAATTTTAAAAGGCTATAGGCAAGATGACAAGTATTACCGAAATAATAACGCACAAAGGTTTGACGTAAAAGATCATGCTAAAACTGATACAATCAATGAAAAAGAGTTCAACCCTGTCATAGATGATGTCGTAAGTGATGAGTCGAGAGGTATTAGAGAAAACGACAGTGTATCAGGGTCTTATAAAACTACTACTAGCGGCGTTCAACGGAATTACAGACCTAGGAATATTTTACAGCGTAGTAATACGGCATTAGATAATATTAGAATTCAGGAAAAAACTAATGCCTTAAATGGAACCAATTCACCCTGTAGTTATACTGGAAAGAGCAATCGAGCAATCGTTAGAACTAGATCAGAATTAGTTTATAAATCGGTATCGCATGTTAATCGTAAAGAAAAACTGCGTAAACATCAAGAAATAAAAACTAATCAAAAAGAAAAAGAATTCTCTCGACCAGAAATTCATATTCAAACCGGGAAGGTTCAAAAGAATCATTTTGATGATAGCTATAGAATCGATCATGGGCATTCTCCTCTTGCTGTAGATGCTCCTCTTACAACTTCCTCTGAAAATCACTTTGATTTTATCATTGAAGATGAATGTGAATTGTTAGCTAGTAGTACTGATATTGAAATTCAAGATGTTCATCAAGACTACAATAAAAAAAGTAAGACAAATCAATTTTTATTTCTTAATAATGTTGGGATTATATTTGCAATTTTTTCGGGTTCTAACTGAGAATTTCACTGAATATCACAGTTGTCATCAATCAAGAATCCCAAAATGCTTCAGGCATTCACGCACCTGTTTCCTTAACTCAGATGAATAGATCGAAAATAAAAAATAGAAGGGTAATTAATATATTTTTTGATATAATGTCTTTAATGCATCAGTCAAATAAATTCAATTCCCTGTTGATACGCTAGTTTATATTTTTGGTAACTTGAACTCAATTTTTATTTTTACAGTTGGATAAAGTCTCGTCTATTAACGATAATAAGAAAAGTCACGAAATTAGAGATAAGTACGATTTATTTGTATCCTAAGCATGCTATGGATTATTTTATATTTGATTTCCTAAGTTAAATCTTCGGCTATTGAGTATTATCTAAATACATATAATGAACAATAATCTCTATTAGGCAAAAGCCATCAACAGTGGACGTGAACCCGTTTAATTCTCAAGTCCCGATTCACTATCCACCCGATTGGTATATAAAATACATTCAAAGGTGATGATATACTTTATACAATAAATTGATACTTTCAATTATTTTACTATTAAATTATATCCTTAAGAGCTCAACGAATACATAATAGTTACAGCCATCAACTTACTATCCAGACTTTACAGAGATGGTATACTAAAAGCATGTGCATGTTTATTAGTATTACAAATGTCTTTTTTAATACGATATGACTACATTTATTAAATTAAAAGATGGACAATATACGAAATTTATCTAATTTCATTAGAAATCGTCTCTATTAATTTGTAAAGGTTTTTGCGAGTACCGGTATGTTGACTAAAGTTGTGTACCGTGAAATATCTATAGGTCTTACTAGTAGCAACGATTATATAATATAAAAGGGAAATTGCAGGTCTTTACTCTAGGACTTTAAATACGAGTATTAAGGATCAAAGTATTTGGTGTAAAAGTACACCTTTTGCGTAAAAATAGACTTCTTTTATACTGAAGTTATCTACGGTGTAGTCCTATGAATTTAACATAATCCGAGATACCATATGATGATACTGTAATAAAAAGAATAGAAAATGTAGTCTTTATCAATGATTATATTTTATGTCATTGTTTTTGTGGACAAGTATTGGACCACCGTCATTTTAATTTTGATATTCTATATAATTATGACGTATGAATATTGTTTTTCTTATTTTATAACGCTCAGATTGCGCCAGTTAAAGGAAGAAAGGAGAGATAAACATGTTAATGCTGCTAAGAAGCGTCTGGAATTAGAAACAGAGAGATTAAAACGTCAAAGGAATCTTATTTGGAACAAACTATAATGACGTATAAATTCTTAGTCAAAGTATTTTATTCCAGCTTTAAATTTAGTAAATAGCTATACTGTATATAGAGAACGGCAATCTACAAGAATAGATTGGACTGATGCTATCCAATTGCATTTATCTTTTCCATCATTCTGTATGTAGAGTTGCATGTAGACTTACATCCATAATGTAGCGATTAATACAATTCTTTGATTAACTACTCTGTATTGTATATTATTGTATTGCATGGAGATGCAGGAATGTAAATGTAGGATAACGTTCTGTATATTTATTTTACGTTTACTTGTTGTCAGTTTCGCGATCGCTGACATATATGTTAAAGGTTTAATTCAAAATGGTGAAGGGAACTTCGCAATATGAGGATTTATATGGAATAAGTTTGTTGTCGTTTATGATGGTCAATCAATCAGAAAATTTGTTAATGCGCTGTATCAAATATTAAATAATGAGTACACAGTGTCCAAGACAGATTATTATTTCATTGCAAATTTTCTGTTACGTAAAGTATGAGGCTGAATTATGCTTCATTCTATTTATGAACATGGTTGAAGATTAATAGAAAATTACTTATATTCTGTATTTCTGTAGCGAATTGTTCAGTAGCACAATATCTTTTCAATTGAGCACAAGTATTCTTACGAGTACACGTTGTTGTAGTTTAAGTATACGTTATAATTACACTACTGTGCTAGGTGATGCTACTAGTTCTTATTCTTTGAACTGAAGTTAGCTGGGATTTGCTACACAAAATGTAATAAATACATATAATATACGAGAAGTCTGTGATAGTGAATTGATAGAATGGATTTAGAATACGTTAATCGATTTATTGGCATTTTTTGTAAGACCAAGCCAAGTACAGTAGTTCCATAAAGTCAATTTCTTTATATAAAGTAATAAAGTAAAACTGTGCAAAATTTTAATTTGATATAGCACTCCTTTTGTAGCGAATGTATCTATTCAAACTACAGTATACTGATTTATAAAAATTCTTAAATTTCAGCGTGAAGCAAAATTATGGTTATCTGTAACCAAAAATTTATTAAATGAATTACCTTGATAGAATTACGTAAACTTTTGGTGGAATACGTGTATTTTTTTGTTATGGCATACAGGCCATTGACTTCTGTACATTATGTGACTGCAATACATAACACTCTACAAATTAAGATACAGTAATTGGAGAGATAGCGGTATTATCATGACATCACATATTTTCAGGATTCATTAACGAAGTCGTTTAAATTCATTTTTGTTAAGGAATAGTTTGATGTTATTTTTCATTTTACTAATACCTGTAGGCTTTAGCAGTGTCAACTTATTCATCCACTTACGTAATAGCTAGTTCAATCGCTCGCGCATTAAATTTGAAATAGATATGAATTATCTACGGTTATAGCTGTTCAATGTTATACATTAAAATTATAATCGATTGTTAAAATACTTGCATTAAGGAGTATAAAATCAGGTGTACAATGTTGGCGTTTCAAGTCAGACCGTTTAGTTATTATTATATAGTCTAAAATTTACTATTTAAGCAATTAAACTTATTGAATTGTTATCATTACCACATAACACTAAAGGCTTAGCGGATATTGAGTGATTTTTTAACCGCATTTATAATGTTATTAGATTGAGGTGTAGCATGTAGCTCTAAAGTTTTAGCATAAGGCATTGGGACGTCTGCTCCAGTTACGCGAAGAATCGGTGAGTCAAGAAAGTTAAATGCTTGACCTAAATTGAATTTTAAGTTCGTATTAGTTTTTCAACTCAGTTAGGTGAAAAAAACATTCCACTTACTTTCCATTACTTGAGCTGCAATTTCAGATCCGACGCCGAACATCGGCCAGCCAGATTCAACTGGTATTAAGTGATTAGTCTTCATTACCGATGACGCTATTGTATCAATATCAAGGGGTCTTATTGAACGTAAGTTAATTACCTGTGAAAAAATAAATTAAAATTCTCTTAATCTAGGACTCCGGTGTTAAAAAAAAAATTTAATTTTGATGGTATTTCTGCGTAACAAATAGGTATTTTACTTCAGCGCTGACGTTAAATTTTGATTCCAGTTCTTGAGCAGCTTCCAGACAGATTTGGACCATTCTAGAGTGAGCAACAAGAGTGACATCATTTCCTTGTCGCTCAATTTTCGCTTTGCCAATCGGAACAAGAAAGTCAGTAGACATTGCTTCTTCGGTCATTTCAAATGATGAACCATAAAGAATTTCATTTTCTAGTACTACGACTTTTGTATGTAAGTAGTAAAAGACGGTCAGATTTGAGAATACGCGTATAAGTACTACACAGAATTGGTTGACTCACCGGGGTTGGGATCTCTTATTGCAGATTTTAGTAAGCCCTTTGCGTCTTCAGAGGAGTATGGGGACAGTACCTGGGATTAGAAATAACAGGCACGATTAATAAAGCGTTGAAAACTTTTAATAGTCAGCAGGGAGCTGTTCAGTAGAGAATTATTTCGTTGTAAAGGGTAACCTTGAGGCCTGGGACGTGTCCATACCATGCAGCAAAGCATTGTGAATGCTGTGCTGCAACCCCGGCTGCTGCTCCATTAGGGCCACGAAATACGATTGGAACGTTAACCTAATACTCAAAATTTAGGTTTCCCATTGTATTAATGACAATGTTATATGCTTTTATGTCTTCTTTCGTAACATTGAATAGTGAATAAAAGTATTCCTTAGTCGATAAAATTATGAAAATTACTGAAGGACGCAAGATACTAATTGATGATAGTATAGCCCAATACTAAGAACTAAATGAGATAGACCATCGCAGCTTACTGCTTCAGGCAATTAAGAATATAAAAGGAAATCTCAGTTTAAAAATCTTGTATACCTTCCCAGCTGACATATAGAATGTCTTCGCGGCGGAATTAATTACCTATAGCAGATTTATGACGGCTTAGTACATTAAATTTATACTTGTTACAGTATAACAAAGTCCTTAATTTATTTATAGCATGGTGTTGTAGAGTGCTATAGTAAAGGAAAAATTTAAATTTGTTACTTTCACAAAGAACTTTAGCAAATATTATAGCTTATCAATATATATAGGAATCTTATTTTCCTTCCTGTACGAAACAGGACTATGTATGTTGTTATGCGTATACGAATATATCTGCAGTACGCACTTACGATATACGGTATACTCTGTAAGAATTCTGAAATCGTTTAGGTTTAACGTAAACAATCTCGACATCAATAAACAGAATACATACATGATCGATTGCTTGCATAGAAAAGTTAAAAGTCATGAATTCACAGATTGGCTTCAGTCCTGCCTAATTTCCAAGATAACTTTTTACTTAGCAAGATGTTAAAACTGGGATGCTACGTCAAACACTAACGATATTTATAAAAATTCTAGAGTCATACCATTGCTGCACCTACGGCGATTCCCGCAAATCCAGCCTGTTCATTAAGATTAATAATTTGTATAACAATTGTGTCCGTTAGACTTTTCCCAAGTGATCAATAAATAGGCAGCAGTTATAGATTTAGTATTAGGCTTAGCATAGCATGGATGACTAAATAGAAATTGTTGGATTAATCATCTAGTACAAAATATGTGTGCAGACTTTTCGTATGTCTATTTCCTCACAAGTTGCTTATTATGTCGCATATAAGATTATTATACGATGCTTATTTCCAGGTTTGTCGTTAGGTTTAGCTACGTATGAAGTCGGTAATAGAGTATCATGAAAATATCTAGCCTATGTAAAACTCTGGAGATTGAAGCTTCAAGTTACAGATAGAGTACAGATGTTCTCTTATACCAGTTAGATGGTTAGGTTATAGCTACCTCAGTAATAGGAGTATCAATAATCCGATCTTCACCAAATCGACGTAACATATCCTTGCTAACCTATTTTTTGTCAAAAATATTGAGTAAAATTAACCGTAAACGACAAATTTACCTTATGTTGAATCATTTATACAGTACCTTGTAAGCTCCGTCATATTGTCCTACTTCTTCGCCCAACATGAACACCTTCTCATCCCGCTCAATTTCTTCACTCATAGCTGCATTCAGAGCATCTCGAACAGTCTACATAACATACGTAGTTTTACGAAATTGGGTTGAACTAACGCATATATGTAACTTCATGTAGAGTACAGTTGTCCATTTTAATAGCTATCCTACAGTGCTGTATACTGTATATATATCGTGCACGACGTTCACAGGTATTATTAAATCTTTAGACATGTTCATTATTTATTTAAATGATTTTTTTGCTAAGAAAATATTTTATCATCTACTATAAATCTTATTTCGCTACAATATATTAGAAGGTGATACCATATGGGCTGCAGCATTTAAGGGGGAGACGGATAGATTGCGAGCAGGCCATATCCGAGGCTTAAACTGAAATGGTACTCTAAGTTAGGCTATTTGTGATCACGTATGAAGAACAGAGCAATGTTGGAAAATTAGACACTACATATCCAATATTTTTCACTATACCCTTAATGCCAGCTTCCTGTAGGCAGTTCTATTCATAAGATGATGGAGAATCTGCGGCATATCCTTACTTATTGGGCTATTAGCAACTGAACCGGCTCAAATACGGTATAACAGCTTCACAATTTGACCGTTGTTCTTCGATACTTATTGAGAACCTTGACGTAAATCCGTGCTGATGGTCATCCAGCTGCCAGATTGGTTGGTTTTATTAATTGGAATATATAGCACTGTATAGTACAGTATAACAACAGTCTAGACCTAACAAAAGGTACCATTTTCGGTAGACCTGTACTATAGTCCACTATACAGAACAGTACAGTACGTCAGCATTTGCAGGGGTTAAGGTGTACAGTACTGTACTGTACAGTGTATAGTTGTGACATTTATACTGTAAGATCTCAGACGGACAGAAAGACTGCAAGACATAGAGGATATAATTTTCTTTTACTTCTACTATACAGTACAGTATAATGTACTGTACTTAGCAACTTGACGAAAGTTATCAATTTGTAACCTTCTTTGCCATCGGCTATGATAGCAATTTACGATCTTAATCGAACACATTTTGATGTCTCGCTCATTCAAAGTTATAAGTTAACAGTACAGTTTTCAATCAGCTTCAATCCAAATTTACCCACAGTACTTTTACTCTACCGTTACCTTACTGTACTATACGGACATACAGACGCCGAGAAGGACGCGGCCTCACTCTCTCTGACTGCAAGCCTTGCACGTGCTCTCCCGCATAGTTGTTGCTGACAGTCATTACGGTAAAGCGAAGTAGTATAAACTAGTAAAATTGAGTAGTAAATGGGAGTAGTTAAGGACTTCGATCTACTGTAGATAAAACTAGAGGTAAAGGAAAAATGGTTCAAATCATGGACCATTATGTCTTCTTGCAATGGTCCATAGTTAAAGGCAGGCGAATTGAGATGGGAAATAACTGCGTAGATACAAGTAGTTACTTAGTTAGCGTGGACTGTGGTCTACTGTACAAAAATTAATAACTTGGCACTGGTTAATATCTCTGTTTGTTGTTTCCCTTTACTACTATAATGTACAGTGTTCAGGGACACCTACCACAAGAAAGAAAGTGCTCCGTGTCCAATTAAACTATGGACAAATGTAGTAAATACTGCACTACTTGTATACAGTATAAGCATCAATTATACAATTATAGTTTATTGCATTTCAGGATTTACGCTGAATATGATCCTATGAATAATGGTCGAACAGTTTATTATAATTTCATAATCATGAGATCTCTACCAGACAAAACATTTTAGAGTTTAAGAACGTGGTCTCTCTTTCTTTTCTTTGTATAAAGCAAGCAATGATACATTTGCGACTTTAACAATTTTAAATCTAACACCAGGAATATCACCAACTGCATGTCCTTTACGGCCAAATCCAGCAACTAATACCTAAAGTATGAAGTAAAATAGCAGATGATCGTGGTAAATTTATCACGAAATTTGGACAGCGAAAGATTCAGAGGATTTTACTTTATATATGAGAAAACTACGTCATTTTACTCATGTTATTAATTCACAAATTCGGGTACCTCGTCATTTTCTTCAATATAGTTAAGGCATCCATCTCTTGGAACAAAGGCAGTTATTTTTTTACCGTTCTTAATCAGTTGTACACGAACACATTTTCTTATAGCAGAATTAGGCTGCTTGGCCTCAACACCCCTGGAGAAGACGTTTCATCAGTAAATGATGGGCATAACCTTAGCTGGAAATACGTGTAATGTATTGTACAAATGTAACATATCTAGTGAACTTACACTTTTTCCAAAACAATGCCTTTTGCATGGGAAGCTCCACCAAAAGGGTTAGCTTTCAAAGCAGTTCCTAGATGGCGTTTCTTGTAATCCTTATCATGCCAGCGCTGATCACGTCTATGTGAACGTAATTTGCGTGCAGTACGTAATCCGTGAGGTTTTCCTGCAAAAATTGACGGATCATGTAAAGGCGTGTTAGTTAATTTACTTTTAGAATCGCTACAAGTTTAGTATCACCAATGGCTCTTTTAGATATGTATAGACATATAATGCTGTACAGTGCCTCGCTGCTTTATTTTTGTCACTAATACGGACTGACACGATAATAAATTAAAGGTTTAAACTTCAGGACGAGCACTAATCTAATAGTACATAACCACAAATTACAGGAAATTATATAGCATTTCTTATTATGTGTGCATATTCACAAACAGTCGTATCTATGCCATGCGTGAAACTTTTACAACTATTCCGCAATTCTTACGGTACGGTACTATACAATATGGAATGTAGCTGTTTGAGTGGTTACTAAAGATTTTTTCTAACAGTTTTCTCGTCATTGCCCATCAAAGATCTAAGGATTCTAACATAGCCCGAGTGTACTTCACCGGGATTAGCTACGTGATAAAATTACATTCAGTCGAAAAATGTTGAAAGAGAAAGCTCAAATGTCGTACGTACCCATTGACTCTAACCAACTTCTGGACAGAAAAATCGAAAAGGCCGAGAGAGAAGTTGATTCTTAGCTATATACGGAACAAAATGACGAACGGACACACCACGCAAGACTGGTTCGTACTAGTACTGTACCGTACAATGTACAGTACACTGTATATAGTACTGTACTGTACTGTACAGTACTGTACTGTACACTACAGATGCAGAAAGCGCATAACCGCGGCTTAAATCCAGTATGGATAACATTATCAGTATGTACTGTACTGTACTATACTGTACAGTACTGTATACTGTATAGTCCATGACTATACACAGTACAGTACTGTAGCAACATTTAACATTTATCAGTACTATTGTACTGTACTACAATAAATAAATACCAACTACAGTATCCTGTACTGTACACTGTACAGTATATTGCATACTGCACGGTATCCTGTAGTTGGTATTTATTTATTTATTTGTACGGAACTGTAATAAAAGTGTACAGTAGAACATCGTATAAATCAACCCGTTGTACTCATATTTCAACCAAATAAAAAGTGTTCTGCACACAGATCGATGTCCCTTGACTGCCATATTGAATGAATTAATTATTAGAATCTTCCTAATTAGCTTTAGAGTATCATTTTATAACCAAATTTCGTTTTTAATTACTGTTAAGAATTTTGATTAACTTCGGTTACTAGTTTATTGTTTATAGGCACTCATGTACTGTAAGTTAGTTAATTCATGTTGCGGGCGTTATCCAACATTGATACCAGTGCAGTCAGTATGCTGTGTAGTTACTGAATAAAATAATTATAGATTTAAGAGTGAAAGATTGACGGCACTTTCTATACTCGTACAGTAACTAGTTTTATCGTTTTATTATTCAGACTGGTTGTATCAGATAATCTAGTGCTAATAAAGTTTTACAAGTACGAGCATGTTCGAAATTCTTATAAATTTCGATTGGGGATAACTTTGAGCTTAATGAAACAGTTATGTTATAGTATCTTGTATTTTCTTAAAAAATAGAGCATTGGATCGGTTTGCCACATTGTCAGCTTCAGTTTTCGTATCATATATCTCACGTTATATACGGTACGGTACGTCAGTTAAAATTGTCATTTGTAATGGAAATATAGGAAACTAGCTACTCGCCTATTCACAGTAACGGAGGTATCATCGGTTAATTAATTATGACTATATAATACTGTCCATTCTACTAGGCTTTCCGAGCACAATCAACAATAGGATCTACCATCTATAAAATACACGTATGTCTTTATACAGACACAATTGTAATCTATTAAGGTAAAAGTCATGTAAGTGTGAAACAGGGATTTATAAAACTAGGTATTATAGTCATTAACATTACCAACATAACATAGTAATATGAAAGTCAAGATGAAATAGCTATTAACGCTAAAGGTATAGCTTCAAATTAGTTATTCTATTATTGACTCATTGGATCGGTCAAGTTTATTTTTCCGTATCATTTGCGATGGATACGAGTATCCAGTTAAAGGACAACATTAGAATTAAATGCACAGGAGAAATGACACAAAAACTGTTTATTCTGTAACATTGCGTCTTGATTTCAAAATAATGTGATACAGGTAATGCTGTACCAATGTAAATATGATACGATTGCAATCTTTGATTCTATTATCAGTGATAATAGGATTAAGGGTTGCAATTGTGTTGCAATATATGAGAAACTAAAGACTTGTCCACAAAACCGCTTTAATCGATAAATTGAGCAAGCCAACGAAATCCTGACAAATGAGAGATATATATAAGTACTGATATAATACCGTTGCCTAAAGGTTACATAAATTGGATCTAACCTTCGCCGTATCCTTGCCGTCTAAGCACACTACACATGAATAATTCCATTGGTCTACCCTGAATTTCATTAGCAGACAATGTGCCCTATATTTTGTATAAACATATACATATATTTATATAAAGTTTTCAGCTGTTGGTTTAGCTATTGTCCGTATATTAAATTTTGTTATATTTTATTACAACTACTGTTACTGTGTCAATAAAGGTAAGCTAACTTCAAATCTAATTAGTTGCAGACGAGAATGTATCTCATATAGTTATATTTTATTTATTAGGTGATGGGGAAAGATGATCATAATACGCCCTTTGATACCTTTCCAGTGGTTTGATTATGTAGTCCAAATACACTACGAATCTCATCTTCTCCAGCGGCGTTCGGATGATCAATTTTATTACCAAGAATTAAAATGGGTGTATCAGCAATTTGTTCATCCGTTAATAAACTCTAGTTTTAACAAATCAATTTTAAATTATTAAGAGCGATATCCTATTTTAAACGGTTTAATATGATTACTCAAGCAATTATTTAGTCCAATAAATGAATAATCAAACGAATTTAATTTAATCGATCTTACGTCTAATTCCACTTTTGATTCATAAAATCGTTCTCTATCGCAAGCATCAACCATGAAAACTATTCCGTCGACTGCGGGGAAGTAGTCCTTCCAAACACGGCGAGCTACCGCAGTAATTTGAAAATATAGGAGACTTAATATCGGGTGAGGTGAACTTAGATAGTAATTGTACTTTACTGACCTTGCTGATGACCACCTAGATCAAAAGTTGTGAATTTCATTCCTCCCATACTTAATTCTTCGGAAGCTAATCAAGAAAAATGCCATATCTTCAGCAATGAGCTCAATAGATTGTTATGTGCCTAGCTAAGTCTAAAATATCTTGTTTCTTTACAAAATCAGTCAGTTTCAGATTTTGTTGTATTTGTAATAGCTAATGCAAATACAACAAGATCTTCATGATGTATTGGAGAGTTTCGTTGTCGTACAGTCTATTGTTATAAAATAACTTACTAGGGTGAAGGGTAGGAACATGTTGAGCCATTCTGTCGTCCTTTAGCATATGCAAAAGTGTCGTTTTTCCGGCATTATCCAAACCGAGAAAAACTAGTTTTCCGCTCTTTCTCCACAATCCTGCAACACGAAAAATTCCATTACAAAAGGTACAAAATGCAAAAGTTAGACGCTTTACGGCAAAGTCGATGAAAACTAAAGGAATTTTCTTACCTAGATACGATAATACATTGGTGAACCAGTCTAAGATGAACATTTCTATCGATATAGCGTATAGTATGTGTTGACCTATTGAAATTGATACGTAACAGAATTTCAGAAGACAGCATAAACATCAATAGATTTTGATTTCGCAACAAAATTGCATGAAAAGACTTGTGGTAAGAAATTTAAATAGTATCAATGAATAATTTTTTCGTTGTCAATACCAGATCAAGGTAGACGATAATAACTTGTTGATAGTCACTTTTTGACAAGAGTGTTGGAAGTACAGTATAAAGTAATTTGATTTTTACTTTGAATGTCTTCTCAAACGAAACGTCATGGCTTCGAAAGCTTACTCTTAATACAGAGTGCAGTTGAATGTAAGAAGAAGGAAGCAAAAAGATAGTATTTAACAGGGAATGTAGAGTATGGAACTGTGCTATACTGTATGGAATCTACTAGTGATCACACCATTGTGGTACTGTAAAAATGACCTCTGGGACTCTGCTGTAAAGTACCGTGCCGTACCGTACCGTACCATACCGTACTATCATGTCACAGTGAACTCTAAAAATCTGCGTAGTGTACAGTACAGTACTGTACTCAAAAGTTTTTATACTGTACTGTACTGTACAGTGTACAGTACAACTTGTTACAAGTACTGCACTGTACAGTACAGTACAGTACAGTACAGTACAGTACTGTACTCTACTGTACTCTACAGTAGAGTACTGTACTGTACTGTACAGTGTACAGTACAACTTGTTACAAGTACTGCACTGTACAGTACAGTACAGTACAGTACTCTACTGTACTCTACAGTACTGTGCCAAGTCTAAATGTACTGTACTCTACTGTGCCAAGTCCAAATGTCGCTCTCTGACCCTGGTTACAGTACTGTACACTGTACAGTGCCGTACTGTACAAGTGCTGCATCATGACGTGGAACCATAGAACGTATTGTGCGTAGATCCTATGAAGTTCAGTCTGAACACACAGTGAGTAAAGAGGACATTTGTACCTGTTGGAGATTTGATCAGCGTTGGAACAAAGAGACTAAAGGAAAGCACAAAATCAAGCAAGCGACTGAATATTAACGATTCGACTTGGATTATAATTATTATAAACTATTTACTTTAAGCCATGGAAGAAGAAGGATTATCTAATATACCAAATCTGCAAATCGCCAGACTGAAGTTTTTATGCACAATGCCGGAATATGATATGAATCAGAAGGGCCAAGCTAAAGAACAATTAATGAAGAACATAGAAGCTGCCAGTTAGTCACATACCTTAACCTACACTTATTTACTGAACCACAATATTAAAATATATTCCTAATAAAATATAATCTTTATAATGTGAATCACAGATAATTCGTATGCGTAATATTGAAATTAAATTACTGTAGTGGGTACTTGCTTTGTTTGTACTGCAATATACCGTACAGTACTCTAGCTGTCAATTCGAATTACTTATCTGTCTACACAGTTATACTGTAATCTTCATGAATATTAGCAGCTAAGTATTACACTAACTGTAAGAATATAAATACTGCATTTTATGTTAAAAATCTTGTTAGTAGCTTTAATCTTCAAATACAGTATAGCAGAATGTTCTTGAACTTACTTTACAACACTAGATATGGCCCCTTTCTATCAGGAGATTTGCAGAGAAATGAAATGGGAAGTTGATGATAAGCTCCTTAACAAAATGAAACTCACTAACCAAGCAGAATTGAAGAGACTTAGTGATGCCCTTGAAGATGCGGAAAAAAATCGTGGGGAGTCTGAAGTACGCGATATCATGCTGGAAAAAGCGGAATACTTATCTAAAATTGGTGATAAGGTGTGTAGTGAGCCTGTACGCGTTGACGGAAACCAATTTGTTTCCAGTGTTAAATGGTATCAGAATCAGTAATTGTATCTATGTCATCTAATACTTGTATGGCGTATCTTTTAATCGTATACAGGATGGTAGCTTGATTGCGCTTAGGCAAACTTACGATAAAACCATGGCCCTCGGTCAAAAAATGGACATCATTTTTCATTTAATTCGAATTGGTTTTTTTTACACGGATCATGATCTGATTAAACGTAATATTCAGAAAGCTGAAAGGTACTACATACTATTACTAACTAGCATTCAATACGGAGTAATTTTATTACAAGTGAGCGTATGAAAGTATATAGTAAAACTGTTAATGAGATATATTTGATTTGCCTTTTGACTCAGTCGAATAAGGGTTGGTAATGTACGGACGTTAGTCTTGCTGTTTAGCATTAGGGGCCTTATTATCTTATGGAAGATTATTAAAATATCGTAATACAGTGGCTATCGAGTGTTAAATTAGTGGATTAGGGCTTGAAAGTTCCCAATATGGTCTAAAGCATAGCATAGTTAGTCTAGTAATACTCTATTTGATGCATACCACTTGTGATACAGTACAATTTGTCTGTTGATTAGCGTTGTATAAGAGCGTTGTATGGCTTTGTATGTCTCGTATGATATAGATAAAGATGCTACTGTGGAGTAGCTGCGATCTATGGCAGTATAGACTATGGAGATACAGACAGTGCTATGAGAGCACTATTCGCATGCAAAGTAGAGTGATTGGGATATTAATGTTGTCCATAGCAATCATACTATTCGCAATAATAGTTATGCGTGTAATATAACCAAATACGCCTATTTATTCCGGAATTCAATCTGCATTCTTATTTTCAAGTTAAAATTCGTCTATACGGTATTATAATTACCATTTACGTAAATAATCACCCCAATTATTAAAAGGAGACGATTACGGTATGCGTTCTGTATTGTTGGATGCTGCAATATACAAAGATAGATTAATCAAATTCTATATCGATGCCACTGTGTAAGCATGCTTTCTTAGAAGATGCGAGCATAGTTACGTAGTACTGTACTATACCTAGTGCTAGTAAATAAATACTACTGTGCATGCTTAAAATTTTACTTAATAACAGCATCGTTTATATTTACAGTTTACTTGATGAAGGAGGCGATTGGGATCGTCGGAATCGTTTGAAAGTTTATCGGGGTCTTTACGCACTGGCAATTAGAGATTTCAAAACGACTGCCACATCGTTTTTGGACACGATTTCAACGTTTACTTCTTATGAGTTAATGGACTACAAGCAATTTGTAATATATACTGTCGTTGCATCAATGATTTCATTGGAACGTGTGGACTTGAAAGATAAGGTTATAAATATATTATAATCGGACTTAGATTTCGTATCTCACTACGGTTTCGATTAGATTGAGTCTGATTCTTAACAACTACTTCGTTATATAAGCTACAATCTTAATAAATATCTGTTAACGATATAGGTCGTAAATGGTTCCGAGATTTTAGAAGTGTTACATGAACTACCCAAGATTAAAAGTTTTCTTAATTCATTGTATTACTGCAACTATGACCAGTTTTTTGTAGCTCTTGGTGAGTCTAGCGTAATAATTAATTTATTCGCAGTTGGTAATGGTACAGGTAAATCTATCTTCTTTGTATACCATATATTTCAAGGTGACATTGAGCAGATAATGAAATTCGATAGATATACGTATCTGCATTATCGCTATTACGTGAATGAAATGAAAATCAGAGTTTACAAGCAGTTACTACAATCATATAAGAGCCTAACACTGCAGTATATGGCTAATGCGTTTGGAGTTTCAACCGAATATATCGATAAGTAAGATTTCGAATTGTCTATAAAAAGGCGGTTGTGAAATTATAGATATTTTGTTAACGTTTTGGCAAAATTTTTAGGGAATTATCTCGCTTAATTGCAGCTGAGCGCCTTAATTGCAAGATTAATAAAGTTATGGGTTTCGTTGAAACGAACAGGTACTGTAGTGATGAAATTTATTTTAGAATAAGTTAGTTGTTAGTACGTGAATATCAATGGTGTACGCAATTTGTAGACTTTTATTGAATCTAAGATTAAAAGTAGAACTACGTTTATTCATCTGTAAATTCTACTTATTTTGATGTAATACAGACCTGACAGTAAGAATCGCCAATATCAGGTAATGTGAACGTCTATTTACGAAGTAGAACTGTTGATTATAATGTGAACACAGCCTGACATTTTAATTAATACCGATATACCTTAAAAAAAACACGTTTATTAAAATATTTACGCATGATGAAATTTTTTTCTTAGGCTATTGTTAAACATGGAGATGCACTATTGAATAGGATGCAGAAACTAAGTCGTATTATAAACGTTTAATTTTGGGTATACCGTAGTTTAGCAACTAAAGTGGGTTCCGTATTGATCCTATCAACACACCTGCAATTCATATATAAGTTAATGCAGGATTAGATTTTAAATCCAGCTGGTAAATCATTCAAAGGCACATAAAACAGCATATTCTAATTTGATTGTATTTATGTGCCAAGTAGGATTCCATCTGTAGATAATCACATAATCTAATGTTAACCTTTGATTTTGTTCGTTGGCTGTTAAGTACGGCAAGATATGCTGGATTTATATTTATCTACAGCTTGGGTGCACTACGATCATTAGTATTTGTTGGATTCAATATGGATTTTTTAAACGAAGTAATTGAGCTAAGTAATCCAGCGTTTGATTGTATGGCGCTTTGTGCAGGAACTACATTTGCTGATGGAGACGATATCTGTTCTGAGTCTTGACTTTCAGATGTAGCTACAGAACAAAGATCAAATAGTTTCTTATTAACAACTTTCCAAGCTTTTTGTATTATGTGTTTTAATAAAATTTTAGTTGTTAACCTCAATGATCATAAAATAGCCCTAAATGAATTTTTGGATTTGAAAGTTCACATATAGTAATTTCGAACGTATTGCGGTGCATAGTGACAAGTAACACACCTGATATATGCTATGTGACACTATAGTATAGTACGCGAGTCTGAATTGATAATGCAGAAGATCCTTATTGCAAGTATGTGCATTGTGCATGGCGCATGATCCTGATATGAATGTAAGGATCACGAAAAAGTTAGTAAAGTAGGACTTACGGATCAAATTTGCGTCGTCAATCGCTTCAGATGGCTTTGCTTTGACTTCTAATTTAAGATATAAAAGGTTTTTCGATCAGTTTTTGTAATATGACATTGTTATATTATTACCGTAGCAAGGCATAAGATTAGAGCATTTAATAAAGTTCATTGCACCTTCTACGTATGAAGTATTCGGTTGATCGCGCTGATTGTCGCTTGCATCAGACTGCGGTTTCTTTATGATAAAATAAAGTATATCGTATGTGATTAACAATAGAGAAAGATCTTAATACACAGTTTAAATCTTTTAACCTTCGCTTTCCCATTCTTACGCTTTTTCTTTCGTTCTTCTATTGACGGCTGTTGAGCTTGTACCTTCGAAAATCGCTTAAATTGGCTCAACTATTAAAATGAAAGTTTCATGGCAGAGTATAATATTAATAGCATTATTCATTGCATAGCCAAATTTGTACAGTATTCCAATAAAGATTTAGCACATAAGATCAGCTTATGTACTGATATAGCGTAACTAACTATTTTCTGCTCTTCTCGTAGTTTAAGTTCGCTGTGCTCATGGATGGTTCGTAAAACTTCTTTTAATTTGCTAGGTATCTATTCGTAAGATTAGAATTTTTCATAAAGTTCATTATATTGAAAATTGGTTACCTTCAGCGTTGGTTTTTCGATTCCGGCGGTTAAAATAACGTCACAGAATAGCCTATGTAATATCAAAATTTTAAAATTATAAACTATTAATCCAGACTTTTAATTTTTAACCAATTTAATTAGTTTTTACTAAGTAACATTACGTCATCTTAAGGATATCATTAATAGACGGCAAAGCAGATTTGAGTGCGTTTGTAGAAATAAGAGACTCTAGAATAGGAGCTGTACACAAGGAAAATTTTAAAATTAAAGCTAAAAATCTGTAAATCTTAACTTAATTATGGAATCGATTTACCTACTGCCGGGATGCACCTAGCTGGAACTGCTTCTAGAGCTGCTGTCGTTAACTGCTCTCCGAACGCCATTTCATATAGAACGCGTCCGAAACAGTATGAGTCTTCGTTTTCCTTAGTCTAAAAATTTACCATATGATAAAATAATCACATATCCTAAGTTGCAAAATCTGATGAAACCTTGCCTGTATTTTCTTTATCATAACGATATAATTTCGATAGTACGATGGCAATCCTAGGGGTGTATTTTCCATATCTGATAATCTGATAAAATAACAACCAGATTTACAACAAGTACATGTACTTAAGGTATCATCTATATAACCAAAATTTAAATTACAAACTTGCAAACATTTCCTTCAAGAAGTACATTTCCGGTATGTAGATGGCCTAAGGGACATGTCAAAATGAAAGACATTACCGTCATAAATAAGCCTCTAAATTCTCATACAACATTTGACGTCTTGATACCGTAAGGCCATCCTCGGCTCTGAAGAAATTTTAAAGCCTATTCATGTAAAAGTACATAAATTTTGAGAATTGTTGTGTCCGTTTTAATGAAGTAATGGTATTTAGTTGTAGAAGATGTCGCATTGAAAATATTAACCTCTAATATCTGACGACCAAACGTTTTAATTTCAGGAAGAGGTAATGCGTGATATAATTTTGGATTCGCATATTTCTTTATGTAGTGTTGCTTTATCTTAGTCTTTTAAAATTTGAGGCAGATACAGATTTTATTTAATTGGTATAGATTACATACATTACATGTACAAATACAAAATAACTCTGAAATATGTTGTATACCTTACAAATATAATCACGAAGAGATCCTTGCATGCTGAAGTTTCTGATAATAACACCTCCTAAGTCGTTACTGTCAGCTAGCAGTACGGACTGAATGTATGGATGCTAAATTGAGGTAAATGACGAACATTAGTTTGTTTAAGGGAGATGCTGTACTACGTTACCATGATAGAATTTACCTGCATAGTTGGTAGTAGTTTTAGGACAGATTGGCGATCTTTATTAGATATCTTTGATAAGTGGCCAATATCTGCCTAAGAATAGGAGCGTTACTTATTAATAATTGCATACTAGCAATAGCGCGAAAAATCTAACCCATGATCTTACCCAAGATAACATTTTCGATGCTTTAATATCCTGTTTTGACTTTACTAAGAAATAATTCTTACGCAGTCTCCAGCCTAACATTAAATGCAGTGTATTAAGCTGCTGTATTTCATGATTTAAATTACAAGAGCGGAAAACATACCAATGCTCCTCAGCGATTCAACAATGTCCCAAGTTTGATCCGATCGGAAGAACATAGAAACGTTCCGTAACGCAATGTCTGTAAGATCAAAGATACTTAGTACTACTGGGATCAATATAAATTAAATGTCATTCATCGGCATAACATTTGATTACGATTACTGTAGTTACCATAAACTCAAGAGTTAAGCATCTAATCATACTGTTTATTAGTGTCGACTTGCCTATAATTTAATATGCTGTAGGCCTGTAGCTACTGCCTCAACTTGTTTAGCTTCATATAATTATAGGATTATACAGTATGTGGCAAACTACCATAAGCTACTATGTTATTGCATCACAATCACACATTTTAGTCTATACAATTATTCGCAATTAGTGAGTTTTTAAATGCACAAACATTATTGCAAACCTTAGATGGCTTATTAATATTGCAAATAATTTATCAGGAAACGTTGTCAATAATGAATTTCAGGAGCTCTTAGTTATTGCGATTTTATATTAATGTAAGATTTAAAGTACGAGATAGGTATGATATCAAAAGACTAAGGTATTTATGGGGTTACTTGTAGAAATTATGTAGAATTACCAAGAATAAGAGAAAAACCTATGAATATTAGCAGATATAAATTTGTAACTATGAATAATAAGAGAAGCGTTTCAGTTACGTAATCAGCTCACTGTCGCTTCCGTAACCTCATACTAACCGGATTAGTCTAAATCTATATCTATAGCGAAAATCCATCTTCCTTTGATAAAATGATTTTAAGTAATGGTAAAAAGATACCAAAATCAATTGTTATAATACTGCACGGTATATTCGAGGCTGCACAGATGGGTCAGAGTAATGTAACGCCAGCAATATACTGTATATCATATTATGTCAAATATTCTACAGGTAAACTTGAAATATATTTGTATGGCAGTCTCAAAATATTGATTTTGTAAAAGGATACGAAGTCGTATATGATATAATTACGGATAATGCATTAAATGTTTCTTTGAAGCATTATTACCGTAGAAGTCTATAGTATAGCGAGTAGGGTCGAAGAATTTCTTGACCGTAAGACAATGTGATAGGAAAGGGTCTTCCAGGATTACATTGACGTATACCTAATGTAATAAATAAGTAACATTAATATTAATTACAAGTTTAATTAATAAGGGAGATCGTACACACGACAATGATATATAATTCTGAGGCTGTTTGAGATAAAAAATTAAAAGAAAACTCTAATTATACCGATCATATGTAGCGTTCTAAATATACCATGTAGCGATGTATTCTACTGTAAGAGTAATATAGTAAAAGGCGGCTGAAATGATACATTATGCCTTACTTTGCCTAGTAATTTTTAAATTGCAGTAATGTTGAGATGCATGATTGCAGCTAACAATGTTCACAAATTTGTTAGCTTCAAGAATCGTGCTGACCTCATAATATATTTATAGCCATTCTACAAGTTAGTCATGAATTACAACTTTAAAGTGATTATGCCGATGTACCTGCAACTGTTGCTTTCTCTTTGCTACAAAGTCTTTGTCTAGATTTCCAAAAAGCTTTTTAGGAGGTAAAGGTAAATCCCTGCCAGAGATCTGGTATGAAATCATATATCCATTGGAGTTAGGTATAATTTACGTAGAGAAATAATTGTAGAACATAAATCTATAAGAATATCTCATTGGCAATAGGATACAGAAATACTCATATATCTCAAAACGATATCAAATATAGTATGTTAAATTATATCATACTTCAAATTGCTCTAATTAGGTCATTTGATACGGTAAAGTTCATTTATATTCAAAAAATGTAGATTTTCATGCTATGCAACAAAATGATGAACGCAAGGTAATACAGGCAGATAAAACGTGGTCATTAGGTTGAATGTAAAGCTTGTATTAGGGTTAAGTTAGGGTTACAATAGGACCCGGGTATGGAATAAGCTAATTATTTGCTATACTGGAAGCTTTCTATCTATCTCATTTAAATCTAGTCTATTAGAAGTCATATTACTAATAGGCCACATTAGATTTAACCATGAATTTTTTGTTTGAGATTCCAGTAGTATGGAATTCTTTCGTGTTCTGCCATAGATAAATTGTACCTTTTATGGAATTTACAACCATTGTTATTTCTAAAGTTAGTATTAATTCTTTGATCAAGTGGCTTTAATAAATATACCGTAAGCGAAATACATTAAGCAGCTTCCGTAAGTTATTGAAAGTAGAAACTGGTAAGACAAGTAGTGATCACTAGAGTTCCTACATATTAATCCATTTAGGGACTGGTGAGTATACGAAATGCAGAATTGCTATTGTTAAGGGATACGGTTCAATTATGGCTTTTAATCTAAAACGTAGCAAGGTTACTTGTTCAATTACTTGAGAATATATTTGCAAAGATAGCCATTATATGGCTAATTATTTTCAGCTACTGTTGTGATAGAGTTTTTCATATAGAATAGGTATTTCACTTTTACATTGTTTTCGTTCTTTGAATGTGCATTGGTGGTTGAACATGTGCGAGATATTGTCCTAGTACTCTACTTATCAGTTCCATAATTTAGCAAATGAACAATCTTTTCAAGGCTATTTCGATTCTTATTTAATAAGTAAGTAACATGGTACGGTGCTTTATCTAATCAAATACTTCATAAAATATAATCGTATGCTACCAATATCCAGTGTAATCGACTGATCGCGTAAAATATTCTCCGATTAAATTTTCTCAAATGATACATTACTAGTATATGCATGATTACACATTAACAATTTGCAAAGGAATGTTATATAGAAATCATTTCTTTAAGAATAACTAACTACTTAAAATCAGTCACTACATTACGGGATTGAAATAGTACTGTAAATTCAAAGCTATTGATTACTATGGATATTGGTAGGTATGTTAATAAACAATGATACTGCATGCAATTAATGAGGGTTTACTTAGTATTACCTATCGTGAGATTTAGCAGTTACGAAGATTGCAGAGTAGATATTACGGGTTGATGTATTTACTGTACTGTATCACAAGTTTTCAATGAGTAATTTAATTAGCTGCAAGGTGTACAGACACAAAATTAGATTTTAGTGAGCAGATATAGGCTTATTGATCTGAGGATATGGGACGATATAATTTCAGTAATATTTATCGTTACCGTATTTGATTTTATTTCATTTATCTATTTTCTTAATAAAAAGATTGCTACATTATAAACTAGTAAACTAAGGTTATACGTCGTTTGTAAGCGATTTAGCTTATAGAACGTATTTACCTCGAATGTTATGAACATTAAGTATTGAACTTACTTGTAATGCTGCATGAAGTGTTACGAAGTCATTATAGCGACGCTGAACCTGAAATATGGATTTTTATGCAAATTATAATTAGTAAATCAATATCATAATAATTTTTGGTACCACAGAGGTGAAACTGTAAAGAATTTTTGAAGTTACAGTATAAGGTAGCGTATACTTTAAAAATAAAACTACAGTAATTTCATAGCAAGTTTAGTACGCATGATCTAGACAAGCAATTTGTATGTTATCAGTAACAGCAATGTCATTTTTTAAAATTACTATTTATACGAGGTACAGTAGATACAGTAGAGTAAGAATGATCTTATACTAATTAGTTTCTAGACGGTTGGCGAGGTGTGAGGAACATTAGCTGCTGCACCATGATGATCGCTTCAGCTTGGAATCGATTTTGCCGCTGAAAGGTCCTTGACTCTACGTAAATTCAGTATTGATTACTGTACTGCCAGCAACGCGAAGTCAATGTTTCCAGGTCTTTTCAATTTGCAGTAGAGTGCTGGACTCGGCGGATTGCATAATGAACGATTCTCATGTTTCATAGTAGCAACAGTTTATTTGAGGCGCCATACTGTAAGTATACGAGTATATTCTAGCTTCTGGATATTAAATGAATGGATGTAGATAACTTGATCGGGGAAATACGCACTGAATAGTTTTGCTATTTTACATACTGTATATTGTTAATTGAAGTCAGGAAGTGTAATTGAAATCGATGCACGCATACTGTATTTTTCCATAAACAGTAAATTGTAACCAGTCCGAGATGATAGGCATTTATTAACTTGAGGATCATGGGCTATCACACACATACAGTATACATTCTTGATGTTTAATGGCGATAACATTTTTACTAAGTGTAAATAATAATAATAATACTGGGGTGTACAGTACCTTCCAGAAATTTTCCGGATTAGATCCACGTTGCACTATTAACACATATTCCTATGAAGTATTCATAACAAAATATTTCTTTGGTTATCGATTTAAACAGGTACTAGACGAGTATTAATGATAATAATAATTATAATAATCGAGGGTATCATAAACTACAGTACGTAGATTACGTGTCTATCTCATTTATTCCTAATTAACATTTCAGATTGAACATACAACATCGGCTTTAACAGGTACTAGACGAGTATTCATGATAAATAATAATTATAATAATCGAGGGTATCATAAACTACAGTACGTAGATTAAGTGTACAGTATATCTCATTTTCGAGAGATATTCCTAATTAACATTTCAGATTGAACATACAACGTGAGAGTCGATAATATTAGCCTTCTCTATCGAGCAAGTTAAAGGGATTGTGTCGTCACACTCTATCCTCGCGGAGTTTGCAGCCATTTTTAAACTAAAGGTCAATAATTAATTAATAGAGGTACCAGGGAGGCAGGGACTTCTACGAGAATACAGTACTGTATGTACATTGTACAGTATGTGTTCTTTCGAAAGTCACTAATGAAATCAATCAAGACCATAGTGTTCGACACAGGCTGGTAAAAGGTTGACGTCATGTATTGCATAGCTCTGCTTTACACTGTGCACTATTGCACTGTACAGTACAACAGTACTGTAGTTAGTGGATGTTCACGGTTGGACAGTACTGTACTGTACAGTACTCTCAGGGACTACAGTACACTCAGTACAGTACTTCTTTTTTCAAGTACTGTACACTGTACAGTACTGTACTGTACTGTGCAATTGTGCATCTTTCAGAGTTGAGTATGAACTCTATCTGTCTGTCGTGTCAGACAACTGCGCCTGCCCAGTGCCCACTCGTGCCCAGCATACGACCACAACTACAGTAGTGTACTGTACAGTGTACAGTCTGTACTTCTTTTTTCAAGTTGTTTACTGTGCATCTTTCAGAGTTGAGTATGAACTCGATCTATCTGTCGCGTCAGGCAACTGCGCCTGCCCAGCAGACGACCACAACTGCAGTAGTGTACTGTACAGTACTGCACTTCTTTTTTCAAGTACTGTACTGTACTGTGCATCTTTCAGAGTTGAGTATGAACTCGATCTGTCTGTCGCGTCAGACAACTGCGCCTGCCCAGCAGACGACCACAACTGCATTAGTGTACAGTACTGCACTTCTTTTTTAAGTACTGTACTGTACAGTACTGTGCATCTTTCAGAGTTGAGTATGAACTCGATCTGTCTATCGCGTCAGACAACTGCGCCTGCCCAGCAGACGACCACAACTGCAGTAGTGTACTGCACTTCTTTTTTAAGTACTGTACTGTACTGTGCATCTTTCAGAGTTGAGTATGAACTCGATCTGTCTGTCGCGTCAGATAACTGCGCATGCCCAGCTGGCGACCACAGCAACGGCATGGTAACAGTCAGTCCAGTACAGTACAGTACTGTAGTGTACTACTGTACTGTGGTCCGTGGTCACATTGAGATCAAAAATTTTAACGTTCAACTGGACAATTTGTCAATATTTCCCGCGTCGGACATCATTGAGTGTAAGTGATAAATGAAAGCTTATTATTAGTTAGAATTAGAATTCCTTTTCTTATGGATAAATTTTAGTTGTTTGGCATATTAAAATAGATAATTTATTTTGCTTAGACTCAATCTAATTAAAATCGCATACAGCTAAACAAAATATCTTACTATGAAAAGCGACTTGGCCAAAGATCCGAGTGTTTTAACGAAAGACCGCCTAAAGGCCTTGTTGAGTACCAACGGTGTCCCTTTACCTGAAGGTGATCAACGGAAAGATGTATACGTTAAATTATATATGCAGCACATTCAAAACAAGAACATTGACACCCGTAATACAGAACCGAATGTAAGGTCGGAATTTTCATCAGATGATGACACACAGTCTGTGTCTAAGTCAGCAAAAAAGGTAAAACCACATGAATTTTGGCCAATATATTATATTATACTATATGTCAATGGATCGAGTAGTCATGACTAGACTCTACCGCTTTATTGCAAGTTTTTAGCTCGCTGCTGTTCTTCTGTTGTATAGTGAAAACCTATGTTTTAGCTCACCACTCACCACCTAGCTGAGTTTAGCCCAGATCTTGTGTATGACTGATTACTGTATCTCATTTCTAAATTTTAAATTCTATATCAGTATGCGTGCACGATACTAGTTACTTCTCTTGGTAGCCTCCACCGTTAGTTGTCCTGACGACTCTTTTGTCGTCTTTGTAACTTGTCGCGTTTTACTATATTGACTATTCAAACTCAAAATCCCTATTATCGAATCCCCTTTATTGTTTTTTTTGAATAAGGAAGAAGAGGCAATTTGAGAACAGCAAGCTAATATTTTGCTTGAACAAAAATTAAAAATTGTTGTTTTGTCTGTTTGTTCTTAATAATTTCTACTTCATTGCTGGATTAAGCAGCTCTTTGCCATCATATTAGTAGACTACTACAGTAGACTGCAATCCTACCAATTTCTGTTGTAGCAGACAAACTACGCACTCGCACTCGCACTCGCACTCATGTAAATAAGTAAATTAATTAAATGGCTAGGATTATGAATGAAAGATTTAAATACTGTTAGAGAGTTACTGTAGTGTAATCATAATCATAATGGATGTCTTGTAGTAGGTCTGGATATTCTAATTTTTGTATGATTGTATTGAGTAATTACAATTTAAAATTTACTTATATTAATCAGCGAAAGCCAGCCAAGAAGAGAAAATCCACCGATACAAATAATGTTTTTAATATAGATTCACTATCGGACGAAGAGCTGTTGGCAAATTTGAAGAAATACGATAGTGCAGCTGGACCAATTATCGACTCGACACGTAACGTGTATAAGCGAAAATTGAAAGCTTTTATTCAACGCTCTGAGGCAACTGTAAAAGATGGAGAATTTTCCGATCCAGACGGTAAGATTTTTAAGAAGTTATACAGTACTTCCACTTTATAATAGCTTATGATTATATAGTTGCTTTCAGTGCAGTAGTTCTTACATCTTGGCTAGACAACAACTTTGATTTTTACTAAGTTTACTTTGTGAATTAGTACAGTGTTATGCAGCATAGTAGTTGCAGTTAATGAATTTCATCTCCGGTATATTGTTTAATTAACGATTTGTTAATGGATACTGGTAATAAATCATACCATATTCTTATCGTGATAATACCCTTATGGCCATTACAGTACCTCGAATAATGTGTACATTATGTTATTTTTCAACTAACAGTTGGTACTAATGTATAAATGTGTTATTGCTAATCAACACTTCGTTATGATCGTTAAATGTGTGAAATGATGCATTACATTGCACTATCAATTAGTCCTACTACAGATTACAGGATGTCCTTGCTATCACTTGCTGGGTTGCTATTGTACTGTATTTTTGACGACTTCGGAGTGTACAGCAATATGCCTATTATTTATATATGTAGAAAATAGATACGTAGTGTAAAAGTATCAACATTACGCAATGAGCAGTATATTACGCCGTTAGGACCTCGTAATGATATTCACATTATACCGTATCATATACTTAGGAGTAGCTGAAGATAGTACAAGTAAAAAAGTGGTGAAGGATACACCTACGCCTCGTCGAGGGCGCACCAAAAGTCGTAGATCAGTTTCAAGAAAAGAATTCGTAAAATCTGAGGTCAAAGATTCAACCGACTCAAGCGATCGAAAAGATGACATCGCCATATTAAACACCTCTCATTCTGTGAAACCATCGCAATCGAACGTAGAATCTCCGCAAAGTCAGGATTTACAAGAAACAAATCTGTGGTATTTCATAATCATTTTAGTATTGGCCTTAGCGATATATACTGGTGTTCATATTCTGGAAATCGGTCGAAAGCATTAATTCATAAGCAACTATTTCAAAGAAACTTCGATGATACAAAATGAGCCTATAAACTGATTATCACTACAGCACACTACTCTAGACTTTGGCTTAGAATTGGAGATGATCCTTCTGGTAGTTTTAGATTAGGCAGTATCGTAGTTCTATACCTAATTTATTATAACGCGTATTTTGAATATCCTAGATTATGAGTCTTTCAAGTTATAATTAGTAAACCTTCTAACGATTTGTGGAACTGTTGTCTAGGTCAAGGTCGATTATTTTTATATTCGAACGTTTGTTAATTTATAACTATAAACGTACAGTTTTTTAATCCATGTAGGTATTCGAGTAAGTACTTTATAATGCGAATTTACGGCTTTAATTTTTAAGTTCTAGTGTGGCATTTGAATTCGTTTGCCATAGATTTCTTACACGAGAATAGTTAATTTTTAAACACTGAAGCCTATTCTGTATGTTGTATGACCGAGATCGTTTTATTGCGTTTATTTCACCTTGCTTTGTTAAGTACTTACGAATATTGAGACAACGGACCATTTTCATTCTTGTATATATGATTCATCGTTGGCATGAACATACCATAACCTTAGAAGTCCTTGTAGGTAATACGGTATTGATTGCTTTAACATCCAAGATTCTTTAGATATCAGCAGCGCTTATGTATCGTTAACGTATATCTTCAGAAGTGATATTGAACAAGGTTGCAATATTTGTAAGAAAGTGAACCGTAAATTTTATAAATCTTAGATTGATCTTAATAGTAATTTGTTTTAATAGCTGTACACTGCATGACTGGATTATTATTTGCTAATCCTAAGTTAATTATTGGCAACCCTCATGTTGTTGGTTTGTATGTCGGGTTGGGCAATTTCAATGAAGCACGTGCTTTAATTAAACCATCACTTATACTGATTTTCTGCAAGTAGTAGACTTGACTCACGGTACTATAGGCACGCAATGTCCGTTTACTGTATAAAGTATGTTCCCTATTTTATCATTCAGCCGCTTTCTGCATAGTGCAGCTGGTACTATTATAGCTGTAAAAGCAATACCGATCCGGTAGCTTAACTGGGCTCTTGATGGAGATACTGAGTATAGCATGGTGTTTGGTAAAAGGACAATAATTGTAATTATATAAACACTATTCGAATGATTGGCAACTCACTCAGACTCTGTTGATACGCAAAATTTACGTGTAACCTGTTATTTTAGAAATGAAGCATTGTTTATATGCAGTACATGTAGTATTGATCATAACTTGTACAGTTCAGATGGGAATTCAGCCTTTTTGATAACTTACCTTTCTATCACTAACAAGCTCTAGTTATGGTAATAGTTGAATAAGATCTATTATACTGCGTATTATACTAGCCACAAACATTTAGTATCTATCTATTACTGAACACAAAAAATTTCTATATGCACAGCCCCCGTAGCTTGGCATTTTCGCTCAAACCTTGAAGTACAGTACTGTAGTTGAAGTTTTACATTAGCTCCTCTAGACCTGAAAGCGAACTCTGTTTGCAGTTGATCGAGATAATTGAGATCGGGGTTGGGACGGCATAATCCTCTTCAAATTTTTTCGTTGTTAATTATTTATAATTCGCTTTATGAAATATTTAAATAGGAGGGTACGCAGTGATTGATATTGCTTTAGTTTAGTAAATGCCATTCATGGCCATGTATAGATTAGAAGTTTAGGGGTTAACTAATGAATACTGTAACCAACTGTAAATCCATCATAGATTCTACAATAGTGTCGTTACTGATAAAACATAGCTTATAATGATATGTCCATGGGTATCCATATCCTAAAACAACCCGTCTTTCGTGTATACTGTAGTACTGTAACTACGACTGCAATCTCCGATAATATTAAACCGTGATAGGTACTAGGCGACATAATTTATAGTTTATGCGCAACTGCTGAATTAAGCCAAAGGCGAAGGATACTGTCTAAGTATCACTGCATTTATACACGTAGTGACATCTTGCATAGGTTGCCCGTACAGGTATTGTTATAGAATTATAGAGCCTTTATAGCAAAAAGGAGAGAGTACACAAATTTTTCATAAAATAAGGGTATTTTTACAATTAAAGACCGCAATATGTGCATATTCTCATAGGAAAAAGATAAACACTCCACTTACAGAGGCTTTATTGACTAGCTTCTAAATGCCAGCAAAGCAGAGAAATAACTACTAATCAACTCTGTTGCTGTCCGATAAGTACACTTTTTAGCACATAGTACATTGCGTGTAACATGTTTTTCTACATACTACCAAATCAAGGTACAGCATTATATCATATAATATATATATATATGTACCATAAAATTGGTTATATATTAATTACGTATATATATGGTTTTATTGCACTGTTATTCGTTGACGGACCATCAAGTATCCACATGATAAGCAACTGGAAAGAACGTAAATCCCGTTCTCATAGCTGACCAATAGGGAACAGAAACTTGTGCTATAGCTATTGTGAGAGTTTTACGAGCTAAGAGCTATTCCTTTGTAAAATCTTCGCGAAGTTTTATGATCTGGTTAAATACCAACTGTAAAGTAATAGATGATCATTATTCTTTTTTATTACTATCTTTAGTGATTATAATCAACGAGATTCATTATGATTTACTGCATTGAGTATTTAAATACCTACCTTATCTCTGGTGGAATCTCTATCTACGCAAAAATACCCCATACGTTCGAATTGAAACTGAGATCCTACTGCAGCATTAGCAGTGGTACTGTCTATTAACGCGTTCCCGAAAACATGCAGGGAATTCTTCAAAAATGTACAAAATGAAATATCAGCCAGGTTTGAAAGTATTCGCCGCACTATAATAAGTTATCGTTGATCATCCAGCAGACCAAAAACAACTTGCTAATGCTAATCGCATATGTGACTCGATATAGATAAATACCTCGTTAATATCGTTCAAGAAGCCACCAGGCACCTCTGCTGGGTTCGCATGTTTGAACCTAATGTCGATAAATAGGTTTATATTAAAAAATCTAGAATTCGGTCAGATTCTTCATTAATTTGAAGGTAACGTACAGTCGCTCATAGATTCTAACTTCGCATGTGAGCGGTTCTGATACCCAATGAATGAACGCTTTCGGTTTACGAATGTCAGATATCGGTTTTGCAACGACCAGTAACTCTTCAATATTATTTTTATCGTTCTAGATTATTTTGAAGTAGAAAGTTGATTAAAGCTATTACAATAGACATATTGATTACCGACTCTAATAATTAACGTTACCATAACAATATCTTGAACCATAATTGCGTAGCCGGTGTGTCTTAAGCCTACGTACTGATTTTCAGTTAAACGATGGAAGTTCTCTCCAGCCGTCTAAAGTATTAATGTTTGAGCTAAACAAAACCATTCGAGGTAAAATGGAAATAAACTGTGGCTGTCTAACCTTTTTGAAGTCACCCCGCTCAATGTATATCACATTACTAAACACAATATTATGGTTGCCCTTACTGGAATCTTGAGGAAAGTCCGGAACTGATAATATCAAGTTCTAAAATATAATTCAGACATTTCATTGAGGTAATATGATGCTTAAGCTGTTTTAATGTAAGCGCTAAATAGATCACTTGATACCTTAGGTTCGGGAAAGTTAACTATTGAAACCTTGAGTGGGTCCAATACAGCCATAATTCTAATGAGCATAATAGCGTAATTTAAAAGCGGTAGCAGTACAATTTACAACAATAACGAATATAAAATTTAACAGTTAAGTTCACAAAGTGTAACGAAGTAGAAATAGATATACAGATATATGAGTTATGACTCCTGCTACTGTAACACCAGATGTTTGTTGTAATCAAAGTATTCAGGATATATAACACGTCAGTTGACCAAAAGTTTTAAGATTAAAAGACCAGTCTAAGTGCCCCATTTTATATGAAGATAATCATTATTATTATAGTAATAGATTTATAATTCTTATTTTTAAGTTAATTTGATGTAAATGAAGTTACCGAAATGTAATGTATCCATTGCAGTAAACATCAACCTTACAAATGGATGCATTAACAAAAACAGAGGTCTGCTGATTATTCGCATAATTAATAATCGAATGGACTTGTTATAAAATTCTTTAGATAATTACCTTGGAGCTGTTAAATTTAATTCCTCTCGGACACATGATTCTAGCAACTGAGTATCGATCGTTACCTGAGCCATAGTTACTCCTACCTAATTTAGTCAAATTATTTTAGAACATTACTCTCCCGTATTGTCAAATCTAAATCAATATAGTTTTTTTGAAAGATAGTCACACATCTTGGATCGCTTACTTTAGCACAAAATCGATTGATGGCTGCTGGAGGAAATCCGCGTCTTCTGAGAGCCGAAAGGGTAAATAGGCGTGGATCATCCCAGCTCCTACAAGAAGAAATGTTCTCAATGCCGCAGTATCGATTTATCTATTGAATTGATAATAAAAGTTTCATGTAATTGCCTTTACTTTACAATTCCATGTTTAATCAGTTGTACAATCTTGCGTTTTGATACGACTGTATACGGTAAGTTTAACCTTCCGTATTCCCACTGGACCGGACAATAAACATCTACTGCATTGCATAACCAATAGTAGGAAGATCTCCTACGATAACACATGATGAGTGTGATTAATATCACTACTATATCTGCTAAATATTGAATACTAATTTAATCCTATAAGCGTCGTATAATTAGTGAGCATGAATGCGCTTGCTTAGCACTGGTAAAGATCAATTACCTAGATTGAAATTCTTTAGTGCACAAAGAATGAGTGATATGTTCCAATGAGTCACAAAGGCAATGCGTATAGTCGTATGTAGGATAAATGCACCTATTTTTAGTTGGCAGTCATAGGTTAGGCATGTAAAAGCTTTAGATCCACTTGACAAAAATCAGGAATATTAAATTGAAATAAGTTTTAATACCATTTATTTCCTGATCTAGCATGATGAGTGAATTTAATTCGATAAGCAACAGGATCTGCTTTACCATCTTCTAGAGTCATTTTCATTCTTAGAGTAGCCTTAACATAAAATTAAAAAGATGCCCGAGTTGAAGATAATTCTGCGTGTTGTAAAATATTATTTGTCTAAATGACCTAGCGACGTATGCAGTCATTATCATCATTTTGAATGAGATGCTGATCTTTAATATCTAATCAACTAGAAATTTCGCTAAAGAACGTCAAAGGTAGCACTTTTACCTAAAAACTCATTATCAGAAAATTACTTTAGACCTTGATAGACCCACCTTTCCCTCATCAATTTTTCCATTTTTCATGTCCTCAAACAGTATTAGTGATTCCTCAATTGGACGATCCCTCCAAGGACTAGGCAATGGGCTATATCCTTTTATATCGTCTACTGATTGATGACATACATAAGCCAAGTCCCTAAATTAACATAAAGACCTGTAAGATTATCAGAACTGTAGTATAGCAATGATCCTCCACTTATGTACCTATTTATCAATTCGATAGCATAATGATATAACTCTTCGAAGTAGTCGGAGGAGTGTGTAACTTTGTAAGGTTCGTAACCTATAATAAAATTGAGTTACGAAGCAAATTTTAGTTTCCATTTTAATTTAGAATTCATTCATACCCGTCATTTGTACAGTATAGTCTTACCGAGCCAACGCACGGCTTCCAGTATTCCAACAAAGTACTCTTCTTCTTCAACTTCCGGATTAGTATCATCATATCTTAAGAAGCAAATACCATTGTTTGCCTGGCAGTAAATATCACAAGTTTAAGTAATTACTATATAACATCCTGCTTTGCCTTAGTGATACCTAATCATAAGTCAAACCTTTGCATAACAGAAATTAAAATTGATCGCTTTTGCATGTCCTATATGCAATATGCCATTGGGTTCGGGAGGAAATCTGGTCCGTACCTATCCAATAATATAGATCTATACTGTATAACGTACATATACGAGACAACAGTTCGATAAATTTGTCTAATTTAGTGAAATTAAATTAAAGCCTACATAATATTACCTGGCCACCTGTATAATTAAGGTGATGCTGTAAGATATCCATCGTTTTATTCGTTACTACGTAACCATCGGTTTTATAATTTTCACCTGGCAATATATTATATAGATATTACGAAATCAATATTTTATTGTTATCTACATTAGATAAAATTAAAAAATTCAACAATGATAAACCTGGCTTATGAAAATTAAGACTTTTGATGATATCCCTAAATGATCCAATGTGTGAGGCTGCAGTTTTAAGTGCACCAAGTTTAGTATTAACAATAAGTTGCATAAAGAAATGTTGTAAGGAATCAATATCGGCTTCCGTACGTACATTCATCCGGTAATTTTTCAGTATTCGTTGATTTCTTTTTTTTTTTTGCATTCTAAATTAATATAACATTAAATATTCACAACTCAAGCTGTTACTGAAAGTTAACTTAAGAATTTTACAAGAAAGCGTCATAATTACCTTAACACTTGATTTATCTTCAGCAGTTTTAGGACCAAGGAGTGCATGTACCTTTTAATAAATGGCCATAGTTGTTTAAATTTAGATATGAATTAGTTTTTAGTAATAACTGAAATTTAGGGGTCTTTTCAGATCTATCAGTCGGTATTAATTCTATACACTAAATCATAAATTACCTGAGAGTCGATTTCCGATTTAACACTCCTTCCGTCTGCCCACTTAAGCTTGTCCCTGGCTTCAACTATATCAGTCGTAAAGTCAGGTGATGCATGCTCAAAAATAAGATTTGCACACACCGTATATGGTATAATGGTATACTAGCTGAATCACTCGTATAAACCATAGTGTGAACGCACTTTATAGATAAGAGTATATATGATAGCTATGAAAGAAATCAATACTCACAAATAAGAGTACCAAAATTAAATTTGTATCGGCAGCTTAATATATCATTCTTATGTTTATTTATAATTTGTGCTACCTAAAACAGACATGAAATGGTTGTACTAGAAATAGATCAAGGGCTACTTGAACAGTACCATAAGATAACAATAGTTCACCAATATCTTAGTTATAACTATAATAAGAGCAAGAATATTTTATAGCTCAACATACCACAGCTTTGGTTTCCTCAGGGGTAACGGTGATTCCAATTCCACAAGCTGCTTTAAATTTTACGTCATCAATCGGGCTAGTAGGATTATCGACGAAGTATGCCATAGCAGCTGTTCATACATACGATAATTAGCATACGTATGAGGTTATAATTTGATAAAACTTTTCTGATTTCTATTAACTCGATTCTACCTGACAGTTGTGATTTATTATTTATTTCTTTGCGGCAGACATATTGCAGTAAGTAAGAGGTCTTCGATTGATTACGAAGTTCGGTAGCGATTTGATACAGAAGGTTTCCAACACCACTATCAATTTCAACATCAGATAGACTTCTCGCCTATAAAAGTATTGACAGGTAAGATCGATTTTAAGACTGTGCATTACCGTTGTTTGTAAGCGGTCAAAATATATATGATGTGAATAAGCAGATACACCTACTCTATCAAAATTTACGGTACCTTTAATTAAGATATTGAACTGAATCGCTGAAATCATCAATTCAATGACTAATTCAAATCAGGATTGAAATTGGTTTGAGTTTTGCTAAAATGAAAGGAGCTGATTTGAATAGAATCGTGTGCTAAAATTTTCAGTTTCTTGAATTAAATCACTCAATTCAATGACTAATTCAAATCTGAGTTGTGTTAAAATATATATATGTTTACTTGCACAGTGACAGGCTGTAGTAGGGACCACTATTTTTTTGGGGGGGGGGAGAAATTGACATGATTTGAATTGATTAACTGTAAGTTTAAGTGATTCTGAGTTAAAAGAATTGATTTGCTAGGACTCAAAATTTCACAAAATTGAATTGAATGAATAGAGGTGAAATAAAATTAGTTAGAATCACTTGGAATGGAATACTTAAGCCCCAAAGTCGAATTTTGACATTCCGTATATTGTAAATTCACGGATTATCAAATCATATTAATGCGATTGTAGGTGTGTCACGCTGCTAGTATACTATTATAATTATTAACTTAAAATAGTAATGTATTCCATGAAATTTCCACGGGTTTCGCTAGTAATTATAATTATTATAATTAATCAGTAGGGACTACTCAAAAATTATGATTAAAGTTCTAGGTAGTGCAGCTAATGTCGATATGATACTAAAAATCATATCAATCATGTCGATATAGGAATGTGAATGATTCCTGTATCCTTACTGAAAATGATGAAGTAGCTTTATTTATAGCACAGCCGTAAAAGAATTCTACGCAGTGTATATAATTAATACAGTAATAAGTGCGCAATATTTATTTATGGAGAATTAGGTCTAGATAATTTTGATGGCTAAACGTTACAGGTCTGCAGTCCAGTACATTACTACTCGTATTTGTGCTGCTGTTTCGTTGGCGATGCATTCCGTTGGAGTGTCTCTTTCGAGTTCACATTGATCTAACAAAAACTACAGAGTGAATTACTTGCAGCGTATTTACTGCTACCAATGCTACGGCAAAGGAAGAATCTGATGTTTATATATTAAGTTGTATACGCATTAATAAATGCATAACCGCATGTAGGGCATTTTTAAAAGCTGTTTGTACAGTAGCAGCCACATAAGCTCGTAGTAGGACTGTTGAAAAAAATAATTAGACTGTGCAAGTATCATAATAATTATAATGCAAGCGAGGTTGATCACTCTCATTTGACTATAGCTCCCAGTGCACCTAGCTAAGTCATTTGTTGTATGGTGTACCATTAATTTGAGCATGATGGCGTATCTTCTATACAAAAGTATATTATAATATCACAAGTAGCTCCAACGTTCATCCGTTGGAGACAAATATTCATTATAATTAAATGGTATTTTAAACACTATAGATGGAGAATATTGTATAATAATTGTAGTGCGATACTGAATCAAAAGCTATAGTACTTGATACACATATTAAGATGTTAAGACCAAAAATTAACGAATAAGAGGTTACAGGGTTGCAGAAATAGTGAAAAGTATTGCATCATCTACCACATCAATACAGCACTGCTAAGCACTACGGCATGGTCTGCTAACACTAAGTATTCGATGCCGGTACAGTAACGTGCGCTATAGTAAGTAGTGCAGTACCGAGTCAAGGGTATAGGCGTTTGTCAATTATAAATGACGTTTGTTAAAATCGGAAGGTCTCCAGGTTAAGAAAATAGTTGACAGGATACCAGGATTACCAGTAATTTGCCACTAGAGTTCCTTAATTAAAGTAGACAAACAGAACTCACTTCACTAGTAGATAGCATAGTACAGTATACTCGTACTGCTACTGAAAGGTTAACCATGAATGATAATCGATGACCTAGGCTGTTGGTATTTCTTCTGGAAGACCGTGACTATCCACTCCCCTTTACAGTACTGTAGTGTACAATCCCACAACTGATACTGACTATACTGAGCAGATAAATAAAATATCATTTTCGAAAATGCTGTAATCTCTATTTCCTACGTTGATAACATAAACACTGATATTACCAGCACATTGGTGTAAAGTGTAGGTCAGTGGAATGGGCATTTGTATCTGTGCAAAATGTTTTGCTTCAAAGAAAAACATACCGTACAAGGTAAGGTATTCAATGTTTTACGCTACCTCGTGTATTATAATAGCTAGTCGCGCTGCAATAGCTTTATTTTTTAACGTTTCTTCAGCCTTTAGTTTGCTTAGACCGACGCTTGTAAATAATTCAACGCTTGCTTCCATTTTACAAGTGCAGTAGGTCTTTCCGAGTTATAGTTGAGGTTGTGCTGACAACAGCAAATTCATTAAATAACGTTGTCAGTAAGCCACCAGCAACTAGTGTCGTTTTATAAGAAGTTGTCGGTACTAGACAGTACATTGACAGTAGAGTTTCTATGGGCAGAGACGTACCATACTGCGTCCCAAACTGGCTGTACTGTACAGTGTACAGTGTACAATACAATAACCTCCACAGTACTATGCACTGTAGTGCATCTGGAACAGTAAACTGTACAGTGTACAGTACTGTATACGAAAGGGTTTTGCGTTAGAGCTTCTTGATCACCATCGCTACTTCTAGTCGAGCTACTGCAAAATATGCAGCATTCACAAATATTCTACAAAGTAACATGCAAAAATTCAATTTAATTTAGTCATACTCGGTACAAATAGACAGTATCAAATGTTGTATTGTCACTGCAGTACAGTATAATTCACAAGGAAGGGCTCCACTAGTTCAATATTAATAAATTAATATATACTCGTATATATATATACTGTACTGTACAGTACTGCATAATAGAAGTACTTTAAAATTATAAGTTAATTCAATGCCCAATGTCGAAGCTACATGAAGAGCTTTAAAGGCTGAAACTTGGGATATTAGATAGCGTACCGCATCAGTGGTTATGGCTGAAGTCTTTCTGTACAGGTTGGACCATGTTCTTGGGATCACAGGTAGTTATAGGCTTTTTCTTCTTTATAGTAGTATTCAAACTATCATCATTATTTCTTGACAGTAAACTGTTCTGCACTGACTACCGAGTTGTGCATCTCTACCTCAGTGTAGAGATACGAATAATATATAAGCAAAGTAACATTTCATGACACCATAACAGGAATGCTGCCATACTGTACAGTACATGAGTATACAGTGATACATTGACGACGAAAACACCTGTTTAATTAGGATCAGTCAGATCAGAAATTGTAGCTAACTATTAAAATAGATTTTATCAGCTCCTAATTGTTAGTATTCTTGCGTACTATGCTTAATTTCATAAATAGTATATTATAGTAAATGAATATTATTGTATTCGTAAGTACTATATCGTAGTGTACTGAAGTCGATGAAATAGTGAAATCTGAAATCTCGCTTAGTAATTTCAATTTGAAAAGTATTTGACATTATTACTATACTTGGATCTGCTCAGTTGCAGTGAAAAGCCTAAACAATGGGATATGCTATTAAAGATATTGTAGAGATATATCACGTTCATTTTACAACTGCGGTTAGATATGATCACTTTGGTACTGTGTGAACTTTACATAATGAATGAATTAATTATTGAACGATTGCAATTATGTAACGTGCTCGAACTTCATATTTGTGTAATTAATTATTCCACGCTGTAAATATGAATAGCCATGTCATGGACGCTGTTGATATACGAGTATATATGCGTATAAGCAATAACAAATGACCTCGGCGAAACTTGCCCAATGCACAGTAGTTATGGCCTTCTACTACTATTATAACATGGATTGTTAATTCAATTTTTATTACATAAAATAGGTAAAAATAATCAGGAGAGAATCCAAACTGTGAGTTATAAATTATCTAGGAAATGCGTGGCGTTAGCGTTGGCTACAGCAAATGGTTTGTTAAGTATCGCATTGCTTTTATCACACATATATATATAAATATAATTGATTAATTAATGCTGTATTCTGTACTAACTAGTAAACATTAGAATAATGATGAAGTTATAATGATATTTTGCCTCATATTATAAATACGCGTATTAGATCCAGTTACCCCCACAATACCACAGATCATTTTGGACATCATAACAATTACCTACAGTAATTTGGTTACTTTATATAATGTAATAATTCTAATGTCATTTTTTATCAGGGAATTTAATTTTACGCTTTGAAGAAAATGCTAAAACCAACACTAGGATCTTACCATGGCTTAGAGTAAGCGTTTTTAATTTCCTGTAGGATATACTTTAAGTACAAGTCGAGCCAGTCATATTAGCACTCATTATGGTATATTTCAATTTTCATTACTACATTTACCTCAAATCCTTCTGAAACAAAAGAATCCTCAATATGCTATAAGGGCGATGACGTTCAGTCCAGATGGTAAATGGTTGGTTTGTGTGTGTATAAACTCGGTACTATTCATCGTACCTGCTTTAACCTTAGTGAAGGTAAGCAATCGATTTGATATGGACCAAAATAAATTTGCCAGATAACGATTTAACTTTTATATCTGTCTTATTAGTCGATTACTTCAAGCTAAATTAGCGAAGGCACCACAATTCTCGTATCTACTTCATTATTGTTAAATATTCATTGATAGTTATCAGTGATATTACCTTTTATTTGTAAGACAGACATTTATGGTATCTATGTACAAGAATAATAGTACATAAAATCTTCTGCAAGTAGTGTGTGATACTGGTATTAGATAAAAATCATTTTATGATAGCTTAAGTATAAATATAATACTACTATACTATTCTTAAGTTAGCTTTTATATGATTATAATTATAGATTGCTTATTTTCTTTTGTTTTCTTGACAGCCTAAAAGTCTCTCCGGTCATCCTTTATGGTCAATTTACGATCTAACAGAAATCACAGATACTGAAATCAGCGGTAAGTCATATTGTGCCTAATCAATTCATATTACGTTATCGTTAAGATTCTTTTATATTCGAGGATTTAACCGTAGAGGTATTATTGATAGTTAAACGGAAACAGCTCTTATTCGAAGGTTACAGTATATAACCAACTTTACTGATCTTTGTTTATATTGGAAGAATGCAATAATTAAATTTAATTTATTAAAAGTTTCTATGTTACATGAATTATAATATTCCATTCCAGAATCTTTTACGAGATTTAAAGTTACTGTAGCAATTATATTTTTACCGCATATGCACTCGATCTTTTACAATTAGAAATATGCTAGTTATAGTTGTATTGATTTCTAATACGATATTGCAATGCAGTGTTAACTCTAATGTAAACTATACTGCTTTACATCGAATGTGGTTAACTGTTTATTCAGGAAATGCAACATGTGTGGTCTGGTGGTATTCCATGGATAATAAGCACCTGGCTATTGTTGGATGCGAGGTGAGAGACTGTACAGTACTTTGCTGTATTCTTGCATATGCACCATTAGTCTATTAGATTGCGAATGATCAAGCTTGTAAGAACGTTTTTAACATTTTAGCCTTCCTAAATGTTATACAAGCGATATATTTCATACGCGGCCTCTAATTCTTATTTTATGTTTGGACAATAATACGTCGAAGGATGGTGAGGTTGTCTTTATCGATCTAGTACTAAGACGTAAAGTAACAGGATTCAAACTTGATAATACTACAATTAAGTCAATGGATATTGTTCGAGATTTTTCCGAAACTGCCAGCTATCTATTAGTAAGTTTGAATAATGCTAGTTTACTGTAAATGTCAATAAAAAATACTGCAGATTTGTAACGATGACATGTAAAGTTGTGCTGTTGCGATGATGTTTATATTTTGATGGTAGGATTATATGGAATTAAAATATAAATTCCATAATTGACATTAAAAGTAGGTCCTACTTAATTATGACATTAGATACACACTGTTGATTACTCTCTGAGAATGATGCTAGAATTAATCGAAAAGCGCTTCGATTTAAATTCGTTGAAAAGTATGCTTCATTTAGACGAGTTACAATATCGTGCACTCCTTTCGGAAATCAAGGTAAGTTAATTGAATAATAGCAAGCTTTATCTCGAATGCAGCAAATCTAACAGCGTGATTGTAAAACTAGTATTCTAGACGTGATACGGTTATCACTTTGCAAAGTGGAAAAGGAAGGCATTACCTTGTATCTCATAATTACAAGACTAATCAAGTGCAGGTATAAATCTCTTTCGATCACATAACACTCACACTCTACTATAGATAACTATGTAATGTAATCAAGATCTTCATAAGGACGACATTATTTCAGTTAAAATTATAATAGCTTCCTTAGAATATAGAGTGTTAATATTTAAAATACGATCTACTATACTGAATTAGATTTATGATCCTGAAATTGACAAGCAGCCCTTGTTTGAGTTTAAAATTTTCACTGGTGCCTCACATCTTTGCTGGAACGACAAACTCATGTTTACAGTGACATCAGAAGAATGGAACCGAAAACTTTATATTTTATCAAGTCGACTGGCGGAAGTTAATAAGCAGAACAATGTAGCTTGCATACTTGCTTTAATTGTACTAGATTACGTATTCTATGCTAATGAAATCATTCATTATTTCAGGACTTCAACTACGATAGCATCATTCAATCTTTTCAAATGCCTCGTGAGGATATAATACAGATATTTATCAAGGAAGAAGCTATCCCTTTTGCTTATACAGCAGGTTTTCAATCGGAAAATGTAGCTTTACCGACGTGCGTAATAGTAACATCCTGTGGAATTTACGAATGCAGGCAACGGTTAGTTTGTTAATAAAAGACGTCCGTATTAAATTTTTTACTAATTAAATGTTATAACTACTTTTAGTTTACATGCTGAAGATATTTTGCTAGAGTTAATCCTTTCATCAGCTTATAAAGACTATCAAAGAGCTGAAAAATTCGGATTTGCCTTGCATCTAGATATCGACAGGATTTATCAAGTAATTGCTATAAATTAATTATTTAATAAACTATAATTTGTGGCGTAAAGGCGATAATGAAGGGCTTTTATACTTTTATAAAGATAGCAGCTGAAGAGAAATTAGAATCTAAGTGTTATACACAATGCCAGAAATTACTCAAGCGTTCTAGGGTTAATTATATAATTATCTATATGTGTTGATATAGGATGCGTATGAGTAGTTTATATCTTTTGTGACTAGTTTATAATCTTAATCACTGTCGTATAATTGCATGGCTACATGAAACGACGATGAATATGATTATAACTCTGATATGATTGTACTAGGCTGAACCCGTAAATGTTGTTCGAGCGTTCTATCGACGAGATCGAATTAGCGATTCCGTTATATATTTGAAACAGGTTTGCGCGATGTAGTGCTGACGCATTTTACCGTACTTTACTTATGACTAAATTTTACGGTTAGGTTTCAGCAAATCTGAAGGATCGAGGTACCAGAAGTGTAATCAAAATCTCAAATACTACAGCTTTCTGTTATATAATGCAGGTAAATAATTTTGGTTGCAATTTGGTTCTTCGAAGTAATTAAAATATGATCGTAATTGAATTTTAACGCAGTTACTAATTCAAGCTGCAAATGGTAAAAGTGGTCACGCGCTAAGGGAATCTTTCAGGTTATTTACGTTAACTGATCGATTGCATTGTCTACTCCTTTTATAGAACAGCTAATAACATGTTATTTTCTATTTTGAATTTGTATTTGAAAATTCTTTCCTCCTCACTGTATCGTCTGCCTCTAGCCAATTTTTAAAGAGAAACGAGAGCTTTACTACCGAATTTGTATTAAAAAAATTAATTCTGACTGGTTTGACTGACTTCATTTTCGAAGTAGCGAAGGTTTGAGACGCATAGAAACGTGCTACGCCATTGTACTTTGTACTTCTTATCGATGTGGCCTTTATTTATTACTGTGATACTACATTGTATATACTAACAAGGGATTTACTTTCTAGACTCGTGGCGAAATTGTTTTTGTGATGGGATCTATAGTTGACCGGGGACATATGCATATAAATATAGCAGCTCAAGACTTCCTCTTTACTAATCACTTAATAACAGACGTCTGCCGAATATGCAACGGTGAGAATAGAGAAATTAGATTGATTCGTAAATTGTGAATACTGTATTAACTTATTGAATAGGTGCTGTGGGTGAGATTTACTTCTTGTCAGGATTTTTATATGTTTGCACGACTTGTAGATCAAATAGTTTTGCTAAATTAACAACATTGAACACTTAATAATAGGGGCTCTGCTTCGGAGTATGTCAATGGGTAGCTTTATCAAATTTCTATTATCAGAGGTAACTTTGCAGTTGCATTGTGTTATTACATCTACGCAATCATTCACGACAACACTCTTATAACCGTTATAGGAGGATCTATTTCCCCGATACTTTGAATATGTCAGATTTCTACTACCAACATTAGATCCTGCCATACTGACATTTTTAGCTCAACAATTAGATCCTCTTTCTACCTCTCTTAAATGCTGGCAAGATGAAGTTGCTGTTATAAGGCAATGTTTAAGTGTAAAAGCATTAATTAAATCTTAACATTAACGAGGATTTTTTTCAAAACTCTTTAGAAATGCTGTAGGCTGGCATTCCAAAATTGATGTTCATTTAATACCTAAGGTTGTTACTTCAACTGTGTACGCTGTTACTGTCATGCACCTCTACAAGTGCAATTAAAAAGGTTCCCTGTACAACTATATAAACGCTAAACTTTTGCGGTATGTTTCAGAACCTTTGCTATTCTGGTGTGATGGTTGAATTATTTTTAATAGTTCTAGTGGGTCTGTCCAGTAAGAAGCATACTTCGCTCCTAAGGTATTGCTTATTTAAAATGTGACATCTATACGTACGTAATGGCAGATATTGAGATAGAAGAGTTGAATATGGGACCCGTGATCGTAGGCGGTTTAATTTTTTATCTTGAGATTAATAATCACGATTAGTATTAACGAGTTGTTATTTTATTTGTTTATTTTTTACGCAATTAGAAAGAAAGATTTAGCAAAAGTAAAGTCTGTAAGTGAGGCTTGTTCAAATATTGTAATATATGATCTATAGCTTCGATTTGAGATGGGATATTTCAATGCATTGACTTGTTTTTATTTTATTTGTTTTGTACTGTATCCACTATCCTGATGTTATATAACAAAAGATGTCCTGCGGCCCTGCGCATTGTGCCATTGTCGTTGAAAATGAAGTCCACACATTGAGCTATGGACTTAATCATGATGGCAAGCTTAATAAACAAGATGGGTTCCTTATGAGTGTTATAAGGCTATCTCCTTTTGAAAAGTATTGCTGTCAAGAAATATATAATTTCTACGTGTGATATGCGCTATCGTATTCATCAATCGTGTTCAAATTTATTTGGTATAGAATCGCTATTAAAGAAGTTTCTTGTGGTGCTGAGCATACGGTGGCATTAACTAAGCAGGGTGTTAGTTGTGCTGTTTATTAATGATATATTTCTCAATAAATAAAATTCTCTATTAAGTCATTCACTTTTATTTTTTATTTTATAACTTTTTATTTAGGTGATTTATGGTTGGGGATCTTCCAGTTTCGGTCAGGTAACAATTGCTATAACTAATTCATTTATTAAATTTATTTTACTAAATTATCTCAGTGCTGCTTTATTATTACTGAATTAAAGCTGGGATCAGAGGCTGGTTGTTGTTACCAACAGCCATCATTGATTGGGTTTTTCAACAATCCTTGCATTACTGTCGCTTGTGGCTTTTATCATACCTTGACTATCACTGACGATCATTCCCTTTGGAGCTGGGGATGGGGTATCCATGGTCAGCTTGGTCACAGCAGGTATGAAAATTGCCATATACCGTCTTTAGTTAAACCGGATGATTGTCAACATTGGTGTCCCATCAAAATTTCAGCTGGATATGCTCATTCGGCCGTTTTAACAGAAAAAGTGTGTATTTAATATTTTTTCTTTCACGATACATCCATTTATGAACCTGTAATTAACTTTGATCATGATCATTCATTTTTCGTGTGAAGGGTTCAGTTTACACATTCGGGTCAAGTAAGTTCTGATGTCAAGACGGTATTCATATTTTATGTATTAAATTTTAATTTCGTTGGCAGATATTTATGGTCAGTGTGGTCTAAGCTTTGAACTGCGCAAGCAAGTCAAACCGAGATTAATAAATTCTTTCGAATCTGCGCGGTTGCTCAACTGTGGGCCATTTCATATGGTTTGATTAATATTAACGATTAACTAATGAACACAATGATACAAATAGTGTAGCTTAGGAAATGCCTCTTACTAACAATAATTATATAAAAATAATCGTTGGTATCATTATTTTTACACCTGCTCTAATTTATTGCATCTTTAATTCCCTGTAGGCTGTAGTTACCTATGACGAGATTACTTTTGTTTGGGGTAGGAGCCAACAGGACAATTTAAAAGTAACTGTTTCATATTTTTAATGAAAAGTTGCTTTTGCTACTTTACCTTGGTTATTTACTTAAAAGTAATACAATGTCGTCTAGAAGTCTCTTAATCCTCAAAGCTATGACAGGCTGCAGAAAAATTTATATTTGGGTGATGGCAAAGAATTTCATGTGTTTGAGCCTAAGCAGGTCTTGATACCAACTAGGGGAAAAATCCTACAGGTATTAGTAGGAGTCTGTATTTACGATTATAAATTTTACGCAAATATCATTATGAATAGTATTTATTATGCTAAGGGTTCTAATCTGAATTTGTTTGTTAGGTCAGCTGTGGTTTGGATTATACAATTGTTTTGGTGAAAGGAGGGAGTGTTTTCATCATTCGTCGTGGCTGTATTAAAGAAGTAGCTACCAACGTAAATACATAAAGAATGCTTCGTTGTATTTGTATGAAGGTATTAGAAAGCTTTTTATTTTCTATCCTAGTCAAGAAGCTGGAATGGCCCTAAGAATATTCAAAGTGTCTGTGGTGGATACTTCTATTCAGTCCTTACTGATGACCTAGGCAGAGCGTGGGTTATAGATCAAGTAATGCTGTTATTTAGACGTGATCTTCCGATATACAGGAATTAATATGGTACTACTTACAGTATGCGCCATTTGACGTTTATCTAATTGCATTTTTGTCTCTTACCAATTTATAGATTTTTGATGATGTTAAATGTCACATTGTTAAAAACATAACTACCACTTCTGGTATTGATGAGAGAAAATCCCTTAATGACATTGAGCAGGTAAAAGTACAAGTAAATTTTGTTATCACTTATTTCTTTAATTGTTTACTTCTTTTATTGAAATGAACTTTAGGATGGAAATAAGTTGATAACCAAAGTCGATTCCAGTAATAATAATCTAGAAAGTGATATCTCATTTAAACCATACAACTACGATTCTGTAGGAATTGCACTCTCAATGTTAAAAGGAATATATAATAACGAAAATTTGATAAGGTGTGTATTATGTCGATGATTATTATTTTGTATTGCTGTTATTTTTATATTTTGTGATAGCACGCATGTATAATATTCATTGATATCTTAAATATAGGTTTTGCATAGATGGTATGCATTGGGAATTCGTGTCAAAACTTTTCGACAATTGTAACTTAATTCCTCAGGTAAGAAGCTTTATTACTTGACAGTAGCCTTTTTAAGTAGAATTTACCACATTGAACTATATTATGAACGGCAGACGTACAGATATCAGCTGAAGTCAATTCTCCAGCACCATAATGAAGGCATCGTTGACCGCATGATTACCGTTACAAAGGAATGTCTCCAGTTAGTTAAGGAAATATTAATGGATTAGAATATTGGATTAGCTCTTAGGTGATTAATTATTTTTAATTAATACCGTTGACTTAAGGAATTATGCAGGTATGGTCAGTGATAATAAACAAACTGAAATTGAAAGACTAGGTAGTTGGCTTGTAGGAGAGGTGAGGGAGGAATTAAATGAATTAGCTATCTGGGTTCGATTTAAGAATTTGTACGATAAGTTTCTATCATGTTCTTAGCGATTGTTTATACTTCATATGCAGATATTTAATGCTTGGAAAGTAGTCAATATGCCAAACGAAGCCATTGAAAATATTTTGATGGACTATTTAGAAGTTCTATCGAGATGTTTGATTTACTTGTTGTATAAGTAAGTCTGTGCGATTCCTAAATACTGACCAATAATAATTCTGAAAATTTTTACGAGGTTTTCTTGTTAGTGATTGCGTCTCTTTAATCCACATAGGCAATCGCATAATGGGAATGTCAATATTCATAGTTATATGAATCGAAAAATATTCACTCCTAGCATGTGTTTCAATGTTAAATTTATAAATGTTGCTTTACAAATGCTGGAGAATGATAAGTTATCCTATGCAGAAGTTTACCAAGCTCGTTTTAGATCCCATTCCAGCAACGATGGCCTAATCGCACGGCATTTTTGTCGTGATACAGGCAAAAATTTCGATACTTATAAGCGTAGATGGCAGCAAGTTGCTAATAACGTCGACAAGGATATATCATACGAACAGTGCCTTTCAGTATCACCTGCGTTGAAAAGGGTCAGCAGTGGTAGCTCATTCGATATCTTGCGCAGGTAATGGCATATCTATTAATAATCCGTTTGATATTGTAGGTATTTAACTGCCCTATATCTATTACCGGAACTTTAATGTATTTAATTATTATACTCCGATTGATATTTTCCAATCTCCTCTCATAAAAATTAAAACAGTTTTCCTCTACCTATATTTATTGAACTAATGCTTGATGCTGCTTTGTAGGGATGAAGATGATGTTGAATCTAGGAATATTGTTATCTTCGGTTGTGGTCATAGTTATAGCAGAGATTACTTTGATTCGCATGTTCTTAAAGGTTACTTGGACAGGTCAAAACTCAGAGATGATAAGGAAGCCACCTTTTCTAAGACTTTAATCAGATTATATTCGCGTGCCGTCACTGAACAGAAAATTCCATCTGCTTGTATAATTTGTGTTTCTAAAATTTTATCTGCTTTAAAATAGATTGTGAATATGGAATGGATCTCACTATAAATTTGTTGGGAACAGCATATATATATATATGAGGCACAATGATTTATTACCTTACCTAGTACAAAATAATCTATTTTCATGATTCGTTGACGCAGTCAATAATTATTAAGATCGTAGAATTGAAAAATATAGCTTAAATGAAAGGCAGTTGCATTGCTGTGACTGTAATTACGCTAGTTCTTCAGGATGATTCAAGTACTGTAAATTTCCATTTTGATGCTTTTATTGCGACCTTACTTTAAGTTTAAATTATAATTACCGAGAACTACGATTCACGACTAATAGGATAAGTCGTGTAGTCTTTATGATGATATTTTTAGCTATTACCAAAGAAAATATGTTCGTATTTAGGGAGATTGCTTGTACTAAAATATTTAGCAATTATTGCACGATTTGATATCGCTAGATCTAGCAGAAATTAAAATAAAATAAGACTTTCGTTCGCCGTCATTTGATACACCTGAGAACAATTTTAGGTATATAATTACAAAAACGTCTTATACTCTATGACATGAAACATCCTGTACTATTCTGATTCGGCTACTTCTGCTACTTCGGACACTTCCTTTTGTTTTCGTTGTAATTTCCTAGATGCGATACGGTCTTTAAGTTTCTGTTCCAGCGTTCTTTTCTCTAGTATCACAGAAGCTCTTTTGAAGATTGGCTTCGATTCGGCCTTTTGAGACAATAAAATTCGTTGTCATTTACTCTCTTAGTATTTAGACACAAAAGTTAATGCAATGCTGCACTGTAATTCAGATACCGACTTGATACATTTACTGGTAATTATCCAATTTATGAATAAAAATTAGCTTAAACTTAATTTAATGAGAGTGCTAATTTAGTGTACCTCTGTCTGCTCTGTGTGCTTTTGAATGAATGATTCTTGCATTCTTTGCGCTGCGCGCTCCATTCTTTCATCATTGTTAAGGTCTAAATTTTCATCACTTCCTAGAAGCTGATCGAAGCTTCGTGACTCAGCGTCAGGATTGTCTTCTCTTATCGTCATAGAGGTCTGAGTTCGTTCGTACCGTACACGGGCTATCCTCTCTTGCAAAACAGTCTTTTGTCTCTCTCTTTCTTCCTGCATTTGTAAATAATTCAACAGACGTGTAAACATTACGAATGCAATGTTACAATTCTCGTAATAACGCATATTAAGAGCATAGCACTAAATATCGGCAGTGTACGTATTATTAATTATTAACCATGACAATAGTTTTTTGTCTTTCGCCCATGCCTAGCAGAGCATTCGCTTCCCCAACTCTTTTCGCTCGCATACTTTCCAGTTTTGCTTTAAGCTTCGAAGAATAGAAGATTATTATTATAATCAGTCATACTTATAAAGATCTATATCGCAATTTAGCATACAGACCTGATTTTGCTGTCGAAGTTTCTCTGATAGCCTTCTCTTCTGTAAATTGTCAGTATTGTGCTGAATTTTATCCAAAAGTTCCTTTTTCTTCTCTTCTGATACGTCGACATCAACAACTGTTCTTTCTCTTCTTAAACCTATATCCGCCTGTATTGCAGGAGAAATTAGTAGATTGGAATCTGTTATATATCTTATACGAATAGCGTTAAGAGAAACTAATCTGTATGTTGCATAGTACGGTAGAAAATACAGCGCAAATGAAAGCTTCAGTTAAGTTAGGTCAGAGTATACGATGAGAAGTGATAACTAACAGGCAGCTGCATTTGTTGTGATCGCCTCCTACTCTTCTTGGCTTGGATAGCATCCTGTTTCGATTTTTCAAGAATCTCCTTTTGCTTTTGCTCCAAGGTTCTCTTTCTCTCCTTTTTAGCAGCCAAACGATTTCGCAGCTTAAGAATTTAGGAAAAAATGTAATATATCATTTGGTCACGTTTTCTATTTCTTGTAAGTACAATGTAGTACAGCTATTTGTGATTCTTACGATATCCTTTTGTCGATTTTTTTCATTTTTACTCGAATTCATTAAGGTAAGTTGTGTTTTTTCAGCCATGGCTATCATAGAATTAGCTACTTCATCTTCATAGTCTTTCAGCTGTCTTTTATAGCGTTTTTCTTCAAGTTTCTTTCTTGCTAAAGTCTTTTGGCGCTCCAATTCACTATTTAATGTCTTGAATTAAAAAATAATACGGTAAAGACAAGTTACTTATATGGTCAATCAAATAATATTCATGCTGTTAAATTGTATACCGTTCTTTGAGCCTGATGCATCGCCTCTAGAAGTGATAAAGCTGCTACTAGGTCTTCTTCACTTTGCAAAGCCCTGGACCTTTCACATACTTCGGTCTTTTTATCTAATTCTGCAACAATCTCTTCATCATCATCTGACAAATCTATGTCCGGTGGTACTGTTTCATTTGCATCTTTGGCTTTCTGTTGCCTTTGTTTATGTTCCTTACGAAGTCGCCTTTTCTCTAAAACTCTACGGTATACTAAGTGTTAGTAATCCAAATGCTCAAATACAAAATAAATCAGCGTTTAGCTTAAAATATGCGACGGACCTCTTTATACGGTTCTGATGGATCAGTTCCTGTTCACCTAATAGTGTCGAATCGTCCAATGTGTCCACTTGAAGCATTGCTATTGCCAGGTCACCATCATCAATAGAGCGAAAGTTTTTCATTTATTTTGGTTTTAATTTGTTCAAGTTGATTCTGCTTTTCAGCATCTCCTAGTAATTCTAAACATTGAATATCTTAGGAATTGGGAAGACAGTAATGAAGACAATAAATGATCTAAAAATACCTTGTGATGCAAGCACTTTCATAAGAGCGTCTTTGTCAGTCTCAAAGTTTTCGTTTAGCTTTAGTAGGTGATTTTGAATTTCTTGTTGTGCTATCTGGGTTTCCTGTTCATCTGTATCATCTATATCATCATCTGCGGAGATAACACTAGGTGATAATACCACTTTAACTAAATTATCGTACCAGCCTTCTCGTCTTGAAATTTTTTGTTCAGTAGCAAAGCGATTAAGAAATGCTTCATCCTATTATTTAAAAGAATCGTCAGCAGATGTTTAATGCCGTATTCTTAGTTAGTTATAAAATTATCAGTTTCTTACCTTATCAACTAGATGCCTTTCAACAGCAGAATTTTCGGCAGTTTGTTTTTCTTGAAGATCGGTTAAAAGCGCTACCGAAATTTCTTCTTGCATTTCTTCTGGAGTCTTACTACTAACTTTAACCAGTTCGTTAACTCGGTTGCATATATTCAATATAATCCTATAACGATTATATTAAGAACAGCATACTATTGTAGACATACTCCTGATTTAATATATCTTAAAACGATATAAGAGATTTTTATCAACATATCTACCCTTCCTTTAGGATCTTTATATGTTGGGAGCGATATTCAACTACACGCTGTAGGTGGTTTTGCTTCTCGTGATCCGTTTGGATTACCTCCGGTACTTCATCGAAAGCAGCTTCCATTGATTGCTCTTTCCACTCTGTCCTTAATACCCGTAAATCGCTCATTCTTTGATCTCGATCTAATTGACTCATCAGTGAGTATGGTTCCATAATGCCTGCAGTAAAGACGCAAAATAACAGTTTGAAATAACTATAGCGGATATCACTAGAAAATGTTCAAAGATTATAATGATTTCGATCTGCTTATATAATAATTTCTAATAATTGTACTGTAGTATCATACTTAAATCGCTTTCGATTTCGCCAAGAATCTGAAATAAAAGCTCTTGTTCAGTCGCATGTTTCTTTTCTAGTTCGGATAGAACCACTTCATGGGAGCTTAACAGTCCTCCTTGCTTCATTCTACTGAGGTGAAGAACTTCATCTGCCAAAGATTTATTAAGGGAATCAACATTTTACATGCAGTATTAATATCATTACTATATAAGAAGTTGCCTATTTATTAGTATCATTTTATGAACCTCTTTCGTCACTTTCGGCTTCTTGTTTAAGGTTTGCTTCTACAACTTTGACGTCGTCAACAACTGATCCTTTCTTTTGCTTTAAGAGCAACCTACGCTGTGCAAGTCTTCCTCTTGCAAGTTCTTCTTGTCGCGCACGAGATTTCTTAAAGCTTTATCGGATAATAACATAGTTTAAGGCTCTTGCTTGAATAGGATAGTTCGTAATTAAGTAACTATGATACGACACGATGTTTGAATTATACCTTTCTTCTCTGGCAGCTTCTTGTGATGCTGCAATACTAAAAACAAGAGCCGCTGATTCAAACTTATCTTCTCGAGCAACTTTTTTTTGCTGCCGTCGAATCTTAGCTAACATCAACTGACGATCTTTTTCGCTTTGGTATTTGTTGTTAGCGCTACGAAGAGAAGACAGCAACGCTTCTTTTTCGTTGTCGAAGTTGGCTTGTAGATTGATAATGGCATTTTTCGTTATCGTCTCATCTAATAGTGATAAAATACACAATCAAAATTCTATGACCATGAAGAAACCTATAGGAAAATCCTTCAAATACGAACGGTCTTCATTCTCTTCCTCCAAAGTGTCTAGATTAGAATTTAAGCGATCGTGATCTTTTCTCTTCGAAGGTTCTCTAGGAAGGCCAAAAGTACTACCAAAACTTGCTAAGGTTTCCTTTGATAAACCTGAAAGAGTTGTTAACTTTAATTTTTCCTTTAATTAACAATAGCTACTTCCTACTAATTGTCTGCAAAATGATCCCAATGATAATTTATAATTTGAAAGCAGCAAGAATCATCGACCTTTTATCGATAACGCAGCGGCTTCTTCTAATCTACCGCTTTCACGAAGTTTCTTTTCTTCTATCTTTAATTTTACGAGTTGTTCATTCCTTTCTTTTTCGCTTAATTTCATCCAAGCGGCTTCTCCTCCAGCTTGTGCTTTTAATACTTCCATTAACAATTTATCTCGAAAAGTATCGTATTTCTCCTCCAAAGCATTAACAAGTGCCTCATCATTTAATTCTGTTGATTTGGCGGATTCCTTCATTACTGCACCGAACAGAACCGAAGCGATGTCATCGAACCAACCTCCTTTTATGGCCATAGAGTAAGCACCGTACAACTTTTTCAAGTTTGGCAGATTCTGTAATAGTGCGAATAGTATTTTACCGAAAAACGAATTCAATTTCGTTCCTAAGGTTAGGTATTACAAAGGTACAACGAAAGTCGCGGCAATTATTAAGCTACTCGTATTGCAAAGATTACTGTACCTGACTATCGATTTCTTTAGATAAATTTTGTACTTCACCATCTTGCCTTTGTTGTAGATCGGCTAAAATACTCACACAAATGTCACGATAGTCTAGTTTGGACCCACCTTCGCTACTTGCACGATGGTAATCATTCACCAATCGCAAGCCAGCAGCCTCTGTTTTAGTAAATTTATTAGATGGTTATTTTATATAAAGAAATACTGTAATTTTGTCATATTTATTATTTTACCATTAAAGATTGAATCTTGCTCTTCTCCAGCCTTTAAAGAATCGCTAGCAGACATGAACATCTTTTGCCATATTTGCATCAAAAGAGTTAACCTTTGATTTCGTCCCTCAGCTGATAATGCCTTTGCTTGTAAGTTTTCAAACCCATGGGACTCAATTTTATTTAATATTCGAATAAGTACGTCTCTTTCAACGTTGTGCTTAATGTCGATATTTTGCAAAATAGCTTCCTGCAGTGAGCCTAAGCTTTCAGTATCAACTGTCATTTTCTGTGTGCTAGTGGAATTTGAACGTAATTTTTTTTTTCTTGCAGCTAGTCGCTCACGCGCTAGATGTTCCTGACGCTGTCGATTCAACTGTTCTCTGTCGAAGCATGGCAGTAAAACTCGCATTAAGACATTAACTGATATTTGCTAAGTACTGTATACAGTATACTATTTATTTATAACAATATAACATCATAAACATACGCTTTATTTGCTGCCTCATTTTGACTTTGTGCGAGTGTTAGAGCCAATAAAGCAGCATCGAATTGATCTTCTTGGCGCGCTCTTCTTTGTTCTCTTTTAAGTCTAGCGAGCTGCATCTGTCGTTCTTTTTCACTTAGCATTTGACCTTCGGCATTTGATAGCCCAGCCATCAGAGCGGCCTTATCGTCTTCATAGCAATCTTTCAGATTACGTAACAATCCTACTATCGATTTATCCTCGTTCTGAAGTTTTAATTTACGATTATATTCTTCATCTTCTTTCTTTTCCAGTTTGTCCACCTCACTTTCAGACATTCCCTCGGATAGTCTCTTTTAGGGTAAATATAAGAATTGGCTAAATTAAAAACTTTACATCGCTAATTACACATAAATTTAGCTACCTGCTTTCTCTTTTTCAATCTCTCTTGTAACCGCTGCTCATGTTTCAATTTACTATCCATTAGTAGCCCCTGGACATTGGATTCTGCTTCGGCATTCAGCTCAAGAATATTAGCCAATTCATCGTAACGATTTTCCTGTCGTAATTTTCGTTCTTGCCGCTTTAACTTCATAAGCCTTAATTGCCTTTCTTGCTCTGAAAGTTTCTTCCATTGTGCATCTCCTTTAATGATTATAAATTCAAAATAACAAAATATAAACTAGTTCTAGGTGGTTATATAATAATACCAATATAAGCGGTCAAAAATTAAATTAATTTTATTTTACCTAATTGTTTAGCTAAGGCTTCTGCCAATAACTTATCCCTTAATGCATCATATTTGCCGTTTAAGGCTTCCGTAATTTGAGATTCACCGGCGAACTTGGAAGGTTCCGCATTAAATAACACTGAGTTAACATTCTGGTACGTCATTTCTTTTAATCTCTGCAGCTGTTTTTCATGAATGCTTTTAATTTCACTTTCGTTCTAAGGGTATTGAAATATAACTAGTTAATAAATGTTATTATTATTACTGAAAAAGAATTGTGTCACCTTTCGTGCTAACTGGGATATTATTTTATCGATTTCTGTTTGTTGTATTTCATTCAGATCCGCAAGAAGAGATACTATGACGTCATCATTGGTTATACTGGCGATCTTCCTTTCACCAATTAAGGTACTTTTCCTACATTCAATTTTGATTACTGCGGCCTCCGCTAAAATATTCCAGTAGATACCTTGCTCTCCTAAAGCAATTAGTTAATAGCAACTATTTATCGTAAGATCTATCAAAAATAAAAGTATATTTAGATTAAATATACGCGTATCTCATGAGATTGAAGCGCGTTGGTAAATAGAGTAACAAAATTAAAGTATATTTATTATTGATGTAATAGATTGATAGTCTTGAACGATTTAAGCAGTGAGTGCACAATACAGTATATGGTCTGCTGGTTTATTGTTCCGTTATAATATTTAGAATTATAGCTTAATAAATTATAGATACTAATTGATTAGTTTATACGATAATGGATCTAACGGTATCTTCGGCATAGCTAGTTGTAATAAATTAAAGTAATAGTTTACTGGCAATAAGGAACACAATGAACTACCTGTACCGTTACATGCTGAAAACTGACTTTGATAAGTCTAGCGTATTGTTGGTTATTGAAACTGTAAAAAATTCGTATGCAATACAGCTGTCTTACTATTTAAATTTGCGATACCATACCGATATGCCTTCTACTGTACAAGTCTATTTAAACCTACAGTAGAGGGCGGCAGTGTGTGCAAAAGTAGCAATAAATAGGGTAAATTGCGGTATTATTCTAAGATAGTCATAGGTGACTATAAAGCGAAACTAAACTTATGGGTGTCAGGATGATAATATACCCGTATAATAAGTACTGCATATCCATGACATTAGATTTATCCAAAAAACAAGGCATTTTATCCTTGCTGTCTGTAATATCCGTTAGTATCATGGCTATACATTATGATACTGGTTACAATCCAATTTTGTACTTCTTTTGTAACATGTTGTCCGCTAACCACCGCTAAGTAAGTAAAATTCATAATGGAACTTCTGTACAAACATCTATAGAAAGTTGTATTATCATACCCTCTTCATCCGGTGAAATAGTATCAAGCCTTATTAGCAAATCTTGTAGTTTACACTCTCTTTCGTCTTCAGACATGATTTCAATCATCTCAATTATAACGCTTTCACGCTCTTTCGATAAAAGATCCACGAAGAACTTGCGCTCTTCGATATGCTTGATTTCAGTCGCTGAAATAAGCGTATTTTGCATCTGAACAAGATCTGTGTATTTCGGATCAGAAATTTCAACTTCTTGCATCTTTCGGGCGGGCAAGGTTGATCGCGTATATACTTTTCCTTTTAAGCGTTTTTCGGCGAGTCTTTCTTGCCGATATCTGTCATATTTAAGTCTGCATAACAAGATTCATAGTATAAAAAATCAAGTTGAGAATGTAATTGCAGTATGCGCAAATACTGTAGTATGATCATTGACCAATGCACGGATGTCATGAACTGCGTTTGTATTTCTATTTAAACAGTACAAAGTTAAGCAAACTGGAACCGTAGCGATCTAATTACATCATATCCAAATTTATTAATGTAAGTAAAATGCTATCACACTGACGTGAGGTTATCATTATACGTGCAGTTCCCTATAAATCATTAATGCACGTATACCATGCAGTCTTAGTTTGTCAACCGCACACCGTATGCCGCTACATGAAAGTATAGTTTTTGATGTAAAATAATACTCAATCTGATGTCTAAACGCCAAAATCTGTGTAAATAGTGAGTGCTAAATGCTCTATAGATTCTATCTACACAATTTGGATCCATCAATACAGGTTTGGTGAAGTAGTTGGTCAGTTTGGCAACTTACCAATTTTAGTAATTATAATCTAAACCTAAATGCGATGTATCAAAGAATGATGGATAACTTACAAACTATAATTTGTATTTGTCTCTATTCGTACTTCAGTGGTTAAAGGAGTCAAATTGACTACAATAAATATATTATTATAAGATTTACCGTACCGAAATAAGGTACTGCATTGAGGATTAAAATTAGTGCTACATATATGCAAGAAATTTATATAGACTTCGTAATCATTCAGTTTTGTAAGATCGTGAATCATGATCATTCACATTCTTTAATACAGCTTTAAGTTCATAATTTCATGCATTTGACGGCGTAGCTTTCATAGTATTTCTCAAAAACGTTATGATTCTGAGTTATGAACATGAGCAATACTAAGAATTTAATAACTAGAGGGAATTTTAGCGATATTATGCGAACTGCAAAGCTAATTATATAGCTAAATAATGATCAATGAATGTCATTTTACGGTATCAGTATACCTGTCAACGGTTGTTGCCTGACTACGTTCAAGAAGTCCTAATTGGATCGCTGCAGCGTCAAAATCATGTTCTTGTTGTGCCATACGAGATTCTCGACGAAGTCTAACTAGTTCTACTTGTCGTTCCCTTTCGGTGAGAACGTAATTGTCTGCTCCACGTAACCTAACAATACAGTAATGATCACATGAAATTTCTTACTGAACATAAATACTTAAAATTGCTATACCTAAACCTTCAATTAATAGAATTCCATACAAAATCACATTCTTAGTAATTGCATTTGTGCTAGTGATACCGTATAAGTGAACTTTTACTGTCCCTGTTTTCGTTATAATAATATTAATCAATGAAATAAAATTACTAAAGGTTTAAATAATAACTAGTAGCTTGCAGTTACGTAATATACTGTGCTGTACAGTGAACAATACTGTACCTATCCGATAGTGCTTCCTTTTCTTCCTTGAGTCTGTTATCTAGATCCAATAATAGTTCTTTTGTACAAGATTTCTCTTCGTTAAAAGTCTCTTCCAACTCTGATTCTGAGTTGTCTTCTTTATCTTGTCCTTGCAGCATTCTTAACCTGCGCTTTTCTAACCTTTCTTTCAGTTGACTTTCATAAGAAGGTCTGCTCTCACCCATAAGTTTTTTTAAGTTGGATTCTATCGCAAATCCGTCACCTACAATCATAAATGAGTAACATTTCTGTCAACTTCATACTAGTTTGCATGAAAGCATATCATGTAACTAACTTTCCATCAGGTTAGTCGATGTACAGTGATGAAATAGCATCAGTTATAAGAAAAGTGGAGCAATTAAGTTTCAGTGCATAGCAACAGAATATCCAAATCAATAGTAACAATTACTTCAAGTTAAAATCATGCAGTGATCATGTAGTTCCATTGAGAAAAAAGCTGCATGTGGGCCTGATATGAAGTTACGGTGTATGAACATATAGTATATGAGAAAACTAATATAATATTTTCTTCTACGGACACCATATACTACTATAGAATATACATTACCTAAGAGCGCAGCGGCATCATCGTAGCGTCCCTCGCGTACTAGCTTCTTTTCCTCAAATTTCAGTTGTACAAGACGTTGTTGCCTATCTTTCTCAGAGAGAGTGGTCCAGCTATCATCTCCGAATTGTTGTATTAATACTTCTTCCAATAACTTATCTTTAAGTGATTCATATTTTTTTTCCAATGCGCTGATAATATAATCATCATCAGCTGCCCCTTCATACTTTGTAATTATGTTTGCTACATTCTCAGCCGTACGATCTTGTCTAGCTTCTATTTGCTTAGCTCTTTGCTGTATTAGTTCTTCCATACTCTGTATTTAGTTCGTTAATATTTTAACAGCTTAATTATTTTAATCATTAATAAAATGTACATTAATACGGTTATCAAATATCGTAATACAACAAAGGTATTTACAGATTGCATTATTCGTGAAGACATCTCTTCTGATTCCTTAGAATGGTTGATCTGTAGATCAGCCATAATTGAAGCATATACGGTATTATCGTCAACCAAGGTTCCATTTTCAAATTCCATCTTCATCTTTCTACTGGCATACTTCACTAAAGCAGCTTCTTGTAAAATATTGAGAATCTCTTCTCGATCAACTATAAAGAATTTACGAATCTTCGTTATTCCTACGTGTAATGAAATACACGAGCTCGCTAAAACGTATTCGAAGCTTACTCTCATTTGCTCGTACGATCGCATCATAGTTCCCACGTAACTCAACGAGACATTCTTGCCTTTTGCTCTCTTCCATCTTGACGGCTGCAATTTTGAGAGTATTTAAACTAGACTCTCCACTTTCTTCATCTTGCATTAGTTGCAATAATAATTCCCTCTCCATGCAGTGTTTTTTCTCCATTTCCTTCAAGACAGAGTCACGCCAGCCAACAATATCACCCTCTTCTGGTTCTAATTCTTCATCAATAATAATTTTTTTACCATTTCTTGCTTTTCTCTCAGCCAGACGTTCCAATGCCAATTTTTCCTGTCGCTTACGATCTCCCTGTAGTCTGCATATACAATAATGTTTAGTAACGAAGGATTAACATCATGATTTTTAATGAACTACCTTTCATTAGCAGCAGCCTGATTACGTTCAGCCAATCCTAGCATCATCGCGGCAGTATCGAATCTATCTTCCATTTGCCCTTTGCGTGTCTCAAGCCGTAAGCGTAAGAGCTCAGCTTGCCTTTCTCGTTCTGACATGGCTTGACCTTCCGCACCGTGCAGCATAGCCAATAGCGCCTCTTTTTCAGCGTTAAAGCGGGCTTCCAGGTCATCCAGTAAGTTTACATTACTATGTACTTGATTATCCTCCGGCAATTCGCCTTCTTCCATCTCGATCTTATCGAGATCATTTCCTTCTATAATCAGTTGTTTACGACGTGCCAGTCTATTTACAAAGATTTTCTATGTTACAGGACGTTTGCTTACCTGTGAATTACTTGAAAGTACTTAATCATTCCTACCTATCCTTGAGCTGTTGGTCATACATGGCACGATTATGACCCATTAGTTGGTTGAGCTGTTCATGATTCTTGATGCTTTCACCTAAAAGTCTTGCTACTTCGTCGAATTTACCTTCATTTCTAAGTTTCCGTTCTTCCAGCTTTAACTTCATTAGTCTGGCCTGCCTTTCTCGTTCAGATAATTTAGCCCATTCAGCATCACCCATTTGCTATTGTCAAAAATTATAAAATTATGCATACAAATACTTATACGATCAATTATGTACAACCGACTTGATTTTGTTATTATTATAATATATAGTATAAATAAGAAATCATCACTTTTATGTTGTAAGAATATAAAGTTACATGTACTGGAAGTGATGTATGGGCCCCTTAAGTATTACCAAAAAATCCATAGATTGCAATTACCGTTTTAAGAGCATCTAGGATTAACTTTTCTTTCAGCATATCGTATTTTTCTTCTAGAGCCTTTACCAATTCGACTTCCTCTTTAGTTCTGACCACGTCAGTTTTCAAAACAAGTGATGATACATTGTCTAACAAATCTTCTTGGCGTGCAGATAGAAATTCATTTCTGATGTCTATTAGCTCTTGATTTGACTAAATACGAAATAATAAATGTAGATGATTCGTTACTTATTCAGACATTGTTATTCTGATAATGCAGTACTTTTCTTGAAATGAGTGTAACCTTTTCGGCAACATCGGTAAGAAAACGCTCACACTCTTGGTCTTGCATGCATTGTAATTCGGCTAACATTGCAACTGCTACATCTACTTCTCTATCATTCGCTTTAATATCTCTAGCGTTCTCGTAATAAATCGCAGTTGCTTCCTGTAAGATCTGATGATTCTATCAAATTCAAAGCGAAAAATCCTTAGATGGACATTTTCATTAATACTTATCAAGCGGTGAATAAAGTTCTTGTATGACTATATTCATAATAATTATATATTATCGAAGGGCGTTATCAATTGTAACAAAACATGGAAATACTTGTGTTTTCCTGGCAATTCTTTCTTCTTCGCTACTTTCACGCCACTTGCGCCTTTTAATTTTGAGTAAAGAGTATTGGTTTTGTCTCTCTTCGATGTTCATTTTTCGAACGTTCGACCTCACGGAAAGACTCTCTGAGCCCTGTAACATTTCAATGAATTTGTTTCTTTCATGTGCTTGCTTTTGTTCTAGAGTTCGAACAGTTGCTTCTAGAAGGTCAACAACTCCATATTCATCATAGAGATTCATATCTACTTCATCAATTTGAGACATTGTAGGAGTGTCTCCTCTCCTTCTTTCGGATAATCGCTCATGTGCTAATTTTTCTTGCCTAATTTGATCCAAAACTAGCCTAGAATTTCATTAAACAGAAGATACAGGTCTCTTAGATTCAATTTTTATCATAAGGCGTATGGTACAGCGGATTCATACACAATGATAAAACAACTATTTCCAATATGAAGCTTATTTTGAAGGCATATGCAGAGTACTTAGATAATAGTAGTTAACGAACAAGAATTTTACGTCACTGAAATAAATCTAATCTTATTTTTTGGTAAATTTTAAATTGTGCTTTTAATATCATCTATATTATCATCTAAACAACTGTAATGATTTCGTTTCGTAATTAAATATGAGGTATGATAGTACACTGACAACATCCATTCAGAGCTTAAAGTAACTGATTAAACTTAAGAATTGGTAAAATTTTTGACATTTCTTACTATACCATAATCTTACTTAAATTGTCTACATTACAATAAGGAATTTCAACGAGAATAGCTCACAACGGAGTGTTGAGCAAAGGAACGCTATCGGGTATTTATCGGTATTATTCAAGATTTGGTGAAACTCACGTCTGTGGTAGATTATATTGTTATAATTATGTAAATAACAAATCTTATTGACGTATCTAAAGTTCATAATTACTTTTTCGAGGAATAACTTTGGTAGCGTTCTGCTAACCCAACTGAAAGAGAAACACTATGGAAACGAAGGTCTAGCCTTGCACGACAGAGCTGGCGGACAAATTTTAAATACTGCTTTAGACGATCATTAGCAGTTTTAAGAAACTGTGGTTCCACGCTGCGGAGGTCGGACCATAAAAAATCTGTTTCTGCATTCTGTCTAGCGGCTAGATCATTCAGTATTTGAGAGTAAGAGCAAGATGTATTGTCGTATTTTTTCACGGCTTTTATTAATAATTGTCTATCTATTTCTTCGGTACTAAGTCCAGATTCTCTCAACTTATTACGTTTCTGCAGTTCCTCTGATAAATGAATTTCTACAGCGAAGATTGGTTCACCAATTAAACTAATGAGATCATGCGGAGAACGTTGCTGAGCACCATCTAAATTAATGATTTCATCTAGAAAGCCACTTTTTCTTAGTTGTTGCTCTAATTTCCCCAAATTCTTTACTCTGCGTTTCTTATCTGGTACATTTAGCGACATCCACATACCTTCACCTACGTGTCTTCGAATCATATCGCATATTGTAGACTCTCTTATGCATTCATATTTGCGATTAAGGATATCAAAGAGGTCCTTCGTGCTGATACGGTTACGAGCCGTAACTGTAACAAGTTCATCTTCCTCAGACGAACTATAACCCTTGTCGTATAGCATAGCTTCAATGCCGCGGGTATTTAAAATTTTCAGGTACCTCTTAGCAGTCTTTGTTAATCTTTCATTGCGATTCCTGATTGCCTTTTCAGCCCTGTTATCGATCTTATTTTCCTAGTAAATATCAATTTCATTAAATTATAGTTTTCACTAAGTGTACAGTGCAGTACACAAACCAGATAAAAGTAACAAACCTCAAAAGTTTTTATTTCCCTATAGAACGTGAGTTCATTATTCAAAGCCATTTGGGATAGCAAGGTGCCCTCTTTTTCAACTTCTTCCTCTGTATTTAGGTCTTCGGTTGGTATGCTATTCATAAATGTTCGGATTTCCTCATAACAGACCTTAGTTTCTGAAAAACGTCTTGCATGAACAAAGTTTTTCCAGTGCGTCATGCTAAACTTCTTACCACAATAGCTTTGTAATAGCAAGTAGGCATCTTGTACAGTTATCAGCCAGTCTCCATCTCTATCTAAAGATTTAAAGTCCCAATGTAATTGCTCCTCCAAAGTTTTCCTTTTATTAATTTCAGCGATGACATCAACAAACTTCTCTCTTGTACATTTTCCAGAGGAATTGTCACTGCATACACTTAAAATTGCAAGCTCAATTATGCGTAAATCAATTCGACTGTTATAGTAACTTTCGTAAAAAACTTGTATCTGCTCTTTGTCAATAAGACCGGTGAAATTAGAGTCCAGCGCATCCAAAACTGCTTCGACATTTACTCCTTTCACCATGTTAAAACGTTAGTTAGTAAATTTCAAGGATTTGCCTATAAACGCCTAAAATTGAGGGTAATCCAGTGTAGTTCTTATAAAGCTGCTTATATTAAATCTATTTTCTAGTAATGTGATTATTGTAGCTTCAAACTGTACGCATATATGCACGGTTATAGTAAAACTTGTTGAGCCTACAACGTAAATGTGTCGTGTAAACATATACTATATTTGGAAAGAAGTAAGGTACTGTACGAGATATCGCGTTACTTGATCAAATGATGGTGACAAACTACAGTATATAATTAGTTAAGTAGGATTGCAGAGCAAGGGATACTGATGTTGTTAGTGTATCGTAGTAATTACTGAAATGAATTTGTTCATACTTTTCAATCATTCGGTAAGCGTTCTCTGAGGCGGAAAATCTCACTTATTAATATTAAATCGCACATACGAGAGGTCTCCTAATAAACAGGTACAGTATTAACCCTTATATCCTGTTCTATAAACGAAGATAGGATAATGCTTTATACAGATACGATTGTAAACATTTCATACTAAGTACAGTTAAGTAGTGTTTGACGTATTTACTTGGTTAAGATCAGTTTTTAAACTGACGTAAGCATTAGTTACTATGGCGACGCCGTAAGGTAAAGGAGTAGATGAATTCTATGGATATGCCGATGATATTATAATTAATGAATGATAATTATAATTAATAAGTACATTTTACGGTCGATGCTTTATTATTATGAACGCTGATTACTGGTATAAGGAGAATTTTAATGAATAAAAATTTTTGCAATGCACGGAATATTTTCTAGCTTAGAAAAAGATCACATTTTCTGGATACGAATGGGGCATTTTTACGCTTGCGGTTAAGTGCTATTTAAAAGGCAGAGGATGATACTGCAGTGAATTTACACAGTATATCAGTCTATTCTAGATATCTTAACATTAGGCTATTACTGATTACTAGATTCAGTAACATTAAAATATGTATCAGTACTCTGCAAATACAGTGCAGTAGTATAGAATTTAATCCTAAATATTGTTCTAGCGAAGCTTTAATTATATTTTTACTCTCATAATACATATGATCTTAAAATTGGTAAATGATTAGTTTCCCACTGTAATGTTCTCTGCTTATAATGATAGGCGTATAGATTAATTATTAAGAAGTCTAAAAGATTAAGAGAATAGTCAAGAATCACTTGTTAGGAGTGCTTCCAGATAAAGACTTAATAGCATGAACACTTAGTGACTCAACTTATTCCAAGACGTCCTTCAAGTAGCATTATCTAGTATCTAAACATTTAAACCTTAGGCATACGATGTCTGAGGCAGTAATTGCTACTATTGACTGGGAATCTCAGTAGGTATGGCCTCTCTAGTATATCTTTGACACAAACAATGGGATTGTATGGAGCACTGGTACAGAACAAATACGTAGAATGCATCATACCTACAACTATTAAAGTACTGCATTAAACCAGAATTTGGAATAGATCCGAACGTATTAGTATTCATTATACGTAATACTTTTTGCTCGCGTTAATTGCATCCTTCATTGCAGACCAGGATAAAGCTACCACATTGCCGAAGAGTAAAAATCATTGAATGCTAAAATATTGGATATCGTAAATGACATCAGCGATACCGGTTTATTATTGCTGATTTTGTATCATAATGTTACAGTTATGACACTGTGTCGTAGGATTTGTGTAGAAGTATCTAATTCAGGACAATTTTGCTAGCTTACCCTAATTTCGCCTGTCTCTAATTTAGATATTTTGTTCTTTAATTTACTACTGGCTTGTTGTGAGACAATGACGCATATTCACGGTACTGAAATTTACTGCTAAATAAAGAATCTTAGAATAATTTACCTCCGGTTCGAATTACTTCAGACTCTGTAACGCAGAAAATGCTTCTGATGATGATCATTAAGATATAGTATAAGATGTATTGCTTGGCGTACAAACATTTAGGAATTGGTTATAATAGTCAATATACATTTTTACAGCGAAACGTGTAACAAAATTCAAAAGCAAATGATAGGGATTCCTGTTTTAATGTTGGTCATATGGCAATGACATGGCAATCCATGTAAAAAGTACTTTTAAATTATACTATTACTCACCATGTGTAATAGTATGACCGCGCTCGTAGTAAGTTATAGCATAGGCCTTACTATATTGAACGCTTATTGCAAGTACGTGTGTGCGAATACAACTGAGTATCTAGGTAGTTACGCTTACTTATATACCTTTACTTGTAAGGCCTATCCTATAGGAACAACACAGTATAATTTTATCTATACGTTATCTACATTCCAACGCCAATTAATTATTCACTTACTCTGAGAAATTACAAACATGCGAATAATTGTACCGAAGGGTGATACAGTCATGATACTTAGTATGACACCATGACAGTTACGGATACTAAGTACATACTTTTTAGCAATATAATAGAGCATTAAATTATTTGGAGCAACGCAGCTTAGGGAACAGTGAAAATTAAACCTATTCTAGCAAGATTAAGTTTATTGCAATGAGTCACAATGACTCTTTAGAGTAATACAATTAACTAGGATTAACTACATACTTATTTATAAGTTAGACGCGAAGTGTTTTAATTTAATTCGAATACTGATGATACTGATAAAGTTCACAATTCAAGTCCAATATTTATTCTTGTTACCTACATCTTGGAATTTTGCTATTTTAACTCCTAGAAAATCTTCCATAGCAATATACGAACAGTATATGGTACTTATCACTTATAATTAATTAATTATTTACGACAAACAATTCCACCCAAGTCGAAATTTGGTAACACTGACAGTAAAACTGAAGCCTAGTCGACATGAACATTTATCAATAAGAAATATCTATTTCGGTAATAGAGACCGATAGTTTCATAATTTTACATTTCAGTTGTTTAGCCTCCAGGCTCCAGAAATAATTTAAGATGTAATATATTAAAATAAATTACTTCAAACATTTTTCAACACGCAATTTCTATATGACTACAATTTCTCTTAAAAATTATGTAAACATGTATTTACCGTAAAAGATGAAGCTGATATCCAATATTTTGATTAGGATCAGAGGCTTTGGCTTCTTTTCCGACCGATATGGGATCAACTGGCGATATAATGAATTCGTCTAAATGACGTATGTAACTGCCCATTTCTGCGCACTGTACAAATTTTCTGTCCGGTTGAAATAGAATTTATCGATTGTTAGTTACTAAATGACCTAAAAGATTAATTATAAGTTAGTTAAATGCAATTTTACATACCCCATGTGCCTACATACGGTTACATTATTATGTCTAACACACAGATCTCTAACATTAACTTCTTCCGTCATTTCGCACATTATGATCAGAAGATCGTAAAAGTCTATTTCATCTGTTAGACAAAGATGATGTCAGAAGGTATCAGTCTTTTCAGTAATTTACTCTTTTTACTAGGTCTTTCATAGTGGATTATGCGGCATTAAACACATTCTACTTAATTTTTTACACTTTGAATTCTGGACGTCAGCATACTTGCAGAATAAATAGGCTCGTCATAGATTTTCTTATCACTTAACAACTTGTAGATTCCGTCAGCAACTCTGTAGCAACTATGGGGCTATAATATTAATTTTAATTATAAGTATAATTTACTTACACTCATATAGTAACAATGCGAACTACGTTTCAAGTTAATAAAAGTTCGTTTATTTTAGTCAATTAATTAAATGAAAATACGGAAGATTGTAGAGTTCAAACACAACATTGCAATAAATACCTTTACAGTAGGAACCGTCGTAGTTACTTCATAATTCCTATATTCCATTTCAAACATCTTTAAAATTTTCGCTAGGTCACGTTGATATTAATACGTATGGTATTCTACGTATATCATTCACACTACACAATTATATGTTTACAATAGATGCTATTATAAAAAAATTGGCGTAATGCGTGAATACTAGGCATCAGTAACCACAGGAAAAATGATGATTGATCATCATTTACTAACTTTTATAGATTAGACCAAATTCAAAGTCTACATTTACGCCACTAAAAAACTACATTAGCGGGCTACATATAACAGAGATGGCTAGGTCAGCTAAGAATAAATATCAAAATGTAAGAAATACCGCGTAAAGACTATTTTACAAAGTGTATGTATACTCACTGAAGATGCTCTAAACAGGTACGGAAGACGCAGTATTCCATACGCATATTGTCAGCTATAAATTTCACAGGCCCTCGACCATCAATTTGTTTAACAATCTAAAATGTGCGAATATCGGGAACATATTTCATTTCAATAATCTATTTTAGTATCTAAGATGGCAGGAAAGGGTACAATTTAATACTTTTATCCACATATCACATAAAACAAAGTAAAGCAAGTAACCAACGTTATCTATCATTTTTCCAAAAATCAAGTCTTCGCTTATATTCTCCTTCACGAAGTTAACTCGATCAAGCATGATAGGAGCATGATGAAGTAATATTTCATCAACTAGACGTTTTAACTGCAGGGCCGGTTTGATATTCAGAAATATAGTATTTGCTATGTCTAAATATAAAATATATTAAATATAAGATATATAAGCCTTTTATATTTCATACTGTTAAATTGCTGAGTAACCAAAAAAATTTTACTAGTCTAATAAAACTATAAGGAATCTATTGTACCGTACTACGCACTTTATAATAAATTTCAGTATCAACACAATCCCAAATTTAATGCAGCAGGAAATTAATCTAGTAATAAAATATTTCTTTGTCTAACATTAAATTTAAAGTTTACAAAGAGATGTCACCATCGCGTGCATACGACTTATCTGTATAGAAATTGTTATACGTAGTGCTATAGCTATTTACTGTATGTGCGTTGAAATATTTATTATCGTTACAAATAGTATATTTCATTTACCAATACGAATCATACAACTTCCTTTCATATTCAACTCCTGGCGTATACGTGGTAGTAGTTCCGATAATTTCTCTTTCTTAACTTCATCAGATAAAAATTGACTTTCTAATTCCAATGTGACCATATAATTGGCCAATTTCTTAATTACAGGCTCATAATTGTCCAATCCTCCATGATGTTTTGCTGGTAGCATTAGCCCGAGATTGAATCTTAGCTCATTTCGAGAATACTTCTTATTCTGAATGCAGCACGGTAAACTCATAATAGCTACTTCATCGAGATTTCTACCAAGAAAATAGTCATAGCAACGCATTTAGCATACGAGTACAGTTATACACTTATTCTAACACTTATAATTATACAGGTATACTGTAATTACTTACGTATAATTACAAGTGTCATAATATTTCTATTTACTGACAATGATAAATCGCAGATGTATCGAGGGTCACAATCGATATTTCGATTAGTACATGTATTATTAGAATAAATTTTAGTTCTACAATCGTGATCTAGGAAATTTAGTTTATAGTACAAAGCTTATTAACTCTTTTTTATTCCTAAAACCTCCGTGAGAGTCACAAACTTCTGCAAGGACTCCATATCTCTTGAATAGTAGCCGAAAGAGAAGTACCATAATAATTTACTTAGTGTTTACGTAGCTGCATTGTTCACTTAATGTTAATCATCATACCGATACCTCATACTGTAATGCATAGACAAAAAATTTTTAAGATTCTGAACACTGCACAATACGGGTATTTCGCTCGATATCGGTCCTCAAATAGTATCACAATTACAGTATGATGAGGATAGTGTACGGTGTATACGAGTAAATTACACGTTAGAAATTGATAATCTCATGATAACAGTAGATAAAATGCAATATTATACGAAGCATACAGCCTTATTAGGCGCTGATCAAGTTGGGGCTTGGCTATGATGTAAACGCTTATAACATCGAATGTTTCCTTAGATATATAGTCGGCTGGATCCTAAAAGTTGAAATTTAAAATTAATTAATACATGATGCTGTGAACGGCCTAGCTCTTTAGCTAAATGAAAATATAGTAACAATGAGCTTCATATTTCAAACCTGATAGGTGATTTTTGGTCCAGTAATTGGATGAAATTCACTAAAGAAAATACAATCGATACCTTCCATTTCAATTATTGGATTATAATTGTAATTATTATTTACTTCTATTTCTACTATTACAGCAAATTTTGATTGAGTAGTCCCTGACACTACAGTACGTACAAGGTATTTACTGGTACCGTACAGTACAGTACGGTAACATCAGCCATCATACAGTACAGTACAGTACAGTACAGTACAGTATAGTACTGTACAGTACAATACAGTACAGTACATTATACCGTACAGTAAATTGGTCTGGTCAACAGTACAGTACAGTATGGTGCTGTACAGTACTAACGTTTTATTGTACAGTACAGTACAGTACGTACAGTATGTACAGTACAGTACAGCAGCGAATAGTTGAAGTTTTTTAAGAAGTACAGTAGTAAGAAGTTTAGGCCTGTAGGGGGGGCTGATTAAGTTAAGTTAAAGTGGCAACTCGAAATTTTTAGGTTCGAAAGAAAGTCCGTGTCAGCACAGCGCTAAATACAGTAATTGTGGCACTACTGCTCTATATTACAGTAGAGTTGTTAATCAACTTTATACGAGAAGGATAAACATTCCATCTCTAGTTAATTAGCTAATTTTGGGTAAGAATATACTGTATTAAGCACAACTGGATCTAAAAAAACGCAAGGCAAGTACCCTATTTAAGCACAGTACAATATATCATATTTATTGGAGGTGAAACTAGTAACTAAATCGTATTGGATAGATAGATCGTTGACTCAGTAAATGTGCATTTACCGTATAATGCACATTAGTCATTCATCATTAAAATTATGGTTTTTACGCTACTCAGCTTTGATCTTGGTTTGTAGTGCAGTAGTAGATATTTACGCCCTGATTGTTATATACTCTCAGTGTGAGAGACCAGATACTCTTATTCTCTTTCATGTAAATTGAGCAATCTGATTTGATAGTTGGTATCCTGTGTATGGTGCAGTAGTACACTAGACTTCAATGTGTGAAATCGATGTTATCTAATGGTCTTCCATAATCTCGTCCTCATTGATTTAATCTCTATGACAAATTTATATCCCTGATTAGTATCTGATTTTTACTTCTGTTCTCCAAATTTCCTAATTCTCAGTCTATAGAGTTCTTATGATTCATTACTTTTTAATTAATTATTCTCGCTTGCCTCGGCAATAGCTGAGTGATGCGAAGGTAGGCTGACTTAGTCGAGTAGCGTGTGACTGAGCTGATAAGATATTACTAAAATTTTTATATAATGTATGTTATTTTTCATACTATTCCTCAAAGAAATATCGTAAAGTACAAGCTATTTAAATATGAGTATACAGTACATAGATATTGTGTACTGTAATTAAAATCATTTTTCGATCCTCGAATTCAGAAAGACCTGTCTCTGTGTTTAAAATTTAATAGTGCTGCTGAACGTAGCAGTAGCTAATTATTCTACTAGAAAACTAAGCTAATGCAAATAATTAATTACTGTATAATCGTTTTCATGTGCATGCACGGTACAATGTACTCTTGTACCGTACTGATTTACTGTAGGTCAAAGTTTGATACAGTAAAGAAGCTTGAAGAAATTCTTTGGTTACCTTACCGCACAGTAAAATAGGAATTCCGGTTGAGGTATTCGTGTGTTCTCATTAATTTACTACGTAAGCGTTAGTATTACTGCTTAATATTTATGCTGAAATTATCTGTGATGATACGCTGTTCGTGTATATTTGTAGTTATAACTGTCCTAGTTAATAGGCTAGGCGGTGCTGGGTATGTTGTGTGCGCAGAACACCTAAGTTTACTAATATTACACTACTGTACTACTTAAATCCGTAAATTTTGGATAGGATGATTTATAGCATAATTGATCAGCCGACGCTTTGGATAGATTTCGATATTTATTAATTAATCTATTTAGTGATTTATCACATATTCTGCGGTAATCATTGTTCATTTCTATTAAAGGACTAGATTGATCGCGCCTTTGCATTGTATAGTACTTTGGAATCCAACCTCTAGTTACAAATTGAATAGCTTCTAAGATACCGATTCATCGGTATATGAATTAAATCGCAAAGCAGCGAAATTTTTAAGATATCTATACAGGTAAAGCCATCTGTGGAGTCTATGGTAGTTATGTAAGATAATTATAAGTGAATAGTGTTTTGTTGCACGTATTCTTTAAAATCTTGTAAGTTTTCGTACTCTCAGCACACTCATTCATAAGCTGCTGCTAGAATCCCTTGTCTACGGCTCAATAAGCCTTATTAGCAAATTAAAAATTCCTTGCCGAAAATGCATTCGCTATTAATGCTCAAACTCTTATTATAATAGTAAGTAGCCTCTTTTTTTAATTTTAGGCACTGAACTTAAAAATTTGCAGTGTAATCAATAGAATATGGACAGGGTTCGAAAACTTTCGTTATCAATCAAAAGAAGCGTGATTGATAAAACGATACGAGAAAATTCGGAATTAACAAGTGACCAAGAAAAGAGTGATGATACTACTGAAATGAAACACCGTGAGTAAGATATAGCGTCAAATTGGATATACGTACTTGACAACGAAGTTTTACGATTAGCTATAATTCATTTCCGCCACTATAATATCGGCCATTTACGAAGTAGATTCAATGACATAAATTATATTACATCTTCAGCCACCGTTGCTGACCATTTCAACTTTCATGTACAAACTATATTGCTTATGAGATATTTAAAATCAGTGAAAATAATCTTCAGCAGCATTTCTTACTTTGCTGTAGTACTACTGTAGTTACGAATGATCTCCGCTTATACAAGAGATGCTGCGAATAATATTAAAGGCGTCACTCTTATATTATCTTTATTGTACGTTCGCGAAATCTTCGAGTAATATTTGATGTCAAAATGTAAATATGAGTTGTTATGTATTGGGATTTAGTATTGACACATTGCGTTCTGTTTGAAGTGACGTCATCCTATTTCAAATTTTGACTACAATTTCGAATAGTTTTATTGGTGCTAATGATACGACTGTAGTCTGTATCCTTCAAACTACGTCATTTTATGATACTGCACAAAGAGTTCAAGGATGCTATCAGATATCGAAGTTTGATGGGATAATCCACTCGCTGTAAATGAATATGAGTGTATTCAAGTATTATTTTAGCAACATTAAAATATTACAAGCTTATTACAATACTAATTAAATTAGCGCGACTGGTGTGACATTTTGATTACCTTAAACGTTAGCAATATCATCGGACCATGAAAGCAAGGAAAAACAGCACTACAAAAAGAGCGCTCAATTTTCTCCAGCTGCGCGGCGAGGATCATTCAGTAACACTAGCAAAGCGCTGGACAATAAACTGCTAAATCTAGAGGTATAATAAAGAAGAATGGCTTTATGAACAAAATTTTCCCTCCAAGATCTAAGAGCATTGCAAATATTAGCTATTATTACTGAGTTGATAACACTTCTAATCGTTTCCGCCAACGTCTTTAATATTAGGATAAATTCCGAAGACGTTCGCGATCATCCTCACAAGCATGTGTTGAAATAAAGACAGCTATCAGCAATTTACGTGAAAAATCTAATAGACAGGAAAGAAGAAAATCATTTGTAAGTTCAGTAAATACCAAGTAAGACTAAAGATAGCGTACATTTGCCATGCAATTTTTTGTGCAGTTGGCCTTTCCTTATTACGAAATCTTGGGTTAAGCGCGCTGTGAACTTTATATTGATTTCCGAAATGTAGAGTGAACTAGGATTTGGAAAGCTAGAGTCTTATGATAAACTTCACAAACTTGGCGAGGTATTTATAGCTTCTTGTAAAGAACAGGTTTTTATGACTTACGGTTAATGTTTGTCACTAGCGATATGTACTACCTCTTAGCACTCTACTAATATAACCCCCCTACAGGGAACTTACGCAACGGTTTTTAAAGGCAGAAGCAAGTACGTATAGTGGGTCTTTCCTCAATTGAAAGTTAATGATAGCACAGCAATATAGCAATTTGAGTAAACATATGCAATATTTCGTTAATAGAATCGTTAGAATTATATTTACAATAATATGGATAATATTCGTACTGATATCGAGCTTGGTTCCAAATATTGGGTCAGTATATTAATAAACTATTTACTGTTTGCTAGGTTAACAAATGATTTCGTAGCCCTTAAAGAAATTCGTCTAGAACACGAAGAAGGAGCGCCCTGCACAGCTATAAGAGAAGTTTCCCTACTGAAAGATCTAAAGCATGCAAATATTGTCACATTACATGATACGATACATACCGAACGGTCGCTAGTTTTAGTTTTTGAATACCTGGATCGTGACTTAAAACAATATATGGATTCCTGCGGTTCTATTCTAGATATGAGCAATGTTAAGGTTGGAATTTGTATACCCTTTCTTTTTATGTTATACCATCATTATCATTATTGGTTGGTTGTGGACGTTTATACTTATTACCAGCTATATGTGATGCATTACCTGCACTAAGCGCTATGTTATTTTATATAATATAGTGATATAATTGTAGCAGTTTTGGCATAGTACATCAAATACCGCGTCTTAGAGAAATTTGTTAATCTTGTAGATATTTTTATTTCAATTACTGCGAGGATTAGCTTATTGTCATAGTAGAAGAGTTTTACACAGGTAATATCATATTCTCAATATAAATCAAGTACAGTATACTATTATGATCTCATATTCCAACCTTTGTCATGATTATATTTATAGGGATTTAAAACCTCAAAACTTACTGATCAATGAGAGGGGAGAGCTAAAATTAGCAGACTTTGGCCTTGCAAGGGCTAAATCTGTTCCGAGTAAAACGTATTCAAGCGAAGTTGTAACTCTTTGGTACAGTAATGATAACATCATGTTAAATGTTTGCGGCTTTATAAGATTGATTAGCAAAGAATATACAACCATAAAGCAAATAATTTGCCGCATTTAGGTATAGACCACCAGATGTTTTATTGGGATCTACTGAATATTCAACATCAATTGATATGTGGGGTGTCGGATGCATATTTTACGAAATGGCGACTGGGCTACCAATGTTCCCCGGATCGTCGACAGAGAATCAACTACAGACGATTTGGGAGATTCTTGGCACGCCAACTGAAGAAGAGTGGTCAGGACTAACTAGAAATCTTAAAGTTAATTCACTATCCTTTCACGATTGTAAAGGAGAGCCTCTACGCAATCGCGCCCCGCGGTTGGAAGCTGATGGACTGGATCTTTTAGCAAAGTTTCTGCAGGTTTGCAATTATGTTGATGTTGAGGCTTGTGTATTTGTTTCTTATTGTGCCTGATTTAATAGAAGTACTTATTTATACAACACAGTATAAAGCAAAAAGTCGCATAAGTTCCGCTGACGCAATGAAACATAAATATTTTGATTGTTTTGGCCCAGAAGTGCAGATACTGAAAGATAGTAAGATTCTCTTTAATTCGTCCTGAAATTATTTTAATTCCTGCAACTAATATTCAAGTGATTGTGTTATTAGCTGAATCAGTTTTTGAATTGCCATTCATATATTTAAGAAAGGATATTGGTATGAAAATGCAACATTCGCCAGGTATTTATAGCGAAACTACAATTAATTTGTATCCATACCAGTATCTTAGCATTATAATTTACGATCATATTTAAATTGTGGCAATTCCAGTACTTGCTTATATTTATACTAAAACATTGCTTAAATGTAAGCATCTATTTGGTACATTTACTAATTATTACTTACATCCAAATATTATTTACAAAGCTATGACTGGCAAGAGAAGACCCAGTGTGGCATTTTAAATCCATACCTAATAAATATTATATATATAATATCGCTAATACCTTAGATAATTTTTAATTTCTCTGCAACTCTATTTATAAGTTTTATTCGACAAGAGGAAACTAAGCGTGACGTTTTCAATGTATACTACGTATATTATATTAGACGTATCGTACTACGTTGCTGCTGTATCCGTCTAAGATTTAAGATTTCTTGACTTTTCAATTCGAATATTATAATTATGCCATTGTTAGTACATTGTTATAGATGGTTTACGGTTACCGGTGACAATGACTTATAAATTTTAACTGTTCGGAATGGAGAGTCGCCGAAGTCTTACTTATGATTTATGCCATAATTTTTCGGCTGATGTTTAAGATAACAAGAATTTTACGCAAAGAACTTTACGTGAATCCTTAATTAGCATATTATTAGTTTATAAAGAATGCATATATGATAATAAGTTAGTAATTCGTATCTACGTATCCTAAAGTATTTGAGGAGTTTATACTTAAGTATTTAGTTGCATTAGCCTGAGGTTTGATCTGGCTTTTCGATATCTGATTTTTAATTGCTTTTCATGGATGAATGTATCCGTAAATATGTAATGTTTACTTATAAATTTATAGAACGATGCCTAATAATTCTCGTACTTGTGTTTTAAGCCAATATCAGTGCATAAGCGATTGTAACTATATCGTTATTTACTTGTTTAGAATGGGCAAGATTTACACAATAATTTTTCATTGAATATTACAGAGTTATTTCATGCATTTGGCCACTGTACGAGTGTATAAAATTGTTGTGTATTCCACAATAAGAGATTACTCCGAGAGTATAATTGTTAACTGGCACTTTATTATTAATTACAGGTATTGATAGGCTGCCTTACTTATCATGGGATGAATTCGTCTTATCACATGTTACAGGAGTGACAGCTAATACTACCTTAAAAATATTTAATAAGAATCATTGCATCTTACCGATATCTAGCAAAAATAACGTTTCTAGACGCATTAATTATTGCAATACATTTATGCATTAACAAGTGTGACTCTGTATGATAAAAAGTAATATTAGTATGGTGTACTTTGTTTTGTGTCAATTACAGTATGTACATTAGATGAACTATGAGCTAGTCAAGGAAAAGTATCTTTTGATTAACCCCTTCTGGACCCACATGGATCTACACAATATGCTGTGCGGAATGAATTAGTTATTACTGAAGACATTTCTGTTCTACTTTATTTAGCGATTAAGCATTCTATTCAATTTGTTGTATTCTGTTTATCCTTTCAAAGAAATAGAATGCGTAACGGGAATTAGGTTAATGATTCAGTACTTTGAAGATAGTTTGTAAAAGGCCGTACCCTAATAAAGTACGTATTTACTACTTCATGGCCGCCTACACCCGTCCCGAAAATTGGGTCTTAATCTGAACCTGCATTTTTGGATTTAAGGCTTTTTTATTAAATACTACTAAGAATAGCGTAGTTTGCCTTTATTCATTTCTGAAGGCGGCCCTTATTCCTGGATGAAAGTGTTTTATTGATTTCACCCCAGACCCTTCTCTAGTAATCTAGAGCCTCATTAGAAATTGCAGAGTTAAAATCAGGCTAGCTGGTATGTTCATTCTTGATAGCATTTGGCGATTTGAGTAAAATGCGAGTTCAAGTACTGTGCTTACAAAACGAAATTTTTACAGTAGTGTATAGCACAGTACTTTTTTACTGTTATCTAACAATACGTTCGCATTAATGAGTAGTCTATCGCTTTATATGGCCATTAGATGTAAAGTTTGCTTAAGCATATTATATCTGAAATATCATAATTTATTATGCCTATTCAGGAAAGCTATAATGCACCTATATCTTAAGTATCTGCTTTGTTTTCTTTACGCAAAAGTTACTCTGAGAGTAGCTCGTGAAATGAAGCTTTTTATTACTACACTCATGCTTACATGCTTCCTCCAATTTATTTAATTCACAACATACCATCAAGATTCGTGAATTTCACTAGTTGCAGTGTACTTAAGGATATCATCTAGGCTACACTATTTCACGCTATAAAATCTTACATATCCAAAGCTGGAGTTACAAGATGACTATACACAAATAAACCGTATACATTCATAATAAGGGGTACAGAATGATTACATCCTAATATAAAACTACAGTAGTAGACCCTCGCTCATTATACATACGCATATACATAATAATCATGTAATATTGCCTTCCAGTCATAATTACTTATTTTTACAAGGCGGTACTTATCACTGCAACTATTCAAATTAAATAGCGCAGCTAAGGATATGTAATAAATTGTGCAGGATGTACAGTGTACTGAAATTACGAATTTTGCATGTGAAAATAGAGATGGAGGATGTGAATAGTATGCACGCTGTATGTAATCTTATTTTACTGTACCTACAGCGAATCACTTAAATTTATACTGGATGTCTCAGATTCCTTACTGAAACGTCTCAAATGATATTAGAGTATTGCGATATACTGTAGATACTTCATTTGAGGAAAATTAGCAAGGAAACTGAGACATTTAGTACTGAACGTAAATTGGTCTAACTGTCAGTGTATAGTATTTTGACAGCAAAAAGCGATATCTGTAGACAGCAATTAGTAAAGCAGAATATGACATGGCTGATTCTAGTATAGGTAGTGCTACTCGATACTATCGACAAATATCAAGTACTGCGACCAATATCACGCAGGCTAACTTAGCACTGACTTTAATCTTGGGTTCAGTATATCGTTAATTTTCCGTTTAATTCCAATGTAATACTATTAATGGCAGCAAAAACGAAGTGGTTACCTTGGTTACATCGGTTTTTCTTTACGAACGTACGATCTACAGTGCGAAATCGTTCATGTCCTACTGTACTGTACAGTACACAGTGTACAGTACAGTAAAGTTAAAAGGACTACCATGGAAACGGCAAAAATAAAACTTCGCAGATGGTAAAAATAAAATAAAAATAATATAATAATATTATTATTAAAACAACAATAACTACTGTACTACTGTATACTGTACACGATACAGTACAGTACGATACCATCATCATCAATATAATACCGTGAAAATGATATTACGATCGGCGATCGGTCGGTCGCTCTGAATACAAAACTATGCATTTAGGTATTGCTTTATACGTGTATCTATAGAAATCGTGGAAGATTTACTAAACTACAGTACAGTATAAAAAGTACTGTACTGTAAAATACGTACTGTTCTACCATTATAGTTATGTACTATATTTTACAGACGGTATTTACTGTACACAAATAAAAATATAAAAGTGAAAATACGCTGTACGTTCGCACTCAGAATCAGATCAAGAAGAATGAGATATTTTAGTTCGTCTGACAGATAACTTGCTTAAGTTATGAAAAAACTGAAAGTTATGCTCGAAAATGATATTAAAACGGTTGAGGTGGAAGTACGTATCCAGGAATAAATAGATTAACTGTAAAATACGTAGACATTTTTCTTACTATCTGTGATCATGTAATTATAAAGTTTTGCGAACTGTTTGTATATTCAATATCGAAGATTATAAACTCGTTTTTCTTAGTTTCTTAACAGTAAGAAAATAGATACTATATATTTCTACACTACAGCAGTAGATTACTAGGTATTTCTGTACATTATGCCGTAAATTAAAATGAACTGCCCCTATTCGTGACTACGCTAAATTCTCCTACTTTTCTTAGAAATCCTTAAGACGCGACGCCATGGTTGAGGGTTTAGAACTAAACGACTCTCAGTGGGCTTCTGAAGAAAATGTAGTCAAAGTATTGAACCATATAAATCCTGTCAGAATTCGTTATTTAAATTTCAAGAATTGTAACAAGCTATCTGATGGAAGTATTAAATTAATAGTTGAAGTGTGCGTTAATATTGAAGCCATATCGCTGATAAATTGTACTAATGTTAGTGAGAAAGGCATCCAAGCAATCGTAGAGAATTGTAGTAAGCTACGCACGTTCGTCCTGGTTTACGATGGTTCTAAGTGTCAAGCACATTGGCCATTTACAAATAATATTTTTCAAATTTTAATGTATGCAGGCCGGAGCAAAATTGAAAATTTAGCTATTGTAGGTTTTGAAAACCTAGGAGAGAATGGATACTTGAGCCTGATCGATCATTTTTCATCAACTTTAATTTCTTTTGACTTTGGTGGATCGAAGCTTAAAAATTCTTCCATTCAAAAGATTTCCGAATATAACTTCATTAATAACATTCAATCTCTTGCTCTTTCGAATACAGAAATTTCGATTGATGAAGTAAATAGCTTTTCAAGCAGATTCAGTACTCTCCGATGCATAGATCTGTCCCGTTGCATTAATATCAATGATGAGGCAGTCATAACATTATCTAAATCGTTTCCACTACTGGAGATTATTAACTTAAATTTTTGTTCAAGTGTTGGCAGTGCTTCACTAGAGGCTTTGTGTCAAAATTGTATGAAGCTAAAGAAGATAAAATTAAGGCAGACTGGTGTACAAAGAGTACCGTTCACCCTCAAAAATTTAACAGGCCTTATAGAATTAAATTTACTGCAATGTAATTTGGAATTTCCTCCTGCAATCTTTGTGGAAAATGGACTTAAAGAAATTTTTGAATTCTTTGATGAGTGCGATCTGGGAAATCGGCGAAAGATAATGTTACTGGGGCCAAGCAAATGTGGTAAAAGCAGTTTGTTAGCTTCTCTAAAAAGGATGAAGCCGGTCAAAGTTGATACTCGTTCATATGGAATAAGTATTGCCCGCTGGAAACCTGAAATTGATAGTAAGTGTATGCGAATATCCGACTATTGTAGAAGCAACTACGTATTAAAATAGATTTGTGAACGATCCTAATAAATTCTTATTGAATATCGCAGCAAAGATTTTTAATCTTGGCGGAAAGTCTCCTGATTTTGAAGTTTGGGATTGTTCGGGTGGCCAGGTATCTGCATTTGCTAGATTTACGTTATCTATTAGTTTATCAATGTGGGATATTGCTGAGATATATAGATTTTCGATATGCAAGCTGTATTGTTATTCACTGGTTTGATATATCATATATTTTATCGTAGGAGTTATTAGGTTGCCACGAAGTTTTCATGACTAAAGGAAATCTATTTCTACTGATTTTCAATGTTAGCAAAGAGGACGATTGTAAAGAAGTCAAAGTATTGTACGAGACGATTCAAGCTAAGGTTATATTAATTATGATGTAGCTACATCACTATAAAACTCTAATAGTTGCCTTCCTTTTAGTGTGCTGATGCTAATGTAATCTTAATTGGCACACATATCGATCATTGCCATGATGAGGCTGTCATGGAGAATGATTGTAATGTTATTTTGGAGCAAATTAAGCAAAGTCATGAAGAGTATATAGATCGCATTAGAGCTGAAATAGATACGCTATCGTAAGTCTGACATTTCTACAGCTGAAATGTGTATAAGCATGATGGCTTAATTGCATCTTAAGAAATTATTATGTAATTAATAGAAAACTAAAAACTGATGCTGGAATGACGGGATATCGACTGCGAGAGTTGAGGCAATTACTTACTCAACGCATTCAGAATCCTAATAAAATCTTTAGGGTCAGCTGTATAACAGGACAGGTGAAAATAAATTTTCTTCCCCATTGTGATAGCGATAGAGCTACATTGATGATTACGCTGATAGCTAAAAATGCTCTGATCTATTATATTTATATTACTAGGGCTTTGATGAACTGACTGATGAAATAATAAGAACGTTTTCTGATTATGAATATTTTCCACGATTTTTAATCAATATTCCGGATCGATTGTATGAAGTTTATGGCATAGTTTTGGCGATTAGGAAAGCCTCAACGATATTTGTGACAGAATCTCATTTCCGCGATCTGTTGTTAAGAAAAGAGATTCCAGATATAGAGGAATCCCTACGCTTCCTTGAAGCTATTGTTAGTATCATGGTTTCAGCAATTTTTGCTAGTTACAATGTTTAAATTATATAGCATATACAGTATTCGCGTATACTAAAATTATCAAATATCCCACTTATTTTAATAGGGGGCAATACTTAAAGTCTCTCTACCAGGTTTGATTGATGATGGCGAAATTCAGCAAATCTGTATCAATCCTCCTATTTTCGCGCGAATGGTCGTATCCATTCATTGTGATAACCTTAGCGCTCAAAGGCTGCTGTCACAAGATCTGCCAGATAAACTATTTGCAGATGATGAGCAGAAGGTCGTTAACTCACTTAAGAGTAAAATTGCCTCCGAAGTAATGACAATACCCCGAGAAGGAGTAATTTTAGAATCTTTAATACCGTACTTATTCAATGTAAGACAGCTCGATACTGGCTATGTTAGATTAATTTCATCATTTTTAATGATAGTGGTACTGAAATGAATAAGTTACATAACATTTAGTTTGTTACTATAATTAGGAATTTACTGAGGCCGGTGAAATTCAAATCTCTCGATTTATGCGAGTTATGCTGGATCAAGGATTGCTAGCGGAAGGTGCTAGTGATGGTCTAGGGCTTTCGATTTCAAATTATCCTCGATTATCAAAGACTAAAAGATATTATATTCCATTACTTCGATTACTGCCATCTACTCCACAGGTAAATCATGCGAATTCTAAGAATTGTCTTCTTGCCGAAGTGATACGTAATTGCCAATATTTGGCATATTATTTATAGCTTAAGATATAGTGCATAAATAACTACTAAAGTTATTTTACTTTTTATTTTTGGCAGGAGGAAATATGGTCTCCGGAAGCCTTGCCTGAAATTGATTCTAATACTGTCCAGATTGGATGGACACTGGAACTTTATTCTCCTACTTCTCCAGACTTGATTACAAGAACAATCGCGCGTTGTCGAAACTGTGTGCTGAATGTGATAGTACTACAGCACTGGTTATATGGAATTCAGTTAAGGCGCGATGATATAGAAGTTCAGGTGTCTTATTTTTCAGTGGAGAGTAAAATATATATTTATGCAAGAGGCGATGGGTCTGAAATAAAAAATATTCGTCGAATGTGGAGTATCTACAGTGAAGTAGTCGCGACATTAGAGACGTGCTTCTCGCAATATGAAACTTTCTATAGAGTGGTAATACAAAAAAACGGTTTTCAATGGCATAGTGTGCGAGTATCTTTTTCTTAACAAATGAATATTTTGTAAATCTTTTTACACTTACATTTTAGTATTATGCGAGGTGTCAGACTTGCTTAAGGAATAATGTTGAATGTGGGTGCAAATTTCTAATATCCGAATTATATGAAGCCCAGAGCCTTGGCAAAGTAGTTTGTTGTAAAGTAACAGAAACTGAAATCAACGCTGATCTACTATTTCCTCCTCAAGGTAGTATCAAAATAAACTTCACTGTTACTAATAGACTGAAAAATATAAATTATGAAATTTTTATTTTTGTAGGGACTATGAAAGATGGGATGAATAAATTGGGTCAATGGTTAAGAAGCATGGCAGGTTCATTACAGATGTTTTGAAAGAGCATAGACAATTCTTAGTGTTAATATATGCATTATATTATTTGATTTTAAGATGCTAAAAGAAGATATAATCGAGAACATAAACCTTCCTTTACCATCTTGCCAAACTCAGACGACGACGATAGTGAAGATAAAAATGAAATTAGCAATGAACAAGAAGAAGACCCAGTCAGTGTTAGCGAAATAGACATGAAAAAAATTAAGTTCACTGCAGCCGAAGCGGTCACGAGAATTTTAGCAAGGGCAACAATTTCTTATCTTGCTGATCCTGAGGATACTGGATCCCCGAGCGCAAAAGTTATGTCCATTGCACAAGGCTTTTTAAATGATGCTTGTATGGGATCGGCTGCAGACGCTATAGCATGCCTATCTAGTAGTAATCCTTGGTCTGCAAAGTGGGCTATGGAAGACGCATCTAGGAATTTAGTTCAAGTTGTTTCACCTTACGTAAACTGGAAAAGTATAGCGCGAATGAAGAATAAACCAATTGATAACAAAACTGCTCTAGATAGCAAAGGTCAAGTTACCTGTAGTGCATTATGTAATATACAATGAAACTGATAGCTAAATTGTGTAATTAATTTGATAAACTACATTTATGATATGACATTTGAATAATATAATTTTCTCAGCGATGTAGTACTACTACATAACATTAATTTGAAGGACGCTGTTCATAATAATAACTTAATTACGATGATGATATACTTTAATATTGTATTTAATACTTGAACTTGGTGAAAGAATGATATATTGTACACAGCTAAATCTATTAGATAGGATTTCGATAGCGTTTGTTGACAGATATTTTCATTAAATTGCTTTAGAATTCTCGAAATAGAACTTATTGCACATTTATCACTATATGGATTTAAATTTTGACAGATCTAATTTACAGTTATACCCGTGTATCACGAAAAATAAGCTTTCTTAGTGTAGGAATACCGCTTCTGCAAAAATGTTTGTTCAGCAAAACACAGCATATACGTACTTAAAGCCTGTACAATCGAAGCATTTGATAAACGCGACTGTAATCTTGCGATTACAACTGAGATTATTTCACTGCACAATATTTGTTTGCAGTGTTTTTCATATTTATAGTCTTTACTGTACTTTTATTGCTAATGTTAAATGAATAATATCGAAGCTGTGACTTGATATTGGATAAAAATGCTTTTTTAATACTTTTTACTTATGCATCCGATGTCGTAGGAAATTTTCTTTACGGTGCATAGTACTCTTAAATCTTTAAAATTATTGTTAAATACGTTATATTGATTACTTCTATTCGTGTTATTACTGTTAGCTGTTAACATATACATTGTACATTTTACTGACAATTAATTTATGTGATTTCTTTCTCGGATATACTTTCATGACAAAATTAAAATTATGGAGACTAAAGTAAGATTTTTTAGCAGTAATTTAATTCATAGTATAAAATTAATATATTTTGTTATCAGATATTTCGGTAAAGTCGTCCACGTTAAAGACCTTCAGTAAAAAAATGTTGTCAAATTTTAGAAAAATGCTCGCCATTCTCCCGACAGAAAAAGTAAACCCAAAACGGGAGCTACAGTGCAAACAATTTAAACGAAGTTTTTTTATAACACTTGTATTGTACAGTACGGTGCGTAGCAGTGATTGTAACGGGTTCTCATTATTCACTGTTGAAGCTGGAAGAAAGGACCTACAGTACTGCTGTGAGTGTTGGGATCCTTATTCTCGCAACAATCAACAATAAAGTAAAGACGCATCTTAATAACTGTATTTACGTTTGATTAACACATTACCGTATTTAGTAACAGTTAACTATGATTGCTGACAACGTGCTCGGGTAGAGGAGGAATGGAAAAACTAAAGAAAAAGAACCTAACCGTATTTTTCTAACATTGAGAACCCTCCCTAGAGCCGGGTTCGAGTCGGGTTTCGGGCTGACTTTATTAAAGCCTCTGATGCTGGCCCTTCTACGCCACCGTGCCTCCCGTATTGCTGAGACTGATTTTCCATACTGTTCCTAACTTTACGTTGTTACGTACTGTGCTGTATTTTTCAGACTGTTTTTCAGTGTTTACAGCATCCGTCACGAGATTTTGGGTAGTTTAGTGTACAGTACAGTACAGGAGAACCTGTAGTTGGCATCAGAGCTCCATACAATCCAATTATTGATGTAGTACTACTGTAAATGTCGGTATAAACTACTGCAATCGCCCATTAGTTTTAGTTATATTTTTCCCAGTTAAAGTACAGTACTACATACACAAAGATATGACGTTACTATATTTAAAGTACAGTATGACAACCTCATGACCAATGGTTGGTTCATCGATGCGAAACGTCAACCGCGTTTCGTAATACTGTACCGTGCATGACATGACAGTACAGTACTGTACACTGTACAGTATGATGTGCTAACTGTAAGAGGTCTTCTTTTTTTATACTGTACAGTACAGTAGTGTACAGTACAGTACTGTACATAAATATCGTACTGTACAATGTACTGTACAGTACAGTACAGTATTACAGTGCTGTACCGTAGATTCAGAATTGCAGACCTGCAAAATACTGTACTGTATACTTGTAAAATCAAATCAAAATTTAAGCTACAAAAATTGATAAACTCTTTAATATCAATAATATATCAGGATGTTTGATTGGATAAATCGACTACTTGACTGGTTCAGGAGTCTTTTCTGGAAGGAAGAAATGGAAATCACTTTAGTCGGATTGCATTGTTCTGGCAAGACAACATTTGTTAATGTTATTGCAGTAAGTATCTCGTAATCGTGTAGATCATATTTTATTCTTAGCGCTCGTGCACATTTTATATTGTACTGTATTGCTTCAATATCTCATATAGTCATATTGTTTTAAATATTTGCAGTTGTCTTCGGTTTATGTATTCGCTAAAGTTTTTCTAATTCTCAATTGCTTTGAAAGATGTACAGAAATTTTCATCTACTATTCTATCACCTCTAAATTATATTATGAATTATTTGTGATTACGGTATTATGCTTGCATCGAATTCCAAAAAATCACCGAGCACTACAGTATATAGTACTGAATAATAATACTGTATCTAGATCTTCAAATATCATAATTTATCGATCTGAAGAGGTCTTAGCGATTAGCAAATTTGATCCAAAAGATCTTTCCACGGGGCGAAGGCGCAATGTAGTATGACTTTCTTCAGAGAAGTACGACGTACTACGGCTTAAATCGGAATACATTCATATCATCGTTTTTTTAACAATTCCTAGAACGGGAGTAGTCTGTGAAGTACCAACATCATTTCTTGAGCAACCTTTTATGACATTATTGCTTCGTAGGTGGCATTATGTTATTGCAGTATATAGTTTTTATAAATTTGGATATCTAACTTTGACATACAGCGTAGATTGTCACACAAGCACTGAAGCTTAGGCTCGAAGGCACGGGTTTGTCTTAGTGAATATCATGTCAAGTGAAGATTCAACCAATTATGCGTAGTTATAGTTATTGCTAAAAGAACTTCAGCGTGCGTTACGTCGATATTTGTGTATTATTGTATTACATATCTCTGTCCAATATTCCCTCGTTTTAAAATTCTCGTATAATAATAATTGAATCTCATTTAATCTTTATTTAAAACTGAATAGTCAGGAGAGTTTAACGAAGATATGATACCCACCATTGGCTTTAATATGCGGAAAGTTACCAAAGGCAATGTCACCATTAAGGTAAAGTGACGAATTGAATAGCCGTATTTGTAATTTCCTCTGGTAAATCGCAGACAACTTTATCGCTGAATAAGTGGGGCCTGTTTGATTTTAAATTTTAAGAATCTTACAGGAATTAGAAGTCACAGTAATTTACGCTATGAATTACAATTACTGACGTAAAAGTATTAGCGTCAGATTAGATATTGTACTTGGCGTACGAGTGATGCTACATACTATATACTGTCTGAATTGATATCATTCCTTACGTTTTTCTTGAAGTTATCTGCTAAAATTTTTATCTTCCATGACTGTAAATCCATATACCCAACACAGCTTTGGGACGTTGGAGGGCAGCCACGATTTAGGAGTATGTGGGAGAGATATTGCAGAGGCGTTAATTGCATTGTGTGAGTAATGGTTTATTAGCATCATAATTCTTAAAATTCTTATGAACTTTCGTTTATTTCATTCCAAATTACTCATGTAATTGTGTAAGCAGTAGTGTGATAGTACAGTTTTCCGATTTTTCTTTGCTAATTTCTAATTTAAAGCAAGAATAGTTACGTAGAAGCTAATCGAACTTTTTTCACTTCGGTATCCTGCTTAGCTTTATGGTTGACGCGGCAGATAGTGATAAGATTGAAGCAGCTAGAAATGAGTTACACAATCTACTAGATAAGCCACAACTAACAGGAACACCTGTAAGGCAGATTATTGACCCGATACATGTTATACACCAGACATGATTAATAAAATATCGCTTTCACTGATAGATTCTTGTTCTTGGAAATAAAAGAGATCTTCCAAATTCTCTAGATGAAAAAGATTTAATCAACAGATTGTAAGCTTTAACCGGAATTAATAAACTTTCGTTCGAGTTATCGCTCTAACAATATTGGGATATATTATATATAGGAATCTGGCTGCTATTGAAGATAGAGAAGTTTGTTGCTATTCGATCTCGTGCAAGGAACGAATTAATTTGGGTAAGTTAATCTTCAATCTCATACTTTATTCAATGTCAGTGCATCAAAATTATTTCATATGTGATATTCTATTTCAGACATTACACTGCAATGGCTAATTCGACACGCAAAGTCCTGAAGATGACAGTCATCACGTAACATCGTAATTTTGTTTGACTACTTAGCAGATTAACGGAAGATATTCTGTAACATCTTGAAAACAGTTTAATTAAACAATGAAATCAAAAGTTAAACAGTACTAAATTACTAATTATGAACATGAAGGTAAGGAAGTTTTACAGTATACTATTTGAACACATTTTGCTGTATTACCGAATCCTTATATTCTTACGTTTAAAGAACAATTAACTAAGTTGTGAGGTTGATATGCTAGGTTAATCTTACACTTTTTATAAGAACAATCACTGCATTGAGACTTTACCATTACGGCGCAGTTTTAATTGCTACTAAAGTTTCGTATAGTCAATGGTTACTGCATAGAGACTGTTATATCGTTTAGTTTGTTTAGAGAATAATCCTTGTATTCACAGTATTAATATCTTAATGTTTTTAATTTCGTTGTAAATTTCTGTAGATTAACAAATATCAATTATACGAAATATCTTTGTTCATGGATAAGATTACCTTTACCCGATTAAATTATATGTTAAATTTGGTTGTACGTTATAGTTAATTCGCTGTTTACTATTGAATATATTATATTTTCATTCAATTTTATCTGTCTTCTGATTGCAACTCTACAAGGCGATTTACGACCTTATAGATCAATCGTCAAGTGATTTATAATCACTGGTAGCTACTCTCAAAATTTTGATCGTTTTCATAAATAATCGTGCACTGCTGTATTGATACCGGAGTGCCTGGAGTTAAAAACTATTGATTATAAAGCAATTATACTGTACAACAAATACAATAATAATATAAATTTAGGAATGTCCGGAAAATCTGGAGATATTTTACAGGCATTTGCGTCCTAATCCTGTCCGAATTGTACAATAATTAATCATACTGTACTTTGAATCTATCTAAATAGTGCCTGTAGAATGTCTTGCAGCGACTCTATTCGCGCGGCATCAATTAATCAATTAAGACGTTTTCTTAAGAGTTCAGGCAGTCTTATTGACTAATCTTATACATTATGCGCCACGTAACCGTCTAATAGTTACAAAATTGTCGATTTGACGAATCCGCAGCACTATAATGTGGCAATGCCAGTACCTATTGCCTTGTGCACTATGTGAACGTAACCGTCTAATAGCTACGACAATAGTCAAGTTGACGAATCCACAGTGGTATTTTGTATCGTACTGAGAAGTCACTCCAAACTCCAATTGGCAACTTTGATCCTAGTACACTAATCCACAGTACTGTAACACAGGCATGTGGCATTGTGACGCCGATATGGGATACTGTTTAGCTACTTACAGTTAATTAATTGGTTAGCTCTATGATAATTAATTATAAATTAATTATGAGAATCAGGATAATTTTAAAAACGAAAAAAATAGTTGCAATTTACAATAAGTTGCATAATGTTTTAATTATGATTTGCAACTGCTAGTAATTCTAAGCATTACGAGAGAGGATTTTGAAAGTGTTGCGTTGTTAAATCGCTGCAAGCGAATTTATTTTTTATAAAATTAGCATGAAACATGAGCAACATAGGCATTAAGAAATCATAAAATCAATAACTCAAACTACAAGTGCTTGAGTTCGGTGGTACGTGTATAGATTCACGAATTAGATCACTCATTCAAATTTAAATTTCGTCGCTTTATATTATACAAACAAAAATGCATTGTCAGTAAGCCCAAGATGTTACACTTTCTATTCAAGGTACTATACATCGTGTATCGCGTACTTTATAACAAGTCAATTAATAATTTTCAGCCATCATCAACAGCACCAGTGACGTCCATCCATTAAACGGGTGGGCACCTTGGCCTTTTCCTGTCTGAGGATCATAATTTTCCCAAAAGTAACCAGTTCGTTGATATTCCTTGAATACAGTATTTACCACATTGTTGCGCAATTTGATATATAAATCATTAGCCACTTCTTTGTAAGGACCCTTCACACTTCTATAGAAATGAAGGGCGCGAACAACTAAAAAGTTCATATTAATCCAAATCGGTCCACGCCAGTAGGGAGGATCGCTTTCAGTATTCCACTTAAAATAAAAGGTATCAGTCTTAGCTAAAGATCGCAACCCGTAGTCTGTCCATAACAACTCAGGTTTGCTTAAATCCTCCAAAATTTTTTTCAAATTAGTAGATGACGCCGGCAGTAAATGCATTAAGAATGGAAATAGATTTACATATCCGAAATGGTGAACAAATCGTAAGGATGGGCCTTTCTTAGAAGAGACTACTCTTCTTGTATATAGCACCTGACCTTGAGCATTCAAGACCTTTTTTAATTTAACATATTTTGTGTGATTTCCATAATCGCAATATGTTTCAGTCCGGGGCGACCAATGTAATCTATCTAATTCCAAAACATCAGACAAGGACACAAATTGGCGAGCATAGTAGATTGCTTCTTTACGTTTATCTACCGTGACTGCTAAATGGTGCATGTAACCGACAAACGCAGTCATCCAGCATCTTAGATCGACATGAGCTTCAGCTACAGAAGGATGCGAGGCTCTTGGATAATCATCCAAACCGGAAGCCAAAGTCTTAGCGTTAAGTTCATTAACAGCTTCTTCACTTCGACCTTGCCAACGGAATGTTCCAGGAATATTGCCCCTTTGTGTTGAGTTAAACCAGTTAAACCATGCATGTAACTTCGGAAATAATAACTGAAAATAGAGGCGGTGTTCTTTAGAGAGTTTCTTATTCTTTGCTTCTAATTCACTTTGAATAGAGTGTAAAGCTAGCATGAGTGTAGGAGGATTAGCAATTCGATTATTTTGTACGATAAACTTCGCTGGGACTCTAGAGCGAGCTTCGTCTCCTAGTATTTGTTCTCGGGGAATCCACCCTTCGGCATTAATTAAATCTAGCCAGTAGGCAATGATTTCCATTGAAAGATCTAAATCCCATTTACATATTAGCAACTGATGAAAGCCTTCATCCCACAGAAATCCACGAGGAAAAAATGATCTCGACGGCGTACCAGTTAATAATGGTGCTTCAAAATAGTCTGTGGCATCTTTGAAAAATTCAGATATGACTTTAGATTCTCCATGAAAATATCCTATACCACCTAATGTACTGCTTAACGCGGCCTTTCCAAATTGAATGTAGTCGTTGTTAAATCCCGATGCACCAAGTTTAAATTTTTCTTCAAACTTTTTATTGAATTCTTCTTGTCGAGTTTTAATTAAATGCGTTAATGCATTATCTAAGACCGGGTAAGCTCGGACGTTATCGGCCGCTTGTGATTCGTAGATAATTTCGAACTCAATCGGAATTCTACCAGTTACCTGGTACAGTATAAGATTATCAGCAAGTGATTTAGTAGGATCATTTGTGGGTCTCCCGTCAAATAGTCCGTAGTAACGGACATTTCTTTCAGATTTAATAGGTCGCATGTTAGCCGAAACGAATTCCTTCATCGAATAAAAGTAGGGTGTATTTGTTGATAGATAACGGCGGAGTTTGATATTTTGCGAACTACTAGCAGTGCGAAAAGCAATTTTGAAATTCTTTAACCTATTAGAATTTCCTGTTATTCCAGTAAAGTTGTAGTCATCATCAAGTTCTGGAAATAGTTCACCTGTACCTTCTTGGCCTACGTAGAATATCAGGGTTATTTCTCTATTTTTCGGGCTACCAGGTAATATAGAGCTAGAAATTCTAACACTCCAATCGCCCCCATAATCGCCAATTGATCTCGTAACAAAATCAGTTTTAATCTCGTAGCCAAAATCAGTGATCTGCTGTCGACCATATGAGGAACCGTCGTGGGAATACCAACCATATTTTGGTAATTTATCAGCCATGCTGCATTCGTGGCGTATTTGAATTTGTCCATTGGTATTGTCATTTGCAAACCACATAAGTCCTGTAATTAACGATTTCTGGCCTTTGTGACGCATCCCGAAGTATACTTGTGGCCTGTAAGAACCCCAGAAACGATTCATTTTGTTATCGTAATAAGAAGCAGCTGAAGGAACATTTAACTTAGTATATAGACGGCTCCTCTGATAAATATAAAATGCAAACATAATAGAAAGGATGAACAATCCACTGAGGATGTACATTAAACCAATGTTATATCTGCCCCCTAAAACTATCCTTATTCTCTCCACTAGGCTAAGGCGAGATATTTTTTGGTCTTTGGTTCGGGTCTCTTTCCCATGAGTGGAGCTAACAGGGCTGCTTCGCTGAGCTGAATCTTTAACACGTTTTAAAGCCGGCATCTCCTTCTGTTTGCTGTTTTTAAGGTATGTATCAACTCTATACGAGTGTACTCCAATGGTTCTATTCAATTAAACGTAAAGAACGAAGTTGGGCTTTACTTCCTGCGCAAAGCATTGGTTTTCTGCGTAGATTTACAATTAGCATAGGGTAGATGGCAATACTACAACCCCAATCGCATTTTTTATCAATTAATTAAATAAATAGCAGGAGGGCTCAATCAAGGAGGTACTGTACAGTACAGTACAGTACTGTACAGCACTGTACAGTACATGTACTGTACCGTACTGTACCGTACAGTACAGTACCATGATACTGTAGAATGTACTGTACGGTACGGTACCGTACAGTACTGTCATCAGACTATGGTACTATAATTTCCCACAAAAAGTGAAGGTTCAACAGAAATTGTTTCTACGGAGTTGAAAGTTCCCGTTTCTTCTTCATCTTTTGAGATGAGATCATTCTTGAGTGATTTTAGTTGAAAGCTCAGTATTAAAAAGTTAGGAGCAGAAGTTATTACATTCCAACAGTAAATTATAATTACTAATACTGTAGTTTGAGTTTTACAGGAATACAGTATTTGATATTATGGCTAGGTAGTTACTTTCTATACAGTACTTGTGCAAGCTTCCATATTATACAGTACAGTACACTGGATTTATACTGTACACATATCTATTGTCCAAATCACACGTTGAATTGTACCACAGATTTTTTTCAACTAGTTATAATATAAAAGCGTGATATCCTGACGTAACATCCTTCGATAGCTCAGTTGGTAGAGCGGAGGACTGTAGATGAATTGTACCAGTCCGCAGTATGTGCTAAGTACTGTGTAAATGGTAACAGATATCCTTAGGTCGCTGGTTCGAATCCGGCTCGAAGGAATTTTTTTCTTTTTTGTATACTGTAATTGTACAGTACTTTACTGTACTGTACTGTACTGTACACCTGTCGATGATTTGATTCAAGTAATCGTAAAGTACTGTATCATGCAGTTTTAGTATTTTGTCTTTGGTTGCGAATGTTTGGTCGAGTGAATACAAAACTGTACAGTACTGTACAGTTCAGTACAGTAGGTAAAAATTCTACAAGTTTACAATACTGTACAGTACAGCAAGATAAAAATTAAAAATACGGTACTGCAGATTCCTAAAATTCTTAGTGATTGTAAATTCTGCGACATCAGAAATCCCTAGAGCAGATCAATAACCGAATCCCATTGGTTTGTGGCTAGAAGATTTCGATCCTAGCAGAGTCATCTTAAAAGAGGGATTTGCCATCCATCGAGATTAATGTTTAAAAACACCTATCAAGTAAGTGAGAGCTGAAGAAATAAATCCGACGCCATGACGTTGTACAAGCCCAGTATTCAATTACAGTACATCGAAAGTTATTTACATTACTGTACGGTTATCTCCGAGATTTACTTTTGTAGTTATATAATTATTATTTAATAATCACACTGGAAGATTGCTTGTAAAGTAAAACTACATGTACGCGTATGTGTAACCTTCTTAAGGGTGGTCCTTATTTCGAAGTATTTAATGCTCAATTGAGCGATTCCTTACAAAAGAAATGGAAGATATTTGGACCTTCATCGGCCATACGAAAGGTACTCGGATAAGTGTCAAGAATATAGTACTGAACTGTACATTCATGAGAATTTTTAGTTTTATCGTTGATTTCGATAGTTCTTACTGTATGACAGTACTGTATAATCATCATTACTGACAATACTACAGAAATATTACCAATTATTTGTACCCTCTGCGTAGTTGTAATGCTTAGCAGAATTTCAATATCGTGGCGAGAATTTTTGTCATCTGAAGGTGTTCGTATACCTATGTGTAACATATATTTCATGGTATTTATCACTCTAGTCAAAAATAATAATTTATAGATTATATTATGTATACAATATGATACATCCTGTACGCCCTGTACTTAGTACAATGAATTACTTACAGTAAATTACCGATACTGTAATTATACTATAATTTAGTAATCCATAGCGCTGCAGCGCACCGTACCAGTGTTATTCAAAATAATATTGTTAGCCCGTGATATTACTGTATGAGAAATGACTGAATCTAGTTACGAGTAGTTACGATAGTACAGTAGATATCATTGGTGTTGAGAACACAGTACAGTAGGTTGGATAGTTAATGACTTGTGCTAAATTAGTTAAAAGTTAAATACTGTTTCTAATAAACTACTTGCTTTCAATAAACTAATTATGCTCCGTTATCATTAGGAGTACAGTAGAGAGTGTAAAAGTTGGGTTTTGGTACTGGAAGGAGACGCTGTGGTGACTAAAATTCGATTACCCAAAGATGATAAAGAGAATTGTATGAATTTTTTATTGCTAATACTAGTAATTTTATCATGGTTAATTAATCGTACCTATTAATTTCTCTACTCTGTATGTTGTAAATAAAATTTTTGAAATTATGAGAGTGCAATATAAGCGCGGACGTATATTGCACTATTTAATGCAGACGCCAAGGCATTATTATTTTAGTGATCGAATTCGTTTTATTCAAGTTGTAAATATGCAGTACACTTATAATATGTAGCTAAATAGCCATGGCCTTTTTCTGTCTGTAATTAATTAGTATGCCTTTTACAACCATTCTGCATCTTACAAGTTAAGATATCGCCTGGCCTAAGGGGATTTTCAGCAGATTTTAGGTGATAAGTTCCCATTTATGTGTGGTGTTAAAAAAAATTGTTAAATAGCTTACAGTTAATTAACCGTATATAATTAATAATTTAACAACTATAGTATACTTGATACAAGGAATAACAGAAGGCGAATTTTCTTGTCAACAATGCATAAGGAATTATCGGTTACTCCATTGCATGCAAAAGTTCCGCTTGTGATTGCGCAACGAGGGATGGTAAGTAACGGAAGCGCCATTTGGTACTTAGCCATCATAAAGTATCTTATGATATTTACAACTATAAATTCTAGTGGTTAAATCTCTGTCTGGATATGCAATCCTTGGTGAATCGATCATTTAAAGGCTCTATTTTGCGTTCCATCGAATCCATAACAATCCACGCTAATTGCAAGATCAGGAGGATTTTTACTATGAAAAACCAGCCGATTGATTCAGCATCTGAGAATGGTGAAAGTCATTAAGATTAAAAATGATTGCGATTCGTTATATTTTCAGATTTTTATAATTTTATCTCCAGTACAGTATCTATAACCACTAGAACTGCATGATTTTTCTAATTAATTTCAAGATAATGCAATACCAAAGCCAATGCGGCTCAATACCGAGAGTTCCAGTTACACACAAGTTAGCAGGATGGTCATGGTACTTTAAGATTTTTTTAAAGTAACTCAAACGTACGTTTTTTTAATTCAGATCTTTAACATGGAAAGCGTTACTCATTTGGAAGATAACACTCCTACTAGCAAAAGTTTTACCGTTCTAGGAAGGGGTATTGGCAATATTTTGTATGTTATGTATGTATGAGTGTCTTACTGTCAAGCATTCCACTTGTATGATAGATTCTTCCACCAATGTACCATCTAAAAGCTTCGAAAGAATTAGTAATATCGAAATAAAGTTTACTTCAGGCGAGAAGACTATTAAAACATTGGTATACCCGAAAAATGTTTAGTTTGCCAAGTTTAAGAAATATAACACTTAATTACGTAGCTTATCACCTTATCCAATGTTAAAATATACTATTTCCAGGTTAGTGACTGTGAAAAAATCAAAAGTGAGCGAGGTGTTAGTATTTACAAATTTCGAAATTCAGAACAGATGCAAAACAATGAAGGTGCCACATCTTTCTATATCGAACAATGCAATGTGCTGCGTACTTCCAAATATCGTGATTATCCTGCTCTATTTGATTAAATTAATTATAAGGCATTTTTATTACTGTAGGATCTGAAATTGTCGGCCGGAAAGATGTCATACCGATTAGTTATGTGGCTGAGTATCGTTCAAATCTCCAATCTAAAATTGGATATGGGTCTTTAAAGATCCCGGCTAATGGATATTCTGCAGAATACGATTGCAACGGCAATACCGATAACCATGCATGGATCACTGTAGATATAAGAACAGGAGAAAAATTATTTACATTCTTTTCTTTTCCAATTTCTGTTCGATCGGAGCAATCGAACATTGGTGTCGATTATGATACCATCGCCTTAGGAAACTTAGGTGAATGTAAGTGCCAAACAAGAACAGGATTAAATTATAAATTCTATTATTTTGTTTGATTCCTACAATATGTAGCCTAACAATCAATATATGCATTCACAGACTATCCACAATTCGTAGATCATGAAAGTCATAGTCGAATTAATCATTCAGACTATACCTTAAACTGCAACCAATACGACGAAATCGATGTTAAGGGAGATGGCAATGACAGAAATACCGCTAACAATATCAACCTACAATTTGAGGAAACAACTGATAATCGTATAGGTGACAAGGTGTACAGAAAAACTTACAATCTTAGGGGTTTAGTATTTATAGTATTGCAAAAAGAATATTTTAGCTAGCATTAGGCCTAATTTAATGCAAGCAAGAATTTAAGAAGTTTCGATTAAGTACTGTATTCGTAATAAATCTGGCTTGTTGTATGCTTTATACAACATACTAGGGTTCCACAACAACAAAGGAGATACTCGGAGTTAATAGTTGTAAGGAATCGGAAATAGAAAGTGTAATAAGATCTGTTTGCGGGGTCAACACTAATCGTGACAATAGGATACTATCTAAGGCTAGTCTGAAATCTAGCTTACTGAGGGAAATTTCGCAGACAACTATTTCCCAGGTACTATATAGCAATCAATTTTGTAACTGCAGTTAGTATAATATGCATTGGTATGCATAGTATTTAGAAAGAACTTAGCAAATATTGTTTATTTCTTTAATCAAATATCTACAGGATGATGATTGGAAAGATTTAAATTTATATGGCGATTCCAGAACTCTTTATGACTGTTCTACTGATCATATCCCGGATTTTGTCAGCTCCCATCGCTTACCAAAGAACTTTGGAGAGAGCATCACTATTGACGAAGATACGGCATCATCAAGTGAAAACGAAGACAGTACTCCTGGGAAACGATACCCGGTGAGCGAATTTAACGTGTTTATGCAATTATAAAGTTATTTTCCAATTAGCTACTAAGTTGATTGTTTCATTCAAGGCTCAATCAATCATAAGCCGATATGTAAGCGAAATAAGGCATAATAATGTTCTAGCTAGCTTCCAGTCAAATACAAGGTAGGTTAGCTACCACCCTATGTGGTTAATAGTCATATCTAGTATTTAGTATGCCTTACAAGTCTAGTAATGGCTTCAGGTGAAGAGCGGTATGTTGGGTCTAACTCTATGTTTATCGTGATGTTAGGGAGTGCGCGCCTGTATTCAGTCCCGATGTTAATTTATCAGCTGTGTCTATTGACTCCAATAGTAAATGGCAAATTCTTTCTTCCGGGGACGATGGTAATTGCTCTACCGCCCAGAATTTAAGACAAACTGGCGAGGTGTTGGACCTGCTGTATGATTCGCAACTAAATTGCTACTTTGATCCTAAAACGTACAAATATTACGAACTCATTGACTAAATTTACTATTTTACTAGCAATAGTTGTATAGCCTGACTGCAAAATATGACAAAATAGCTATTTTAATAATCCAACTGCAATTATATAATACAATTAATTGTCAATAACCTTGATTCATATTATTGAGTGAAGGCTTACCATACTAAATAAGACTTTTTACGTTACGTTAAGTGATTGATTTATTTAGTAATGTGTTACATAGCACAGAGCTAATACCGTTGCTTTGTATAATGCACTTTGTCAATGATTTACTGTACTCGAAATTTAAGTTATCTATGATATTCAGATTTTCAATCTAAAATAAAAGTTTTTAGCCTATTAATGCTTATTTTTAAGTTATCTTAGTTTAAATGTCCATTTTCCGATTTTATTTCTGCACCGTTATCGTTATTTACAGAAGGGAGGACATTACAATGCAATTAAGCATATAAGGTATTATATTTTTGGCATCTATTATGATGTAGGATGCTAGAATTATAATTGCTCCTTTAGTAATCGAAGATCGTGAGCGATGCTTGTGCTTAGAGATAAGATTACAGATTACTATACAGCTTTCTAAGTTTCATTACAAAAGCAACGTTAGAATTCTCAAACTACCGTATAACTCAGTCTGAGATATTGTAATTAATTTAAAGTTGTTAAGCGACAATTATGTTCAAAACTATTTTAACCGAATCAGATATTCTAGTGGGTAAGCAGTTGGAACTATCGACAAAACGCAACGTCCTAAAGTTAAATATGTATAGTAAGGCGCAGAATGCGTCTTGTAGATAACATGTAAAGAATCTCTGTATTATTGTCATGGCGTTGGTAAGGTAATCAAGTCAGCTGGAATCTTCGAAATTTATTGTAATCCCAAAATTTCACCTTCACATTACGACCTCCAAAGTAACGACCATTAAGGGCAATTGCAGCTGAGAGATAAAAAAAAATAAGGCGTACATCCAAACCTATATAATGTGTTACTTTTAGCACAAGCAACGTACCTTTAACGGCAGATTCTTGTCTTTTAAATTCAACAAATATTCTTACTGCAAGTTCTTCAGTAGCTTCGGGCAACTATATGGTTAAGAACAATTTAATGACTGACGCAGAGGACAAATTCTTTAGTTCAGTAATTCGATACTGACCTCGTGTATTAAGACACGTTCAACGGCTCCGTAACTATTGCATTCTTCAGCGATTTCTGGCTCTAAATCGTCATCTACCTCACCCTTGCCTACGATATTCTATGATCAATCAATAACGTATGTTTACTTTCAAGTAAGGGGTGAAATGACACGACTTTACTATAGCACAAGACATAATAAGGATTTACAAGCAAGTTCTTACGGTTAAAAGGATAACTTTAGAAGGATTACCAAGACCGGTAGCCGATGCGCTCGTGGTGATATCTGTCGGCTTTGATGCTGTATCGATAATAATAGCGTTATATTGTGGTTTCATGCGCGGTAACAGTATTTAGAACTATTAAAATTTGCATTTGATATACGCCTACAGCCTTACATACAATCTAATATTTTTCCATCGCTTTTTCCGAGTTTTTCTACTTGTAGTGCTCTACTAATACCTTGTCCATCTTTACCTAATCCTGTTTGGAATAACACATCAACCAATAAGTCCATTGCCATATCTAATTAATGTTATCAAAGCTGTGTCAATATGACAAGGCTAAGATATAGGTTCTGTACACTTATTAGCTGCCACAAACATGCATATTTCAAAACTAAACACTATCATCACAAAAACCATGGTAAATTCCGATATATCACCACAGTACAAGGCATTTTATGACCAGAATTTAGGCAAAATCTTTAATTTCCATAGCATATGCATAGTCATAGTTTCAATGATTTCTAGCCCATTTCATGTTGTGAAAGACTTAGAAGTGTAACAATATCTCTTCTAACTATTCAGTCTATACTCGATTGAAGTTATCACAGCTAGGCAATGTGATAAGTAACAAATAAAATACGACGTTATCAACGCTGATAGAAATTTGAACTGTTAGCAAAAATCGCTGAATGCGTGTTGAGGCTTTACTTAGTGACTGAACTATATAATTGGCCGATCAACCGCCATAGAAATTGTAATATATATAGTGCGGTATGAATCTATTTCAAAATTTGTTAAGAGATTTATGTGACTTGCAGAACTGCAACTGGCCAGGACAAGCTAGCACATTGCTCAAATATTTACGCTATTCAAAAGTTACTTTCGATCATTATGAAATAAATTCCAAACTATTATGCTTCTATTAGCCTTCTGCAACGAAACCACACAAACGATGACGTATACATATTGAATAACTGTGCACTGTACTGTACGTTACCATCGTTCCTTCCGATATAATGTAGTACCCGACGTAAGTAATATATAAGATTATTAAATACGGCGCAATTGCAAATAAAAAATTTAGTATTTATTATTTATGTATCTTATTTACTTAATTAAATATATAAAATGAATATGTAGATTTTATGTTTGCTACATACGCTCGAAAAAATTTCACGATTGTTTTATCACCAAGTCATCAACTTTCCTAGTCCGTACTATTCGTAGTTTGTAAGCTACGTTACGTCTATTAAAGTTAAAGCTATTCAATAGACCGGTATTCCGTCGATAGGATCAGGACAAGACGTATAATGATCAAGTTTTGGTTTTAACGTGCAACTAATGTTCAGTGTAGTTCTGGATAAATACGACTGGTCTACTGAAATTATCTACTATTCAAAAATAATGCATAAATTTTATTTTATCTACTTTATCCACATCTTGATAATTACAGCTAATCAGATTTAAATTGAATCATATAACTCGGAGACTGTAGCTATATACTGTAAAGCTGAAATAATACCTGCACTTTTTCTGACCAAATCATGTGTAATCATATGTAATTAATTGAGATTATCAATTTCCACATAACGCATCTTAATCTGGCAAATAAAATTTTAAAATATAGCACCATACACGTATAGTATATGCAAAAAGGGCCAACCTAAACTAGTAGCTAGATCACCACAATATTTATAGCAGTAACACAGAAATATTACAACAGTGTTGATTATATGTGCTACCGTATTCGTCACAAATTCGTAATGTGATGATACGAGTAAGTTACCTTCGCCTTCTTTCCAACCGTACTTTGCCATAATCGAAGATGCAATTCTGATAAAGAAAGTGATTAAATGAGTTGGTAGTAAATTTTTAATTACACTTTTCTGCTAAATTTTGTATGATCTCTTACTGAGATTCAGTAAATTGATATTTTTACTGAATTCTTATCTCTAAATTAAGAAACTCATATAGTCTCACAAAGATCCTCCACTCAACGCTTGATGTTGAGCCTTGCTTCGAAGACTATGATTAAGTTGCGCACGCTTTTGCTTTAATTCTTTCGTATCGAAGTTAAATTCACTAGATGCTTGCAGGTTCACTACCGGGAAAACAGATTAATAAATTTGACCTTACTACAATTAAGGATTATACTCTATTAGATGCTGTCACTTACCAGGTTTTTCAATGCAAGCTGTAAGAGAAGATGGCGGAGCAATGGCAGCACCCACACGTCTTTCTGAAAACAGATGCACGCATAGAATTTTAACGCTACCTGTATGTACTGACAATCTTACTCTTTAATATATCGTATAGTCAATAGTATGAGAGAGCAAATATATGCTCAAGCTACCAGAATTTGAGGTTTCCTGTTTTTCAACAGAGTCAGCAATTCGAACATGTTTGTCTCTGTTAAGTTAAAGTGTACATTAGCATACAACGTTTTGACTGCGGTAAAAACAAAAGGTCAAGACTGGTGTCATTACAACTATGACACATTTATAATTTTTGTATGATAATTAATCTGTTTCAGAAATAGATTAACAGTAAATTAAAAATTTTAGATACTCTAATTTTTCTTGTTTTCTTCTTAACTCCAGGGCTTGATCATAATCATTAGGCCTTAAAGGTTCGTATTCGTGCCGAATATCTGCTAGTGATGCTTCAGTTTCTTCAAATGGTTCATCACCGTGATTTACAGCGAAATCAATAGTCTAACATTTAGTGATTCATATCAATTACAATTTAGAATTAATCACTCAATTACATGATTGAGAATGACATAATATTTCGAAACACGATGGTGAATCAAGAGCTAAATTTATAGAAACAATGTTGATATTTCTAGCTTACGTGCTCAGCTGGTGCACGAGATAATGGATTAAATCCTGCAGTAGTTGCGTTCTCACGCACTGCATCTAACGCCTATTTCAGTTAAATTGAAAAGTAATTTAATTTACCATTACGCATTCTTGCGATAGTAGTACAATGAAATGCTTTAAAACCAAATTTAATACCTGATAATATTATAAGAATTAATTTACCAACAGACATTAAACAGAAATATTTATAATATACATTGCAGTACCATAAATTCTACATTGCCTACACTGTACGTTAAGGGTTAATGAAATCACTGTAGCCATAAATAATACCTGTGGGGGATATTTATTCGAATGTATAATCGGCATTGTGGTTCCTGATTTTGGCTTTTGCTACAGGAATTAATATATTAAAAGTTTTTTTAAAAGATTATCCTAGTTAACGAGGCTAACAATCATACTGAAGAATAATAATTATAAATAGCATCGGAATTAAGTATCACTTTAAAATCTTATAAACTGTTCACCTATACCATGAAGTACTAGCAATGTACCCGGCATTATACCGGTATATTATAGTAAAATAATAGTTCGCGATACCATTTGTTTACTTGATTCCGCAATTTTTCGACGTTGAATTTGCGTTTGTAAGAGCTTGTAATTTGAAGACCAGTTCGCTAACGTTAAAAAATTACTGGTTTAGAGTTCAAATCTACAAGTTTATTATTCAGTAATATTTATTCCCATTCTATTTTGCGATAGACAAGACTTGCATTACTATGAGCTTGTTTATTTTGTATCAAAGTATTCTAACATCCAGTGTTTACCAGAAACCCTAGAAATTCTAGGTTCACCAGCTGATATAACGTAATAAAAGAGTATGAAATCGCAATGAGTGAATGCATGGACTCCTAAAAAAGACCTTTCGTTGTCCACGGTGAATATGGCGGCGATAATTAATTATCAATACAGTTATAGCACGTACCAATTTCAGGTCCGGAACCATTATTACTTCGCTTCTCAGTACTTCCTTCATCAGGTACCGAATTTACTACAGCAAAAGGAGAAACCGTTGTATCAATACCGCCAACACCATCGTACAGAGACATTCTGTATCAGATATTGCCAGATATTTGCAGGCTATGTTCTCTCACGCTTTCCAGTTAATTCTTATTCTGCAATTTGCAGAAAGGCCTGCTTAACAAATTAATAATAAATTACAGTAACCTACTGTACTGTACGTAAATTAATAATACTGTACAGTACAGTACAGTGTACAGTATTTAAACTGTACTGTACTGTACACTGTACAGTACAATACATTGTACAGTACATTGCGGATTGTGGTACAGTTCAGTACTGCAGTGTCTACAGTACAGTGTACTGTACTGTACTGTATACAGTACAGTATCAGATCATGGAGATCTACAGTACTGTACTGTACAGTAGACCCTTCAGATTTAAATTGATGTTCAGAATTTTATATGCTGAAACGCCTCAAACGATGCATCGTTTGATCATGGTTTGAGACGTTTCAGGCTGTCAGCATACATACAGTACAGTACGGTAATTCTAAATATGAAGTTAAGATCTGAACTGTACAGTACTGTACAGTACAGTACATCATGGTCTATGGAATGGACTGTACAGCACACTCATGTACCGTACAGTACTGTATAACTTCGTCTTGTGCTGTCTCTCAAAACATTTTGGCGTAATTTCTCAGCTAAAAGATTGCGAATTTAAGCATAAAGAAGCAACAGCAGCGAATTATAGTATGATTATTTGATTATAGCATGTTTCGTGATGGAAGTAATTTCTTTAACACTATCGCTAACTTCAGTCTTACCATTCGTAATCGTATTTTCACACGGCAATTCAAAATTGGCATGATAGTTCAAGTTTCTCGTAAAAAGATTGCACTGACTAACGCGATACAAACAGCTGATAGCCAGGCTGCTGTAATGAATGTATTCTTGAGAAATCGGTGTTGTTTTGATAATGTGCATTTATCCAAATCTTTCAAAAAATTAGCTAAATTGCCTAATGAAGCTTTACTGATAAATAATCCAATTTTTAAGGATATGTGCAAACTCACAGAGACACGACTCCAAGTTATGAGCACTAGAAGTATCGAAGAGATCACATATTCGATTTTAAATTTAGTAACTAGCTGCAGAGGAAAGTTGCCACTCGTGTACGGAAGCCTATCCACAATTGTTTTCGACACTGTTACTGAAAGAATGAAGGAATTTAAGTGTGCACAGTTAGCGTGTATTTGTTATTGCTTTCACCGAATGAATAACAGTATCCTGAACGTTACCTTTCTAAACAAAGTATCGGATCACCTTCAAAACCAAGTGTTGGAATGTACAAAAGTATGGCCTATCATGCATCTATATTTAGTTTATTGTAGTAGAAGTGAAACATACTCCATAAATGACAACTTAAAGAAAAGGCTTATATATTTAATACCTCAATTTACAATTTATCAAACTGCATTTATTTTATCGGCTATAGCCAAGCTTGACTTTTGCAATGACAACACTGACCGTCTCATAGAAAGATTTATCCATCACTCCATACCGATATTGGATAAATGCAATCTGCACGATTTATCAGACTTAACGTGGTCACTCGCAAAACTGGAATATCCTCGCAAAGATGTTGTAGAAGCCTATCTAGGCTATGCTATTAAAGGTTTAAGTAGCGGAACTGTAAACTCGAAGTATTTCGCCAAATTGGCATGGTCATTTGCAAAATTAGGCATTACTGATCATAAGATATATGCTTTAATTTCTAGACAAATTCTTTCGAATTATAATAGAGATATTCCAATCCGACATCTTATTAATACTGCATGGGCATTTGCTACTGGTGGTTTTTTAGATCTAGTTTGTTATGATAACATTAGTAATAAGCTGTTTCGAAAAGCCGATAAAATGAATGAACAGGATATATCGAATATTACTTGGGCTTTCGCATTAACTGGTTACAGAAATGAAAAACTACAAAATAAAGTTGCAGATACAGTAATAGGATTAATACATCATATCAATTCGAGCAACCTTTCTACAATTACTTGGGGCTTTGCAATCTTACGATGTAGCAACTATCATTTATTCGATATTATTGCTGCCGAAACAATTAAGAGAATAAAATCAACGAATTCTAGCTTCAGTAGATTTCAACCTGGCCATTTACTTCTTTTAGTTTGGTCACTCATTGTAGCGAACGTTTTTTCTCAAATTTTAATAAGAATAGTTTTGCATCCTATTTTCGTTGAACATTACCTGAAAGGTAAGGTAGCTACAAATATTCACGAATATTCGTTTCAGGGCCTTCGACTAAAAGCCAAGGATAATATTTAGCATACTGTTGTACACGTCTTGATAACTTGATGTCTTTTGATTAAATGTAATTTATAGGAGCAAACAAACTACAGCAGTGTCAGTTATATCAAATCCACATGGCTGCAAAGTTGAAAGCCATTGAAGTTGGAGGCGGTTTGATTCCGAATCATTTATATCACCTCTATGGTACGTTTGCAAATAGGCCCACATCAACGTCCGAATTTGAGAACGACATTCTCTCATGCTTGATTTCCGGAAGTAAAATTAGAGATTTTGCTCTAACAAACACCAAGTTTCACTTCGGGTACAGCGTTGACTACATTATAAAAATTAGAGACTCGGACCACCATAATAATAAAAGTAATTGAACAGAATTTTACCCAATTTTATTTTAAAAATAACTTTCGTAATATAGCTTAATTTGCCTAAAAATTGAAGTACGTAAAGGGAATTAACCTATGGCACAGTAGAAGATACTACTTATACAGTATTGCTGTATATCTTGATATTATTATTTTTATTTTACTGATTAATATTATTTATAATACTGGATTTTTCGTCAGGTAATCTGCTATATAACCATGATAAGAGGCATACATATGTTGCAATAGAAGCTGATGGACCAAGCCATTTTTCGTGCAACCAGCCTTACGTTAACCTAGGGCAAACTGTCTTGAAGCAAAGGCACCTTAAACAAATGGGATTTGCTTTCGCTCAGGTTAGTTCAAAAGTCTTGAATAGAAGCATGCAAATCTTGAAGGAAATACTAAACTAACTTGCTTTAATATGGTAAATAAAACCTAAACCCTGATTAATATAAATTGTGCATAATGAATTAAGGAAATCAAACAAATTTTACGTAACAAAGAATTATAAAACTAATAAAGAATTTGTATACATTCGATTTGTTATCTTACTCTCGATTTAAGACTCCGACTATGTTCAATGCTAAAAGTGTATGAAAGTAATTATGCAATTAATAGTTTACTAGTATTAATATAATTTAATACATAATGTCTCCTTCAATTCTTAGATAGCATATCACGAATGGATGACGCTTAATAACAAAGATGAAAAGATTTCTTATTTATTGGAAAAGATTGATGCTGCCCTGTAATTGCTTATGCAGTATTCCTTTAACTAAGGTTGAGTCATGATCTATACATCGACTGACATGAGGTAGCTACGCAACTGATTCTACTGACATATGCAACGGCCAAAATGTACGGGCACAATCAAATAATTGTGTTATCATTTAGATGAATACTTAATTGCTCTGAATTATAAGTGTAAATATGCATGATTCGTTTTAAAAATATGCTCAATGATCCATTAGCTTCTCTTTGCTGGAGGTCAAACACTAAGAAGTTTAGCTTTTTAGCGAACATTAGTAATATAGCTGAAGTAATAAATAAACGAGTATCGAGTAAGCTAGTTTGGTCAATTTGAGCGTAGGAAGACATCGCATGATGAATCGACACCCAATATATAATGCGACCAAATGAAGATATAGATGCTGGTAAACACCTGTTCATCTATCCGTAGATATGTCTTTGGCTTCAGATTCGGAGAAAACACAGTTCTCTGTCGACTCTCGTACACCAGTGTGTAACGTGTGAGGCAAACCGTATCGTATTTATGATACTTTTGAATATGACTTTACTAGAAGGTCAATTATCAAATCTTGTAGTAATTGCATGACTTAATATTCATGAATTAAGAGCTTAGTTACACAGTACAAATGCCGATGGCGTGCTTTAACTTAAAGATCGTTAAAGGTGAATTGAAAAATATGAAGATATTGTGCTTAACAATCAGGGTAGGGCGACAGATAGTGAAATACTATTTTACAGCTTATGGCAAAGTATAGCACCGCAAGTTTATGTCACAGTAGACTACTGTAGAATGCATGCATCTTATGACAGATTAATACATTTTCAGCGTAGATGGTTCAATTTTACCATCGACTTCAAGCTTGAATCAATTACGCTACTGAATATCGACTTTGCCTAAATTAATCGAAGACCGTAATACGTCTGAAGATTGCGGTATTATGCTCTACTAATACACAATATATAAGAAAAGATTACAGCATAACGATAGGTTCTAGGGATTAGATCAGCATAGCGTCGCTATATAAGGGGTACGAATGATCTACATTTGCTAGTATCAAATGGTCTCCGTGGGACTTTATTAGATAATATTGTTCTTATGCTATCATAATTCTACATGCTTTCTCTTCAAATCTTCGATTTTCTTGATAAAGTCCGTCTTTTCTACACATCCTTTGCAATCTTCATCCCAGTTATTCAAGATTTTCTTTAGATCTTTAACTCTCAGTTTCTTCAAATTAACATTCTTCAAATCGATCTTTTTATCTACTCCGATCAAAATAAAAATTCTGTCAGATAATAACGAAATTATTTGAGTCTGGGTATCATTAACTTGCTACCAGGAGAAACAAATACAGGAATAAATATGTTAGCAGCGCAACTGCACTAAACGATGATTAGGTGTATTTCCTATAGTACTGTATACTGTATTCAGATATGCGAAAGAATAGCAATATAATATGGTTGAAGCTAGTGAAGTTATCTTGAGGTATAATATACTAATGAATATAAAGACACATACTACGGTTCCAAACAACATGAATACCACAACATTACTGTAATTAACCTGCAATACGTAGATTGATTAATAATTATGCTATATAGTTAATGGATATTTGTTGTCAACACATCCAGCTAACTATAGTACAGTTATGGATCAACTAACTGATACTTTAGTAATCTGCGGTACAGAGCAGTTAGTGTATACTTAGGCTAATAGATTGATATACTAGTGACTGAGTCAAGTTTCGAATGCAAATAATTTACAGTTCAAGGCTATAAAAAGATTTTACGATCGAATCATATAGTACATTTAGGAATAGGCTTATACGCATTTTATCATGAAATTAGGTCATTCTATTCCTACAATCATTAGAAACGCAAATATTACAGTAATTCATATTACTAGCGTGTTGAAGTAATTACCGTATTTCAATTCACAAATTTGCGTATCTTTTTTCTTAAGCTTTTCACATATTTTCTCCGTAGGTATGCTGTAGCTAATAGGTTTGGTTATTTCATTCAAGATCTTTGTAGCTGCGTCACTCGTACCGCCCAAATAATAACACTATAAATTCGGATTATCGATTTTTATATGCGGTAATTAACATTCATAAGCTGTAAGCAAACTAAAGAGAGTAATATAGTAAACGCTTACGAATCGATTATCTTTGCCAGATGCCTTTCCACAAGTCTTTATGAACTCTTTCTCAATAAGACTTACATTTTCTTTGACAGACGGCGTTAAAGTTTCAGTAAATTTTTTAAGAAATTGAATACAAACTGTAATAAAATAAAATAAAATAAATTAATGGATACATTTTTATTATCAGTATTAATATAAGGCAAAAACTGATATTACATTTCTATGTAAATGAACGACACAATGACATTAATAATTAGTTATTTAGTATTATTCGACTATTAGGTGTAGTTAAAACAATAATTTTTCACTATCTATGAATAGATAAAAAATAACTAGTGGTGCAACGCTGCAGGAGCATAAGGGACTACTAATAATAATTACTATTAAAGAAATATCTGCAACTGTTCACGATTGACATCCAAATTAGCTACTAGGTTTTAAAATCAATTAAGACCGAATCAAGATATACCGCAAATTTTAAGAGCCGTGACTGCCTTAAGTTGGCGTTCAACTACATTCCAAACTCCACAATTTCAGATTTAAATTTGAATCGATGTAATGGATTTAATCTATCTATATCGCTAGTAATATGAAATACCTGTACTGTATTTGTACTGTATTACAGCATGAGCGATCAGCTATGGTTGATACTCAGTCAATTCAGAACTGATGTGATGTGAGTTCGTGGGCTAAAAGGCCAAGAACCAACCACTCAGACCAGAGACAACAACCCAGTCTCAATCAATATAGGCGAAATAGGGCTTAGGACAGGTACTAATGAGCGAACATACTGAGCAAACTACAGTGGTACGCACATACAGTACTGTAGGCGCATTCTCCGCTGCATGATATTGTGTTCACCGTTTTTGCCTTGGCTTACTACACTGTATACTGTACTAGTGTACTGTACACTGTACATACAGTGTACGGTGAGTATAAATAAAGAAAATAATAATATTGTAATTCTTATACCTATCCTTACATTACATTAAAACATCGTTGCCTGCGTGTAGAAACTGTCAGATAAACGTGGTATATATCAGTGTTAATAACACTGGTATATATTCCTAATAAAATTATAGTACTGTATATTACGTTAGGGTTAGTTTCGGTGAGGTGTGAAATCGTCGATGCTCGATCCAAGCGAGCGGGTTTGTAGGTACCACGCGAAGTACAGTACAGTACAGTATAACGAGCGAGGGATGTACTGTAAAGTATGAATACGCGTATAGAGTACAGTACATGTTATACGGTAGTATATTTTATTCTAAGTAGTTAAAATTTACCTTCGCAGTCACCTTCTGCTAGCTTGCCTTGTACTGCATCGTAATTAAAGAAAGGAGCCAATAGTAGCACCTGCATTAATATACACCATATCGATACTTTCGTCTGCATTTGAAATAAACGTGTGAAGATTTCGAATACTACAGTACAATAAAAAAAATTGCAATAAATGAATTAACAGTGATATTACTGAATAGTGGAAGACATAAGACGTAAGCAATGAAAGATGGTACACATTATATATAATTTACTCACTACACTTGAACAGTATAGTATAATTTAATTGGGATATAATTTATATATCGATCAAAACTACTATAATTATTAATTGTGAACACGTACATGTACAGTTCAGTAACAGTTCTGTACAATTCAAATGTAACAGCAAAGACATTTATATTATTATTATTATTAATAAGACAAGATTATTATTTTTATCTATATGTTTACGTATAGTTAATACTTCCTACTTATCACTAACTAGTTATCTGATATACCAAACAAAGTTTAAGTAAAAGAACGGGGAAGCTTTTCAGTTTAGTCAAGCAATCAAGTTGTTCCTAGATTTGATTATACTGTACTGTACAGTAAACTCAGTAACGCATCAATTTGATTCGAAATATTTCTCATACGATTCTTGTAATATCGTACTGTACGTACAGTACAGTACACGGTAATCGAAGGAACATTCAGTACTTGTACGACTGATACAGTACAGTGTACTGTATGCACTGTACTGTACTGTACTGTACCGTACGTACAGTATATTGTACAGTACAGTACAGCGGCACACTGCACCGTAAATTACCGTCCTGCATACAGTACTGGACAGTGTACGTACTGTACAGTGTACAGTACTATACTGGACAGTACGTGGCAGTTCAGTACAGTACTGTACAAGTGTACAGTACATGTTGCCTACTGTATGTGGGGGTTTATATATGTTTGTACTGCAACTACTGTGCTATTACAGGCTTTATTTGCAGCAACGCGGCGGCATACGAGGAAAAGTGATGGTCACTGAATTTACGACTTCTAAATTAAGCATCTAAAGATTGTACTACTGTAGATTGAATCTTAACATACCCTTTTCTGATGAAAGCTTGTGTTGAATATAAATTTGCGACCTCAGTGAATTGCGTCGTACAGCAGCGAAGGTGCTAAGCCTATGTGTAGCACGGCTTATAGATACAGTAGAGTATAGTAGTATTATAACTAATTATTCAGTTATATTCCACACCATCGGAGTTCCGATGGTATGCCATTTGGTTGTACTGCAGCTAATAACATATTGTACAGCAAATGAGTGGACGAAACACTACCGGACGCGTCCATACTAGATACGCGCAGCCGCTGCCGTCGGCTGAAAACTATAGTCCAAGCCGAAAAGCTGGCTTCTGGAAGCGTAACGCCATTCGCGTGCCAGGAGGGTAAGTTATTTCCTTTAGCCTTACGTATTGCACTACTATATAATTAAATCAAAGTTCCTTCTTGAAATAAATATATGTGAAATCAGCATACGACGTATACGCGTGTTTGTACTGCTGATAATTAATTATAATAATACTAATACCAATTAAAATTACGGAGGGTGAAAAACCCTATGCAGTACAGTACTGTAATGCCTCCATATCGTATGAGTAGTTACTAGAGAGCTCATCTCTTTTCAAATTCCGTATATTTATTTACCAGTGTAATCAATTACTATTTATTGTAAACATAACTATCAGCATCGAATCCTGCCCGCGTAAGTGTAAGAAAACACTGCGGCAACACTACATTGTAAGTTTAGTAATACTGCAGCTATCAGCGTAATACTCAATTTTTTGGTTTGAGTACAGTAGTTCTGGATATACAGTATACAGTAGTACATACGTAGATAGTCTGTACCAGGTCTGTACATTATTTTACTGTACAGTAGCATTGCTTGACCTTTTACGGAATACCACACCGAGCATCCCGTAATCTGTATAACTATGGTATAACATATATGAAATGCAATTGAAAAAGTTCAATGCGTTCATTAAACTGGTCAACACGTACTGCAACAACATATTTGCCAAGCTTTAAAGAAATTGGCTAAGATTTTCGATATGCATCAGGCAAATTCAGCTTAAATCTTGACCAATTTCTTGTAAGACTTTAAAAGTGTGATGATTTATACATCGCAATCCATTATCATACTGTATATATCAGTGATCTAGTAATGTCAGCGAAGATTAAATTGTGGATTGATGGATTATATATATACGAATATACAGTATAATCATATGTACTGTAATTGTATACTGTAATAAAAATAATAATAAAGTATAAAACTTTCCAAGCCCGAAGCAGGTCAATGCTTGAAATTGTTGTTTAAATGTTATTAATTTACTAACTTTAATTACATCATCGCATTCAGAGAAAATGATATTTCAATTACATATTATATAACTTCAATATTAAAATCTGCTTGGCTGTTACTAAGGATTAAATAAAATTCTATATTTTCGCGATTACGAAATCAATGACATTCATAGGATCGCTTGTAACAGAAAAAAAATTTCTGTGATTTAAATTACGCATTGATTTCATTTTCGTAAATGTAGGATATACATAAGGTAACAGACGTTATCGTGAATATCTTTAATATTATTTTGGAGCAGCTACTTTTATAATAAAACTTAAATTAGTATATTCAATTAGCGTTCTTCCGTTGCATATGATATAAAAAAAGTTACTGAATTTATAAGATTGTAAGACTTTACTCAGCCATTGTGTAACTTCAGGATTTACCATAGCAAACAAAAGCCCTAGGCTGCCTATTAATAGACTCAAATAAGCGAGGAACTACTAGTGCAGTAATGCAATGCTTATAAATAGAGTTTATCTCATATTATCGTATTTATCACCTATCAATAATGACTTAATTTGAGAACTGGTGAGTCGTTACTGACAGTAAATGTATTAAATTATTGTTTTCCTACTCTACACCTAATATTGAAGTGTGTAGCATAACGGTCAAATCTACAAGTACTGAAAGGTTGTAATTCTGCATATTCTTAACCGCTTTACTGTAATTCGCTCGGATACGAGTGGATTTAGTTTGCTCTATACTGTATGCACTTACTGTATGCGTTATTAAACGTTTATCAATGTCAATATTATCGTTAGCTCGATTGAGAGTTTCTACTGATAAACCTTCGTTAACACAATGATACTAAAGCTATGTAAGTGTCATATATATATATCATATAAGTATTCATAACGATCATTTCTCTGTCATTATTATACATAGTGTCAAACCAATGCCTAGCAGTCACTATCCACAAACGCAAAGGTAAACCGTTTACAATTGTGTTATTGGAAAATGGGTCTTATGCTATCCTTTTTAATCAGTCTAATAACTAACGTTATTCTCAATATATGCACTACCATGTGTATATAGATACTTATAAATGAAGTTATTTATAGTTCTAGTAGGTACACTTCACTGTTAGATATAGACTGTTATTGCGGAATATATATAGTACACATACGGTGTATGTTGCACTAGCTGACTAGTAATATTATTACTTTCAAGTCCTGATTGGGTGATCGAACTTTCTATAGAGTATACTTATTAGGGAAGCAGAGGGAATAACACTGTACAATAAATCCAACTTTCTTCTCTCTGTTCAAATACGAGAATGTTTATCTTAAAAGAAATTACTACATTTATGCGTATTTACTGTGGAGGACTTTTTATATTGTGAAAGTCGCAATTCTACTTAGTGCTTGTATTTCAATTCATTGCGAAATCACCGTTTAGGCTAAGATATATTTTGTTATTACCGTATTACGGTCTGTTAAAAAGTTAACTGTGGTTCTTCATTTCGATACTTACGCGCTATTTGATATAGAAGCTTTTATAAAGATAAGATTAGAACAGATACAGTGCTGTACACCGTACTGTACAGCACAATGTACGGTAGTAATCTCATTTCATTGCTTCCCCGTCATTTATTCGTCACTGTCCAGTAAATTCCGGCTATAATTAAATATTGTTAGCGAATGCGAAATATATCAATATTTTTTACATTACTTAGAATTGAAGCCTGCGTTACACTTTGTGTAATAACAGTACATACATATTACTGTATTACTTTGTTACAAATTTTATATTACGTTAGCAACATACTGTAGAGTAAATACCCACTTATGAATATAAAAGTATTGATACTCTAACGGTCTTCACACCTGAGCTTTACAGAATTTTAATATTGCTGCATAATTTATATGAAAAGCATGTATATTTAAATTACTGTTTATAAAATTGTAGTAATCATGAAAACTTTGTGTATGATGTAATTCGTATTATAAGTAACCCTGGAAAGCCCGCCTATGGTGCTCAGCATCCTCCCCTTGCAAGGTTAATCAAAAGTTTATTTCTCTTGTTGGCAGATAGATAATATTTGACTTTTTAATCACGTAGTGTATTTATTGATTAAATTTTAGCTCGATTGGTAATGGGCCGTCAAGTCCGACGATAAAGTCTGAATTATCATTTGAAGAATTTAGCGATAAAATAGCAGATGTATGGGATGCTAGCGATAAAGATGATATTTTAGATGTCATTAGATCTGATTCCCAATCAGAGAGTAAGTTATACGGTATTATAATTAATTGTTCTTGGCTATAAGCTTAACGTATTACCGTAATATCATACTTTACTACATAGCAGACATTGACAATGCGTCTGATACGATCGAAGCTTCAAATCAATTTCAAAGAAAGTCTGCGAATTTAAAGGATTTATCGACGCAGTCAACTACCGCTTACAAAGGTATGAAGGGTATAACGAACATTTACTTCTAATTTACGATACATTTTGTTAATTGAACATGTAGTTAGCTACGCTGTACTTCAATATTACAGGTTCAACGTCACATAGTGAGCCGAAGCAGCAGACAACTAGTGATTCGCTTACAATGCAGGCTACACTGTTAGAGTTTGGTGATAGAGAAAGCAGTAGAAAAGAAAGGTTTTTGAGATGCCTTTCCGCACCGAATGTTGAATTTGGTAAGTCTTACAAATCGGGTCGATATGATCACGATCATTTCTAATACTATCCACAAATATCAATTAGAAACATTACGCGAACTTAGTTGGAATGGTGTACCGAAATCCTTCAGACCGAAGGCTTGGCGTTTACTGTCTGTAAGTTGAGGTTCTACTGTTAGTACACCATAAAATCAGGTTTTATGGTTAGAAGTATACTTATTTTATTAAACTTAGGGTTATTTGCCTGTGAATGCCGAAAGACAAAAATTGACTCTCGAGAGAAAGCGTGATGAATATTGCAGCTATGTAGTAAAATACTATCCGCTTAGAAATGATCCTTCCTTTCAAGAGACATTTAGACAAGTGAGAAAATTTCCCTTTGTACAGTACATAAATATCAGTTCTTAATTAATTTACCTTTTGTAGATTCAAATTGATATACCGAGAACGAATCCTTTAGTACCGCTATTTCAACAACCATTGGTACAACAGGTACATCATTAAAAAAATTTGAAGTATTAATGACGCTAAAATCGTAAGTATAATATTTAGGTTTTCGAACGAGTACTATTTATATGGGCAATGCGGCATCCAGCAAGTGGTTATGTACAGGGAATTAATGATCTAGTGACGCCGTTCTTCATTGTATTCCTTACGGAATATATCAATGAAGGTAAAGTAGTTCTGCGCTGTTAGTTCGTAACTGTTTTGGTCTATCCTTTCTTCGTTCTGCTTAAACTTAAGTATTTCTGTACTGAAGGAAATATTTTTTGCAGAAGTGGATGTCGAAACGTATGACATAGTTAAGCTTTCATTAAAGCAGCTAGAGCTGATTGAAGCAGACAGTTACTGGTGCTTAACTAACATATTAGATGGAATACAGGTAAAGATATTGTTACAGAACTGTGGTTGTATAGTATATTATAATAATTAATCGTACTTTCACCTTTGAAGGATAATTACACGTTTGCTCAGCCAGGGATCCAGAAAAAGGTGCAAACATTAAAGACGTTGGTTAGTCGGGTTAATGGTATTGTATCGTTATGGCTATAATGATTCTAAGTTATAATTCATAAGAATTTATATTATTAATCTTATCACATATTATAATTATTAATATTTGTATCGTTAATTTCAGGTAAATTGCACTTGCATTTAGAAAAGCACAATATAGAATACTTACAGTTCGCGTTTAGATGGATGAATAATATTTTAATGCGTGAACTTCCTTTACGATGTATTATACGCCTGTGGGACACTTACCAAGTAATTAGTTTTTGTTAGTTACTTAAGCTACTATCTGGCGAATAGTACAGTATATTGAACTATTACTGTTTTACTTATGATACGTATCAGGCAGAGCCAAATGGTTTCGCAGATTTTCACTTATACGTTTGTGCCGCATTTCTAAATCATTGGTCCAAAGAATTACTGGAAAGACATGATTTTCAAGTTGGTATAGTTTTTGAGAGATATTTACAGCTAGTAATATACGCATATTTGATTGATAACTGCAAGTGAAATTTAACTCTTTCCAGAATTTAATGATTTTGTTACAAAATACACCGACTGATAATTGGACCGAAAGAGAAATCGCTGTTCTTCTAGCTGAGGCATTCAGTTTAAAGTACGCATTTGCTGATGCTCCAAGTCATTTTCATAAAAAGAAATAAAAGTTACGGTAATCTTTTGCAAATTAATCTCGACATATATCATGTCGTAAGTTCTTTTAAGGTATATTTGCGCTAAACTATTAGAAATCAGCTCTTTGCTTTTCGTGAAATTTTTTTTGAGAATTCCTGTAATGATCTCCATCCATAAGCAAGTGTATTACTAGTTACAATGTGAATTTTTGTACTGTATTTTACTTGAGTTTGCGTAATGGTTACCTGTGGCATGTGTAGCGAAGTGTAATATGATTAGGCTTACTGAAATTTAAATATTCTCTTTATTTGATCTGATCAAGTTTATGTTCTAAATTTGACGTGTATAAAATACAGTTTGTTTGTGCGCATATTGTATTTGAATTTTTGGAATTAGCCATTGATGTACTAACATGTACGCATACGTAACTGATTCGAAAACCGGAAGTTATTCAATTTTAAAATCGCACAACTCAGCTATGTTATAATGTTGTCAGCATCATTAAATAGGATTAAACATTTTTAAATAACTTTCTTTTTTTGTACTTTATATTGTAGACAGTTGAACATATCCATCACTCGTTTTACCTTAATACCTATCGTGCTAGAGAACCAGACTATTGATAAAATTATACTTTACAGAAGCCAAGCTAAAAGAGCTGAGCACGTCTCTGCTGAAATTCAAGTTTTTAGCGTGCTCGTGCAAGTGTGGAGTATTTGCAATTCAGCTGTAAACTGTCTACTGCCAGCGAATGGTTGTAATGTATATAGATTTACTATCCTATTTAACTATAAATTTAATATTTGAATCTTGTGAACCTTCCTACAACAGCAATAATGGTACATTCTACATTTACATGTATGCGATAATTTATGAGTAGGAAATATCATTAAAACTAGTATCTCTCTGATGGAGAACAATATCGTTATATTAACCTGGTATAAAGTAAGTATATAGCTCCTGGTGTTCAATGTGAATATTCAACCACGGTATTATTTAATTAGCACCTGCAGTTCTCTTACATAGCTGGACGTTGCTAACAAATGGCAACATAAGATTGTAAGTAGGTCGAGAAGCTCCCACAACAAATTATTCAGAGCGAAAAACTAAGACATTACTTGACAATTTTAACACATAATGTTGTAAGTTATATTTCAATTTACAAATATGCATGCAAGCTGTAATAAGTAAATTCGATAATATCTCTAAACTTCAGAGTTATGAGCAATAGGATTAACTCCTAAGAATCTTCGAGGTCAAACTCCCACAACTCCTGTAACAAACCTAGATATAGTTATGCAAAATGAAATTTTTTAATTGATGATCCAATATTAGATAAGTGCAAGTCATAGAACTATTATAATACTAAAATGAATTTATAGTAGCAACAGTAGCTATTACCGTCGGCTTGCTTCCAATTCGGATCATTCTTTTGAAGGTTGAGTATCGTTGATGCTAAGCGCAGAAAGTTGTTATCGGTTCTAAAACAATTAATAAGGCCAGGAATCTGTAAACTAAGAAAGTGTAGAAGCCATAGCCCTTTACTAATTAAAGGAATATTGATCCTGACAACAAAGTGCAAATACGGTCTCAGTATATTTGTTTTATATCTCCCTGGTAATATAAGAGTAATCGTATAAAACTGTCGATCTTCTAAATTACATGCACGAATATAAAATACTTTACTTGTAGGGATTGGTAAAATTTTTCCCATCGGGTCCCAGTTCGGAATTAAGAAAATCAATTATATATCTATAAAACTATTAGATATCATGGACATCAATTATCATTGCAAATTTCAGAAAAAGTCTTTAGTGGTATATATTTTTAATCAATTAGAATATCAACATTACTTCGTCACAAATGAAATATCCTTCGCGTTCGGTTCGTAACTCTTGCACAAAAGCCTTATGTGTTGCTAGAGAAGAAATAAATGATAATACAGCTTTTTTGCATCTTTCAACGTTGCCAGATAGCATCGATCTCTCTTCGGAAAGGCATGAGCATAATCTATATAGGATAGTACAGTCTGAAATCACATGAAAAATGATTTTAGTATTATGGACTATTTGTGTATCTTTCCTAATAATACTCATACTTGACGGTTCGTAAAGTTTTAACAACAATTCCGACCGACGAAAGAAGCAATTCAGCAGACGCACTATTCCAATCACCCGTTCGTAAACGTTTGATTTTTCACAGTTTAAGTAACGATTTAAGACTCCAGTCGCGAATACTAAATTCATTCTATAAAATTCGAGGTATGTGAAAGAGAATTCAGTAGCATAATTATCATTATTATTAGTAAACACTAAGTAGTTCAACTACTTCGTAACGTATAAGATCAAGACAAAGCCATTAATCTTAGACCTCTTATAAAAATTTAACAGTTCTTACTTTTCCAAATTAGAGGATTCACAGTTTTGAGCTAAAGCGATCAGAAATTGCAGAGCATATTCTGCTATTTCAGAGTCCTACGAAGAACAGGATAGTAAGTATACAGTAGTATCCGGTCTAGTAACGGTTACAATACTTTCGATGTTATGACTACGATGTAAAGATCTCTTTGAATAACGTTTAAATATAACGAAGTAAACTTGACATAAAAGCTATATTTATCTTATCTTTCCGTTTATTACTGTAGTGAATATGTACACTATGGTCTCCTGAGCCAGAGAATTGATACCTATCAGACTATCACTATTAACTGATATCGTCACGAATGTACAAAACAGATAATGCGATTTCTTGGGATTATTCGGGTTATTTCTCATAACGAAAGTACAGTATTCGCTGTAGATCTACTTACCTTACAGCCAACCAGAAACACTGCTTTAGGAAAGATTTTGAAAGTAAATCCATCTTCTATTGAATTTGCAGTGACAAGATCTTTCTTAATTAGTCTATTCGCAAGATACGAATATACGAAAGGGATAGAAAATAAACCGAAATAAAAGGATTTTAACGTTCAGAACGTTAAGGTACTATTTTTAGTAAGGGATTAAAGCTCACTTGTAGCTATACGCATAAACTCACTCTTTATCATCAAACTTATCGTAGTCGGCAATGCAAAGTTTTCGTTTGATTAGAGACTAATAAAAGTACACAAAATAAAAAATAATGGCAAGTATGCTCTTTACACCTTTTAAGCAAATTTTAAACATAATGTCTTTAATTAAGTCCAATATACCTTTTGTTGCTCGAGAACCAAAGTCGATTCCGCCTCAGATTTTGTTAAAATAAATTTCACCATTGAGGACTTACATTGGGCTAGGATGGTCAAGATACCTAAGATGCAACGAAGATAGGGTATCCTAATCATAACTTTCTTAGCACCTAGTGACGTGTAGTTGAAACTAGTATCTTCATTGACAATTTCTTGGATTATTACTTCAACTGCTCTCAAAAATGATGAAATTCTCACTTGGTCGATGCTATTTCCATTGAAAGCTTTTAATTGCTTAGTAAACTCTTTTTGTATTGCTATCCAATGAAAATTTTTCTTGATGGTAAAAATTTCGGTAAATGAATCTAGAATTGTGTATAAGCTATTAATCGTTATATTCTTGCCGAGTGTCTTTCGTATATGCATCATTAATACTTTATAATGTAACAATTCGACACTAGAATTTCTATCTTGGACAGTATCAGATTTAACGACACTTCCAACAAGTTTTGATTCACACTTATTATTGCGTAAATCATCTTTGACTATTGGAATGTTCGGTAAATGCCACAAATTACAACGGTTGTGTTGATGAGCGGAAGTAAACTTAAAAAGTTGTAGTTTGTCAATATACTCATGCAGCTGTAACAACTCTCTATCTCTGAACGAAAGCTGTGTTTTTAAGTTAGTAATTTCTATTTGCAACACTTTTTCGCTTTGCGCATCGGCGCTCCGTTTGCTACTTTCCAGTTGTGCTAACTGCTCTCTTAAATTAATTTCTTTGCTCTGATATTGCAATAGACGATTTCTTAGCATCGTAATCTCGCCGCACTGTTTGATAATATGGTTTTGTAAATCGTCCGTTTTCTTATGCAACTCAGGTATCGCATTCTTACAATTTCCAGTAGACAAAGTTTTGAAATTTCTATTCTCTTCTTCTTTTACCTCATTTGACGTACAATCAGAAGGTACCGGGTAATTTAGCTTTTCAACATCAGTAAGTGCCTGCGAACAAAGTTCATCCGGCAATTCAAACAGGGCCTCTAAAGGGGAATTACTTTCGCAAGGCTTACTTGCTAGGGCGACTTTTTTTCTTAGACGATATTTGTCAGACCCAATGAATGTTTCGTAAGGCTTTTCCTCAGCAAGCATATCATCGGAATCGTAAAGAAACCTTTTTCTACCATTATTGTTCGTGCTCTTCATACTTACTGACTACCAGGCATAAAATTCATAGTGAATTATTAAAGGAAGAATAGCAACTACTGTACAGTACTAGAGTAATGCACTTATAGGCACTTTGCATTCCTCCGAAGCACGAAGTACTGTACTGTACTGTAAATACTCGTACTGTATAAACAGTAACGTACTGTACTGTACAGTACGGTACAGTCAGTACAGTACTACAGTACCAATGTCATGCATTTGACTAAATACTAGTGCAAACTCCCGTCGCTTTGCTGACGGTTTACGATAATGTGCTTATTTAACAGATAGTATTACCATTTGTCGTAGACCTGTCAGAGGTTCAGTAACTTTATACCGTGTACTGTACAGTAGATGAAAAGTACAGTACAGTACTGTAGTCCAATGACTGTACGTACAGTACACTATTTAATGTTTTGTGCCGAATATATGCGTCAATACACACAATTGACTATGAAGAAACTTTTTTCACACAGAGAGCGTAGAATGATTCGAAAATCATACCGGAAGGAACAGAAGTCAGAACACTGAATACAGTACAGTATGATGATGTGGTAGGCTTATAGCAAACCAGTGTACTGTACGATTATAATATACAGTACTGTACAGGTTTTCTTCTAGTGGCCCATTCTGCACGTAAAACTAACATCCATTCGTTTAGTAATAACTTGTACTGTAGAGCACAGCAGTATGATACATGTACAGTATGGGGATTTCATAGGATTTTTTTGCAGCAGTGTACTGTCAGTGTACTGTACAGTACACTTACAATAGACCACATCTCGTTAAAATATTGTGTCAAACGCTTTGTTATGACTTATGACAGTACGTACTTTAATATTCAGATGGTCGATCTTAAATTGACTGATTTTCTAAATTAAGTAATACTGTATTACGCTAAATCTTATTATCTGTTGCTAAGTTCCGCTTGGAGACAGTTATATAAGATCTATGTTATTAAAGTTAGTACCAGTGATTTAGAAAACAGACACGGAAGATCTATAATAATTAGGCACTTTTCGATATTTAACCTTAAGACCTAAAGACCTCATTTGGTGAGCAAAGTCCGTCTGTCTGATCAGACAGACAGGAGGTGATCATTCCAGGTCTTCTTCTAGTAGTCTGTACCTACTGTACTGTACTGTACAGTGTACAGTACAGTACATTGCGCTAGTTCATGTGCAGCACCGTGCCAACTTCACCGTCCATTTTATTTTATTTTTTTTTTTTATTTATACTGTACTGTATTTTATTTACTGTACTGTTGCCGTACAGTATTTCATTCTACTGTACTTTATTTATTCGATTTCTTTTACGGTTATTACCTACTGTAGAATGTTTTATAATTATAATTGGAATTAAAACCGCTACAGTACAGTGCGGCATTTGAAACCACATTTTAAAGCACAGGATAATCACATACGAGTATATGCGCACAGAGCAGTATATCATAGGCTAATTTGGCATGCTATACTTAGAAGACTATTTAGAACTGATAGAACAGCTTCCAAATGAATTTAAAAGTCGCTTTGCTAAAATCAGGGAGATGGATTTGCAGGTCCAAAACGATATAGATAGCCTAGATACGAAAGTGAAAGACTTCTTTCAAAATGGTCGTAAAGCCAAATCAGAGCGGAAACAATCTGATTATCTGGATATCAATGGGGTACGTTCGCTCGTGATGCAGTGCAGTGAACTGTTAGCACATATGTGGTAGTTCATATTTTTTAACTATTTTTGTAGCTTTTCTGCAATATAGCACTATACTGCTCTAAGCTGTACTTTTACAACATGCTGCAGTGATTAAGAATTTGGTATTGCACAGAAAACAGATGTAGATACGGGCACAAAAAGTGACATTGCTTATACCGTACACTACCCTATGATTCTGTCAGGACGAGAATTCGTGCGAAATCCTTAGCACTGTGGTACTGTATTCGACTGAGCAATTTTATCTAAATTTTCCTTTTTCTTTAGACCTATCTAAATACTATTGAGGTTGCCGATGAAAAAATCGTAATCGTACGAGAATTGCAGGAGCTCCTACAACGATATACAAAACGTCTTGTTCATGAACTGGAAAAATTTAAAATAGAGCTAGAAGCTGATAATCCTGGCATCACCGATCAACTAGAGAAACACTCTTTCGAATTCGATCATTGTTGTTCACCACATACTAATTCTACCATCGCTGATATGCGCTTCCATCAGGTATCTACAGCAGGCCAAAAAAGAAAGCGTGACACTGAGTCAACGATTTCAAAATATAATGGTATTTTAGGTATTAGTAGTAAAAACTCTCCTAGTATATCTAATATAGCGAAGCCAGCAAACGATATTTCAAATTTTTCTACTCTGCAATCTAAAGTTTATACTAAAGCGAGTTCACCCAGAGGATCGGTACCATACAAATTGAATAGCGTATCTGGATGCAATAATGCTGCTGTAGAAGCAGCAGCATTCCAAGCTCTTTCAACTACTAAGCAGATGCAACAAGGTATGAAATTGGGAATTAAAGCCAGCCTGTTAATTCAAAGTTGCAATAGTTTAGATCAAAAGGCAAAATCTACTCTACATAAAGGCAGTCAAGAATTAGCTGAGGATGGCTCAGTTGCCTCGAAAAGTCACGAATGTTTTCAAGTGTTGAACAAAGAGTCCACGAAGCAATTGGCGAAAAGAAAAGTACAGCAGAAATACGTAAGTTCAGTCGATAATGGGTATAATTCAGCAATAACATCAACTCCGCTGGCTGTTGATTCAACGCATAACACAGAAGTAAATGATGAAGTATCAGAAAGGCCTACAACATTAGAGATCTCAGAGTATGTTGTTGACCCGGATGAACCTCGTTATTGTATATGCAATCAAATTTCGTACGGTGAAATGGTTGGATGTGATAACGACGACTGTCCTATTGAATGGTTTCATTATGCATGTGTTGGTATATCTGAGCCTCCTAAAGGAAAATGGTATTGTCCACAGTGTACAGTTAGTATGAAACGACGTAGTGCTAGAAGTGGGCACAAATGACGAAATTTATGTATCTTGCTGTATGATATAATTAATAGGCAGCACTGTTTATTAGTTAATTGCTCGATAACATTAACGGAGCAAAATTTTACCTTACTACTAACGGTATTGCTGGTCGTAAACCCGAGCTAACGATTCATAATTTCCAATATAAGCTATGACTTGTACCTACCTTATTCCCTTAAATACTGTAGTTTTTATATATATTTATGAATTTAAAATTGGACAGTTATTATTCCAAATAAAGTTACTATATCATTATAATTAATTTAAAATCAACTATTTCTTTACATTCAAAGCGAAAAGCTTTCTTGTTTATAGAAGTGAAATCAAAATCTTTGTTGATTTGAAATGTAAAATTACATTTACTGGCCGTTAGAAAGATTATGTCTATTACAGTACACACGTATTAGACCTGGGAATTATTTGATAGAGTTCCAGTATGTTACTCCAGTTTACCGTGTAAACGTAATAGTTCTGAATCTAAGATTCTTGAAAATTATTTCTGCTTATGAGTGTGATAACGCGGGTAAAGTTGACGCACTTTGCTTGTATGTACGGTAATCACAGTACAGTATTAAGCTTTATGCATTCAAATAACATTGTTGTGTCGTTGCTGTTCGAATGCAGATTTACCGTATGTAGTAACTGATATGGCACAATTTCAATGCTTGCAGTTCTAAATTATTTGATAAAAAGGTATACACGAATTAGTATCTACTTTAATGTAAATATATATTCACTTACCGTCTTAGGCGTTATTTTGAGGAAAGAATTCTGTTAAATTTCAGAAATTAAATCAATTCAGTAGAAGTATTCTTTATTTTCATTCTATAATACTTTAATACATAGACGTTGTGAATGATTGATAATTCGACTAGGTTACTTTAACTTAATTTATATAAGGGAGGGAGATGCTCAAAACTTCAGGTTCACGTTTTGCTGCTAAAATTAAATTGGCTAAATGATTGAGAGTAGATAAACGTTTATTAGTTAACAGTTAAGTTTTAAGCCGACACAGAGATATGATCCAGCCTCGTAACCTATAGATAAGTGTAAATGTACGTCTACAATACAAGTATTTTATTCATTCGCAATATCCCACCTCACCCCAGATACACACACTCAATAAAATCCGGTAAGTTTTATGTACTTTCTCAGAGTTTCTCAAGTTGGGGCTCTGAAAGCTGTTGTGTACTAAAAGAGTGACAGCAGTACTCATACACGTTTTTTACTGCCGTACATGTTATACTGTAGTGCAGTACTATATAGAGTTGTAATGTAACTTAGTATTGTGATTGTAGACTGTTAGCCATGTTTAGTATAATGTACGGTAACGTAACTTCTATATTTGTCCTAAGAGATATTTGGTAGCCATAACTATAGACTGTAGTGGTATAGATTCTATGCCAGAGTATAGATGACTATATGCAGTAAGGTGTTGCTTTACTAATAAGGTTATAGGTAAAAATAGAACTGTAAATCATATATTAGTATATGGTTATTTCAGTGTACTTTGGCTGGTGTGAATAATGTCTACATAAATACTATAGTCGTATCCATATCGGATTAATGTTGGTCCGCAATAGAATAGTGTTACTAAGAATAATTTAACTATGTGTAAAATAAGGCAAAAGGTTGCCATGCGGATTGTAGCTGCGAATGCTAAGAAAAGTATAAAAACATGCAACCTTAGATTATTCTGTTAGTTCGTTCTAGAAGTCTTTAGTAGTAGTATTCGGCTAGAGTAGAGCTGTGTGTAGTTAATCTTTGTATAAGATTCAATAAAGCCCTTATTTTTCTAAAAATTTGGAATTTCGTAATTGGTATATATCACAAGAGTATCATAATTTATATACAGTGCGAAAATCGTATAGTTAAATTAACTAAAATATTATAACGAGAATGAGAATTTACTGTGTGTCTGTTAAGACTACCCAAAAGCAACATTTAAAATTTAATCAACCTATTATGTTATAGTGATCGGAATTGTAATAATCAGATTGAGTCATATGCATATTAAGTATACTCAGTACGAAGTGACAGCGATAATGTAAAGTAAAAAAGTGCAAGTACTGAGACTGTATACTGTACAGTACACGAAGTATAACGAGTGCGGTGGATCTAATAGTAATTTAGAATGACCAGCAGCATTAACATTTTGTACTGTATATTGTATCTCTTCTGATAAACGTGCAGTGCTTCGATGAACGGTACATGACTGGTGCAGTAACATGAGAACTATTAAAAGTAATTTACAACTAACGAATTTAAGGGAGAAATCAGCAATAATTATAGCTTTGAAGATGTACAAACACATGCAGAGAATAAGATTGTCGAATTAAATAAGACACACATCATAACAGTCTATGTAATTGCAAATGGTAAATGGTTGAGAGAAATGGCGAAGACTGTAAGTACTATATTTATAAATAACTTACCGTTAAGCATGCATCTAGTGCAAAGGAATGAAATGGTACTCTTTTATTTTATGAATATGATAGAATGACAATGCAGTTTTTATTAAAAAATTTCATTTTAGTACTAGCTATACCCGCACTACCGTACTTTGCTTTGAATCATATCATTAAATTTATGAAGCACTAAATGCGCTGCTATTTCTCAATCAAGCAATCATACCGTCTAATGAATATTTTACAATATATCTAATCACTAATAATTTATAATTAATGAAGTATAATCCTTCACGAATCTGCTCAAGGCGCCCGTTGATCTACTATAATCTATTCTGTTTAAGATTTCGCATAAAAGCAGCTTGGCAGAAACATTTAAAACCTAATTAACATGGCCTATTTATCTTAGGATATGGATACAGGCTAATACAATTTGTCTCATTAAAGTTAGCGCTTGCTAGATACAACCTAGATCGATATCCCGATCGTTGGATGGCCTTATTGAATGTAAAATAACGACGATCACCAATTGTCAGTATGTTAATAATTAAATGTTCTATTCACTACTATAGAGCACTTTCTTAGCTCTCATTGTACTTAATACTATAAATTTTTTGTTGAATGATTCAACTGTTGATTAGTTAATTTGCAGAAACTTTAAAGTAACCGTAATTAAGTGATAACAATATCCAACAACATAGAATTTCGTAATTCTAATACCATATAGCCTAGTAATTAAGATGTTTAACAGCTTTAATATATAAGAAACGAAACAACTTATTAGGATCGTTCGGAATACAACGTTTAATGGTAGTATTTTCTCTTTGGATTGACTCAAAAGTTTTGTAAATTCGCGGATTTGCGTTATAATTATTACGCAGTTAATGATTAAAAATTAAAAGCCACAGACTGACTTTAGCAATTGCTGAGCTAGCTGATAATTACAACATTAACAGTTGATTCGCTATAATAATTATAGCTACTCTGCTTAACTTCTCTTTGTGTATTGCATTTATGTGGCATAAACAAAGGTAATAATGACTATGTTTGCATTAACTGTAATCAAGATCACTGAATGCATATACTTTACCTTTAATAAATTGGACCAATACAATAATTTATTATCTTAATACCTTAAACAGATTCAGATTAAGACTCTTTAAAACGGTACAGTGGAGCTGGCTTAACAATGCAAGGCATTAAAATTAGAGCATAAAATAAACTTTAAAAGAATCGGCCTATACAAAAATATTATAAATCAAGCACTAGTAAAATCATTAGTAAATTAGAGACCCATTGTCTGTAATGAAGTTTCCACAAACTTCTTCTACGAATCAAACTATTAACGTGCATCAAATATATGGCTTTAAAAAGATCTTAATAAAATTATCGGTTATCAAATCAATAAAAAATTTTGCTTGCAAGATTAGACCTCAGTTTCACCAGAGATATTATCCTCAACTAATCTTAGCATGGTATCATAGCAAAATCTGTACTGTTCCTGGTGTAAGGAGTAAAAATTTCATTTAATGTCCAGGCACAAAATTTAAAAAATGAATTCTTACTTACAACGGTGGTGATCAGCGGACGTTGGCGCTGAATTAAAACACTGGCGTGATATATATCTAGGTAACCGTCATCGTCCAATTGATCCATGGCGTTCATTAAGACACAAAATATGCCAATACTTCCAGACACGTCACTAATCAAAATCGAAATGTGAAATGTACTCATATAGTTGCAAGAAATACGACATGATAGTAAAATGGTCGCTAGAAGGAACTAAATTTAGAATGCTAACCCATAAATTAAAGTAACTCTATCAGTATTGGTTTCGAGCTTCTTCCGCATCTCTCGCACATATCGTACCAAATGTAAAATTTCGTTTACATTTACGTTGGTCATGGATCCAGAAGCAAAGCTATAAAATCTTAAGTGTCGTATCGTTTTTCCAGTTCTCGGATTCTTTTATTGGTAAAAATATACAAAATTAAAGAGTGGCCCCTTTTCTGATTGAAAATTAATGGATGCACATACATTAACAAGAGATATCTTCAATATTTCTGTATGAAGTCCAGAAATAATCTCAAGGGAACTAAATTCAACTTCTATATTATCAAAGATAGCTGCATCTCCGCAAACCGACGGAATAAATTCAACAAATGTTCCAGCCTTCATGTGACATCAAATCAAAGAATGTTCCAAAATATGCAATGGACGATTTAAAGTGAAGTTTAAACGATTTATTTATTTTATAATACTCCAAGAATCAATACCTGGTCGCTGCTCACGAAATTGACGCTACTTCCTATAAAAGATATCAGTAACGAAACGTCATTTTCCCATACCATTCTCCAAAAATCGTTGACAGTGTCTTGCATTGGGCATGTTGTTACTATATATGTTCTAGGCCTATAATAACCCTATAAAACAGTGTCATTATATTTACAAATTATAAAATTCGTAGTGACCTCAGGAGCAAATACTTAACTAACATCGAGGTAGCTAGCATTAACATAGTCAGAACCATCTACTCCAGGTTTCTTTTGCAGTATCACTCGTGTTGTGTCGCCTACACATAATTGAAGAGTATTTAGCAATAGAGAGATTATACTGTGGGACTGGAGTAAATTGCGATCAGTAGATTCATCTTCATTCAACTACGAATGCCTAATCTGAACGATTGAGCATAAACAGTCCTTTCTTAGGTGCCTGTATTACAGCACGAGGCCTACTATTCTAGATCAGCAGCATTTTAATTACTTAAGGAAATATGTAGTACATAATCAGGTGGTCTCTCTGTAATTATGCTGTACTAGCTTAATTGTATATGAGTATTTCGATTGACAACATGGTTTTATAATACTAGAAACACGTAGTAAATAGTTCTTGGTAATTATAGGTGAAATAGAAAATAATGGAAATAGTGGATAATACTTGGCAAGTGGGCTAGTTCTTCAGACACATTCTTGTGGCGATTATATTTCCTTCTTGACTCATAGTAGTCAGCAGGATCTAATTCAATGTCTATCAAAGTCTAGAAAATGAAAGATTTTTAATGCAATAAAGGCAGCTGGAAGATACTAATAGATCTCACCTTAAATTCCTTGCTTAGATTGCTAGAGAATATCTCTTTATGAGATAGTTTCTCCTTAAAATTTCTATAATAAATGTCCGTGTGACCAAATAAGATATACTCCACCAAGGCATCATGAATAAATATATACTGGGACTACAGTAAAAGAAAAGTTTCATGGATATTTGATCTACAACCTATTTACCACAACAGCAACTGTAGCTTCAATTATTTAGCGTAATCGTATACTCATATACGTAAGAGTACCTCAGTTTGTACCATCATATTTCGTTGGCTTCTAATATCAGAAATGAATTTGTATATATTTATATCACAGCCATCGTCAATATGCTTCATCATAGTTTCAAGCACAATGTAAGTCCCAGTTCTACCGACACCAGCACTAATGGAATGTAAGTGTGAGGTATAAAGAAACGTTTAAAAATCAAAATATCTACACTTCATTTGATGAGATAGCATAGCAAAGTACCTGCAATGAACAACTATTGGGGCGGAGGCTAATACGTTAGCAGCTACCGACTTTTTAATAAATTTCATAATGCCATTAGTGTTGTTTGGAACACCGTGGTCAGGCCAGCACGTATAATGAAATTGCTTTACGGCATTAAACATCTTTGCTGTTCTTTCTACCTGTAAATTGCATTTCACAGTCGTGGATCAGCTATTCTAACTAACGAACAAATACAGGTAATCTACGCGATAACCAGGACTTAAGTAGTCCCGACAATAACTAAACTATGGTTTCACTTAGGTATTATATATAGAGAGATTCTAATTATGTACTTTCTTGACATTCATATGTCGAATTGTATACTCAGGATACGTCGTTTCTTTCGTAAGGGTTACAGAAATGGCACCAAACGTCTGATTTTTACCATTTTCGGGCCAATACCTCTCACATTTGCGCTATTAAAGGAAAACAACACTTACTTACTCCACAAGTTGAAACTGAACACTAACTAGCAATATTGAATCATACCCTCCCCTTCTCTACAATGTTAGTAATCATTACGATAACATTAACTCGTTGTTCCCAGATCATTCTCCAAAAATCACCCACTGTATTTGACAGTGGTCCTTGTGTTGCAATGATAGTCTTTACTTTGCCATTCGTCTATTACATGTAAGATAGTAAACGAATACATAAAAACCAAGACATGAATATCGAATATGACTCGATTTACCAAATATTTTCGTCAGTAGGGTTATTATACGTACTTTGATAAAGTTTGCATTAATGTATGTAGAACCCAAATCATCCGGGATAGGATTTAATTTAACCCTCGTATGATCATCTATACACGTATAAAAGATTTTTAATTGGAACTGTGGTAGGTATGTAGTTTACTAGGAAATGCCCTACTTACAGGCTATTACATTATCATAGCGATTTTTTGCCTTGTTGAGGAGATTTAGCGAATGGGTCCAAGTAATGTTCTTTGACATCGCACTGTAACTAATTGACTGAATATAGAACACGACTGAATCTCATATTTATTCTTAATTTTCGAAATCAACTACAGTTGACGCCTAACCTCAAATTCGTTATAGAAACCCAAATCTGTATTCTCATGTAAATTCGATACATGACGTATAAATTGGTCAATGGGTATGGGTTTTTCATATTCAGCTATATAAAAGTTTGCGTTAAACATAATATACAGTACTATGCAAAAAATAACTGTGAAATGCGTACCTTTTGCTCTAATTGATTGTAGATCATTTCCGATCCCTATGTCGAGAGATTCTCGCGAATTTGTTATTAGCAATTCCTTCGATGTTTTCTTCCTGAATATCATAGAGTCAAACGTTATGTCAAAACATGGAATTATCACATGATAACTAACAAACCTGTATAAGTGTAAGCTGAAAATCAACAACGATATCGCAATGAGAGCTGAAACTGAAACTGCGGTGTACATCAGAACAGCAATATCATTTCGATCTGCAATTCGCAAAACTGTAGAAAAATTGCTGATAGTATACCGATTCTGAAGAATAAATAAAGCAAATAAAAGAGAATTTTTCAATCGATAACAGAGAACGAATTGCTATAAAAAGACAAACTTTTACTAGATAAGATTTTGTTACTGTGGAATTACCTGCTTTACACCATCAATAACAGTAACTACATAAGCTACTACGAGAGCCGCATAATATTTCCCTTGTTCGATTTCTCCAGAAGATAAAAATTCACGAAAGGACTTTTGACTATCTGTCTGACATCCAAAATCGTTTTCTGACGAGTGAGTTGCTCTAACCATATTAATTTGTTTTTCGCCAATACTAAGCCCTATAAATGCAACATGTAATTGCTGACGAATTGATGATCTATTATCTCTATGATTAATGCTCGAGTATACTTCTTCCGGAGTATTCTGCTGTATATATTCATCCTTCTCATCCTTTAACTGAATCAGTACTACCTCATAACGGCTAAAAAATATTGCAAAATTTGCCTTACTCACACAAGTATTTACATTAGGGCCGCATAATAAATTTAACTTACTCAATCGTTCCATTAACTTCCGGAGCAGGAGAAAATTTAACCAACGCCTCGTAATTATATGGGTCGAGAACAGGCCTACATACGTAAGCGGGTGCTAAATTATACGTAATCAAGATAGTTACATTTTTACAACTTCTTCAAGTTATAATTCCTCAAATATAAGCTTTTCACCTAATTTAGATGTTCTGTTTTCGATATAACGGGAAAATTGTCCCTTCATTTCCGTTTTATTATCCAGTTTATTTACCGCAGAGACACTAATTCCATAGTTTCGAAATGGTAGTAGTCCAGAAATAATAAATGAGGATTGTGCACCATTTTCAGTTTTTACTTCCCTAACGTCGCCACTAAGAAAATGATCATCTAGTTCATCGCTCGAACCATCGTGGTTATGTTGATCGGTACTATGGTTGTTAAAGCTTTCATATCTTATAATATAGTAAGATAATTTTGGCTTAGCAATCCACTTGGCAGGCGTCCAAAGTACTTGAATCGACGAGGGCGATAATGTTATACTTTTCACAGATATCGGTGGGTACGGCGCTGTGCGAGATTAAGAGTTTAGCAACAATACACAATTAAGGAAAGAAATTCAAAATTGCAAGAACTTAAAATACTGTATGTATACATTCGTGTATTTAGCAATGAACCTATCTCAGGGGGATAATAATCCAGCGAAGCATTCAAACCATTATACATATTATTGTCTGCATAAGATCTGGCCCTTACTCGAATTATGTAAAGTTCACCTGGATCAATGTACTGATTTAAATTGAAATAATTTTGTTGAGTCCAATTACTGCTTTCACCCAAGTTGCTCTTATAAAAAACCTGAATCAGATGAAGGAGACAAATTTGTGAGCGCATATAAGCTATTTCCTACAAGATATTTGAAAGGTCTATGTTTTTCTTCTATGTAAATTAGACATAATTTTAAAATTTAACTGACTTCATAACCGCCGATTGATGCACCATAAGTTTCCCTTGGTTGCTTCCACGTTAAGTTCAGCATGTAAGGAATACTGTCAGAAGCTAACTTTGACACGTTGACGACTAGTACACGAAGCTGTGTAGGTTTGCTTGGACCTTAAAGAAATTTTAAATCGACGATTATAGTAACGTTAACGTTGATAGTATATTAGTACCCTCCATAACGTATATATTTGTTATTACCGTCATATTTTGTAGTTACTATCCGGGTGGAATTGCTGTAGGCACTCCATAGAATATTGTTAAAAATCCTGACTTTAAAAATGTAAGCAAAATTTGGAGAAAGACCAGTGACCACAGCTCTGACGCAATATTGCTCAGAAGCACAGTGATTTATAACATTGCCAATTTCATATAATGAAGAGTTGAATATTGCAACTTCATATTTTTCAATCCTAGAATTGCCCTTATTTTCAGGTAGTTCCCAATAAAGCGAGACTTGACGTTCTTGAATGTCCCTCACTTGAATGCGTACGGGTGCATCAGATTTATCTAAAAAACAAAGCAATTGACAAGACCATCAATCTTACTCAAATTTATCTATTAATGCATACTGTATAAGGGTGTGGCTTGAATAGTACTATCATAAATTAAGCATTAAGCATTAAGCATTTGCCGAGCAGACCTTGTAAGCGATATGTCCAGCTGGCTGGCAGAGACTGCTTTACATTAATGATAGTTCTATTGCTGTTTGAGGCGTCTTTTTCATATACTTCATATGAGACATAACATTCTAGGCGATTTTCGTCACTAGCTGTAATTCTTTCGATTGTTAGATGAACTCCATTTTGCACTAGTCTAACAGCATAACGATCGCCAGATATAGTTTTCCCTTCGTGAATATACGCCGATGCTATGTTAGTGAGTCCTTGGTACCAGTCAACCCTAGTTACATTCGTGAAGGCTTCGAATTCGCATATGAAAGTAGGTGACATAGCCACGATAACCTCTCTTGGACCCCTAATGAAGGGCCTCATAACTAGTAAATTAGCAATTTTACAATGTTATAAACATTAAAATTATTGATATTAGTAATAACCGAAGTTGCAATTACAGTTAAAATCCCGCACATTTGTACAGTAGCTACGATGTACGCATATAATAAGTGCAGCACTTAGCATCAATACTTTCAAAGCTTATGTTGTATTTTATTACATACTCCATGATATTGGTAGTACTGTAAGTCCAATTGTGAATCGTATTATTACTCTGAGAGTGATTAGGGTACTATATCAAGAATTACATCATTCAGTATCAATATTTTCGAAGTTTATACTCCACTATATTACATACTCGAGGTCTGTAGGTCCATTGTTTAGTCTGAGAGTAATTACGGTATCATAGCATAGAATCGAATAATATTCAGAATCCTGTACCGTCAGAGTCGGTATACTGCCCTTACGATAGGGTAACAGTGAGGGTATTATTAGAGCTTTACCTTTAGTACGGTAGTTCTTGGTGCTTGTTACGAATCGTTGAAACGCATACAACAATTCAACAAATATAATTTTTGCGTGTGAAGCGCTCGGTAGAACCAGCTAAATGTCGTGCCCCATTTAATACAGTACTGTACAGTGTGCAATCGTATTGTTACCGTGGTATGACAGTAAAGTAACTCTTCAAATTCGGGATTTTCATAAGATTCATAAGATTAAGATTGCTGGAAGTGATAGCAGTACTAACTGCATGATGGTAGATTTGTAGTATACAGTATATGTTATATATTCCATGATCATAACTCTAATCAATCCCACTATTTCACGCAGATACACAGAATGGTACAGAACAGTCGTCGATCCAAGCATCAAACTTGCGAAATTTTTCAAACAATTTGTATAAACATTGTTAATAAACATACGTACTTTAATACCAATTCCATTTCACTGGTGTTCACTTTTATTACAGTAACCGTAATTACAATCCAGTACAATTATTAAATGAGTTGCTTTAAAAGAACTAAACTATGTCATAATTTGTATCGATGATTTGTATGTTACAAATAAGATAGGGGATATTAATTAATTTTACTTTATTTGATAATTTTTATATTCTTTATTTGTAATACTATCTCGTATAGCACTAGTGTACGAGTATACCGTCTAATGTAGTGCATTCACGGTACAGTACTTACCACTAGAGGCGTAAGCTTCAAATACCAATGTCGTACAAATGATTAGAGAAATAGAAATTCTATAGATAATTCGGTTGAGATCGTTATTCATCTTCTTGATATCATTAACGTATAGTAGTTACGATAAGAGCAGGCGAGGTATCCGCTATATCCGCTATAGTACAGTATCAACCAGACAAGGAAGGCACTTGATGCCTACTGGCTATTCCAGAGTGGCGAAATTAAATGGCATGATGGGTACCCTGAAAATATAAATTACGATTTGTACGTATTACATTAGATGAAACTCTTTTTAAGTTAATCGCATCCGCAGTACCAGAAGCCAAACGAATTCAAATAACAGTAAAGCTGAAGAAGGTTGTAGTTTATCAAACTACCCTGGATATACTGTACAGTATGGGTGTCAAAATCAAGAATGGATTAACCGTAAAATTAAAATTAACTGGAAAATTATTAAATTATTATTACTGCAGTGTGAATCTTTGATCAGTCAGGAGATTCAGAAATTGTAGTACTGTACTGTACTGTACAGTACTGTACTGTACTACGGTAAATATTCTACTGTACTGTACTGTACAGTACTGTACAGTCTACCCTACTATAATGTACTGTACTGTACTGTACATCACCGTAGACGCTACAGCGTAGAAGCATACTGTACACTGTACAGTACAGCACGATACAGTAGTGGTCCACTACCACTCTACAGTACAGTACAGTTACTGTGTTCCGCGCTTTAAAAATGATGTACTGTACTGTACTGTACCATGTCCTGTCGCATCGATAATGATTTTAACGGTGTACGGTACTGTACTGTACTGTGCTGTACTGTACTGTACAGTTGATAGTACTGTACTCATATTTAGTTTTTAGTTTAGTTTTTATTCATTTTACAGTAATTCTGAATGTAAGTCGTTCCTTTATTTTGTTCATTTTGGACGATGTCGTACTGCAGAAAAGAAGGTATTTCACACTGATTTCTTTTCTTCTTAGAAATTATCTTGACAAGTAGCTTTTATGAATGAAATCTAAATCATGGCTATGTTTATACTGCGTTTTAATGTAAACTTTTACGGTTTTACGAGTAGTAATCTGAATCACCATTTGCAGTTAGCAAGCGCGTGCACACCTGCTGCTGTTCAGTCCAGCGTCTGTGCAGACCACTGCTGCAATATTTAGGGCAGTTACATTGAATCAATTTGCTTTAGATAGCATCTACGTGATTAAGTTCTCTTACTTTAAATTAAATTAAATTATAATTCAACTCTTAGAATTATACCATTACCTTTCTTACCTGTATAATAACTTAATTATGCATTTTTGGCTGACCACATCAATGCGGCGCAGTACAGTACGCATATTAATGATACGGTACTCGTATTTTACAGTGTGTATACCAGTATAAAAGTAATAATATTCTAAACATTATATTTATGTACGCATAAAAGTACGGTTTGCAACTTATTGGATATAATTCTTACAGTGTCCCTCTTATAAATATATAATTATGATTAATTAATAATAGCATTACTTAGAATTTACTAAAGGCTTATGCCAATTTGATAGTCATAAAAATCAAAAGCGAATGAAATTATGTACATTGTAGCAAATACACGCGTATTGGAGCATGCTTGTCTTAATGGTAACAACGTATTATTTATTAATATGACTTTAGTTCTGTGACTAAGTCCTCGGTATTGAAGTATCGTTTATTCTATTTACATACTTTGCTTTAAGAGAAAGACTATATAATATTTACTACTACTGAGGAGCTAACGTCACCCAGCCAAATAGAGAAAGTTTCTCCTGATACTGAAGATATTGATGGAATTATTACGCCAGAAGGTGACATCAATTGGGATTGTCCATGCCTAAATGGAATGGCTGATGGTCCATGTGCTGAAACATTCAAGAGTGCTTTTACATGTTTCTTCTACAGTGAAGCAGATCCAAAGGGATCAGATTGTATTGAACAGTTCAAATTGTTTAGCCAATGCACCATAGAATCTTCAGATTCAAGCAACTTGGAACACAATAAAGCTAATGATGATGTTAAGTAATGCCACAACAGTTGTGAAATGTCTTGCTGGCTAATAAAGATACCGCATAATATAATGTAAAATAATTATACGAATTACAGCTCTCATAGTATCGATAGTCCAGTATGCGTAAAATAGAGAGCTAAAGGTAGCATAAAATGTTACTCTTTATATAATCTTGGTATAATCTTATTTGTTAAGCGGCTGAATTCCAAAGGTAGAAATTAATACGTAAGCCATCGGATCATGTACGTCATTTAATTGCAGAAAATTGGGAGCAACTTCACCAGAGGAGCATATTCTAGAAACATTTCGTCTATGCACAGATTCTATTTTTAATAGTGGTATAGTGTACTGTTGTTTGAATATTTTACATGCTGAAACTTTGCTAAATTCGCTTGTACACTTTTAAATATAATCAATTTATTGTACTGCTCCTCCCTACAACATACAATAATATCTCACTTAGCGCGGCATTTACAAAATAAGAATGATAGCCTAGCCGGCGATTATCTTTCCGAGATATTAGAGTATGTACAGTACTATATATAAATTGCTGAACTTATTCGAGAATGTTACTAAACTAAAGTTACTCGCCGATTTATATAGATTGCAGTAATTTCAGCACAAAGAATATTATTTAGCATTTGCTGTCACTTGTGTGTTACTAAACTTTCTTACAATAGCCTTTAGTGTGTTGAGAACTATGAATAATTTATTTTATGATTGAGTTAAATAATCGCTTTGTTACATCTGTATGTAACAGCTTTTTATTTACTGTAAATTTTCTCGTTACGATCTTGAATGTAGAGAAACTAGATATCGTATAGCTATTACAGTAAAGTCGGCGGAAATCTCACTGCTGTTAATACTAAAGTGATGGTATAATCAAATCAGAATATGCCTCCGAATAAGGTTCTGCACAGCATTTACATCAAAACTAGATTGCAGTAGGCAGAAATCGTAATTACTGTACCATAATACATTTTTTCAACTTACTTCATGTACGTTATATGAGAAATTACAGTATAATGTAGTAATAAATGACAGTTTATTAATTTGATTTAAAAAGGTCCAGCTTTGAAGTTAAAATCTAAGAAGCAAGCATTTAGATAACGCCTCACACTCAGAGCTAAAATTTATGGTCTTATCAGTTTTATACTGTATGATCCACCGATATCCTCATAGAATTGTAGAACCTGAGAATTAATAATAAAATTTATTGTAGTATTTGATATACTATACGATTCTGTGCACGGTATTGAGCATTCAAATTATGATTAGTAGTTTCTCTGTGTCAGTTGCATCATGAAAGAGCCTCTTCTTAGCTAGCCATGTATTCATTGTATGCATATTAAATTTTCACAACCCAAAAGTCTAATAGCCTACTATTACTACCATACAGCTACTATTGTACAATATTCCCATCACAGCGGATACGGTAATCGGCACTTTTCCTGAATATAAGTACATATGTATTAACAAAATTCTGTTTAAGAAAGCTATAAATCTTTTCAAATTGTTAACTTCTAAATGAATTTATTAACTGCGCTCAATACGGTATTTAATCTTAAATTAACCGCTGTGCTTGCAATAGAAGCATTTTCATAACTGTTGTGTTATAATACTGCACGTTTGCAATAGGCATATTGTCTCCATAGTACTCTACAGTATATTGCGTCTATCAGTACGTTGTAACCGGCGCACTACTGCGATCGCAAACTATACAGTATTACTGACTGTAATTGATCAGCTGGGTAACAGATTTAGGGATAGGATATATGATAAAGTAATTCTTTAGCACTAAGAATGCATAACATACAGAGCTCCGGTACCTTCTTAATTAGATACTGTAGTTCCTTAACATATATGCTAAATCGTAATTTTTATATTTTAAAACTGCTATTGCCTCAAGTGAAAGTATAAGCTACTAAAGCAATCTTGATAATCATAATTTTTATACCACAGAATATAGATAAACCGAATAATGCTGTAATACGGTGTACATCATGTTATCAATTTCCCTTCTAGAAAAAGGCAGATATCCGAGATGCTAAAAGTATGTATTTTACATATCGTAAATGTGTCTTTGTCATTTGAGGTATCAAAGTATACAGTACTACGGATGCCTTGACCTTGTGCAAGTGTTGAAGTGCATCCTAGCCAGTTGCGCTCCAGAGAAGCACAGTAAATACGCACGTAGAACAACTTCAGTCAATTAAAAGACAATCAGAAAATGAATCTACGAGATAAACATTATACAATGAATATATTTGTGTAACAGAGCATATCTGAAATTAATCCAACGTTTACGTGCTTCATGCCTTGATGTTAATTTGCCTTATTAAACGAATTATACAGTTATGATGTATTGTTTATTATATGAAACTGTCCTCTCAAATTTCAGGATTTAGTCACTTGTAAAAAGATTTTTGGCTAAACTTTCGTAATATTAGCAAGGACAACTAATATCATCTTTTTTAGTATGTATATAATTTTCTACAAACGATATCGGTAAATAGAAGAGGTCCATTTAAACATGTACATTATAACGGTTAACCTTATTTCCATAATAAGAAAACTATGCTTAAAATCGTGTTGGAGAAAATCCAATAATTATTAGCCGCATAAAAATAGTACGTCATCAAAGTTTCCTGTTACTACTTAAGTTATCCTGTAATAACTTAAATTAATACTACAGTACGCAGTAATACTGTAGGTTGTAATACCACTTTCAGAATACCGCAACATATACGAGTAAATGGTTATTGGAATGCAGTAGAACAATGTGGTATTCCAAGTTTTCTTTACATGATCTTACTACGCGTTGATAGAATGTTCATCGGTCACGTCACTTTTCACAATTCGTCTTGCACTATCTGCGTCTGTCATCTCCAATTTCATTTCGGAATGCTTAACGTAAGTATATGCAGCTGAACCACCTAATACTAACATGTTACTAAACCACCACAACGTAGTTTTTATATCGCCAGTTACAGAAACAGCAATAACTGTCTGAACACAGGCCTTTGCGGTGCCACTTATATTATGAGTTAGAGGGCTCGTAATCTTGATTTGTAAACCGGAAATGAAACCTATAGCGACTCCAAAAAGACCACTGATAATTAGAATAAACCAGAAGTATACCGATCCTATTTTTGAGAATCTAAACAGCGTGGCCAATTCATTATTAAGTAATAGCAGAGGAATAAATATTACTGAAGCATTTAAATTATTATACAAAGTTAAACGCCATAAGTTTCCGTCAACATGTGGAAGGACTTTCTTGGTATATATTGCATTAAGAGATACACATAAACTAGCCAGCACGCCAAAAAATACCCCCAAGAAAAGGTTACTAGTAGTTTTTGACCCTTCCTCTTGCTCGACACCCACAATAAAGCCAATAACGATCATCAAGCAAGCCAAAATGGCATATAAAGACGTCTTTTGCTTTAGGATAATGTAAGTTAATACCTAGAAATAAGTATAAAAGGAATTCTTAGGCGACTAGATCTTAAAAAATGAACTGCAATACTAAAAGTTTCGTATGGTCTGAAAAAGTGATGAGCTACGATAAACCATTTTATGACTGCTGATAAAGGGATTTAGACATCTTACAACATTGAACACGGTTGTTAGGGATCTTCCAACATTATAAAACGCTACGCCAACGTACTTCAGGCACAAATTATTGAACATTATCATTCCGACAAAAACGGTTGATAAGGGAAGAACCTAAATAGTACCCATAAGGTTATACTAATTAGTTAACTATTACAAGTTACACTTCATGTCCGACTAGACAAGTATAATCTCAATTAACTAATCTCCAACGCTTAACGAAACGATGCATATGTAAATGATTTTTTCTCCGATTGCGTAATTGCATCTAATTTCATTATAACCTTCACATAGCGTGTTGTATACTACGCTACAGTTATTTTTTATGTCGCTTACTTCTCTCGCAATTTTGACATCGATCTCAAAGGCAGGAAACTCTTCAATTCCGCGAAATTTATTTCCAATCAAGCCAAGACCAAAGCAAATCATTACAGCGACAATACATTGGAACCATGTTACAAAAATAGGAGCGTTTAACTGAAACCGTAGGATTAATCCAAAGTTAACAATACATCGATTTTGAAAAAAAAAGTATAAATAGAATAATATTGACAGCCTTTGTTATCGATTACAACTATCACATCGCAGTATAGAAATCCTCTAAAATACACCACCCACATTTTCATTAAATGCTATGAATTTAACAGTATATGAGTAGCCAGTAAATATTTGAGAGAATGAAAGTAAAAGATAGGCCTAATACAACCTAACAGCCTAATTATTTATTACTCCAAGGTCTTTCACATAATTGAACGTACGATAGTTAAATTGGATTAAATCAATTAACCAACAATCTTCACGCAACGTATATTAAAAGACTGCATCAAGCAAGGCTAAGTCCGGTCAGCATCAAAAGCTGTACAATTTAGCTCTGAAGTACAGTACAGCAAATTAGAAATATGAGGAAAACAGCCTTTAAAAAATCGTGACTCTTTATTTTTATGATTACATTTACAGTGCAATACACTAACCAATCACGGATACTAAATTCTGTGAGTTCATTTACATGAATCTATAATTTCGTCATCGGTATACTCACTAACAACTGTTATCGGTACTGCAATTCACGATGTGCATCCAACTATATATATCTACAGATGCAGATTGATGCACTCATTTGCTGCAATACGAACTTCACAGTATTACTACTATCATGCAGTGCTTTTCCAGTGTATTACTGTTAAATTAACATTGAAAGAATAAATGATTGGCCAATATTTATCAGAAAGCCATAGGTATTGTACAAGGACATCATACACTCAATTTAAGTTACAGCCGTGTTCTCTGTTAGAGTTGCGGCAACATCGGGACGTGAGCAACCTGAATGCAGTAAGTTGCAAACAGGTTGAGTTCATAACAAGTGCAGCATTTTATAAGAAAATATAGGAATAAAACGATTATGATAAAAGACTAGAGGGCAAAATTTCGACTTTACTGCTACTATGGCCATACTGTATAGAGCAAGTCATATATCCTTACAACACTAGATAAGATGTGAGGCTATACTGTACTGAACTGTACTCCTAAATTAGTCCTAATCAACTGACTAGACCGTAAATATTCTTTTAGTTTCGTGAACTAGTGTTAAGTATTTAATCGCTGCATACTAAACAAGTAAGCAAAGTATCACGAGCAGGGTAGAGATATTCGACTAAACTGATACAACATTCTAAATTTTTTACTGAAGTCAGTAAACAAATAAGCGAAGTCTTACGAATATTTCTGTACAACTTGTATATTAAGTTAAGATTTCTAAGTACAGTACTGTACATCGTGACATACTATATTGCAATATACTGTGCTAACATATATGCAATCTTGGCAAGAGGTTATAATAAATAATGTACTACGACAGTTGAGAGTAAGCAGCGACCACAGAGGTAATACAAGAAAAAGTACTCTTTTACCTCTATGGCAGCAACCGCTGTCAATAATCCGATTAGCTACATATTGTACATGATAAATTATATCAGGTGCTAGAGTAAAACCAAAAAGATCAGCCAATGCGCCTTCAAGAAAAGTACGGTCAGTAGAATTTTAAGATATATGATTATACGAGATACCTTGAGATCGTTGCTGCTTAATAAATATTTGTTGACAAATACCATAGAAATTGAAATAAACCTGCAAATCAGTAAAAAGTAGCAATATTAAAATCATTAGACATGCTTGGGATCAGGGCTGTAAATTCATAACGAAAATTTAGGTTGAAATTTTAATTCATCTAGTTAATGGCAAATGCTAATGGCACAATACAAATATCCATTAATTAATTAAATTATTACTGTATCCAGCGCATGTATATATAGTACCAACAAACACAGTGAACGGCGTCGCCCTCAGCTCAAATAAGAAATCTTCAAATCTCAGGAGTAATAAATAAATACTATTGCAATACTAATGAAATGTAACTAATGATTATACCAGCATACGCGTATATACGTATAGTGCAGTACAGTACACGCTTTTTCGTTCTTAAAATACCCCCCAAATCGGTTTTAATGCGTAGTATCTAGTCTGCACACATTTGTATAACTTCAATTTCATCTTAAGTTAGTGCAATCAATCTGTTAATTTTGGAGACTACAACAGACTAACACTTCAAAGGTACGCTATCGGAAGCTCAGTAAAAATCCGCTAGAAAAGTATCAAGAATAAATTCTCAATATTACTTATTTTATTATTCTTATTAATTATACTATGTTAGTAGAGGTTTACCAGTAGGCGGATACAACAGTGGCTATTTTAAGAGACCTAGAGCGCAAACTTTCAGACATCTTGGTTTCATACGAGCGGTAGCTTGTTCTTTAATACAATATAAAATAACTAAATTCAACAACTGCACCTCTGTATCAACTATCCAAAAAGAAAGGAGTGCACGGTCAGTGGCAGAGACTTCGAAAAAACTTCATAAAGTTTACTACAGTACAGTACTGTATACCGAACTGTACTGTAATGTACAGTACGGTACTGTACTCGATTGTCACACTCTTGACATTGAGGTACTGTACCGTACTGTACAGTACAGGACAATACTCTCTAATAAGGGTCTCTACTGTACACTGTACAGTACAGTACAGTACCGTGCACATTGCCGGCGGATCGTGTTTACTGTGCAATAGTGCGTATTTTCGTTCGATGCCATACTAAATGCTTAGCACGCTCCTGGATTTAAAGCACATAACTAGACAACGTAATGAGCTTGAGCCAGTACGACGATTTACATTGGATTCTCGATTCAATACGAGCATTCGGAGCTTATAGAATGCTCGGTACTGAAGAAGAAAATGCTTCACTTATTTATATGTACAGTATACAGTATAACCATGCATAAACTCTGCCTACTGCTGCCGTGTCGTCGAAATTAGTCTAAACCTAAAATCTAAAAAAATAAATAAATAAAACACTCCAAAAATAAAATTTAATACTACTGTACTGTACAGTACAGTATGTGCAATTGTACGTACAGTATGTACTCTACAGTACTAGTGTCGGGAAGCTGTACTGTACCGTGTGCGGCAGTCTGTGACGATGACTTAAAGCAGTTAAAGGTACAGTACTGTACAAGTGTACATACAGTATACTGTACTGTACTGTATAGTCAGAGGCTACTCGAGCGAGTAGTAGTCTCTGGTATAGTCTACCATACAGTACTGTAGATGCGCTGATCTCATAAACGTGTACAGTACTGTACAGTAGTGTACTTTACATTGTACTGTACTGTACAGTACAGTGTACTCTACCTTACCACAGTACTGTACTGTATGTACTACTGCATTGTTCAGTACTGTAACGACTTGTCGCTTCGAGCAGAGTGAGTACTGTACAGTACAGTACAGTACAGTACAGTGTTGTGCAGTGGAGTAAAAAATGAACCCGAACACGATACAACCCGAGCAAATTGTTGATTTTCTAACCCGAAATAAGTGCAATCGCTACACAAACACTGTATCACCACAGAAATTTTTAACCCGAATCCAGCCTTCGAGTCGGGTTTTGGGTTGACTTTGTACATCCCTGGTACTAATAGAGTGGTAGTACGTACGTAAACTGTACAGTACAGTGCTGTACACTGAGTGGTAATGTACAGTTACAGTACGTCAATAACATACATAAGAAACCACTAGTGCACATTTATGGCTCATAGCTTTACAGTACTGTACTATAATTTGGGTTCTCACCGCGGATCGGACTTAAAATGATTAAGAATAAAAAGTAATTGCAACCTCGTTATTTATAAACAATACAACCTGACCCTTTTTCAGTAACATACGCAAAAGAGGTCAACTAATTATAGATATACACTATGTATAAACAATAATAAAGTTAATCTACAAAATTTTACTTTTTATCTTTTCGCTGCCTTCCTGTCTGCTTCCTAGTAGGCGACGAATAAATTTGCGATTAAAAAGTAGGATAAAAAAATATGCCATACTATATTAGACTATCTACAGTAAAACAAGTGAAATTCTATCCATAGCACATAAAATACAGCTGATATAGATAAAATTTTATATCCGCAATCCTTTATTATTGGAAGCTTTTTCAAGTCTTAAATGCCAAAAAAAACTTTGTGACGTTAACTAATCGTAAATAAGGTCTGAAAAATTTATAGATTTTACTATCTGGCGTTGAAAGTAAATGATCAACAGTTGAAATTTAATAGCCTTTGCAATCGAATAAATCACCTAGATTAATATAAATAAACCTACATAAAGATATTACATGTTACAGCAATCCTTAGTTCCATTTATAGTAATGAAGATCGACGCTTAACAAGCATTGTAATTTTTAATCGATATAGGTTTCAAAAGTGGCTGATAAATATTGAACATTAAATATCAATGCTGTGTTGAAATTTATATATATACAGTATAGTATAATAATTAAAATTCTTTTTATTACGCTTGTTATCAAGGCGTTGCTAATTCATTCAGGCAATGTACTTAAATATTATCAGAATGGGATAATGATTAATTATCGATCTCCAGTCGATCTAATTTTATATAATTTTTATCAGTAGATGCGCACGTTACAAGTATAAAAGATTAAAACTAGTAAGTTGTGATTTCATATTCATAGTCATACGACGATGTATACAAAGTTTAGTCTAAGATCACTGATAATATTACGGCAATCCTTTACTCTGGTTTTTATCCGGCTTAGACCACATGGCTCCCTTTTAAAATAGTAATTCAATCTATTCCGAATTGACAAAATCTAATGAAAATTCAGAATCTAAATAATTATAATTATTACTATGCCACATAATTTTCGCGCATTACATTAGAGATGTGCTGTGATACCTGTGATACTGTACAAGCGAACAGTTAATTCGTAAGCTTAACAAATCATGTTTTTGTAATGTCTACAGTCATGGAAAGCGTTTGAGAGCAATACTAAATATGCACCAATGTTCCTTTCCCTCACTTATGGGATTGGCCAGTTAAGGCACGGACTAGTTAAAAATTCGATTTACACAAAATAACATAATACGCGCTTTTAACCAAATCTGAATAATAAGTCAATTCTTCTCCAGCGCATTAAGACGTTAAGTTAACTCTTTTCGAAAGTTTAATGCCCGTTGCATAGAATAAAGGTCCCTTGAATAATTATAATCAAGTCATATTTTGAAAGTCTCATACTAACATTAAGGCTTAGGATTCTTATCCTATCGTTAACTTTTATTCAAGTATTTTAGAGAAGTATTTTTAAAGAGAAAATGCACATCTTTGTTACGTAAAAACAAAGCCATTTAAATAAAGTGTACAGCATTTGAAAGTAGTTAAACTGATGCTGTTAAGAATTTATTCTTTACCCCGTTTCAGGTGTAAGATCAAGTCAATCAGGAACGTATTGTACAAATTTACAAATGAGGATAATTGTAATATATACCGTACCTCTAGAGTACTGCCTGTGATATCAGAGGACATAGTAGTGATTACGATCTAAAAATTAAAATGGAAATGGCAAATCAAATTCTTAATATATATCGTTTGTTAAATTAAAACTATGAAAATGAGTTTACGAATAAATCTGAACAAAAATCGTTCATTTTCTTATAAGGAAGTCCTTATAATTTTATGTATGATGTAGTTTATTATTTACTTAAATATCCATGGATCAACTGGTTTTGCGACAGAGTAAGTCGCTTATTGTAATTATCCCTACCCTATCTATGTAATTTATCCAGCTTATTTACAAATAATCTCAAATATATGGAGAGTTTAATGGATTAATTAAATAATACTCCTCGGAAGATAGCGGTCATTTACGTCCATGTTGTACAACATAATAGAACTTTGTAGTGCCTTATGCGTAAACAATGAAACTATCAATCACTGACATTATCGCTTTGTAATTTGTAATTACTTGTTAAATTATCCAATCATCACATTTGAAAAAATAAATGATGCCATAAGTAAATTCTGGTTGGTCGTTGTCCTCTACGCCATAATGGAGGTGGGCGTTAACGTTATCCTTTAGAAATCTCCGACGCGATTCTAAAAGATCCTTACGGTAGTTACCGATCATGTATTTTTTTATCATAAATCGTACCGAAACTTTCCATTATATTTCAAAGTCCTAATCCATACTTGAATTACTAAAAAGTTGAAAATAACTATCTACACCGTGAAATTTGGTTAATAGAACTTGTTCAGTTGTTTTTTTTACAGTTCGTTTAGCATCAACGATATTGATCTCTAGGTCTGAAAGTGATAAATTAAAATAAAAAAGCAAAAAATAAATGTAAAATACAGCTTTCTCCTAATAAAGTATGTCAGCAACTGAGGAAAAACAATGTCTTTAAAAACATTTTCATCTACTAATTTGGCATTTACTTGCTTCATCGCCCTCTTCACTTTGGTATTCTTAACTAAGGCTTGTCCTGTGAGTAACTGCACTTGTACGATCTCTGTAATAGATTGCAGAAATCTTAAACTATTGAAAATACCGGATGGCATTCCAAATACTACTGTTGTGTTGTAAGTAACCATGTTTTTAAAAAGTAGAGATGTAATCTTGATTCGAGATAGTAATTCTATTTTCAAAAATGAGAAGAAAACTACTGATGACTAGCTAAAGAAAAAAGTGTCTGAATTAATCTATACAGTAAGATGATGCGAGCTTCTGATATTATTCAAATCGCTTCCAAGAACCTTGTGAATACAGAACTTTGAAATTTCGGATAGTATAGAAGAGTTATGTCAGTTCAAATATGTTTATAAACCAAATCGAATATTTATTTTCGCATATAATTTCGTTTTTCTACGCAAATGTATTACCTATTGAACCAAAAAACCCAAACCAGGCGCTAGACTTAGATTCTCTATCCAAATTCAGGCAGTTTAAACGGAAATTAAAATGTTCTTGTTAAAAAAATGTTCGAAGTAATTTTGCACTTTCTCTTGAAGAATGTTATCAGGAAATGAAATAGACACCCTGCCAAGTAGTGCATTCTTCGGTTTAAAGTCATTAAGAACTTTGTAAGTTTAGATTAATTAGATCAGTTACAGTATATTTCAAAAATAATTGGCTTATTTGTAACTTAATGAAGAGGGCGAAATAATCGATAAAAATATTTAATGCTAGACTCTTAGCAAACAACAAGATCGCACATATCGACAATTTGGCGTTCGAAGGCTTAAAAAACTTACGGAAACTGTACGTTAAAGTTTTTAACTATTCGTTTATGACAGACTCTTCCATTACAATCAATAATTTACTTACAGGGAATTGCAAGGGAACAAATTAACAAGCTTACCTTTTCAAGTCTTCGATGATGTAACATCTTTAGAAGATTTGTGAGTCTTCTTAACAAAAGTTTAATTTGTTATTGATCGATTCCATAATTAAAACTTACTTCGTTAAAATATTCACACATTTAATAGAAACATAGGGAATAATCGAATTCAGAAGCTTATGACCGGAAACTTTTACAAACTAAGAAAGCTGATTAATCTGTTAGACTACGATTATTGTTCTAGAAATTATCTGCAAGAAATTGTCTAAAATTGTAAAACTAACTATTACTTAACTTTCTGCAGTACCTTGAGTAATAATCGGTTGGAAACGTTTTCTAAGAATTACCTATTTAATTTGAATTCAATATTAAACCTGTACGTAAACGAATTTACCCGTATATATTTTACCCTGAGCTGGACTAGAACTAATTTTATTTATTACATAGGGATTTAAAATTAAACAAAATCGCTTCCATTGATGACTACTGCTTTCAAAATTGTAAATCGATAAGCCAAATGTAGGTCTAGAAAAACGACTAATATCAAATCAATGAAGGACCTTAAAAATTTTATTCGTAAATTTAGTGATTTAAGCGGGAATTATCTAAGTGCGATAAATGAAAATATGTTAAATGCTAAAAGTGGCTTTATATCCCTGAAAATTTTGTAAGTTTTCTTAGTTACATCAATAATAAGACTAATTTAGAATATGTGTTATCAAGTTTTTAATTGTAAATGTTTCTTGGAAAAAGAAATTTAAGAAATAATACAATTGGTACTATCCATAAACATGCTTTCAATAAGTTGTCAAAGCTGAAATATTTGTAAGTCACGCGTTTGCTCGTAAATCATAAATTCTTTATTTTAATTGTTATTCGATGACTGTTTCTGACTAATCCAAAATTTTTATTATCTAACCTTAATTAAAGGGATATCAGCAAAAACAATCTAGTGTTCGACTCTGATAATCTTGGTGGAATATTTGAGCATGTGCCCTTATTGGAAACTTTGTAAGATTTTTTTTAAGTCAATGTTTCGATACTAAAAGACACTCAATTCCATATAAATGTCTACAGAAAATTAAACGATAACAAAATTAAATTCATTGGAAATGAAGCATTTTCAGGACTCTCATCCCTCGTCAATCTGTAAGCAGGCTTCTAAAATGGTAATAATTCTGCACAAAAATACTAACATGTTGAACTTCCTTGTAAAGGAACTTGAACGGAAACCCGATCCAAACTATAGAAAAAGGCTCTTTTGGAGAGTCTCTAGGTTTGCAGATGATGTAAGTGTATGACATACTTTATCCTGGTGCCTCGAACGCAAATTAACATAAATTACTAATATAAACTTATTGAAATCAAGTAATATAGCAACAACATCGCTAATATGCGATTGTAGAATTGTATGGCTACTGTTGAGACCATATGACCGCATTATCCTACAAAATTCGCAACTTGTATGTCGTAATCCAAATAATTTACGCGGAAGGAATATTGGAAAATTAAGTAACAAAGACTTTACATGCGGTGAGGCTACTTTAGGGAAAAATAGCAGTGATAAATATAATTAAAAATATCTTAATCTACAGCCTTTAGTGGAACTTCCTACAATTAATGCGTATCTTTAAGACCGAATTTTTTTACTTTCCAAAATTTGTAAAAATATACATAAAAAAAATGTTCAGTGTTTATCCTACCTATCTAATGCAATACATTTCATATACATTCCAGATAAATCACAACGTATTCCGATAATATTAACGGAACCTCCAGCACAAGCGATAGCTGTCAAGGGTGAGCAAATTCCAATCATGGTTGGTTTTCGTATAGTAGGCCAATTGTCCGCTTACCAATGGTTTTGGGTGAAAAATTCGAGCCGCTTATCATCCGACAACCAGATAATACTTTCAAAAATGCCCAATAACCATTGTAGAAATGATACCGATACAGATAGTTTAAAGGACTTTACCGCTCAGTTAACACTAAAGCCATTGAATCACGATATCACTGGTCTTTACTTTTTTGTTATTACTAATAAGTTTGGAAAATCAATTTCATCTGCAAAAACAAGGGTAATTTTTGCAGGTAAACCCCCGTTAGCTTTGGTTTTTGTAAAGAGCCAATCATAAATCTTTCAATTATTTTATTTCTTAGAATATCCAAAATTCGAATCTACATTTACCGATCTCACTTATCGAATTGGAGAAGATGCAGTCTTAAATTGTAGAGCATCTGGGTTTCCAAATCCTAACATAACATTTACGAAAAATGGTAATATTTCAGTATCGCTCTCTCACAGATTGAAGTTTACCGTGCAAGGAATAAGAATTGTTAATGTATCAGTAGCTGATATGGGAGAATATACTTGCACTGCAGAAAATATTGTAGGTTCCATTTCTCAATCATTGCGTCTCTCAGTTCTAAGTAAGTAAAACATTGAAATTTGAAACCATTTCGTTTACGAAAATTTTGATCTAAAGTGAAGCTGCCACTTTACTTGCAGTGAACCCAATATTCACTAAACCAGCACCAAAATACATGGCGAATGTCCTGGTAAATGAAGCTATAATTTTAGAGTGTTTCGTAGCCGGCAGTCCATTCCCAAAAATATCTTGGTTAAGAAACGGTACTGTTATTACAAGAGATAGAGCAGCTTATTACGACAGGGGTCAGACACTGATAATAAGATCAGCTACACCTGATGACAATGGCGAATACTTGTGTCGTGCTACAAATGCCATCGGTAGCGTGAAAAGGACGACAAGAGTGACAATATTCCTTCCGAATGGTATATTATAATATAACAGAATGATTAAAAATATAATTTATTTAATACGTTTTACTGAATAATTTCATTAGGTTTTTCCTTGCCTGGTAGTGAGAGAAACCCATATCTGACAATCATTATTACTGCATGCACCTGTGTTTTCGGAACCTCTCTCTTATGGGTATTCATTTTATCCTACCGCGTAAGATTGCTCCGTAAAGAAATTGAAACAAGTAAATCGTCAACGTTTCTGCCCTTACACAGCTATACAATAGGTAACGGTAGCATTTCTAAACACAACTTTGAAACAGCGGCCGGAAAAACAAATTACTCCGAAAGACATTGCATAACAGCGGCAGGTTATCATATCGCTTCCGAAAATAGTGATGACACCATCGAAATTATCGACTATGCTAGTCAAGGAGTTCCAGGATCTAATCTACACGATATCACTAGAAATTCCACAGGTTCAGATATAATTATTCCGGAGCAAAGTATGCCCGGACCAGAGCCATGGATAGCCAGTAGGCCTAGAAAGTCAGTAGAAGATCGCGTATATAGTCAAATGCCTGCTAACTCACAATTTAGGGATATTGTACGAGCTAAACCTTTGCAGGTGGTAACAATTTATGATAAAATTTCGTTAAGCGAACATTCTACAGATAACAAGAATGATATAGATCAGGGCAACAGCAAGGATAATATGCATGTCTTTACAAAGAGTAAAGAATCTTTGAAAGAAAGTGATGACGAGTGTCAAGAAAATTCAATGCAATCGTCTCTAACCGATCTCAGTCAGAAATCATTAACCGAAAGTAGACTGCACGCTGGCTCTTTGACTGAATCCGCTCTAGCAAGATGTTCCGAAAACGGAAGCAACAGCGTAGGAAAATTAAAGATTATTCAGAACCTAATAACCGAAGTCGTTGACGGAATACCATCAACTGAAGTATAAGAAGTGAAAACTTAGCCTTGTATCAGATAAACAGTACGCTAGATCATGTATATAAATAAACCATATATCTAGAGAAATAGTTTTATCTACTTAAAGTTTATATATATATTCGAAATTAATGTCTATTTTCAGTAAGAACAGATTTCAAGTACAGAAAAGGAGAATTGTTTATAATAGTTTTTGATAGAATCATCGTATTAAAATGTACTGTAAATATATATGGATCACTTTTCGCCTAGTTCGCTTAATTTTGAAAGCGTAAACGGAATTGTATATTTTTTATGCTAAGCCTAGAGTTTTTTGTTAAATATATTCGTATTATTCGAGCTAACTATAACATTAATAAATTTCAAGATACAAAGATTAGTTGAGTGGCTAGCCAATCTAATGATTGAGGTAAATACATTATTATCTTGACTTCATGCATCGTTACTGATTAATTGCAGGTAAAATCACTCATTTAATTTAACAGTGCCCAAAATTACTGAAAGCTACATTATTAACTATCAGATTTAACTAAATTAAAGGAATTAGAGGTGCATAAAACAGAACACAAAAACATTTTTAAACCAAATTTCGAAATTGTAACATTCCAAAAAAAGAAATATTACTAATAATTTATATATTTATTATCAATATAAAAATTTCTTAAATGCTACCCGTTAAATTCTTACAATAGGTTAAAACCTTTTTAATCAATCTCAACACGTTTCTACTTTACCAGTATTGAGGAATTATTAACTCTTTGATCTAATATATTGTACCGTAAGTACAGAATATTTCAACTATAATTATTACAATAATATTATCACCTTAAGTAAAGAAACGACTATGGTCTTGATGCTAAATCTACATCATCGTCAAAAATTTCGTCTAACGATAAGAAATAAACGTCATACAGATTTCGGGTACCCTAAGAAAATTTTTAAAGGAGCTTAACTATTAATAAGAAAATAAAAAAACGTATTACTGCAGATGCATAATATTTTAAATGATCTTTAGTGAGAGGATACACATTATACACTACAAAATTGTCACTCATTTTTAAAATGCGGGGTTTTTTTACTCAAGCATTTGAGTTTTACACCTACAGTGGTTAGTTAAGCTTGTGATGATCGCACATCATTTAAATTACTTACGTTACAAGTTTATTAGTATTTTGAATTGCCAAGTTTCATCGATGCAACTAATATAAGAAATATAGAAGTTTACCAATTGATAAAAAAATTCATACGATAACGTTAATGGCTGAATCGTTATCTATTTATTCGGTAATACCAAATACGATTCTTAAGTGTAAATAAGAATTTTTAGTCAGTTATTACGTGATCGCATAACATTCCAAACTGAAACGAATTGAAATTATGCGTAAAGAAATTTTAGGGCACGCACAGGCCAGGTAGCTCGCTTCTGTCTTTATTCAGTCGTTACTAAACATTAAACTATTAAAAAAGGAATCTCATGGTAAAGACTGATCTTAATCGTAGACAGTCGTTAGCAAAACTATTACAATTTGTGCAAATGCGCATTTGTTGCTAATTAAAGTTTATTTCTTTAGTGCTTTCGTAACACAATATTTCCAGAAACTCGATGCAGATTTTTACAATGAATATTCATAACTATGACATCTTTTTTTGGTTGAATTTTTTGCTTATATATTAACAGTTGCCACACATACTGACATGTAGAAAGTTATGATAGAGGTTATTTTCTACAATATTATGGTATTCACAATCGATAGAAGTCTGCAGGGTTGGCCTTATAGTTTGGTATCTTCGATTTTATTAGTTTACCTTGTCACAGATATTGTAATATATATTCGATATAAACCGTAACTCCTATGATACCAACTTTCGAATGTAAGAAATTAATCACAGTAAGTAGCTAGATAATCTGAATCTTAGAACGAAAAGTTTTATCAAATTAGACCGGACATATTTTGGGCATCTGATCATTATTCTTTACAATGCTACTTACAAATCTTTTGCAGAGAGAAAATATAAATATTTAAGATTCATTTTAGAAAACTACTTTGCACTACTTAAGAAAACGAAAATCATTATAAGTTCAGACAAAAGTTACCTTATGATTCCCTTACAAGACACTATAAAACCATCAAACTAACTGTAAAATACCTCAAACTTTACTTCAAACTTAATATTCACTCATTATATGTTACAGAAGTCTAAAAGAGAACCTTTAAGCATCAAGATTTAGTCGTAAAAATAACAGTCTAGTTAACTACATAACAATCATACACAACCTCTACCGTTTGCCATGTTATTTTCTATTTTCTCAACTAAACTTTCCTAATGTAACTTTCATGTCACTTCATAAAATTCACAAGTTTCAAATTCACAATAAAAACTTCAAATTTCTAAAGTCAACCCATACAAAATTTTTCAAAAATTAAAATCCGAAAATAAAAAATATAAAAAAATTAAAATTATAAATCCGACCGGGTCCGAAATCCGAATCCCCAAAATTCGAATTTTATAAAGTTCACAGAAATTGCTGATCATAAAATTTTGTATGACAACTATGGCTACTTTTTGACAGTTGATGTTTAAGCGTAAAGTTGAACGGTAACTGTACGATTATAGCCAACATTACAGTACTTTACTGCCATGTTATAAATCCCCTTTCTCTATGGATAGGGTTTTATTACTAAGTCAAATTTATCTATAATTTTAGTATACTGTCAAACGCCCTTTCTTTAGATTAGGCGATTGCTCTTATGTTATTCCTATAGTAATCTTTTTCATACTTTGTAAATTAATGAAGAAAAGATGGCGACATCTTGATTTGGCAGGGTAAAACTAAGATACTATCACTTTCTAGGTATTTTGTACAGAAATACTGTAGGAGTCGTTTGTCCATGTTGATCCAGATTAAGAATAGCTATGTTCTTCGGCTAGATAGAGTTTGATAGTGGGGGCTTAACTATCGTTACGAGTATTCCGATGGAAAAGAAGTACGAGATACAGAACCATTCCCGAAAAATAAAAATGCTGCATTCCAGCAGGACGCCATAAGTGGCATTCGTGCGAAGAAAATTAAATTCTGCAATTTATTTGTATCCAATGTCTTCACCACTCTGGATATCAATTGAATAAGAATAGTTAATTGATATAGACAATTTGATGAATCACTAAAATTCACTAAATAGGCACCTGTTCAGATTAGTTTTATCTGATAATTAAATAGATAATAGATGCACTAATTAGTTATTACTAATTAGTCAGAAACAACTCGTAAAAAGAATAATTCATGTATCAATCAGAATTAATTAAATGAAAACCTTTACAAATAGAAGTTCATATGACTAAATAAATCGTTTCGTTTTTATATAATTAATAGCGCAATACATAACGCACCTTAGACGTATCTTCGATGTAGCATAGCAATGAAAACAATATAATTGCTTCATTTTTGAGTTTTAATGATATATAATAACATGAAGTAACACAAAAATAATATAGTTCTTAACACTTAACAAAATAATTGACATAGTATTTTCAAGAACGTGTTATTTGCCCATCTCTGCCTACTACAGTACAGTAAAAGAGAGATAAAAAGTACGCACTCCTCACTGCACGTCAAGTTACTTTACAGTAGTATCATTCATTACACTGCCTTACAATTTGGCGTTCTGCGCTTGTCCCGTAAAGATTGAAATTTTAATTCGATTCCATTAATTGACGAAGTTATAAATTACAATTGATCCATTGTGTGTATATGATACCGGCAGTGTACGAAATTGCCCGCCATGTGAAAATATATATATACTGTATTGTATGCAGTAATTGAGATGGAAAACATGAAACAATCAATAATAGGATTGTATGGGTATTGCAGAACAGTGTAGATAAAGTTACCTTTACATGATCGGCGTGTCGCTGCTTTACCATTGTAACACACAGCTCAAGCAGAGTTTTCCAAAACTTGCTTGTTAAGTGTCCGCGTAGTATACAGTACTGTGCAAGTAGAATTTCTATGACTGGGCATTTTACAGTATATACACATAACGGATCGCCTGTAATTATAACTTCATAAATACATGAAATCAAATTAAATTCAAATTTTCAATCTTGCTTTCACACGTGTAGTAGTCTTAAGTTGACAGACACTATAAATTCTCAGATAAATAATATAATTTTACGATTTTCGTACGGTATATAATGATACTGTAATAACTTGATGTTCGGTAATAGTCCATTAGCTACTTTATTTCAAATTTATGCGAAGTTTTAAATTCTTTGTCGCTTTGCAATCCATAAATGGCTTCAACATTTCTTATACTGCAGATCTAAATTTTATGCGCACTACAGTACATAACTTGTTCATTTTGTTTTCAGACATGGAAAACTCAGAAAAATATGCCTTACACTAACGTAAAAATACTGTACAGTACAGTGTGAACCAGTTCGCATCAACAGTATACAGTTTGTCACGGTCCAATTGTCTTATTTTTTATTACGAAGAAATGTACTGTAGAAGTTTTCTCGTACATTGCCTGGAGTGTCGGGCATTCTATAGAATGCCCGAATCCTTGGGAAGTCATATGAATTTTATATGTAAAATATAAAAGATGTAACTCTGCGATTTCTGGTAAGATAAAAAAATTAACGAAGTAATTTCTCTATTCGAAAATGTTCTCTCTTATTGTACTCTGCACTGTAAGTCCTTTATACATATGAAATTCATATGACTCACAACTCGTACGTTATTTATTTTTTAATTACGAGTACAAGTTGACGATTACCATTCGCGATGAATCTCGATTCATTGCGAGACTGATCGTCGTAAAGTACTGATCAATTAATTACGACTTCAGGCGAGGACTAGCTACTACCATCGGCCATTATGTAGTTTTACAGAAACACTCGCAATACTGACTTTATTTTTATCAGTATATTTTAGTACTGTGTATCGGTAATGTATTAACTAATGTAACTGCATAGATATTGTAATCTTTTTCGCCAATGCAACGGTAATTATATAAATACAGTATATTCATTTTAATTTCGGTGGAGTAAATATAGCGGTTTCAATACAGCAAATCTAAAAATATGATTAAGCCCTGCTAATCTTGTTTCCCTAAGTTCACAAATTTCGTCATTAAAAAAATTTTAGTTCACCAGTTTTAGCTTATTTATTTGTATGAGGCAGATTGAATTCGGAGGATTGTCTAGTGGTAAAATTGATTTCTGAATGAGATTCAATTATTATTATTAAGGTCAGAGCAGTTTCCACAACTTTGCAAAGATTGAATAAGCAAATTTATTGCTGATTCTATCCTTGGGTAAAATTGATTTCTGAATGAGATACAATTATTAAGGTCAGAACAGTTTCCTAAATATGAAAAGATTGAATAAGCAAATTTATTGCTGATTCTATCCTTAATGAATTGTCTTTCAACGGGTACATCGCGTACCGTGCACTGCATACGATATAGACAGTGAGTAGCTAGTACATAATTACGATACGAAATTACCGAAAGCCTGAGAAATCCAATGTTGTGATTTTACTTTAGTATAAACGCCTTTTGGTCGGTAGGTTTTATCGTGTAATATGTACGTACCCAAGTTAATTGATTAAAATGGCTGTACATTACGGATAGCGGGTTTTCATGTGTTCCCAAGGGCAGAGGCAATGACAAGTTATAAGAGCAAATGTGAATTTAACATATTGAAGTAAATGCAATCATAGCTTAACTTTAATTTAGTTTCGTTGTATTTGATGATTTAGTGGTATTCATCTGTCAGAATTTCTGCATATAAAAAATTTTGATTTTCTGCGCAAAATGGCAACTTAAGTTCTGAATTCTTTTTGAAATGTAACTACATTAACATTGGAATGTGTGAAAGATCGCCTTGTTAGGTATGTTACAGCCAAAGACGATAATGTAGTCTCATTACCGTTAACGGCTGGCCACGAATTTGTATAAATACGTACATAAAATGTTGATATTATTATAGTTAAATTACATGTCATCATGATCATGCTAGGCCAATGTTTGTAACGATACACTTTGTATGGTTAAGAGTGATTGATTAATAAATATTTAATTTAAAGTACCACTGAGGGCCTGCGAAGCCTATAAATGATAGTGCAATCAGAAAATTTAGAGTAGAGAGCAAAAGAAGATTCTATTGAAGAACTTGTTGAAATTTAAAGGCCTTCGGGGTCGAACTATTTTAAGTCAAAGCGTTCTTCTTTTTCTTAGGTTGTTTGGTTGATGACAGTTTCAGTTCTGTCGTTTTTTTTAATTTCTGTGCTTATAATACTATGCAGACAAACAATGCATATTAGATGTATTGCTTATACGACTATATCTGTACGCGTACACATAGGCAAGAAATGCGTCCAATATGCATTGCTTGTACTGTACAGCTACAGTATCTATGCAGCAATGTATCCAATACGCATTGCTTGTACAGTACTGCAGTACACATAGACAAGCAATGAATGCATCTACAGTATAATAACCTTTTCCTTGTGGCTAAAGGGTATAAGCACATTTCATTCAACAATTACTGCCTTTCTTCACTTATGGATTAAATTATGACTTAATAAATTCGATGAAAACGAATTCCTAAGTATAAACATTAAACGCCGATAAGCTATCTAATGTTGAGGATATTTATTGAGTGAAGTGGTATTGTAGCTGGTCCTCTTTGGCATCATCATTGCGGAAGATATCACAAAAAATATTTTTTTAAAAAGCTAGATACAAGAAAGATTACAATCAATGCCATACATAAATAAATAATATATAGCAGTACTATAAAATATACTGGTATGTACGTCATATATACATTCCTTATGAATATAGCTTTTAGGAAGACCGAAGTTATTGCAATACCAAAGGTATATTATATATATACTAATAATGACATGATTCTTCGGAATGACGTCAAAAAATGTTAATGCTGTAGATTAATAAAAGTAACATTCTCATATTTTTGGGCAATGTAAAATAAATTACGTAGTAGAAAATAATTATATTGTACAGTAGTGTAAAAGTACGCATTTACATGCGATTTTACGACCAGTTTATCCCGTACTATAACTTAACAAGTTCCAAGTACTCTCACACTATCATAATTTTGGATCACTGTAAGTAATACATACTGTATATTTCATGCAGTTACGCACATACCAGTAACCGGTGAGAATCAAGAATACCGAAAATTCAACGCTTTCAGAACTACAGTACAATCCAAACCACAAAAAATTGCTGAATAAGGTAATAAATAGTAGTATAGTATGACTTGGCCAAGAGTTCCACAGTTTCAGTAAGTTTTACCAGAGGTATCTACCAGTTTTATCGATCTTTAGTATTTTACCAAGTCTCTGTTTCGTTGTTTTACTATTGACCCTTTTTGTTTTCGATTTTTCATTTTCTATGGCTATAGTTTAAATGAAATATATTCAAATTTATAAAATAAAATAATTGAAATAGCAAGATCTCTCTACATTGCTATCACTACCAGACGTAGCAACACCCAAGAGAAGCAAATCAGGCGACTTGACGTTAGAATCATTGTCACGAAAGTGAGCTGACGGCGTATCATCAAGCATGTTACAGCTTTCGTCCTAAAATGAACAAAACGTATTATAAACTTCGAACAAAATTTAATCGTTGCAGTAAGTTCCTAACATTTTTATCTTTGTATTCGGGATTAGATTTAAAATCGGAAACTCTTCGCTTACTTTCTAAAAAAATAGCATAAGCAAGTAACGTTATCTATCGAAGCATAAATAATTCTTCATCCTTTGAGTATACTGTACAACCTTGTTCATGAGCGTCAGAATCATCATTTTGTCTTTTATGGTTGTTAATTGATGAGTTTCGGCTGTTTCGACCTGCAAGTGAAGTAGAATCTGCGTCATGAATGAATTTTCTTACCGTGGATTTATTTAAAAAATTTAATCTAGGTAGAGCAGGGCACAAGCGGGATGACCTGCGCAATCTTTGGCATCGGCAATTGAATGTGATAGCTCTTGACAAGTTCCCGTAAAGTCATTTTCGAGTGAGGCTTTCTTTCTACCGGAAAGAAATTCATTGATAGTTTTTAAAGACAGGAACTAACTCAATAACTACTCTGACTTATTTACTGTTAGTAACATACTCTTTTATTCTTGGCGTAGCTTTTAGGCTTAATGTCAAAGGAGGGACACTACTTCCAGTAACAATACTTTGTTGATTATTACCTGCAATCAATAGCTTTCCTTTTACATATTATACAACTATATTTTACTAACTATAAACCAAACTGCTAATAAATCAGAATGGCAATAGATAATTACGTAACGAACGTGAAAGTTTCAATCCTATTCCTTTCAAATCTGCCTTCTTGCAAGTATAGCTTTTTGACCTTTAAATTTAAACATACGCGTACAGCAGTTCCATACGTGAGCACACGCCAATAAGCTAAGTACAAGTACAATACTAGATTATGCGCAAAAACGTGAACATACTGCATAGAATATTCAGACCCAGGGGTATCGCAAGTCTTTGTTACACAGTCGGAAATTTTCATCTCCGTTGAATTACTTCCAATCTTAGTCTTTAAGTAAGGGCACACAAGATTTCGATTAATGTAAAAGAACTAAGATTCAAACTGTAGCCTTGATTAGGACAGATTATACTGCAAAAGGTAATTTAGCAATTTAAACATAAAAGGTATCCCACCCAAACAAATTCCCTTAACTTTAAATATTCCGCGTCTTTTTTACTTTATAGGTAGTACTCACCGACAATTGTTCTGAAACTACTTCTTCCAGATGTATAATTAATTGTTTAAAGTTGATGCAAGTTGGGATATAGCGCTTATGTCTCTTAATCTTAGAACGAATCATAATTACGTAATTTTAGAATAAAGTTAGAAAGCAACTGATCTAGTGTTGCACAATCATTACATTCTCTTTTAGGCACCATTTTCGCAAGTATGCCAACACAGCCGCCGCTGCTTCTTTTAAGTGAGGAGATACTAATATTTTCTCTATAAAGGATATTAATAATATCTAAAATCGATATTAACTCTAATGATATTTTAGATTACTTTCTGAATCACCTCCCCTAAGATCCACTAGATAGCGTCCGGAATACCAGATACAAGTCTCAAAGAAAGGAAACAGAAATTTCTCTGGAGTATTCAACCTGATTTCCAAGTCATACACCCTACATTAAAGTAAATAGCGATAATTAATCATCCAATACTTACATAACCCAAACATTGTATGTACTTTAATTGCAATTCCATATTTAAGAAATGTAAAAAGTTTCCTCCAAAAACCAAAGAATCCGTCGGTGTATAAACTGCATGAATCCACCCTGCAGCAAATTTTGGCAACATGATTATACAATTCTTTACAGTAATTCCTGAGCTCATCTAATTGATATAATAATAGGCAGACATCGGCACGTACGACCGTGAAAAAAAAATGCAAAAGATATGGCACTGAAGGGATCAGACCGGTTGGTATGAATAGAGTTTCGCCTTGTCTTATACGACATTTATAGCATTGCATTTCATCCCCTAAGAAAACTTCATTTTGTAGCTTTGAGGAAACCCATTGCTCGTATGTGATTAAATTTTCAGGCGTTGGTTCGATTAAATAAAATACTTTTTCGCCCTATTTGATATCGTAAGGTATTATATTGTATGGTAAGTATAAAATAAGATACTACAACGAAATAATGAATTAACCATTTGCTCTAATGTAAATATATTTGCGGCTAGTAGGTTATTTCGAATGTAATTGATACAGTAAATGATAAATAGTGATGATCAGCCTTACTTTTAGGACATGATACCAAACCGAGGAACCACCAAAATCAATGTGGAAATCAGTATAGCTAGCTTTTACACTCATGAGACAGTATTTCTTAACTTGAGGCCTACGAAAAGGGCTACTTTGATTTAAAATTTAATAACAATTATATTGTTAATTATCCTCAAATTACGAAAACATCCAATCTTTCAAAAATCAATGATAATGCCGCAGATTGACCTAGTAAATTACCGCAATGTAAATTCGTCACCATGAACAAAGAAATTTGTTACAATCTAACATCTACTTTCGTTCATACTATTGTATACGAATATAAAACTGCGTAAATTACCCTGTTTCCGATGAAAATTTTGGCCAGACGTGCTTTAGTAGATCTATATGTCTCACAATAGCTGGAGCTTCGATTAAGTCAGACAATCTAAGGCATATTGAAATTCATTAACCATCTTTTAACAGTTAGCTCAATAGTTTATGGTTGAATATCAACATTTTTTAACTACTGCATACGTTGATACTCAAAATCAAGGCTATTAAACTGTACGCACAATACACAATGTAGTAAAACGAATGCAGATAAGCTTTAAGCAACGCAAAACTGAGAATTCAGATCTACCTCGTATCAGAAAACTCTAAGCTGATCACATTTAATACTCTCTTTCTGTCGCTGCTATTATAATATTCCGTCCATTCACGCATCTTCATATTAATATCTTCCTGTTTAATTGCATAACAATTAATGTTAACCAGTTAAACAAACCAAAAACTATTTTACGCAAAGTTAAAGAAATAATAATCAACTAAAGACAACGTGCATCATGCATTCGCTTAAGTAAAATTACGTGCCTGCCTTGCCACATCGATTACATCTAGATTTCGCATTGATCCTATAATGAAAATACTTCATGTAAACGTTCTTTCGACAAAACAGTTACGCTGTTTCTCAATATTTAGTGAAGTCTGATAAAATGTTTTAATTAACATTCTCACAGCCATAAATGCTATGCTGATAAATACAGATGACAATTAGGGATCAGTACCGACATATCTTTCGACGTCAGCTACCGTAAACGTCGCTGGGGGTACGGTGATGTCCAGGTCAGATTTGTTCTTAACCAAAATCGGTCGTCGAAATCCTTCACTTTCAAGAAAATTAGGACTCAGGTCTGCGCCAGTTAAATTCAGTATAATTTCTTCCCCACTTATAATAAAATAAGAAACATGCAGTATAACCATAAAGCACTGCAGCATGAAAATATCATTTTATTATTATTACAGTAGTTTAATAGTGATTCATTTTTAAATCACTATCGCAATTAAATGAAAGTATTCTAGAAAAGAAGAGCTATCATTGGGAACGGTTAGAATTATTTAGAGATGTCGAATTCACAACTAACGACTGTCGCTATAAATTTCAGGCTGCATGTAAGTTATTTTGATATAAATGATTTCAAAGTACCATACATTCGAAGTTTTCACATACGAAGCTTTGAACACAAGAATTTGCCTCATTAACGACTATGAAATTGCAATGGAAAATTTCTACAATTTTGCTACGCTCGGATACTCTAATAGTAGCATTACTCCCAGCTAAAATACGGTACTTTACCAAATACAATAAGTCTAAAGTACAGTATTTACAGTAAGTTATCTTACCAAGAAAAGTTGCGATCGTCTAGTTGTTTTACGAAGGACACGTTTCCATTTTGAATGGCCTATTCGAATTAATGCTGATTAATTACCCGAATATTTAATTATTGCAGCTAATTGACGAGACCTTTCTGCCGTCGTTTACTTCTGCGTAGTCCTGCCTATGCCAAACCCTTCGAGACTTTACTAAAAGGAAATTAGCTTCATTTGTTAGTCCTACAATACGTTTAGTTGTGTACTAGGTTGAATGTGGTAATATAACAATCTTTAGTTTAGGTTTTAAAAAGATTTTTCTTATATAAGGCGCAATAAATTTCATAATTACCAGCCTAGTAGCACATACTACGAAAAGATTTGCTGTACAATTCAGTATTTCATCTAGTACAAGTTTTACGATGGTACAATTACATGTACCGATAGTAAATTTTCTTTTATACTGTATGTTACTCATTTAGAGATATTTTAAATGATACTATCGATATAATGTATATAATTAAATACTCTACGGTTGAGTTAAGTCACTCTAACTTAGATAATGTTTCGAAACACGTACTACACACTGAAAGCAGACGATTTATTAACTAATTAATCAGTAAAGCTGCAAAGGGAATACTTCTTAATTAGAGATATATTGCAAAAATGTGAAACTAATAAAAGTTGACTAGCAAGTTATGCGAATTTTCGTAACTAAAGTCCTTCTTACACGTTAATGGTCCGAACAAATCGGAACATTTAGGACAGTGGTATGTGTCAATACGAGACGCTTCGTACTCTTCAATTCCAATACATCTAAGAATATGTAAGAAAATATAACCAATTGTTACAAGTGTTTACAGTTTCTGAGTATGTATAGAATTTAATGAGATTACTATCCTTTAGAACAAAACCTGTTACAAAGAAAGATACAAACACAAGGATACCACTTAATTTTTAAGCATATACGAATATAATGTGAAATACTAATCAGCCGAACTCTACGAACACATATTTGTATCTACATAAAGAAATACCACGTAATTTTTTGCTCGATCCTTATCTCACCATACGTCCCTTACTCATTTTTTTCAAATATTATGATAGACTAGTAACTATTCTGGATCTAGGGAAAACTACAAATTGTTTACCTTAACCTAAGGTAAATACCAGTTTGTGGAACGGTTTATGCAACTTTTTTAGTATCACGAAGCAAGCATACTGAAGATTAACTACTAATAACTATAATTAATAAAACCGCAAAAGTAAAATATCCCGCTAGTGATACTTCGCGTATAAGTATTATTATTATTATACTGTAAATTTTTAATACAGTGGTATGTATAATATTACATGTACATTTGGCATACATATAACAGTAAGCTTAGTTATTCCTACGCACATTATAATAGTAGTCAAGCCCACACACCCAACTGTGCATTATAGATATAATTTATATATATACATTACACAATCAGGTCCGAGGCGTCTAACTAGCTATACGCTGTTAGTGAACCTGTTATCATAGACAGTATAATACAGTTACATACTGTAGATGCATCTTAACTCTAGATATCGTCATTGCTATAGAAGGGATAGCTATTCGTGAATTAAATATTGGATTCTATTTATTATTATTCAACCCTAACAGTTAACAAGCTATACTGCCTTGTACTTAACCGTTTTTGTTAGTACAATACAGAGATCAATCTGTCTGTGTGCATAAACGCCAACTTCTCGTTGCCCTATGACTTTACAAGCTGCAGAGAGTTTATACAGTACCAAGTAGTAGTCACTCTTGTGGTTCTCTTAGAAATCATTTAGTCCAGGAAATACGGTAGTTTCAGATATAAAAGTACAGCATACGCTTAATAATGGACAATATTATTACTAAGGTTGTTACACAGTTAAAGATATCGGCACTACAGTATATATATAGTACAATATGTAGTATCCATTTCTGAAAGCTAACAAAGTCAATGCTAATAGGGTAATAGAAACGCATTTGTGACGCTTAAATTAAGCATAAAGTTTATAAAATTCAAAGTCATAATTATCACAGTATTTCATTCCAGTGTCATTAATTAATGAACAATGCATTCATACGATAAGTTCTATGATCAAGTATAGTAGTACGTTAATACAAACCGTCCATGAAACCAGTCGTTACAGACGTCACATTGAATCATAAATTCATTATCATGATAGGGTCCGTTACATATACAGTATAATTCTTGATCTGACATCTTCGGGTTTATATTTCATATCAGTAGTAGTAACTAAGTCAGCTATCACTCTTCAAGGGATTTGGTTGCCGACTGTAAAATCAGGGATTTTCGATAGGAATCAAGGCGTCCTTTCGAACAAGTGTTGGATCTCTGTTCAACACTGGTTTGTAGCTTACCCATCTGATCCGAAAAATTTATTTTGCTCCGAACGGAGACTATAGAGGAAAGAGTATGGACTGAGACTACGGTACTGAACAGAATAGTCGGCGATTGACAAGCGTGGGTTCTACAGTACAGTAAATAAAGATAGTACAGTCTGTACTGTACGAAATTTGCGTTTAGTTTTATACAGTACTGTACAGTACAGTACAGTACTGTACTCTTATCAGATTTACAGTACTGTATTGTACTGTACAGTACAGTACTGTACTGTACTGTACAGTAGAAGAACCTTTTAACTTTTTGTTTTGTTACGTGTGTTAATTAATGAAGGGAATTCAAGAGAAAGTTGTATTGAAGTTCCTAGTACAGTACAGTACAGTACAGTACAGTAAACAGGACTTAGTACTGTACACATTTTAATTTTACATTTACTGTACTGTACTGTACTGTAGAACGTATGATTTCATATAACAGTTACATAGTTACAACTACAACTTTTAATTGATAATTTAATTCTATTTTAATAGCACGCCTTCTTGTAAAGGTTCTAAAAGACACCAAATATATAGGTTTAATATGCTGAATACATCGAGCAATAAGAATAAGAAGCAAGTTATAGCGTATCGTATTAATAACTGGTCAAGTTATGAATCCGATTTTCACCCTAAGTAAGTTACATTTTTATATTCTCGATTGGCTTGAAATTGACTGGATCCGAAGTACGACGAATAATGTCTGATCTAAACTTGTATGCATACTTACACAAGTTTTTATCAACTCCTATGTTTATGTGCGTTTGCAAACGTTAGTGTCCGGGCGGGCAATGCATTATTTTTTGCTGAATGCACACTCATTGCACAGTCCAGTATAGTGCAATAGTTACTCTACATCAGCATCGGTGACTTGCTGATCTAATAAGTAGTGTTGTGGATCTCCTTTTGTGGTTATTGTACCATTTTAAGTTACAGCGTGATAGGATCAACCAGTGTGGTATTTATGCCTTGATCACGATAGCTAGGTACTGTAGAGTTTCGTAAATTATAGTAAAGCCTTTTATCAATTGTATTTATTTATTACTGGGCTGGATCATATCGAATATACGACTGGGCCTGCTGTACGATGGTCCATGGACTATTATGTCAGTCTAGTAGTCCATCGCTGTACAGTAGTGCGGTAAGTATCACTGATCACAGGAACGGGCCATTATTTTGTTGATCATGTTCTCTGTATAAATTTACCGTACTGTACTGTACTATACAACACAGTTTACAGTATACTACCGCTAAATCCCGTTTTAAGAAGGTGGATGCGAAAGATTCCAGAATCTTTGCTGGACTCACCGATTCTCTGAGATAACTGTACTGTAATGTACTCCTAGAGATCTAAGAGTACAGATCCAGGAGTACAATGCGAGTCTGTTAGTGAGATTAATTACGATCAGATGAAATGGACATGAACCTAAATATGTGTATCTCTAACCAGTACTATATTTTAATGAACCATCGTTAGCGATGGGTGTTCGGCTAGTAATTAGAAAGGAATATAAATCTCTGAGAAAAATATCAACAAAGGTTGAATAATATATAATTAATTACTGCTTCTGCATGATAGTATTCAACTACTGTTACCTATTTGCGGTCTTAGACTTGTAGCCGATTATACAGTTCAGTACTTCGACTGCCCTCCCCGAAGACTGGTATAAATGCTACTGCATATTACAGAATAAGCTTAGACATTACTAATAGAGTACAGTTTAGAAAGCATTCACTGCTGCGTAATTGATTAACGAAACATTTTTTTTGTTATGCGGTTACAATAATATTTAACGCCTGCACCGATTTTATAGTAACATTCTGGAGGACAGACCACATGACCAATCCTCGCGGTGGCTATCGCGCTCATGTAATCCACCCCAGGTTATATCTGACGTTATTCTCCATGTGTACTCAGCAAGTAACTGCAAATATTAAGTATAATGGCATTAACGCATATAATCTATGTTTGAACGGCTTCTTTAGTTTCTTTTATTGAAATTGACATCACCCGCTATTGTTCAAGAATTAATTGTTGGAAAATTCGAAAAGCCTCATGTATCTGACCTAAAACGATTTAAAGTTCTAGGTGGTATAGATGAAGATAACTTAATGGAACTGCTAGATAGGTAGTTACGATTGTTAAATAATTATGTATTGTATCACCCACAGTACTATCAGATGCTTATAGATTTTACATTCTATCTCGCAGTGGCTTGAGAGATGATGATCGAAATCTTGAAATCTTCAATATTAAGCATAAAATTAATGATGTGATGTTTCCGTGTCAATTTATAAAAATAGGTAGGATGCGTAATTCTTTTGTAGCTATTTTATAGTCAGTTCTTATTTAAGACTTCAGTTACGTCAATAATATATTTCAATTCTAGTTCCTATACAAACAAGGAGTCCAAACTTTGGCTTCAGTATTTGGTATATACAGTTACGAGGGATAAAGGATGCTGAAAAAGTGACCGACTGTATCCAGAAAGTTGCAAGGGTACAATCTTATTTCTCAATGAAGAAACCAAATGATCTTATCTTTTTTACAGTATCCTGGGAAATAATATATTTTGCTAACTATTTCATAGTTTAAGGAGACTGAAGCGATTAGGCTATGCCTAAAGTATTTTCGTCAGCACGACTTCATGGAAGCATTTTCATCGTTACAAAAGAATACAAATGTTGTTCTCGAAGATCCTCTTTTGACGAAATTATACCTGGAGTTAGTGAAACAGGGCAACTTCGAAAGCTGTGAAAACATCATAATGGAAGCTTTGCATGGTATGGAAATACCGTTCATTCTTTTTAATATCAAGTTATGTATAGCTTGCCATTTTGTTTACGATCCAGCTTTACAAGCTGTTATAATTCTAAATGCATATCTACCATCGCAGAAGATTTATTTGAAGGTTATGTTAAAAATCAAGACTTGAAACCCTACTGGACATTGTTAACACCACCAAGTGAAGGTTTTAATAGACATTTTGACTCTTAATGACCTCTTTATTATTAGTGATGAGGACAGCATTGCAGTATTAATGTGCAATGAATCGAGAAATTTAATTGTAGTGCTACCATTGTAATGTTATAGTATGACACCATAAAGTAATATTGTACTAAAGTTGGTATCTTAATATAAAGGTTACAGCTATCATCACCAAAGACCTGGCATGAGAGGTGGACATCAAATGTGTCTTGATTTTACGAGGGGTATCTAATCAATCCTTTTATATCATAAAGAGGAAAGTGCAATTAAAGTAACTATATAGTATTTGTCGTTTCAAGGAACAATTTATGTATTTGGCGGTTGGGACGGTACTCATGATATCGGTGATCTTTGGGCCTATAACATTCATGATAACAAATGGAAATTGCTCTCAGCTAATGTTCATAAAGATGTAATATTTTTTAATACTAATTAGATTACAAAGCATTTGTTATTTATTGTACTTACTCATTTGAAAAATTGATAGGGAGGCCCATGTAACCGTTCCTGCCATAAAATGATCATAGATCGTAACAAGCAACGTTTATACGTATTAGGTCGTTACGTAGAAGTTAAATCAAAAACTAATATGCAGATTGATTTGAAGGTGACAATTTAAACATTGATATTTGTATTGCTTTATTTACTGCCAATTCTAACTGTTTCATTACCACTCGTAGAACGATTTCTATTATTTTGACATTGCAAGTAACAAATGGATATTGATAAGTGCGGATACTGAAGCTGATGGAGGACCTTCATTGATTTATGACCATCAGGTTTATTTGCTTCTATGTTTATTAATCTACGGATATTCACAGAATAACTCCGATATTAGACGTTAGTTAACAGTTTCCTTTCTGTGCAGATGTGCCTTGATCATGAAAACGAGCGCATATATATCTTTGGAGGCCAATTCCTAAAAGTCTTAGGAAACTGGTTTGTAAATCACTTTCAGTACTGTACTTAAACACTAGTACGTTCAGGTTTCCCTAAGGTAACTTCCAATAATGTTACAGTCGGTCAACTTCGGTCCGAAATATCGATGATGAGACACCACTTGAAAGAGGATTTAGTGGCTTTTATTTATACGATCTTCGGAAAAACCACTGGACAAAAATTTGGTGCGCTCTAACGATAAAATTTACTTGATTTTACTAGGATATCTAATTTTTAATTTATTTAAAATGTCATGAATAGCAACGATTGCGATGGCTTTAAGTCGAGTAAGTCTGGAATACCGTCCAGGACAGGTCACGTGATGGTATTTGATGATGTAAGCCAGTTAGAATTTGATGATTAGCATCCGGCTTCTTTTATATATTCGATAACAAAATCCACATTGCTATTTTAATGAGCTAGTTAAAGAGAAAACTATATATATTTGGTGGCCAAAAAGGGGCATACGTATTCAGGTCGAACCATGATAATCTTGCTAAATAGTATTTTCATTTCAACAAGAACTAATATGTTTTTAAAACTTGTAGTGACTTCTATGTTTACGATACGGAATTGCAAGAGTTTTCTATGGTTTATGATAAATTTGGTAGAGCAGCAGGTATGAGAATTTGATTTGTATACGCCTTTATTGGATGGTATACATAATAAATTGGCCATTGTGCAAATATTAATGTCAACTTGTATTAGTTCCCGCTTCGGGATTTACGCAACGTGCCACTATTGACTCGGTTCTTGGAGAAATCTATGTTTTCTCGGTAATAGTATACCGTAATTATATCGATAGATATGCGCTGACGTATTTCCGCTATTCCATGACAGGGATGTAAAAAGGACAATAACCGGAAAGGTGAAAATGTTTGTAACTCAGTATGGGTGTTTGATCTGAGCTCATGTCATTGGTAATGCTATACCATAGGCTGAGCTTATTGCTTCATATCCGAATTTAATACTAAAATATGTATATAAAATTAAAATGATCCTGCTATTTGTTGTTGACCTTATCTAGGTCATGCGTTTATCAAAATGATAATAACACTGAGAATTATTGGAATCAAATGCAGTACTTGGAACCACGTCCTCGATACGCACATCAGCTTGTCTATAATCCTATAAAAAAGGTCTGACGGGAATTATGTGTATTACTTTTCGTCTGAAAGAGAAGTTTTTCATATTGACACTATCGCTCTTGGTATTAGACTCATTACATGTTTGGAGGAAATCCTGGTAAATCGCTCTCCAGTCAACCTCGATTAGATGACTTTTGGCGGTTACAGGTTACTGAAATGTATACTTTCATATACAGCTTATACATGTAATTTACTGATTATAACTATTGTAGTTCTTGCCAACTTCGAGCGAATATACGTGAATAATGATTACATTAATCGTTGTTATTATCAATATATTCTCTAGTTGATACGGACAACTGGAAAAACCGTAGCAAGACGGTGCTTTTGGCTACTAAGAAAGCAGAGGTAGGGGTTAACTTTTGTGAAGTAGTGATCCATTTTATAGTACCATATTGGTGATTACATTGGTAGTTTTACACACAACTAATTAATTATCAGATACATGGAACTTACAACTCAAGATTCCGTAAAAGCACTTCAATACTTGCAGGTTTGTCTTAGTTTAGTAATCAATACTTGCTCGGATATTTAATTGTTTGTTACTTTAGGCAAACTTGGGAGACGTTATTGACCATAATAGCCAAGACGAAAGTGAAGAGGTAGACTCTATGCTTACTTTGTTAATTACCTTTACCGCATGAACTAGTTGCAATTTATGTAATAAATGTCCTGATTTACAGTTCCAACACCTAGCGTCTTTACTTTTCGATGGTATATCTTCCAAATCCGCAGGTATGTCAAGATCTTTAACATTGATTTTGCGTAACTTGATTTGACGACGATACGCATTGCGAGTAAGAAAGATAGCTAATTTTAATACGTTATTAGCAGAACCTACTAAGCACTATTTCAATGACCGTCTAAAAGTAAGTACATTTAATATACGGGTCAACTTAAAAATGAAATTTAGTTTAAGTGCATTGTTTCTTCATTAGCTTTTCAATACAATCGTATCCTTTTTTCCGGAGAAAATGACGCCTCCTAAAAGTGACCTTACGGATCTGATTCCTTTTTAATAATGCTAGCTGATTGACTGTACTACTGTATATAGATGAGTTCGCGGGTGAATGAATTTGTAACGATTTTATCAGATCGAACGTAAATCTAACTTTCTGTATGGTTATTCGATCAAAAATATTCAATAAATATTTATGATGAGCTTCACACTACTTCTTAGCGCACTCTAGCTGTTATTCGTAAAGCCATCCTAGACTATGTATAAAAATGCGGCATCCTCTTTAGTGAAACTGTAAAAGGGAAGATAGAGATTGTACCGGAGTATCTGCCTCCCTTTAAAATTTGACGCAAATCACATTCCTTATTTCTTAGTGTGGTTCAATGTCTTGACCAGTGTTGTAGAATACTGGTATTATTAACATCTCGAGCCAGATGCATATTAAGTTTTAAACTTAGGTAAGAATGCATCATTCTATACTCTGCGAAATACCGAATCAAAGATTATTCATAGTTAATGTGCGTAAAATATAATGATGCTCCCATAACTTTTGCCCGAACATTGTCAATGCATACTTAATTACGTAACAGTGGTAATAATAAATCCAGCTAAAAAATCTTTTGAGATTAAAATCTGAAACTGCTTATAGATATTAGTACCAGATTTGTTGTAAACAGCAGTAAGCATATAATTAAAATCAGTCAACCTATATACGGCTTTTCTTAGATTAGCGTAAAGAGCTATAGTAAGCTTTAAATTCTTGGCAATATTTAGTCTATTACAATTATAATCTATGATGCTATACATATAGACATACGCGGATCTCCCGAAACAGTAAATTATTGCTTTGTTTAGAATGGATAATGCCAAAATACTGTGGAAAAGTTTACATTCAGTACTTTAGTCTACTGTATACCAATGATTGTCATAACATTAAATAGCCGTAGAGAATATATTGAAGTCGCGTAGATCTCTTTTGTTTCTAATGGTCTATGGTAATAGTAAAAGAGAACTACTTAACTATTATTGGAGATAGCATTTATATTTATAACTTACACTAATTGAAATAGTAAGGGATTATTGTAGCGATAGCCATTAAACTGGTGAATGGGCCAGCTCGTTAAAATTGCATTATATGATATGAAATGTTAATTGATGAATTATGCATGAATTTGCCATGCTGGCAGGTCCGGTCCTTTCTAAAAAGTATTTAAACTAATTCAAGCCTCTCCGTCCGCCAGCAAATCTCCCCCATTCTATCCGTAGTGTTTACTTTCTATTGTTTAGTAATTAAAAAGCCTAGATGACGAGAAAGCCATACTTAGAAGCATCGAAAATTTATGAAGTCATTCAACTATCACTACCCAAAAATTTACGGAAGATCACTGGAGCTAAATTCAAATCTAAAGCAACCTCACCAGTAATTCAGTCCGAAATAATTGCTTTAACGTTTAAAATCACTACTAATACTTTTATATTGATCTCTTTAAGTTAACACTATTAATATTAGCATTATCAGTAATAATAACACACCAATCAACCTCATCATTGCGCAGACTACAAAAAATATACTATTCCAAGCAAACTACTGCACTTACTAGAGTGAATAAGACAGTTAGATGACAACACTTAATTCCTAATTCTGTCGATGTTAAGATATTCGGAGATAAAACTCAGACGGTAGTAAGCATTTATATTATACTAGATTGATCCACGGTTTGTTTATTTAGCGTTATAGATTAAAACGTTTACATAAACATAGCAACGATTTTCTCTTACGTAAATAGCAATGCAATGAGTTTGAAAAAAGTAAACAAATTTTAACGGCGTTCTCAAAGTAAAAGTCACTATTTAGCTGTAACTACATTCGCAGCCAGTACATCCCACTACGTATTCTATTGTAATCAGGAAGTTGTTCAATAGGACCTATCATGTAATAATTTGTTAGATTGTTAGAGTGCTACCTTAATTATGCATGGCGCTAAAAGAAATACGAGTAAATCACTGGATTGTTATCACCTACCTACGGCAGCTACTGCTGGACACTGATCATAAATATACTTTGAAGCAACTGACTTGATTACTCCGGCTGTCACTTGCTAAAAAAATATCATAGAAATATATGTTGTCTGCAAAGGTATCTATATCATCAGTAAAAGTTTCAATTTTAGTGAAAACATACCTCAATACGAGCATCTACTTCTGCTAGTGGAATGCGTCTTCCATAAGTTAGGATTTGTCGTCCAATGTCTTCACAGATTTGAGTAGACCCTTTAATATGCAACACAAGCTAACTAAGAAGTCGAGTTAAACGCAATTTCATTGTATTAAAGATACCATCTAGCTGCTGAAATAGAGTAGTCTTGAGCATGTTCTTGGCTCTCTTCACTTCATTTTCAGTAATACCGGTACAAACTCTCATCCTAACAGTGAGGAAATAACATTTCATATCATAAACACTCAAACCGGAAGCTGGAAAAAGAGTAAATTACCATTCCTTTTGCAAGCTAAAGACCATATCGTCAATTTTCATGCGATCTGTGACAAAATAAGCCCCCCTGAAAAGAAAATGAAATCTTCATCTAGATGTAAAGAATTGTAATAGTATTTTTCGCTCGTAAAAGTAATAAATTTATTGTACACTGTTGAACTCATCTATTTCATTACCATAAACCAGTGTCCGTGTAGCAAGTATTAAATGACATGTAGCTATGGGCTAGATCATTCTCTCGTACGATCTATAGTACAGAAACAAAATGATAAGCTAAATTACGCTAATAAACTTTATAATGCCGCAATCTTGAATATTACAGCTTACCCTAGCCAAACGACTTCCACTGTTCTAATACAGCAAAGTAAAATAGCAGAATTAATTTTTATCCATCATCTAAATATCCAATAAGGAAATACTACCTGCCCCGACGCAAAAGATCTGTCCCAATTTCCGATGATCTATAGTAACAGACAACAAAACTTTCAAATCAAACGATGAACTGTCAAGCATAGATCAAATAATTAACTTACAGCATTAGCTACTAATAAAGGAAAGTAATCAGGATGAGTCCATCCACAGCCCTGTAAAGAAATAAAATGGAAGGTATAATTAGATCCATTATATACAGCACCACCTACAATACGTAGTATCCCATTTCTTTCATACCTCCACTGCAATAGCGATATGAGCCAAAGGCATATTATCGTCACGAACCAGAATCTATATTAACCACCAATTATTAATCGATAGCTGATAACATAAAGTAGCGTTCTATTATGTAATAAAGCACACATTATAGGTAAATGTAAGTCTATAGCACCTCGCTTCCTGTATACCGACAATGAGTTAGCCCAGAAAATTTATCAGATGCTGTCGGTATATTCTTAAAATTCTGTTCCGCTAACCTAAGTAGATCGTCGTGTTTCACACCTCAAGAATCAATAACAATAAAATAGTTAGGTTACCGAGAAGTATCAAGAAATACCCAAATACATAATCAATAACTATAAATTACCTCCGGCACCAGCCAAAACAATTCTAGGAGCTGTATAATGTGTAGAAATATAATCGAGCAAGTCATCCCGCGTTATAGACCTTAGAAGTACAAGAAGAAAATATTACACACATAGTTAACTAATACATCCTATGAACTGGCATGATTTTACTGCCCTTTAGTGAAACTCCGTATAAGAATGTCATACGAAGTACAATATAGCTTACCTAATATTCTTACTTGGGCCAAGTATGGTACGAGCCAAGTTTGTTCCCTGATAAGCAGTACTATGTAAGTGATCGAAAACTACCTCATCAGTTTGCGTATCCACTTCCTAATTTTGTATATGAATTATAACAAATACAGATTAACATTCGGCTACTTCTAGGAAAATCAATATATTAGATTAGACAAAAAATGAAACCTGCATTTCACGAAGAATTACTCCTCTTTCGCGCTCCATTTCAGCTTCGCCAAGTAAAGGATTTTGAACTATGTCAGCCAATATTTCTACAGCCTTCGGAATATCTTTCGACAATACCTTTGCAAAGTATACAGTCATTTCACGGGATGTATAAGCGTTTAAATGTCCACCCATATTCTCAATCTATAGTGATTGTAAAAGTTAGTTTGATGATACAGCCAATAATACTGTACATAGAATAATTAATTTCAATAAAACAAAAAAGGTAACATTTAAGTGGAATACGCCAACGATATTTGCTGTACCTCCACTTCTAAAGCCAATTGTGAACGCCTCTTTGTTCCCTAAAAACGTAAATTGTCTTGATTCGATCAATGCCACATTACGTCGATGTCAGAAAGCACAGTAAGGTGCACTATGAGATAAACTAAATATTCGAGTGCACTAGCGAAGGCCGTGTTTTCGAAGCATAAAATGGATAGTACCTTAAAAATCATATGCTCCAAAAAATGTGCTACGCCATTCGTGTCATCGTTCTCGAAGCGACTACCCGCATCGATCCATAAGCCAATCTTAGTAAACAATTATACATATGTATTAAAAATGTAAGTGCAATGGTAATGAAATAACATACATTAGTACCTTTCCCTACTTTGCCATGTGATAGCTCTTTTAAATATGATGAAATTTAATTTGCATATATAGTATTGTACATTATTTAAAATTACGTGCAGCAATAATAAATTGAGTAAACTCGAAAACTCGCTGTACCAAAACTAAATATCCCACGATGAAAGTAGACAATTCTAACTAATCTTACTAACAGTGGCGGTTAGAGATCCAGAGTCTTCTGAAGCTATCCGAAGACCATTATCAATAGTTGTCACCAATGTTTCTGGGACGTTCTCTAGGGACTAAAATTCATAAGTAACCGTTAAAAAGCTAAAGACATCAATCACTATCTAAACCATTCGGTATCGTAATCATTGCTGGATAGAAAAGCGCACTTAATTAATTTTATTTTAACTTAAAGGCTGCAGCACCTGCTGATAAGAAAATACTGGGCTAGCAATGCTGGATTGCAATCTGCTACCAAAAATACTTCTGGTCTAAAAATTAAGACAAAGATGGTATAGATTAAAATTATTACCCTATATAGTTTTAGCGAGTCTATCTCACTCGTTCTGTTATATCTATTTTACCAATATCTTGTGCCATAACCGGTAGTTTCTGACACCCGGTAAGCGACAAATCGACGACATCATGATCACGGTCCACAGAGAGTAAACTGACAGCGAATTAAATCTAGCAGTTGGTAGTACCAACTTGGTTCGTTATTGATCTTACTTGTGCAGATGTGCGTATGCGCCTGCAAACTACACCTTTGCAGACCAGCCAGTAGTCACCGTGTAACCAGTACTGTACTGTACAGTATATTTCTAGAAGTCCACGCATGACCAATGACCATGATTCCACCGTGGACTACAGTACTGTACTGTACAGTACAGGTCGGATTTGTACAGCTGTACACTGTACAGTACTGTACTGTACTGTACGTACTATAGCTTACAGTACTGTACAGTACACGTTGGTCAAGTGAATCGGAGTTGGCCTTTAGCCGGAGTGGGGTTACAGAAGACCAGCGTACAAAATGTAGAATGTACAGTACTGTACTGTACAGTATACAATCCTACAGTACAGTATGGTTGATTGATTATTAATGTTTTCTGTATGGACCAGATGACAGCTGGGACTACTCAGACTGTACTGTACAGTACAGTACAGTACAGTAGCCCTGCTGCCTTAAACTTTATTGTACTGTACAGTACAGTATTTAGCTGAAACCGCTCTTAAGAACTTTGTACTGTACAGTACTGTACTGTAACGCGGTGGGGCTACTGTACACTGTACTGTAGACTGTAATCCCAGAAACAAACGGCATAAACAAATTGCGTTCTCGATCAATGCGCACTGTCAGGGTTGCAGCGACATACGGAATCAAACTTTAATGGCAGGCCGAGCATGGTATCTCTAATTTAAATGAACTAAAGTACTTGATGATCATGTTGATACTACTATTATCAGTGTATTCCAATAATTATAATATTAGTAGGCTGTTTATTAACTTTACACAGTGATATAGATGGATAGTTATAATTATGATCATGATTCGAGATAAATCATGATTATATTAGAAACCGTGAGTTAAAGTAAAAAGTATGCACAGTGCAATCGATTTGAAGTGAGACAATCCTGTAATCGCAACGACTCCACTGTCGTAGTTATGACACAGCAACATACGAGTATAACGCATGCACTTCATATTTGTAAATTGCAAGAAAATTTCTGACTGCGAATAGCTGGATATTTACTAGTATGCCAGTTGAGGATCTACCCGCTAAAGAATTTGTTTATGAAAAAGATAAAAAATTTCAATATAAACGTACGCCGGTAGAATCAAACAGTACGTTGTCCAGGAAAAGAAATTATGATAATGATGACGACGAAGAAGTAGCAGAAATCGTAAGAAATTACATTGAAAAAGACGAAATTGGCCGAGGAAACTTTGGTGTTGTGTACAAGGTTGAACAATCATCTAGTGGAAAGTTTTGGGCCTTAAAAGAAATAAAATGTTCGTCTAAAACTGATGTAAAGGAGGCAATGAAGGAAGTTAATATGTTAAAAGGATTGCGTCATCCCTATATTTTACAGTTCGAGGAAGCATTCGTCATTTACCGTGAAAACGAACGATATACTTGCATCGTAACAGAATATTGCAGCAACGGAACACTAAATGATCACCTCGCTATTGAAACTACTAGAAAGAACAACCATCGTTGGATGGTAGAGCTAGCTTCTGCAATGAAATATTTACATGAACACCAGCCAGTTATTGTACATAGGGACTTAAAGCCCGAAAATATCTTCATCACCGCACAAGGTTGTTTAAAAGTAGCTGATTTTGGATTGGCTTTGCACAGTATTAACCAACAACAGTTCGAACGTTACAGTACAAATGTCGCCAGCGACAGAAGTGTATGCGGAACAAAAATGTATCTTGCGCCTGAAATTTACGACCAAATCTACGCCAAAGAAGGCGATATTTTCTCGTTGGGGTTGATCTATTGTACAATGATTGAACGAACCTTTGTGAAAGTTGGAGGAAAGTGTCATTATGCTGTGTATTTTAAGCAAGAGAATGAAGGAAAATGTAGTATAATTCCTGTAGGAGTTCATATGAGATATTCCCGCAACAGCAATCACAGAATCGACTTTTTATTCCGTAAAGCAAACGATTATGAAAAATCACTAATAAAGCTGATGCTGCAGCGTCATCCAGCAGTTAGACCTCCTGCATCTGATATATACAGGCGCTGTAGGTGGATGGAGTCTGTTGATGGAAAGTCCAATCACTATGTTATACTTAAAACAGTAGTTGGAGACGTCAATAACATAGTTAAAGACGAGTCCTTACGTTTTACGTTATTGGTAATAATCGTATTTGTACTTTGCTGTATATTGTTAAGCTATCTCTACTTTGGTATCTAACCAACTTAATTAAATAACGGTTCAGCATGTAAAATTCTGAAGTCAATCACTTTCACTAATGTACTGCTCTGTTTATTGCAATGTTAAAATATTTCTTATTACTGTTTATCAACATAATAAGATGTACTAATATCTTCTTCCATGGACTTCCATAGACTCTAGTATGCGTACGATATATTAATTAGAGGTGAGGGTGATAATGGTACGCAGGTTCTCTCTCTGAGAAGGCTAAGGTGATGAATAAGTAGCTGTATAATATTTTTTTTATTCAACCGCTCGATAAGCGAGCACACTTATCCTACTCTTTTATTTCCCAGTAAAATATTTATTGTATTGCGTTTCATATTGCATGCCTGCGAGAAAGTTATTTAAGCACTGTGAGATTTCTTGAATAGGCATACTCAGAGCATCGATAATTAATTAATCATAATCATGAACCTGTATGCTTGTATATACAGTATGCATTATGCAATGTGCGAACACTTTAATAAGTGTAATGTATTCTATGCGGTACAAAGATGTCCTTTATTTAATTGAAATTATAGCAACATGTAATGCTTAAATTAGCGATTCATACTGAAAGAATTGTAATTATTATTCTGAGCTATTTATTACAATTAAGGCATTTCGTCTATTACATTGTTTTCGGTATATACTGCATTGTATGAAGGCAAACTTGGTACACCCATTCTACGGAAAATAGTTACAATTCTTCTAATTTATAGATTTATTTATTTATTGAATAAAAGACGTACTACATTTGGAATGAAGAAATATCTAATGTGACCACTGAACGGTATCTGTCGTACTTTATACGTTTACAGTTCACCACGTCCTTGCGAATGTAGTACACAATTAGTGGCTAGATCCCTGTCGATGCAAACCTCGATATTAATTTTCAACTCAATAATATAATTATGATTCAATGGATCAAAATCAAAATTAAATACGCATACTAGATGTTACTCCAGCATTTTCATAATTCTATACTTTGTCTACAGTGATGGGCTACGAGTTACCGTCAATAAACTTAGGGAAAAAAATCATACGTTATGAATCGCTTACAAGCAAATCGAAAAAGCTTACTATCCTTAGAGATAATCTTACTATGGTCAATAGACTTCTGGAACCATTTGTATTGTGTTGCGTAAATTACTACCGATTAAATAAAATGCAATATGCGTAACAAAGCATAGCTAAGCATGAGAGAAAGCTGATCACGTAGTCTACAGTTCACTAAATGATCTTTGCAGAATAGATTTGTTCCCAATTTAACTTGTTAATGACAATCAACTGAGAGCCTTATCTTTTCGCCAGTATGGTAGAGAACTTTATTATACTGCATAATTATAGTAACTTTGCATACATTTATTTAGAAATCAAATGTACTCGTAACTGGTAACTTTTTGTAAACATGTATAACACGATGCCAAAAGCGTCACCGACGTTTTGATTATGCCACCATGTTAACATAAGTCTCAGGAGCAGTCATGATCGTTCCATCTCCGAGTTTAATATTATTATTTAGGGACCATCCGATAGGGCAATTAAGCATCATACGAGGTTGATACTCTACTTACATCGTCTACAGGATGTATTCGGTTAGTACCAATCACCTAAACCTAACCTTAATATTTCTAAAACTTAAATTAGTCTCCTTGATGACTGTAACAAATTGTGAACTATACCCAGCATTGAGATATGCGCTTAATAATAATCTCACTCAAGGCAATATATAGTAAGGAGTTAACACGGAATAAAATCTTGACAATACAGTATAAACCTCATATCGTTCTCACTGCGTGCATTTATTCATTTATGATTATATTACTGCAGCTAGGAATAGAGAAGTCCAAAATGATACAAAGAATAAGTTATTTAAAAAAATGCAGATATATATAATTAAGTTTTACAAGACTGTACGTCGTCTACAATAGTAATTATCGCACTCTAAAACGTAAGATCTATGGTAAGAAAAGAAATACGGTATAATCGTAATATACAGTACAGTAAGTTCTGTATCAATTACATACATCATTGTAGATCAATTATAATTATATAAAAGGTGGCCGACTCTTACAATGCCATATTAAGAATTATTAATTAAAAATTATCATTGTATTCAACATATGACAAATATTGCAGTTGACATTTAGCCGGAGTGGGACTACAGAAGACTAAATCGGAATAGCGTTTGTAAAATTGAATGTTAAAGACAAATAAATAAATGCAGCGTATAAATAAATAAACATATAAATAGATAATTAAGTATTGCATTTCTTAAATAAGTCAATACATTAGTGTTTCGTTCTTTTGCAACGTAAGACACTATACTATATATATTCAAGGCAGTCAGAACTGACCGAACCTCGAACAGGCGGAGCTAGAAGTCATACCTCTTGCAAAGTAAGTAGATCAATCCAAGAATAGGATATAAAAGTTTAGATCAATTATACGACTGACACTCTTTCAAAGCTAGATTTTCTATAATGTATTTTTCCTGTAAGAGTAGATCGATTAATACGGTCACTGACTTTTGTTTTTAATGTATCCCCGTAATGCCCATATGGCATTGAACCTGAGTCTATCACACCGGACCCATTCCCTGATGACCCTGTATTCGTATATCAATTCCGTACAACTTATTTACTATCCCACCATCTTTATCTTTAGTATATCCACTATCAGGAATATCAGCTATAAATGAATAATAAAATAAACAGTAAAATCAAATTAAATGGAGAATGCCCACCAGTCAATAGAATGGTTATCATAATATGGTATCATTATAACGTACCATTGCGTAATCCTTCATTCAGGCGTGATGTACCTTCTTTCGAATCCGTGAAAGTTTGTAGCTCTAATCTTTTATTTTGCTGGCTAGTTTCGTGCCTCATATCTTTGCTAGTACTTACTTCATACCTATTATCTACGCTATTTGGGGTCTTTTAATGAATATAAAGTCAGAAAAGTCAGTACTTTAACTAGTATAAGTAATCCAGTAGAACTAATTATATTATTGACAACCTGTACCTCTGCCTCTGAAAAATGGGTATTCTGTGAGGAGTAAACGATCGGAGCCTTACAATATTTATTCTTGATACTAAGGCATAAATAATACAAGAGTCAAATTATGATTTACCGTTCTATATTACAATATAAAAAGAATACTACAACCAGGTTATTATTTTAAGGTATCATTAACAATTATGCCTAATCAACCTATCAATGGAACTACTCTTCTGGCTAGCTAGGTCAGAACTTGAATTAATTTTCAAAGAAGAGCCAAATCGGTAAAGACTTTGATTAAACGTTCTTAACGTAAACTGTCAAAAATTATAAAAAGTTTTTGCACATTCAGGATCTGATGTAATCAAATAGTCGTTTTAAATATACATTCCACCTGAGATTTAGCATGAGTTTTGATGTCCTCTTCTTCATCGTCATCATCACTGCGCAGCTCTCCCGATGCTCTTCTAAGATTAGTCTGACCAAGATCTTGAAGCACTCTTATCCCGACCTAAATTTTTTAGTTACGTCAGGCAAATTATCATTGATCACTTGGGGAATAGGCAAATTACCTGAATTTCGTTTGATGTTTGCTCTCTTCTTTGCTTTGCTTGTCTTTCTCTACGACGTCGGATGAAGTTTCTTATAATCAGCAAAGCGTAAATTTTTGCGATGGTTATATCATTATCTGAAAAGTTAAATAACTTTTATCATAAAAATAGGGCAAATTATCGAGATTTACGAAGTATGAACACTTAAAATTATCGCATAAGCGCATAAGATCTACCTCATACTAAAGTTTATCAAGTCCTATTTCATTTCTTACATAGTATTTTATTATTGCATCAATGAGCTTCTAGATTACATGTACAAAAACTCTTATCTTAAAGTATTGCAGATAATCAGGGAGGATAGCTAAACTCATGTTGTCTCTCCTAGACGTCATCATTGCAGTACACTACTTTTGGTATCTAATTTCAAATACAAATGAAAGGCGAAACAGCTTTCACATGTAAATTATAATTTGTCCATACTAAAACAAAAGAAGTAAACTTTTTTAAGTACTCAGAAGCACGTGCTTTAAACAGCAAAGCTCTTAACCAAGTCATAATTATTAAAAATTAGCTGAATACATTATTGCATTATCAAGACTCTTCAAAGAGTGCGGCCATTCACTACAATAAATTTAGCACAATAATAACAGGAAAACCCTTGAGTTATATATATCTAACAGCGGTAAAGTAAATTGCTACGAATGATTATCTAAACTCTAAAACACATCCCTGCAACAATTCTTAAACCAACTACGAATCGTGATACCATAACCATATGATTATGCTGTATCATAAACATTTTCAGGTTTAATTACCTAGTTCAGCTATATGTTACAAACCTTTTAGAGATAATGGAACAATTTCGTCTAGGAGTTTATTAGGAGTTCTGGGCCAAATCCTCTTAATAATATTTCTTAACTCTCTGTCTCTTAAATCTAAGTTGCCTGATAAATCGTAATTAAAATTAGGGTCAAGGTATTTTATGTAAATACAGCGGAATTTGGTGCTACATCGATAAGTTTTACCTACCGTCTAGTTTAATTTTTAGTTGTTTTCGCACTAAAGCAAAGATCGTAGCATTGAATTTGACGTTGTTATCAGTCCCAAGAGGCATGTGCATACCCATTAAATTCTGAAATAAGAAGCTATTAAAATATCTTTTCTCTATTAAGGAAATTTTCTAGTGTTGCTAACCCTATATGCAGTAGAGTCCGGACATAACTTGCCGAGGCCTAACGGAGGAGAAATTCTTCTAAGCAACTTCACCATGTCGTCAAATTTAATTCGACCTCTAAATTATATAAGTCAAGTTGATAAAGCTTCAATTAGTTTGCACGCTTCACTGATAATGCATATGGTAATTGCGTAAAATTTTGACAGCATTCGAAAAGATACACTTAAATTCAGACTAAAGTATCTATTGTCTAGTCATTCTTTGTTGTGATACGAATGATATTCTTACACCTACCAGTCGCATCTTATACCGTGTACCAAGTATATTGTAACAGTCTTGAACTAAACTAAACTGTTATCAGCAGACTATCAAATCTCATTCAGATTAAAATCAGGGACTTTAATATTTATCAGATCTACCTAACCTCAATTTCATCAACTAGTTACAGTAAAAGCTGTATTAGCTATTAGCTATTAGCTGTCATAATTATTAAACCGAAATAATGTATGAATCAAAATGGATCCCAAGCTAAGTAATATTGACAACAGATTCTAGGATAATACATACAAGCATTCACTTCATTAAGCTCTACATGATATTATATTTCTACGTTGCATTAAAGGCGGGTAAGTCGGATCCGACTTATCTTGCATTAATGGCACTATCGCACTAATAGCGGGTTTTAAGTCAGATTCTGATTAATGCGGGTGTACTAACAGCATTTAAAACGGGTAAATCAGACTGTGACTTATCTTGCGCCTAGTATCTTATAAAATTAGGAGAGGTTCACCTTTAAGGCTTTTTGTGACAGAAACAAGTGAAAGTATAAAATTGGAAAATATGCTGAATACAGTAACCACGAGCTAAAATTATGAGTCCAAAACATGGTCAAGATCTACTTTAGAAACTGCTATCTACAGTATTCCCATATTTACAAATTTTTCATTTCATACAACCGTAATCGTTATGAGAAACTTTTAAGTTGTTATATCATCTCATTGTTATACTCCATAGACAATGAAATGTAGAAGACCTTCAGAGCATGTGCATATTTACGTTTGAATTCAACTTATAGCAGCATAACGAATAACGTTATTAAAGTCTATATACGTAATGCATGTATACTAGTTATGGAATAACTGATTGTGATATATATATCCGTATACATATGAATAGTTAACACGCAGTTCTACCACCATATTAAGACATCAAGATACAGCACTGAAGCCTAACATGGTATTAAATAGATCAATACAGTATGTGCTTACACCCAGCGTATATACTGTAAGCTGTGTAAAAATTAACATACAGCTGTGAGTTGGATAGTACTTTCATGCTTATTACTATTTTAAGTATACATACGTAGCTTCAGGATCAAAAAAGGACCACGCTTGCACAAATTCGTCGAGATGATGAGGGCCAAGAATTGAAATATCTCTCGTCAGGTAATCGAAGTTATCCATAATAACGGCTACAAATAGGTTTATTACCTATAAGAATATCACAACGTTTTACGAACATTTTGTCTATAATATCAATCACATCGAAAATTCTTAAATCAAGCCTTTGCCAAAATGAGCTTACCAAAAATGATGAAAGGACGTAAAATGAAGAAAAATATAAATAACTAATGTTGCTGCCACATGAATTTTCACTGCACCCATTACCGGTCCTCCAAGTGCAACTAAGTGTAATTAGTTGCCAGTTTTCACCAGTAGCGCAGCTATATCAACAGAAAAGTCAAGGAAGCTAGTCATTTATATTTAAAGAATCGATTTTCATACGTTTACAGAATCATCTCCGCTGTAAAACGAGCAGCGCACAATTAATGCACGGATTACTGAAGAAATTATCTTTACGTACCGAAACAGCACCAGTACTGAACTGAAGAACGAATGAAAGTTATTATATTCTGTTATTGCCGACCCAGGTGAAGTCAAAACAGTTCCGAATAACTAGCGAGTGCAACGATCATTATTTAAATCATGGTTTTCTATTCATACAACAAACATAGGTTGATAAAGTCAATTAATCACTACTATAGTAATCCAACCTGCATCCCAATCACAGCATAAATGAAGAAAACGAAAACGATCAGCAAACCAACATACGGCAAGGCCTAATTAAGAATACATTCACATCACATCAATTACTAGAATGATCAAATAAACGTTATTTATTCGCTGCTAGAATCACCCTAATAAAAACATTGGGAAACCAGTTTCTTAACCAACATTAGGGTAAGAGTCAATATAATAAAGTATCTCACCTGAAAGGATTTCATAAATGTCCACAGTAAGGTGCGCATTCCACCTCCTCGACTTAGTAATTTCACCAAACGCATTGCACGAAATAATCGAAAAAAGTTGACACTGAAATCTACAGTTACATTGGAACTATCCTATCGTAAAAGTAATTTAATTAATTCAATTAGCTTATGCCAATGATTTGTATTTATAAGTAAAGAAAAACCTATCGAGAATCAAGAAATACTATCACTGCAAGATCTTATACCTCGAGAATCAAGAAATACCATCACTACAAGATCTTATACTGTAATTTTTAACACTAATTCAATTCCTACCTTGTATATTTCGGATATTACAATATCTATTATGCTTCCGACAACAATAACAAAATCGAAAACATTCCACTTATCGCGAAAATAATTCTATAGAAAGTGAAAAATATTTAGAGATCCTGATGTGGAATTACAAAAATATCAAGCTACACAAGTGCATTGATTCTATCAAACCTGTGGTTTAAAAGCTACTATTTTCAATATCGCTTCTAAACCAAACAGGACAGTAAATCCAATATTCAGATATTCTAATACGTCATTATAAACTCTAGAAGGCCTATAAACCTATTTATTCATAACAGATCATTTGAAATTAGCAATTATGGTCATCAATTAGTTTTGATCACGGAATACATCTATTTTCAATGTTTGATTATTACCTGCATCATTAATGTCATTGTGTTTAAAGTTATAAGGCCAAATATAGTATATTCAAATCCTAGGGAAGTAGCTAACTTCCAAACCGCCAACTGCAGCTTATTTTTGGGTATATATCTTTTTTGGGGCTTTGTTTTTAACGCAAATTCGATACAATTTCGCTTTAAAAAATGAAATAAAACGCTAAATTGGATTTGACTACATTTTAGTATGTCAATAATGCTTGTAATGCTTATACTATATCTCTGTAGTCATAAACTCCGGCATAACTATATGGATTATAATCTATCAATAAAAGCGCTTCAACTAAATATTACTTGATTCTTGTCCAGATCGCAGTTTCTATACTCTTGTTCGCCTTCAGTTTGAAAAGTTACAATAACGAAGCCAACAAATATGTTTACCATAAAGAATGCTACAATAATTATGTAAATTACGAAGTAGATCGCTACGAGGGGTTGGTGATTTCTACTAGGTCCTCGGCCAGCTTCCGTTGCATCAATTGCACGATATAGGATACTAAATATACATTTAGAATGTACCTTAAAGGTCAATTTCGATTTTCAACTTGATAACAGAACTAAATCTCGAGAATTCTTAATTTTACAGCACAAATTACAAGCCTGACATTATCTTATGAATGCTAAATTAAAAAATCGGAGAATACCGTATGTCATTAGTATACCTGGGCCATCCTTCGAACGTTGTAATCGTAAATAGAGTCATCATCGCGTTAGGAACATTATCAAAATTGAAAGAAGATTCTTTCCATATACGTGGTTCAACCTCAAAATATAATGAAAAGTTTGATAAAACTTCAATGAAGTTGCATAAGTACGTACTGCTCGAGGAAACACAAGAAAGTAACAATAGCACATTCATTGAAAAGCTATGCTAAGTCTATTTATCGTAGCATGGAACTGAATAAGATTAACAACGATACTTGCTATATTTGAAAAGAAGTCAACAAATACTTTATCCCTTAACTTCAACAGCTGAATCAATTTTAATCAAAGGCAGCGTTTATCACAGCGACGTCGATAAATACTTATTTAATTAATCGCAAGCTAGAAATCTTAAAGAAAGCGTTTACCTATGCAACTAAAGCTAATCTGAAAATACAGTTACAACTACAGTAATGAAAGACTTCTGCTACATCTTTACCTACTATTAAATGCGGCACCAGCGATTATAAAATGGTGAACTATATTTAGCTATCGATTACAACGCTAAATTTACCGTACAACACTGATTGTACAATACTTCGATGTCGGACGCTCAGCAAGATGATAGTAATCAGAAAGTTAAACAAAACGAATACTGCCCTTTAAGTATAAGTACAGATAAACGACCTTTCCGATATGATGTAATTAATGAACATAAATACTTCAATATTATTAAAAAATTTTTCCTAAAGAGATCAGATTACAAGAGCTGTTTCCTCCTTATCTATAAATAAATTCTGCTTGTTCCTGCGTACATTAGTCTATAAATATTAAAATATGACTGTGTGGCCACGAATTCAAGGCATAAAAGTTACTAGTTTCTCGCACTGCTATGAAGAAAGTCTACTGTAAATGATTGCTGCACACAAGACAAATATGACAAATTTACAAAGGATACACATCTTTATAATTTACGATACCTGAGTACTAAATACTCGATTATTACCGCAGTATTCAGCGTAGTACTGTAGCTATTGTATCTTTACTAACAAGTTTAATGTTACGTACCATTGACAATCACCAAATATCACATAAAAATACGTTATAAATAAATATACTACCGAACACTATAATACAGGATCAGTAATGCATAACTTTCAAATATAAATTGTTTACAGGAATTGACAAGCACGGTCTTCAAACAAAAATATAATCAAAAAAATTTTTAAAACCGAAGACATAGAGCTTAATGAGTATATAAAATCGTAAAATTTGAACCGCTAATTACACAAGCTACCTGCAAATAGTTTAAATCTCCCGTCGGATAATTATAGTAAGATCCCCTAATGACAAAATATTGTTGAATACCGTGAATAAAAATTACTAGGTATACAAATTCTATAACTAGTAAATGAAACAATGACTCTAACGACAACAGAACTTAGCCCTAACTTGCATGTGCTATTATCCATTTTAGATGCATCTGTACAAAAATAAAATCTTCCCTATTGTAGCAAAATGTGTTGACGTTAAACAATTGATAACAAGTAGAGATATCTTTCTTTAGAATTCACTTACTTTAAATAACTGGACTCCTATTACAGCGAACATGAATACCAATAACAATGTAACAAGCATGATACTCCAGATGGTTTTTATTGCTACAAAAACGCACTGAACGACATGCTATCATAATAGAAAATTACAAATACCACTTTATTCACATCGTAGACGACAGTAATACAATTAAGAATTAGCCAAAGATAACAAACCTTCAATCCACGCGCTCGATTTAATGCCCTTAAGGGTCTCAATACTCGAAGGACACGGAGTACTTTTAGCTGTTTCAAATTCTCTTCACTTTAATATAAATGTACGCGTATATAAACATTCACCGTTTCAATAATCAGTAGCTCATCAAATATAACATTATAAACATTTAATTTACTTACGCAATTGTATAATCTGCAATAGATACAGCTATAACGATCATATCAAGGATATTAAATATGTTTCGAAAATACGATCCTTCGTGCATTATTACCCCAAATGCAATCATCTATAATTTGAAACGTAGTTAAAATTGTTTAAAATATCGTATCATTGATTTATTAATTTAATGAATACCGACGCAACAATAGGTAAAACAATATTCTGTTCTATAGTAGATCTTCCAAAATGAAAACTTACTTTCATTGCCGCCTCAACACAGAATATTGCTGTAAAGGTTTTATCGCAGTAACTCAGAACCTAGACAAATATATTAAGACATTCTTTTCAAATTACGTAATTGATTTTAACTCAAAAAAGTTACCGTGGAAATCATACACGCCTAACCTGATTTCGAATTTTATCTTTCCCTAAGGGATCTTCAGCAGCTAGAGTTATGCTGCTCAATATTATAATTATTAGTATAATATTAGAAAAGTAAAGATTGGTGACGAAATCGAAAATCTTGCAACGAAATCTAAAACAGCAAAGAAATATACAGCACTTCATTTCTTCTCATGAAAAGTGAAACGATTGAATACCTGTATTATATATAATACGACATAATACTTTAAGATAGTTTCCTATTGAATTTGTCGTAAGTCATCTAACCTATTTGTGGATTTAAAAAGAAACATTGACGTAGCTTTTGGTATTGGCACAATAACTCGATCAGGAATCTTTTTCCAATTGATTTGTGTAGTATTGGTTCGAAAAGAGGCATCTAAACGAGGTCTAGCTGGCTCTTCAGCTGAAAGATTTACAAAACATAGATAATCATGTTACTGATGCGATACTGAAGTCTATAGCAAATTTTTTTGTTGCAATTCACAATATCACGATACAAGAACAATGCAACGGGAAACTACACTATAACTTCAAAAAATTTAACTGGTTTACATTTGCAAAATGCAAAATAGCCCGTAATTATAAATTTTCCGCTATGTGCTGCTTGAATCTACTTACTACAGTCACTGTTCGAATCTAGTTCTTCAACTCGAGACAGTTCAGATTCCTGACAACCACATCAAAAAATATTACTGTATATGTACTAAAATCAAAAATTTATGAGCCCAAAGTCACTTCAATTAAGTTCTTACTGTCTCGCTAAAAACAGCCATTTTGTATACAGGATTCGAAAAATCATTTTCCAGATCTCCCTCGTACATAACTTTAGATAATTTCTGTATATCATCCTTGAGTAAAGAAATTAAGTGAGCACATACGTTAACTGGAGCCATCCATCAAGGTGGCGCAGATACTTAAATAGTGAAACTTTAACCAGACTGTGACTACTTCATATACAGTAAAATTCCCAAGAACTTACCGGATTTTCCTCGGAAGAAACATTTTCTACGGCGGAACTAAACATAGATAAAGATAAATATCAAAACACTGTAAAGCCAAAGGAAAATCTTTGGTATTCGCTAGCATTTTATTAATCAATTTACTAACCCAATACTAATATTACCATAACGCAAAGACTGTACAGGTGTCTGCAGCTTCTGTAACCTCTGCTCTTTCGCCATTTTCCTCTTTGCATTTCTCCTTTCATTTATCTCAGTCAAACTCTCAGCATTCGCTAGATTATCCACCGCAATAGCAAGAAAAACATTCAAGAGAATGTCTGTATTTCAATCATCTTCAGTTAAGGATAAATCAGTTTACACCAGAACATACAAACGGCTATTAAATTTGTACAACCATGTTAAATCGAAGTACAGCACCTAAAGATACAGTTCCCTACTACAACTAAGATAATAAAATAAAATACAGCTAAAATGCCAAATCTGTCGATTCCGTCCAAAGCTTTTATGCCGTTATACATAATCTCATTCCAGTCTTCCCCAGTAAGAATCTAAATGATTAAAGGAATTAGTCACCAACAGAACATCTACTAAAACATAACTCTCGTCATATAACTCTCTCAAGCAAAGAAATACCTGAAATACGGTTAGCAATGATTGCCAAAATGAATCAAAGTTACTACGTGGAATAGACTTGTTAAAATTAAACCTATTTCAAATACCCAAAATCAATATCGGTAACCATGACATCCTATGGTATACAGATTGATTACTATCATACACAAACACACCTTCCCCCAAAAATTTGCATTCCTAATAATGCAAAAATTAAAACGAAGAGAAACAGCAGCAGTAGAAGGCTAGCAATTGAGCGCATACTATTTAAGAGTGATGCAACTAAATTACGAAGTGTGTTCCAATATCTATAGATAATAAATACATCATCTCAAATATTAGTCAAAAATCTCACCGAGAACAGCTTTTAATCAGACTACTGTCAAACTTACCTAGTTATTTTAAATATTCTAAGTAATCGAACACAACGCAGAACGCTTAAACCAAGAGCAGCAGCTCCTCCAATTATAGCAATAAAAATTAATTCGATTATACTAACAAGAACAACCTGAAAAAGTCCATAAACACACGGATAGGTTTAACTTTGGAACACGTTGAGTAACTAATTACAATTGAGATATATCTAAGCATATAAGATTTTATAAACCAAAGAAAGAGAGCTTTGTCTTACCAGAAAGTCAAATCTGTTAAATAAAGACATAAAATATCCTTCAATTCCTAAAGCATACATCTTAATGGACATTTCAATCGTGAAAAGGCCCACAAACACAGAATTGGTAATCGCTGTAACCGATTACAAATAGTTAGTACTCTTTGATATTTAATAAACAAGATCTCAAACAAAATTGTAGCACTAGCCCTGTAAAATATGCGTATAGCAATATGTAAACCCCCTACAATGTCAACTTTGTTAACACAACCTACATAAAAACTGCGTGACCACCCTTTGCTGTTCATAATGTTCCACAGCCAAGCATATAGTATTTAATAGCACAGCCAGAATAACCAGCCAGTAGAACGTTTGACTTTTGACTACAAGACGACAGTATCTCCTAGACCTTTTGTGCCATCTCTTCAGCTGATGCCTAAATACAAGTGAGAATTTAACTTTCTGATCCCAACGCCAATACATAAGAAAGCGACTGTACATGATAATGTATCACTAATATATGTCACACATACGCGTATATACCTAAATCGAAAACAGTAAACTTTCTTTTCCTCGACAGCAGATCCTTGGCTGCCATGTTCGACGTCATCAAATCTAACTCCTTCCGCTGGTAGGTTGATGTCAATCGTGGTGCAATGTCCAAACGAATTCGCCAAAAAAGTGATATACCAACAATTAAAGTTTAAATTTAAAAATATAATATAGAAATTTTGGGTACCTGCAACTTGCTGTTCCATATCAACTTGTAAGTCATCCACATCAACTTCTAAGTCCTCGGCTTTACCTATCCATTCCAAATATCCCCTATAATCTTCCTCAATTTGGCGTTTTTCTCGTAATTTCTTGAAATCTCCCGAAACTCTTGCTTTTTCCCGCTCCTTAGAAAACTCACTATATAATAATAACGAAAGACATTTAGACAGTACATCGAACAGAAATCACTTATTCTTTACAGCTATTATTATCAAGTCTAATAGTGTATAATGTACATGTACAGCATTGTACTGACTCTTTATATTCTAAAGACAATAACCCACCCGCTAAGGACACCGAGAACTAAATTCAGCACAAAAAATGAGCCTAAAATAATAAGCGTAACGAAATAAATCCAAGGCCATTCACTACCCACTGCATCATTTATCTGTAAATATAAGAGCACATACAAATGAACGTTGTACAAATATAAAAGACATTAAAATATTATTCAAAGCCTAATCTTCATATAATGATCATTGTAAGCACTAATATACAGTATTTCTATACATTAAATCCAAAATCTATGTGATAGTTCCTATTTGAATCAAAGGAATAGCGTACACTATACATAATATTAGTCCATCCTTCCATAGTTATACATTGGAAAACGGTCAACATAGAGAGGCCAATGTTGTCAAAGCTAGTTATTCCCGCATTGGGTCCAGTCCAATTGCGCAAACAGACATATCCAGACTTGCAGTGGTGGGCAGACTCAAAGGATTCCGAAGCAGCGCATGGACGAGGATCATTAATTAGCTTTTCTGATTACAGAATAGATGCAGTTAATTAACTACAATAAACCTATCAAAACATATTAATATCATAATAACGAAAATAGTTGTGCACGCAATCGATCGGTATTAATTCTGTGTAACCAAAAGGTTAAAGTTACAGATTACAATATAACTGCAACGTCTTGAAGTCCGATTTACTAATTAGCCTTCACGGTTTCGTGCACCCAATATTAGCGAGTATAACCTAGGCGAGAGTCTGCTTACTGCAACGTACAAGTATGTATTCCTTATAACTTGAACTGAGGGCCACCAAAATTTGTTAACTGAAACAACTAAATTACAGTATTTCCCATTTCGATTTCAAATACTATCACTTATCGGCGTCGATACTAATTAGTACAAATCCATTACAACCGAATCATTTATCAAAGAATGTTTCATTCCATAGATAAATCACTTACAGTAAATAGAGTACAATACTATCGACTGTTAGCTTACAGGCTTTCAATTAGATCTAGTGCTGCTTTCAAACAAAAATACCCTTAATTACGGTATATTTATATCAACATGTGAGAGCTTGTACTACCCAAGCAGTGTCTATTAGTTTCAATTTATTGTACAGTATATATACTGTATATATCTATCTGCCATAATCAATAATTCATTAACTATCTATAAATTCTTCAGTTTCAGCCATAAATTGCTACATAAAAATTTTTACAATATAACGTATACTTTGTTATTTACTTGTGATGTTGTGATAACATGCTCGATGCAGGACTCCGTTAAATAATTCTAAACCAATGGTTGCATAAATTATTATTACAAATACCACAAGCGCTGCAACATGAAATAGAGGGACCATGGCCTTCATAATAGCATTCATCACTACCTGTAAACCTAAACATTGTTGATTGCAGAGCCGTTTAAGCGCGTTTTCTAAAAGGATTCTTCTCTCTAAATACATCTCTACTACACAATTTAAATTTTCAAGGTTCATGGCCCTTGTTATGCTTACTAGGAACGCCTGACACCAATCTCAAAGGCCTTAAAACACGAAACGCTCTGAGAGCTCGCAAGACATCAATATTTTGATTAGATGACGAAGTTGCAGTGAAGATGATATTTATGATACTACAGAATCAAATAGAAAACATTTGTACATACATGACCATTACATCCATACGAGTATTTTAGACTCATACTTCAAAAGTTAGGAACTTTTCAACATGATCTATAGCTTAAGTGTACTAACCCAACAATTACAATTATGAAATCTAATATATTCCATCCATTCCTTAGATAAGCTCCAGAAGGAATTGCAAAGCCATATGTGATTATTTTCAAGAAACTCTCGATAGTAAAAATTGCCAAAAATACGTATTCCACCTTTTCCTTAAGAAAATATTGCGAAAGGGTACTAAATTGTAGGTATATTTCATTTGACAAAAATTACTGTTACATTTCGATATGAAATCAATTCTTTCTTCGCTTATGACATTCGAACGATCGTATTCGCCGCATACGTACTGTATATGCTGTACTGTACTTTATTACATTAGATTAACATGATCAAAAGGAATACTGTACTTCGCGTACGACCAGAAGGTCGTAAACGCGTTTTGTTACTAGTTGGCTACCGTTTCATTGCTTCATATACAGTACTGTACTGTACTGTATAGACGATTTTTATCGTCAAAACATACTGTACTATTAATGATAGCTAGCGAAGACAAGTTTACGTCCGCAATAAATACAGTAATACGCATACCTTAATACAATAACATATTAACCATAAAGTATTTAAATTATAGTTCTATCTATTGAATAACCGAAGCTACTCACCATATTCTCATTCAGCAGCGTATTATCATTATTAGGTAAAGGCTGATACAGGGCCAGGGCAACGCAATTAGCAAAAATAGTGAATAGAATCAAGTATTCAAAGGCTGTAATAACGCCGAACGATGTTAAGAAAAACCTTAAACTAGTAGATTGATTAGTACTGCACATAAGAGATAGTGATTTTTGTTAGAATTCGTAGTGAAGACTTCACTTGAAGATTCCAACGACTTCATATAATTAATCAACAATGGTTGAATACTTCAGCGGATAAACCCTCACAAGCTACAGGTTACTAACAAGTGTAGAACCTTACATACTGTAGTAGCACTGTAAAAAAGTACCTTACAATAATACAACGATACGAGCACGCATTGCGATACGAAAGTGAGATTTAATAAAGTTGCTAGGAATATACTGCAATAAGAAGAAGCAGCGTATCAAATGCGTGACATCTGACCGTCACTCGTATTACAGCTAAAACCCTACATGAATATAAGTCCTAAATTGAAGTTTAAAGCATTAACTCTACTTATACAGGTGACATTTATTACTACTTAAAGGATATTTTTTTTCCACAACCGTGGTAGCAAACTGTCTGATAGGATTATCGGTTTTCAAGAAAAATAGGACTCTAGCAGCTCGAGGAGTTAAAGCTCCTTGTTTCGCCTTGTAGTGTTGAATTCTTCCTTGAATTGCTCCTCGTCGTTTGGCTCTTGCTATAGCAGCTGTCTCAAGAAGCGTACCAGCAACAGACGGAGACAATCGGTCTCGAATATCGCTCAGATCTAATGTGCTTTTGCCATCGTCTAAATGATAAACGTAATATCAGCATAAATGTACCAAACTACGGTGTACACGATAACGTCTTCCGGATATCAGAGACGAATCAGATAGGAGTATTGTACAGACTAACATTCAATCATCATTATAACTCCGCGCAGTTAACAATTAATGTTCGTGCGCACTACAAATTCTAAAAATATAAGAAATCATAACATAAATAAATAAATACTGAAAGGCCTCAATAACCTACAGAAACAGAATCGGACGTCATCAAATCGAATATCTCTTCAAACGCGAAAATCAATAAAACAAATAGAGTTCATTACTTCAGTTATTACACTACTTACGATATGAAAGTTCAAACTGAACTGAAATGATTAGAAACTATAGTTCACATCAATTCCCTTCTGTACAGCGATAGTCCACAACACATTATTGAGTATTAAATCGGAAATCAGGGCTGTCAGATTTCAGAGAATCTTACCTTTACAGCTAACATATGATGCGAATGTATGCACAAGTAAGTATTACTACTTTAGGTTGCAGCAGAAAATTAATCCAAGTTCAATAAGCTGCACAATCACAGAAAAATCTACTCCGTACCGTTACATTCTTTAACTCCTGTAACACAGTCATGTGGCCATCTTTATAATCACGGTCACAAGCCTGTAATTTCCTAGCAGCAAACTACCAGAGCGATAGATCGCTGATACAGTTCAGAGAATTCTAGACATGACTTTCTCTCGAGATATACTGTACAGTAATATATAATGATACTACGCATACTACAGTAATAGACATTCAAAACAAGGCCTTCGTAAAGTTAACTATTAATATTATATTAATGCACCTCGTAATTGTACGATCTTTTAAGTTAATTGACGCAGCAGTTCTAGTTGATGAAGTAAATTCTAATTAGTACGTCAAAATACAGTACTGTACAGATGGGAATGTCACTGAACTCGTACTACAACATTCAGTACTGTAGATAATTCTAAATGCGAAAGAAAAAACTAATATTCCACATAAACCGTTATAAAAACGTAAGACGAGTATTCAGATATCCATACATTGCTAGAAAATCGACAAAACTGTAAACTAATAACCGAGTCTTCTTCATACGGCATTTGCAAACAAACAAACAAATTATATATCATAATGTCCCTTTGAAAAAAAGACGGAAATAAAAGTACGTATTTCATTTGGCACAATGAATCACTTTACGAAATTGCATAACAATTTACCTGTGCCTACTTTATCATCAGCCATCGAGAAATGATAAAATTTTGCTCTACAAAACACGTACTGTGAATAAATAAACAAAAAATATAAATACTGGTACAGTAATAAACTCGCGAAAGACTTAATTTACTTGGTGCCTAAACGAAACATCGGCTATACTGTACAGTGCGTCTTTATTCCTTATTCTCGTATTGTGGCTGCAGTACTGTACTGTACAGTACTGTACCTACAATACAGTACAGCCAAACAGGAATGTACAGTACAACAGTACTGTACTGTACGCGTACGGGAGGCGCAAAACTCGAAACTAGAGTGACATTGCGTGTACAGGACAGTACAGTACAGTACAGTATAATGCAATTTATTCTAGCAGCTGTACACACAGTACTGTACTGTACTGTAGTTTCTTGGAGTAACAGTTTTACTGTACAGTACTGTACATAGGGGAAAATTTTGATTGAGTAATCAGTTCTGACTTCTGAGCAATCCCTACCCTCAGCAACACTGACTTTTTTTACCAAATGAGGCCGTAGATATCGAAAAATGGTTACTTAGTATGGAGCTTCCGTGTCTGTTTTCTAAATTCCTAGTACTGATTTAAATGATATCTACGACCTTATTCATATATCTGTTTCCAAGCAGAACTTAGTAACAGATAATAAGATTCAGTGTAATATAGCTTAATTTAGTAAAAATCGATCAATTTAAAATCGATTGTCTCCATACTAGAGTAGTTTCATAACTAGGCGTTTGGCACAATATTTTGACGGGATGAGACCGAAAGTATCTGTCCGTCCAAGAGTGGTCAGTCCGGTCTCGGTCTTCTTTACGTATATTACTGTACGGTAAAGTAATGTGGCGGTAACTACAGCATCGCGCTGTACATAAAGTTCTTAGAATACTTACTGTACTGTACAGTACAGTACAGTACTGTATACTCATTATGTACAGAACAGTACTACTGTATAGTGAAATGGATAGTAGTGTACAGTACTGTACAGTACATTACAATACAGCACAGTGTATTAACACTTAACTCGTAAATAAACATTACAATCCTAATTCTCTTGTTAATTAGGTGTTACCGTAACCTGTTGAAGAATCTGCAACAGAATGTACAAACGTAAAGATTATATCACATTTATATTTGCAAGTACTTTTAATGGAAATTGATATTGACGGACTAACATTCTTTTCAAATTTTGATTCTGGAAATCTGGCAAATGTTGAAAAGTGTCGTGGCAACTCAAACAGTGACAATGTATGTGAATTTAATGTATGGACATCCCCGGACTGCGCCAACACTCCATATGAAAAAGATTACTCATCATGGTTTTATTTTGGTATTCGGGGCAATGTGCCGAATAAAAAACTCCAGATTAACGTTGTCAATATGAATAAGCAAGTAAGATTGTACAGTCAAGGTATGGCTCCACTCGTAAAGTCTATACCAGAACAGTCTTTTTGGAAAAGAATCTCGAACCCAGTTAACTATAAGGTTCGTACAGCTTGATTCTGTACAGTTGCATAATAAAGTAAAGAATAATAATAAAATATTCAGTACACTTAGTTATGAATTACAGATAAGTCTCGGAGTTGGTTGATGCCCGAATTATAATTATTGTTTAATAAATCTAAATTTTACGAATTTATTACAAGCATCACCTTACGCGTACACATACTGTACTCCAGCGTACGCTTTCATGAAAGATCCTAAAGGACTTCTAGTGTACGTGCTATAGGCACAAACGGTCATTTAGTCAGAAACGTGCAGCAATTTAATTAAGGTACTTACATTTTGATGCTTGATAACTTGCCTATTAAAATGCATGTACACAAATCACACGTTTATTAAATTTCCTGCAACTGACTGTTTTTGTAACTGTTTATTAACGTTACCTGGAAGTCTTTGATGCAAAATGGGGGTTCACATTCTGAAAGCTAAAAAAGCAAGAGTTGCAGGAAATACTCTATAGAAAAAGCCAAATACTATAGTATGCTGTGCTACAACATCGTCTCTAGTATACGACATTCAACATTAATTCCATAATTGACCAGCTAGTAGGACTAGTAAGCCACTGTTATAAAGCTTACTAAGTGACCTTCTCGTTTAATTTTAAACAGGTCGAAAATGGAAGATTCATATTATCTTTTCAGTATCAATTGCCTGATCATGCGGAAAGTGTTACCTATTTTGCCTTTTGCTATCCCTACTCATATTCCAAATGTCAAGAAAGGTTGAACTGCCTTGAGCGCCAATTTCACATCAGTGATAACCCTTGTGGATTAAAATCTGATACTATTTACTTTTATCGAGAACTACTCTGCTACTCAATTGAAAAATTAAGAGTTGATTTGGTGACTGTAACCTCCTGCCACGGTGTTTTAGAAGACAGAGAATGTCCACTTAAAGAATTATTTCCGGAAGGGAATAAACCGCGGTGTCATAAATTCGAAGGGAAAAAGGTTTTTAGATGTAATTGTTATCTTACTTTAGCAGTAATAAGTGATGTGAATTAAAACTGAGTTTGAGTCATCAAGACATGTTGCATTAATACACGTGTACTGTTGCAAATTTGTTACTGTCAACGCACAGTTACAACATGTGTGCGAGATCGTCTAGTAAAGTATATACTCGTACTACGCGGAATTGTTTACTGCTAAAACTGGAACTTATTTATAGCGAACGTATGTAAAATTAAATGTCAAAATATTTTAAATTAATTATCATCTTTCGTATTTCCAGGTTTTTTTTGTAAGTAGTAGAGTCCACCCTGGAGAGACTCCTTCTAGCTTCGTTTTCGACGGATTCCTCAACTTTATTCTCCGCCAAGATGATCCTAGAGCGATAGCACTAAGGAAATATTTTGTGTTTAAATTAATCCCGATGCTAAATCCAGATGGTGTTAAACAAGGTCACTATCGAACCGATACGCGCGGCACTAATTTAAACCGAGTGTATTTAAATCCTGATTATAGAATACACCCATCTATATTTGCAGCCCGGACTCTTTTAGAATATTATCACTTCGAGTACGCCGTATCTTCACACGGCAAGCTTACTACAAGTCAACTTAAGCATACCGTGATGAAAAACGAGGATAGGTATTCGAACCTTTCTTTAAAGTTATACAAACCCTTCGAATACATTACTTACGTAAAATAATTACTTGTAACTCCATTAACAGTACCAAAATTAACAATGAATAATATGATATATGCATAGATATCATCCAGCCCGAAATCATGGCTTACAACAATCCGTTAGCACTAAATCAGTGCAAAATAGCTCATCACAGAATTTGTGTGATCTATCTCATGTAAAAGTACCTCTGTACCAGTATAATCAAGGGTCGCCGTTAGCCGGCAATAAATTGGATTCAAGGCTTAAGCAACATGCTAATTCTAGCAGAAAACTTGATTTCGATAAAGTACGAGGCTTGAAAGTCATCGCACCAAGTGACGATGGTGTAGCGTTTTACGTAGACCTCCATGGACATGCATCAAAGCGTGGCTGTTTTATCTATGGGAATGCTCTAGAGGCGGCAGAAGATCGTATTAAAATTCTACTATTCGCTAAATTAATGTCATTTAATTGTACACATTTTGAGTTCGACAGCTGTAACTTTAGCGAGCGTAATATGCGAGCGCGTGACAAGAAAGATGGCCTCTCGAAAGAAGGTAGCGGGCGAGTTGCTATTCACAAAATCCTAGGAATAACTCACAGGTTTCAACATACAATCAAAAAAGATACTACCATAATTAAGGTACCTAATTCATATTGCAATTAATTATTTTTTTTTACAGCTACACCTTAGAATGTAATTACAATGGTGGTAGAATAGTAAACAATGTTCCCAGCGCTTCTAGTGACAATGAAGGAGCAGACCTGGCAATGCCACTCAATACTACACTTCAGTACACTTGTTTACATTACGAAGAGGTTAGTTATGCTTTCTATTCGGTGCTATCAATTAAGACAAAAATTACAAGCACCAACGTTGTCAATCTACACGCTAGATCGGTCAGGCAGTTGCTATTAGCGCGTTAGACATTATTAACGCTAACCCTCTGTCTCGAATTGAAAAATCGGAATTCCGCAATATGAATGGTGTCATTAGATGGATAACAAATTATGAAAAACACAATTCAAGGCACCTTCGCCAGAAGAAATCTCGATGGCTCCGAGCAGAATAGTAAATAAGACACTGTTATACCCAATTCGTTCAGGATAACTTTAATGATTACTGCAGCATGCTATTCGGAATTGCTGAGATAATTTCGAAGAGTCATTTCTATTTTTAACGAAACTAATGCTATATTTAGTAAAATTGATGAATATTAACTTCTTGCGACCAACTAGTTTGTCCTAAGGTGACTCGTAAAATTACCATGCGCAATATAATTCTACTTCTATACCCTTAATATTGCCCAGACCTGTCAAGATACTGTACTGCTTATGCTAGTAACAATTTTCTCTAAATAGTGACTTACCGTCACGTTAAATTACTTACAGTTAAAATTGGTCCAACCCTCTTATGTAGACTTATGTGTCACAAACATATGGAGCAGACTAGGCCTAACTTTTGTGACGGTAGGTTCCTAAAATGCTACCAGTACTAGTTGCTGTCTAATACTCGTTTGTAGATTATGCCTATATCGTACACACTTGTGGACTAGAGAGTCACGTAAGTGACTTTCTGTATCTTCGGATATTTCCGTTTAACGGAGAAGTTTATTCTCGTAAACTTTCTACAAATCCTTGTTGTACTAGCTGTTTTATCCATTTAATTAATCCATTTGACATGCTAGGAAATATCAATTTTTAAAAACAAGATATCTTGTGTATAATAAAATAAAATACGCCATTTGATATATATTTGATCGCAAAATTGAATATTCTATAAAGAAGGAACTGGCACACACCTTAGCAGCACCTTTTCAAGGCTGCTATTGGCCATCGCGTTTGATATGCAATTACCGATACTTTGTACAATAATAAAGCGAAACGAAGGATAGCGTATCAGTTATTCGCATTGTGCAATATGCTATATAAATGACATGAATAAATTAATGGTCACTGAACCTACTTATCACATTTTCTTTTATGATATTGTAATTTAATTGTAAGTGTCCACTTTCGTAATTCTCAACTTCTCAATAATCACCAAATATCACCTTCCGAATTGTGATGTTTCGGAAGGTTGAGAGTTGGCATTAGTCACAATAAAGTACAATAGGATAGTTAACGGAAGAGTGACCTTTATTGAACTAACGTAAGAGAATAATCGTGCAAGTAACACTGCGATTAGTCGAATAACTATAGCAGTATAGAATAGGTAAAGCGTGCAAACTTACCGTTTAACCTACCAGAACTAACTAACGAGATAGATGAAAGAAGATAGATTTTATAATGTTTGGAGCACAGCAGGAGGAAATTATTTATAATAAGCGCGAATGATTTATGAAATAGGTTACTTCTATGTTAAGCTAGTGCTACGGTATAGGTTAGCTAGAGTACAAGATATTTCCACAGAGTAAATTGTTATAGATCATACATATTTAGAATTATGTTACAGTCTAGTGAAACTAATACTTCTTCTAAAAATAGACTATACCGTTTTTAGAAGTAAACACATATAAATTATTATCCTCATTCGTCTACCCGAATAAACGATACTGTAGTGTAAACTTAACCTTTTAAGTGCTTTACTATGGCAATTGTGACCAGAGCTAAATTTTGGCTTAGTAAATTTGATCATCAGCATGTTAAATTAATGTAATATTAGGGATAGGGACTGATTGCCGATTCTCCCGATGTTTAAAATAAGATCTGAATAAAGTGAGCTACCGTTTGACACAATAATAAAATAAGTTACGCACTGGTTTACAGCTATACAACGATATTTAATACAGAACAGTAGTGTATGTTGTAACATTGCCCATATTGTAATACTATAACCTATCTCGTATTATAATTTACAGAAATGGGAATGACAAATTTCATCTGGCTTGTCTACACTCGTACTATCTACTGTATTAAGATCACATTTTACAAAAATCCACGTGCACTAGGATATGATATAAAGTTTCTTCATGGTGCGTTGTTGTCGCATGCATGATATTACACTATTCCGTCAAAACGAAATAAAGTAGGGGAATCCAATAGCTTAAAAGAATAGACTCGTTGTCTCATTACAGTTATTAATTTACAGTGTGTCCGTTTCTGACTCGTTTGCTATAATTTATTTACAGTGCTCAAGTGAAGTGATATTGTAGCATATTATACCGATAGCGATGACTTGTCCACGTAAAAATAGCCTAAAACACCTATCCATTTATTTTACTTTGTAAACTTTTAAATAGGAAGATGTAATTTAAGTATAAATGCTCTATGCAGAGTAAAGCCACCATATCATGGTTGTATATATATATATATATATATATATGCGTTTATCTGCATATATTGCAGAAATATAGACGATGAAAAACGATTTGTATGTATATCAGGTATTGATGATTTTGGTGTAATTGTTTATATTAAGGTACTGGTGGTATACCATTTTAATATAACTCGTATTGTATTACTACCACTCAGAACTTTGTAGTCTTCAAATATTTAATGTTTCTCATTCATGTATAGTTTAGAGTATCTTAAAATCAAATATTCATGTCGTCAAATTTGGCAAAGCAATGATGTAGAATCTTAATGACCATTTATTATGAATAATTTATCTAAATTTAGTTAAACATCAAAGACAATATAAGCGGCTGTTAGCTTTCAAAACTATAGATAGTTGCATAGCTTTATCCCATATGTTACTTCAATTTGCGCCTAATTAGGTATAATTAGATAGGTGAGGATAAATTAACCATAATAACGTAGTATTAAATACTATCGTTTCAATTCTAGATATCCTAAGATTCATAGCTACTGTCGCAATTAACTCACAAAAAGTAAAAATTACCATTAAATCGAATACTGGCGTTAGGTAATTATATAATTATTAACAATAACTGTCTTCTTACAGCATTATTGCAAGACTGGGCAAAAATATTTTACCGAGCCGTTTATGATTACAGCTTACAGATTTACAGTGAAATATGTACAAGTATCTAACGACACGATAGGAGTTGGAAAGTGCTATACGCGTATATTATTACATAGGTAAAACCAAGTCGTGAATAGCTATATACATTCCGTTGTATTCCATGCAGACATACAGTGATCGCTATTTAATTCGATTATAGCATCTTTAATATAGTATATCATAATAGTCGGAGAAATTGGGAATTATTTAATGCCAAGTAATTAAATCTTTGATCACGGTAGAATTAATTGATTTTTGGTAAAATTACTCGCTCCGTAAATTCAGATTGATTTGCGGATTTTTGATGCTTTATCCTTCCAGAATTTTGACCATTCAAGTTTATTTTGTCGGCATTACCTCTAGCATTTTGGTTATTTTCCGAACTGTATATTTTATTGACGATGCTACTATTGCCAGTTAACGAAGGGACTCCAGTATTTTTTTGTTCGCTGCTTTGGTGGTTATGACGATTTCTTCTTCTTAGCCATGCATGGCGTAAAGCTTGTGGGGGTGTCATGCGCTGCGCAGGATCCCATTCTAAACAACGACTAAGAAAGTCTAAAAATAATGAATCATCACACCCCTTCAAAGCATCCACTAGGTGCTTAGATTTAGGTGGACCGCGAAACTTTCCGCGGCGAGAACGTCCTCCACTTAATATAACGCTACCATCAGGCGCATTTGTAACTGTGCAATATCGTGGATGTCCTTTAGAGCTTATGAAGTTTTTGCCTCTTTTGGCGGTTTCCAACAAACGTGTGGTTGGCATACCCAGTAATTCCATTATACACGCTAGTTGATCGCCTTCATCTTCTCCAGGAAATAATGGATAACCAGTTAATAGTTCGGCCAAAATACATCCGAAACTCCACATATCAATTGACATCCCGTAACGATTGCCAAGGATTACCTCCGGAGCACGATAGAAGCGGCTTTGAATATATGTATAGATCCTCTGATGTTCGAAACAGCTAGAACCGAAATCGATTACTTTGATACCACTTCTTCCATGCTGCTTTAACAATATATTTTCGGGTTTTAAATCACAATGGATGATTTTATTTCGGTATAAAGCGTCTAAACACTGGAGTATAGAGAAGGCAAATTTTCTGACAAGTTGCAGATTGAAACCTTGAAATTTGTTTTTCTTAATAAGTTCATATAAGTTTATGCTGAGTAGTTCAAAGGGGAGGCATACGTGATTTCGAAACTGGAAGTGATCTAGTATATGAACTATGTTAAATGTATTATCTTTATCTTGTCGCTTTAAATGTTCTAAAATTTTTATTTCTTCCGCCGCCTGTCGGTGAAATCTCCTCTCATTTCTAATAATTTTTAGGGCTACATGCATTCGACTTTTATGATCATAAGCTTTTAAGACTTGACCAAAGCTGCCTTTCCCCAAAACTTTTAGGATTTCATATCGATATGCGATATGATCGTGGACTTCAGGCAGGTAGTTACCAGACTCATCATCATAGCCGTTATTACTAGGAGCACCAACTAAGCCCTGGCGCTTTTTTGAATTTGCACCAACAAAGAAGACTTGTGGATAATTAAAAATTTCATGATGTTCAAATGAAGATAACTTGTGCATGTATAATTTCATTGCTTGTTCTGGTGATAACGGAACGCTTTTGCTGCTCTTTAGAGAACCTGAACTACCCTCTCTTCCACCCGAAGATGGAGGTGTAGTGTAAGAATTCGGCTTCTGCTTTGCTTTGCTGTTGGATTCCACCTTACTTGCAGATATGTGAACATTTTCATCACTGTACATTTGCTGGATATTGATATTACTAGAAGTATTGTTTAAATTTGGTAGAGTAGTCTCATTTACCAAATTGTTTTTGGTCACGTAATGATTAATGCTACTATGCTTAGTCAATGACTTATCCGCATATTTGCTGTGTACGAAAGGAATGGTCGGGTTGTTAGTAATACCTTTCCGTAGCGGTGGCAACATACCACTCTTCCCGTTTCGATCATGTTGGTCTTCATGGGTAATTCTTGCGCCTTTGCCATCACCGACTGATTTGTAGAGGGAGTCATTATTCGAAGGGGCTACCGATCGAGTTTTCGCTAGGGACATTTTTTTAGGTTTGGTTAGCATTTAAAATAGTAATCAGATTCGTATATAACAGTAACACCCTATAACTTAATAAAGAATTAATCTTTAAGCGAAAATCTTCGAGTGCACGTACTCTTATGCTATGCGTGTAAAGACAGACAGTTACGATGCTCTTGTATGAACAAAAATTTCAAGTAGTATAAATTATCAGCCAGTTATATCAACTAGAATTTGGCTAATAACAACTTTTTATATACTGTAGTTCGTAACTTCTACTGACTTAATCGTTACCATGGAATCAAAACATAAGTTTCTTACTCTCAATCACGTGATATTATCTGTCTTTATACTTTACAGTTACAGAAACAAAAAAACATCATATTACTATACGGTACAGCGTACAATTTAGTACAGTAACTACTTGACTGAAACTAGTTGGTTCTATCACGTTTCGTATCCGTGGTTTTACGTTCGTACAATAAACTGCCAGCGGATCAACTTCGATATATGACTCCTTTTATATTTCTTACTATTCTATATAATTGATGATTTTTTCCATACTAATTATATATTCTGTAAAGTATTTAATGTATCACTGTGCTGCTGTGTAATTAGTTTTACAGTACTGTACAGTATATGATCAGTACGGAAAAAATCATCAATCATAATGATATGGAAAAGGAAGAAAAGTGAAAGAAGTCGTATATTTAGATTGATCCAAAATGACCAGAGAAATAGTCAGCTTCCATATTTTTCGGGGCCGAGGAGGGCCAAATGCTTTCTTGCACAATCTGCCTAGTGCTCTGATACTCTTCCGTTTAGTACGGTACTGTAATGTACAGTACAGTGGACTAGTCCCTGGTACTGTTTTTACGGTTTTATTACTTGTCGTCAACCCTCTGTTACTTGCCGTAACTGTAGTCACCAAATACTGTACTGTGCTGTACACATTGAGACCGTAAAATATCAATACTGTACAGTACAGTAATTAAGAGGACACGTACAGTACAGTATAGTATACAGTGTACAATACTGTACTGTACTGTATTATTTATTTATATTTATGTATACGACAGCCGTTGCCTTGTCACGAATAATGAGATTCAATGTACTTAGAAGTCAATCCGAAACCCGACTCGAGGGAGGGATTCGGCTTTAAGTAATTCTGTTCTGATACAGTGTTTGTGTAGCGATTGCACTCATTTCGGGTTGGAAGGTCAACAATTTGATCGGGTTTGGGTTGCATTTTTATTCCATTTAAGGACTCTGAGATTATCGAGAACATGTAGCCTGTACCAGGGACTACTAGAAGAAAGAAAAGAAAGAGAGGGACAGAACGGTCGTTCAGTGTATTAAAAATGAGTGGGCTGACTATTTTGCTTATCACCTCACCTAAACTGTACTGTATGTCTGAAACCATACACTATACTGTCCAGGGTCGTCATCCAGATTAGCCGCTTGGTTGATTTTGTACTGTACAGCGTAGTATACTGTACGCCTATACGGTTTCGTGGTAGCGTATAGTACAGTACAGTACTGTAGAATAACCAGAAAAATGATAAGCCCCTTGTTATTTTATACTGAATGGCCGCTAGGCGTCCCTCTCTCTTATTAATAGTCCCTGCCTGTACAGTACTGTAATGTACATTTAATACTGTACAGTACAGTGTAGTACACGCAGGGACTACTTCAAAGAAGAGATAGGGACGGGACTGGACAAGTGGACATGACGGGACACGGCCAAAAAAATGATAAGACTTTTTGCGGGTATTTTACAATACAATATGCTACGGCT